CTTATCGTCTAGGTCGTGAGCAACCGAATCGTATGACGATGTAGAAAATCGACTTGCGGCAGTGTCCAAAGACAATGGTCCGTTACCGAAATCTTCGGTCATTGTGCCATTATCAACCATGATTACCCTCGGTAATGGCGGAACTGGTGGTGGAGGCGAAGGCGACATGGTCCGGCCCCTATATGATCTTCTACTGGGAGTCGCTGACAGGGTCGAGTCATTGTCACTATTGAAGTCGCCCAACTCAGCTGCCAGGCTCTGGATGCGCTGTTGTGGGGTGCCTGCTGTACTGCTTGTAACACTCGGGGGACTGCTTGGGAATGCTGGCTCCTCGCTAGGCTGTCTTGACCGGCGGAAAGCACCACGACTCACGCGTAAGGGGAACTTCGCTTGCAGTGGCGGTAGCATGGTTGGCGTCCGGTTCATATGATCGAAAGGATAGTCTTCATCCTCAGTAGAAGCTGTGCTATGCAAAGAGTCGCTACGATTTAGGCCAATGAAGCTCGGCTGTCTGTTCCTAGGCGTGCGACGCTTTGAAGGGCTGTCCGTCTCGGTCAGAGCGTCGTCCTCATCATCGTCATCATCGCTTGAAAACTCTTCGGCACCTGTGTGGAAGTCGTCAGTCTCAGTCGATGGCTCGTGTGCGGTTTCGAATGCCGCGTCACTCGTCTCGTTGGCTGTTTCGAATTGTTCATACGGCTCCTCCGCCACTGACTGGAACTTGCTGGATCCCCGTGAGGCTAGGGAAGAACGAGTAGGACTGTTGGAATCGGGTTGGTCTTCCCAGTTCGAGTCCTCGGAAAAGACCTCGCTTCGGACAGTTCGGACACCACCCAGCAGTCGAAGAGGCTTCTTAAATTCTCGAGATTCGGTCTTGCGTGCACGCTTGCTCTGGACTACGGGATCATGTCGCAGTTTCTCTAAGTCATCACGAGCCTCCTGAAGCATGCGCTTCAGTTCAAGCTTCTCAGTCTTCTCTCTGTGGACGTTATTTCTAAGGCCTTGGATCGTACGCTGGGCGTGTCCCAGGGACGTCTTGAGCGTTTCCGATTCCAGCATAGAATGTCGCGGTGTCCCTTTTACGGGCGAAGGAGGAGGCGAGTGTTCGGGAGTTGTCTTGTCATGCGCAGTCTCAAAACCATCATCGGCCATACCAAGAATCGATTCACGTTCGATGATTCTCGCTCTCTGCGAAGCGGAAACAGCCTTGGCCAACTCTTGATTCTGACCAGTTAAATCGTCAATCTTCCTACGAAGGGCAGTGCGCTCAGACTCTGCAATGACTATGTTGCGCTTCGCGGTACCGAGTTCTATGTCGTGATGTTTAATGGCCGTAGCATGTTCTTCGCTAAGCTTGGAGTGGTTCATCTTGACATCGTCCAATTCTCTCTGTATGAATGTCTTCTCGGCCTGGATCATATTGAGGGCCTGGTTTAGCTTCTTTTCACGATCCTGTGCCTCCCTTTCCTTGGCCATGAGATCATGGACCTGGGTCTCGAGGCTCCAATTCTCATCTTTGTAGCGGTGCTCGCTCTCGTCCAAAGACTTGACTCGCTGTTGGAAACCCTCAGCTTCATATTCGAGTTTTGACTTCTCGTTTTTGATGTCCTTCAATTCTTCTTCCTTCTCAGCAAGAAGGCCTTGCAAGTTGCGCACTTGAGCGATCAAAGATTGGCTGATTTCCGCAGCGAACTCAATATCGTGGATTCGGTTTGCTGGTTGATTGCGAACTTTTCGGTTGGGAACACTGAATTTGGTCGGAGATCCTGTTGCTTGGGCCTCGAATTTGGAGGGACTCACGGAACGCTGCACGCAAATGAAATTAGTACGCACGCTAAACTCTGTATTGAAATGTCTCGGGAAGCTTACCCTTCCGCCTTTGCCTTCGGGGACAAAGGGAGATCCAGCAGAAACTTCATTACTAGGGACTCTCTGCTTTGGTAGGAATGCACGTGCACTCTCTCTAGCGACATCGTTATAGTCTTTCTCAATCTCAGCTAACTTTTGACGAAGGTCGTCGGAAAGTTCTTCTTCGGCCTGCAATTTATCCACTTCTCTTAATCTGTCACTTAATTCCTTGCGTTGTTGAACTAACGCTGTACCTAATTTTCCTGCTTCTTCCATTCTTCGATCAGTCTCGGCAAGATGGGCTTCTAAAGCCTTTTTCGCCTGTATTTGAGATGCATTGGGACCGAGTGCAAAGATTTGTGAATCGAAATTGGAGAATCGATGGTGGTTGGAACTAGAGGACGCGACCGCCACGAAAGGATCATGGTGAGGGTCGATGGCAGGTACGGGCGACGAGGTCCTAGAAGGCCTGTCGCGGGCACCGTAAAACGCCATCGTGGTCGCTGCTAGCTGCACAGAACCAAGGAGAATGTGATTTCCCCTTGGATTAACGTTGCGGCATGCAGGTTAATTAAAGACGCGAAGGTCGTCAAGTCGCGGATAGAAAGCGCTGCGCAAGAATTAAAAGGGCGAAAAGCGATGATCTGACCAGGGATTTTTGACGTGGCTGAAGCTAGTCAGCGATACCCCTGGGCTAATATGGGCTAATAGCCAAAGAGAAAAGGCCTAATTGATAGTTAGGGATCGAGTGGTAAAAGACAAGCCCAGCATGCAAAATGATAAGCCAATGAACACGCGAATGGTGGTGTGGATTTGACAATGCCCGATTACACGTTGGCTTAACGTTGACGTTCGGATGAGTTGGATGATGGCAAATAATAGGAAAAAATTGCAGGGCGAACAACTAACGAACCGGGTTTCTTTTGCTTGGTAGTGGTAGGCAGTGCTGTGCAGCGTGCAGGGTACAGCGTGTTGCTGTCAATGAAAATTGAAAATGAACGGGAAGGGGAACGTGAACAGGACCGTGAACAAGAACGTGATATGATGTACCTTCGGAGAATGACGTTTCTCGATCCTCGATCAAAGTCTCAGCTCAATTCGAATATCCCGAATATCAAATATCGAATGTCGAATACACTGGAATTCCCTAGCGACTAGAGTCCAAGCTAACGGTGCGAGAAATCCGATGTTGATAGGTGCAATTCCAGTTGCAGAGACGCGTGCGCAAAAAGATCGGTTGAAAGTCTGACAGGTTTTGGCAGATTTGACAGGTCCCAATGTTGAGATTATGAAATTGTACGGTCTGATCTGGTCCGGTACGGTACGAGGTAACGAGGTACAGTGCGCGTCGAAAAGAAATGTTGCTGTTGTGAACGGTGCAACGCGAAATAAAAAAGGGAACAACGGAGCTAAACAATTCCAAGGTCCAAGGTTGTACCACGAGAGATACGCGACTTAGGCGACCGAAAAAAGATTTAGTACGGTTTTAAGCTTCAACGAAAAAAAGGCACCAACTACCAAGGTAACGGTTGCCGTAGCTATTGCTGTAGCTTGAATTAGCTTTAGCTGTAGCTGTCGAAGTAGCAAAAAATTACGTAGACTTTTCGAATTGAAGAATTGAATGAGCGGATCGACGAAATACGGTTTTGAATGGATGTTCGAATTGTCGCAATTGTTGCTTTGTTGAAAACGTCAAAATTAGGTACTGGCAAAGAGAAAAGTACGTAAGTATTAACAATTAAACAAAACAAAGTTCCTTTGGGAAAGAAATAGGTAGAACCCGAGTTGTCGCGATGAATCCAGAGATCCAGTGATCCGGTGATTTTGTCTTGAATTTTTATTTTTCTTAGGAAAACGTAGGAAATAAAAAGAGCATGTGTAGATGAAATTGTTGAAGATTCAACGGTGGTGATGAGTCAGCGAGTGTCCGAATAAGTGACTAAACGAGTGTACTGGTTAATAAACGCAGGTATTTTGCATAGCAAGCGGTTGTCCGGCTGCCGTGTATGAAACGACGCGTCCTGTCCTGCTTAAGAAGAAACAATGAACCCGACGGGAATCTGAGATCCTAAGAATTTGGAGATCCTTGGTGTGGAAAGGCCGTCAGATAGCGAAATCTGCCGAATTCCTGAATTGGCTGGATCTGTCTCACAAATAATAGGAACGGGATTAGACGGGGAAAAGGGATAGAGAAAAAACAAGAGAGGGGGGGAGAGGATAGGGATAAGGGTAGAGAAGGACGGAAGAGGTGTTAACAATGTCAAAGACAGAGGACGGTAAATCTGTATTAAACAATTGCAACACCGCGCATGGAGGTTTGCGGTGACGAAGTGTGGGTGCAGAAGTGAGCTACGTCAAGGATCTGGCGTATTCTTGGGTTCGTCCCAGGTCTTCCCAGTAGCTGCTTACCTACTAGGTACCTAGCAGGTAGGGATCATGTAATATCCCGAATACAGTGTGCAAAGTTAAACTTACGAACATTAACACGTGTTTAACTACTAGTTTTTACATGAGAGTTTACAGTGCGACCGACAATTAGGAGGACAATTAGGAGGACATCGATAAGGCAATAATACCTGAATATTATTGACCCTGATTCACCTTAGACATATAAACCTACCCACTCACTATTTAAAGAATTAAGACATTCATATATATGCATCTTACCCCCTATCTTCGTTGGAAAAATCTATTTTTGAAGATGCAAGATTGACGTAGATTTCCAAAAGCAAGAAATAACGCGATGAAGATTGATCCGAAAACAACGTTCAGATGTTTGTTTACATCACAAGCAAAGGCGGTAAACCATTGGACCACTTGAATTGTACATCAATGTTACCTAAGTACGCGCTGTTACGCATGAACCCAATTTTAGAGCTGAGGGGTTCCCTGTTTCCCTATTGATTTAGACTCCCGCTACGCGAGCTGCACGAGACAGGCAAGGCTGAGAATTGAGAGGACAGTAATTGGGCACGCCACGGTCGCACTGTATCGATCCCGAAACTAGTGCAGATGTAGCTTAGAGTATGGAGAGACATGAACCAATGAAATCGTTGTTCAACATTGTTAGCTTGGAATCTAAAGGACCGTTAGTAATATATCACATATGCAATATAATTTCTAGAACATTTCGATTAGAACCAGCTCGATATTCTAAGCTTCATGACGCAAACTTGTTTCGTCGATATTATTCATCCTTGACTTAACAAAGAATTCCCGCCCGAGAAAAGAAATTCATTAAACATATATCCCGTCCCCAACTTTCCAAGTCATGGCTGATGACAACACTTCCAACGACCCAGCAGCCACCGAAGCTCCCATCGGCCCAGTCGCCATCTTCAAGAAACGAGGCGCAAAAGGGAAGGCAAACATTAGAAAACGAGCAGCCACGCCACCCCCAGCTGACAGCGACAGCGATGATGACTATACCTCATCTGAAAATGAAGCGGGCCAACGAGTAAAGAGGCGCAAGAAGAACACAGCAGTCGTAACAGCTTCGTCAAAAAACAACACAACACGGACCGACCAAAATCACGGCGCCACCGTCTTCGAAGCTGATCGCAGCGTACCAATCACAAGCACAAACGATGCAACCAAGCAGACCAATTGGTTCGACGAAGATGCGAACCTGCTAGGCAAGACGCGACCACTACCCAAGCCCAAAGACGAGGGAGATGCTCCGGCACAACCAGACGGAACCTACAAAGGTCTAGCCAACCAGACCAAATTCATCCAAAGAAATCCAGACGCGCCCAACCGGACAGTCGGACCCATAAAAGCAGCCACGAACATTCGAACCATCACGGTGACCGACTTCGCGCCCGATGTATGTAAAGATTACAAAAAGACCGGTTTCTGCGGTTTCGGAGACAACTGCAAGTTCCTCCACGCGCGCGAGGACTACAAGCAAGGCTGGCAACTAGACAGAGAATGGGATAACGTGACAAAGGGAAAGAAGAATATAGGCGGAAAGGCAGTAGCCGGCCGCGGGGCCAAAGCCGACGACGATGACTTCGACGCGGCCGAGGAAGCTCTACTGGAGAAGATCCCGTTCGCGTGTATCATATGCAAGGGCCCGTACAAGGAACCCATCGTGACGAGGTGCCAACACTACTTCTGCCTACCGTGCGCACTGCAGAGGTATAGGAAGGATCCGAGCTGTGCCAACTGCGGCGCGGGTACGGGGGGTGTTTTCAATACTGCGAAGACGTTGAGCAAGTTGTTGGAGAAGAAGAAAGATCGCCAAGTGAAGAAACGGCAGAAGGCTATTGAGGCAGGGGAAGAGGTGCCTGAGGAAGATGAGCTCGGACAGTGAGGACTTGGATGTTGATAGGCGGTTAGGACCGAGCTACCCAAGGCTAAGACATGCCAGATATGTCGAGATAATAATATTAAGTTTGAAAGATTCGACTACTCTAGTTTCCGCGTCAGGGACTTACCATCTATATCCCACTGACGTCCAAAGCCTTGGCCACTCAAACTACTGTGTAGCTAGTAAGGACATAGTCGAATAAGTGGCACCGTTAGACATAGATATGCAGGTTAATAGTAACTACTAGAACCATGAGCGTGTCTAGTCATAGGAACTGATCTGCCGTAGATTTAGAACATTTTCAATCGCGCTCATTGATGTGAGACCTCTGAGTCTTCGTACACGGGGTCTATAGACATATTCCTATCCCTTACCTCGAGTAGTGTGTAAATCAGTACTAGATAGGTGCTGCGAATATAGTATAGTTAGCTAATAGTAAGCCAAATTTCTAAGCCAATTAAGCGTACCTACAGAAGTCGCATAGGGAACCCCTGTCAAGCTAGACACCCGCTAGCAGAACCCGTCACCGACGACACCTTATCAATTACTCCTCAACTTCAAGTTAAAATCACAAGATAGAAAATATCTCCAAATCCATGGACGACTTTCCACAATAAGCCCTGACTTTAGAAGGGTACTGCTTGTAGAAAGTGGTTGGTTTTGCCAACAAAGAAGTTTGCAGAGCTTGTGGAGTTAACAGTGGTATATCATCAGCAAGAATTCCACCCGCGCAATTTATAACCGCCATTAGCTAAAATTCGACAACCTAATCCACGCCATCAGAAGCTCGTTGAAGAGGGAATATATATGCAAGGGAGTAAGAGATATATTAGTAGAGTATGTCTAGTTTACCATATTTTCGTCCTCAACATTTATTCGACATTGTATCTGAACCAAGAAACTTGATGTCTTCTAAGATTTGTAACCCAATCTCATATTATCACGAGAAAGCCCCTGTATGAAAATGCTAGAGATAAAGTTGATATAAAGAAAAATGTTGCTCAACAATTCCAGCACAGCGTGGCGTATTGCCCCGCAAAGTAAGAGATCGATTCTGAGGTGGGTGGTCTTATGTTTTCTATCCTTTTCACCACCATTCTACTACCTATAGAAGCTTATCCACGGCTGGAAATGATACCTCGAGGTGTCCCGAAATGTAGGTACCTACCTATGTTTTCTAAAATACAAAGAACTTCTCCGCTGACGGTTCGGAGAAATTCAACATTCTGGTTCATGTCAAGAACCATGCAAATGAAAAACTGCCGGTTGGGCAATATCATCCTTAGGGATTAGACTTTGATTGAAGTTAACCAAACACCATTCAACTAGGTAAGTAATGACTTTATCAAGACTTGATATACTGAAAATTGGAAAACACAATATATATCTACCATGTAGGTACCTGTTAAGGTTAAGTACCATCCACGCCGAAACAATCCTCTTCGTCCGGTGCTAGGCGGATGTTAGTGCTGCCATCATAAGTAACTGCACTTTTGGATATTAGGAAAAGTGGAAGAGGGTGATTGTAGTATGATGGTCGATAGTTAAAATAACATTTTCAGGTGTAGAAGTTATTCTGGATAGGCTTCTTGCAAGTTTCACTTGTTTCTCATTTTGTTGAATCACCGGGCACTAGGTACATAGGCGCATGGGTTGGAAAAGAAAACAGTTCTAAGGTTCTATTAGTTGCTGCTAATCTTCGTTTCTATAGCTTCTGTCAGTACCTATTACTACCTACCGAAACAATCAACTGTACCTAATATCTACCTAGGTCCAGCTACCCCAATACCATAAGCCACTTTATTCACCATTTTATAACATTTGGCCAGTGATTTTAGTCCACTATTGCCACGGTTACAGGGACCATTCTCAGCGCCCAGCTTCTCCGGAGTATGGCTATTGACGGAGCTATTGACGGAGCTATAGCCAGTATATAATGCATTACCTATGGTAATTAGCTGAGCAGCATCGACAAACCTGCCTGGAACATTGGAGTTAATACATCTCTCACTTATCTCCCTTATGGAAGTAAATTACGTTAAGAAAGGAAGTAGTTCACCAATTGGTACCTATATGCCACGACCACGCAAATGAAACTTATAATGATAGCTAATGTCTTCCAGGTTGAAAATACGTGAGTGGTCGGCTGCTGTAAATTTTGAATACCTTACACAAGTAACTATTATAATCAGGCTCAAAGGAGTTTCAGGGGTTAGTTTTCAACGAAACATCCATTGTAACCCTTATAGTAGGTACCTTCCTGGCGTGAACTGCCAGGTTAACAGGCTACTATGGGTACATAATTGATAAGTGGAATAAATTAGGTAGTTTTATGTGTATTTAAAATGGCCATTTTGGTTCAACTTTCACAGCAGTCAGCCGCTCCTCTAGTTTAGGCGTTCTAAGGCACCAGCCACTGTTCTATGTTCGTTTACAGTGGTTGTAGCGTATACTGATTGGTGAACTACCTCCCTAACGTAATGTAATCTCATAGGGGAGCTAGATGAGGTTATATTAGGTACCAGGTAGGCTTGTGCAAGTTCACATTTCGGTCACTGTCCCAAGCAGTCTGAGGCGCATAATTTAGAAGGATAGGTAGGGAAAGAATGCCCCTATTTCGATGTCTCTTGTACTAGCTGTCCATTAAATGGAATCGAATTACGGTAACTTTAGATACCTCTAATAGGGGTACTTAGTTGTTTATATTAACATAGATAAATATCAACTTTTCACCATTTCAATTAACTGATCCTATCTCGTCTCGCTTCACCTCATAAATCAGGTAATAAATAAACTTCCACCGGGGTATGTAAGTAAAGTACCTGACAGCGTAGAACAGAAGAAACAGCAACAAAAGCGTCGAGTATACCGATATGTATCCGCTCTGTTCCACCAGACATGTACCTAAACATTGAAATCTCGAGAACTGCCAGAAGAAAATAGGGATGTATGTAAACCGATTAGATCTCGAATCTTAAAAGTTCCAATCCAGATGGCCGCCGATGTGAAATATGCTAGATGTGATTGCCCCTTTTCTCCATCGCTTCGCTCCGCTTCGTTTCGTCTGTTTGGTATCCATATCCATATCCATCAAATATCTTCAAAATCCCATCGACAAGCACCTCTCTACTGAGTAGACACTGCCATATTTATACCTACCACTCAACTCACCCACCACCACCAACACTCTCACTCCCCCTAATCCCAATCCCCAAACTCCCCCGCCCCATACGGATTCCACTCTTGGCCAGGGTACGACGTAGCGCTCATAACCGGGATCCCATCATCGTCATCATTAACAGCCGCCAACTCAACCGGCTGTTCGACCAAAATCTTCTCCTCGGAATCCATATTACTCGAAACCTGCTTCTCTGAAAACGACGAATCGTCCGACCCCCTCTGGCTCTCCGCCGCATCAACCACCAACCCGACCCCGAGCCCGACTCCCATCCCAACAACAGAAGGCGCGACGCCGTTAACAGTACTCCGACTCCGTTCCGAGCCCGCGTACTTGATATTCTCATCCTGCTGCCCTCCGACTACACCTCCCATCGCTTGTGTGTTATACCCCATCGCACTCCCAACCCGCGGCGTAGCCCCGTATAAATCCCCACCATCATCTCCCCTCGCAACCTCATTCGCCCGCTCCACATTCACGTTCAAACTCGCGCTCGATACCTGGTGGAACGGCACCCTCACTGCACCACCCATCCCCATCCCCGCGCCAGGCTCCGGACTCACGCTCGCGGCGCGCGCGGCTGCGAGGTCGGGGCTTAGGGATGCGTTGCGCAGGGGCTCGGTCGCGGACATTTTGCTCACGAGACGTGTCGGTTGTTGGGGCTCGGGGTCGGGTGTCGTGTAGAGGGTTGGTGGGCTGGGGTTCGGGGGTTGCATTGGGGCGCTGGTGGGAGAGAAGGCGCGTTGGTTGGGTATGTTTGTGTTTGTGGTTATGGGGCCTGCTTGTGGGATACCTGGTTGTAGGATCGGTGGGTGTGCGGGGCTGTTGCTCATTGCGGTGGCGATGTGTTGATGTTGCGGTCGCTGGACGTCGTCGTTGTCGCTGGGTGGCGAGACGTTCGGGTCTGAGGGCTTGGATTGTAGGGATCCGCCTAGGATGGGACCATCTTGTTTGCGGGGGCCGCTGCGCGCGCTGTCGGGTGCGCTGCCCCAGTTCGAACTGCTTGGTGTTTGTGTCTGTATTTGCACTTCTGGTCTTTGGGGGAGATTCGGCCCGCGGTCTGCGGGTTGGGGTTGCTGACGTAGGAATTGCGGGGGTACGGGAGGTGGTGCTTGGCGGTCATATCGGAACTCGTCCTGCGATGGCCTAGAAGGTGGTGTCGGCGCCATATCCAAGAACGTGCCTTGATCCGATGGCGTCGGCGTGCTTGATTCAGAACCTTCGTTGCGTTTAATAGACGGCGGTTGACTCCACTGCTGCTGTTGCTGCATCCCCTGCGGACCAAAAGACTGGAACTGCTGATGCGACGCGGGAGGCGGACTGGGTCGTCCGACGTTATACGGCGACGGTGCTATCATGCCCGCGTTTCCGTACCCGTGGACAGCTTCGTAGCCGCGCGGGATAGGGACATCATCGTACTGCCGTTCCAAGTTTTGCGCTGACCTCCGACGCTGCTCGACGACGTGCTGCGGCTTCAACCCTCCTGCTTGAGGCTCCTGTCCACGACCTGCTGGCGATGGAGGCATTGGACTACCTCGTCCGGCTCCCGTCATCGTTGGCGGGTTCATCGGTCCGTAAGGCGCTTGCGACCCGGGCGCCCCGCGACCGTGACCAGGCGTTATTGGGCCCTGCGGTGGTAAATTGCTCATCGGGCCCAGAGGTCCAGCTGGTGATGGTCCACTAATCGGTGGCCGCATCATAGGCGCCGGATTCTGCGATATCGGCTGGCTTGGCTGTTGCGGTCTAGCTATCGACGGTGGTGTCGAATGTCCCGGCGGTGGCTTGTGATGTTGTGTTTTCTCAGGCTTCGGAGAGCCGGTAGAATCAGAACTAGTCTGCTTGCTAACGCGCTTGAATGCGCCGAGGATCTTGTCCTTCGTGCTCTTCTCCTTCTGTTCCTTTGGCGGCTGTGCCGGGATGCTTCCATCGTTAGGATCGGTGCCGAAGAACTTCATTATGGTCCCCTGTTGGCCCGGGGGTAGGGCGACAAAGCGCGGCACTCTCTGAGCGTTGGGGTGCGGGTGGCCTGGATGTGGCTGGTTAGTGAAGGGATAGTTGGGGCTCCAACTAGGGGAGATCTGACCCTGAGGGCTGAACCCGGACGGAGAAGAGACGTAGCCGATCGGCCCCTGACCCGGCTGTGACATGCCGCGTGGTCTCTGAAGGCCTTCATACGGTTGGCCCTGTAGCTGCGGGTCTCGCGAGAAGGTCATCGGACCTTGCAGAGAAAGTGGTGTGCCGCCTACGCCAGGCTGGAAGCCCCCTTGACCGGGCTGAGATGTAATAAGGGGACGTCCTGGGGACGGAAGAGACGTCTGGCGTACATGACCTAACTTACCAAGAGTAGGGCTTTGCTGACCAGATGGAAGTTGACTACCTGATAATACCTCTTCATCCTCGGTACTATCAGGCTGAGACGGATCGTTAGATTTCATCGGATTTTTGGTTTGCGGTGAGGAGGTAGGTGATGCTCCGTCCTGTCTCGCGAAACCAGACCCGACGGGTTTTCTGTTGGGGGTGATTCGGGCTGCGATTTGTGATCCGCTAATGTCCGGGGAAGACGGACGTGAACGGTGAGGCGAGTCTCTTGAAAACGCAGGCCCCGAAAAAACATCATCTCCAGATTGTATACGTGTATTTCTACCTTCGATGTCTTGCGCAGTAGCTGGTCGAATATTAACTTGTGGTCCTTGCTGAAATCCGAGCTGAGGTCGTTGGCTAGGTGACATTGGTGCCCCCACTAGTTGATTCTGAGAAGCGACAGTTATTTCCGAAGGTCTCCGCATCATTACTTTTTGCGCTGTCCCGAGAAACTGGGGCGATAAAGGTGACGTTACGGTAGGTTGCCCCGGTGCCATAGGCTGCCGTCCCTGTTGCCCCTGTTGCCCCGGTATGCTCTCCTGGACAGGAGGTTGCTGACCGGCATACATCCTATGTGGAGGAAACTGTTGTCCGGGAGCTGGCATCTGACCGGGTCTAAATTGGCTAGGCTGCATAGCAATTTGTTGCTGTGGTCGTTGAGGCTGCGGTGGTGTCTGCTGGTTCTGCTGTTTCGACTCTGGTGCTTTGGATCCCTGCTTATTGAAAAGTCCACCAAGGAACCCACCCATAGGTTTCTTCTCACGTTCCTCCTCAGCACTCTGAAGTTGTTGAGTTTCCGGAGGTCGCATTCCACCAGTACTGCTTCGTGCTATCCCAAGTGGAGGTCCTCCTAACGGACTTGGGTGCATTTGTCCTGTCTGCGTTCGCATGGGGCCCTGATATGAAGGTCTTGTAGAAGGATGCACAGTGCTGGGCTTGGCGGGTTGGTCATCCTTTGCTCCTCCCTCCTTCGCATTCCCAACCCCTTTAATCATCCCGGTGAGCTCAGATAGCCGTTTCTTCATCGACGAATGTTCCGGGTTGTCATCATGGTCAAACGTAGAAGTCTTTGGTGGATTAAGGTTGGACTTCTGCTTCGGCTGGTATTTGCTGTGATTAGCCCCTCCACCGAAGAACGAGCTCTTTTCCTTCCCAGATGCATTTTGCTCAGTCCCTTGTTCCCCTGTGTTACGACGGTTAGGTAGACTAAAGAATCCCGAACCTCGTCTACCATCCTTGGGTCTTTCCTCGCTATTAGTACTTGAGACCGACACCTCATCAACATGAGCTAATCGATAGTATATTAGAAATATGTTCAGCTATAGTTCGGGCTAACTTACCATCCATCTCCTTACTAGGTCCGGCGTCATGCGACCCTCTCCCAACCTGGTTGACTGCATCATGAGGCCCACCCCGGAAAAGAGGATGACTAGGTTGATGGGGAGGCCCGGCTTGATCATGACCACGAGGAGCGAAAATGTTAAGGTCGCGATACCGCTCTGCTGAAACCGGCGGTATGCTATTGCTGTTATTCCTCGGCCGCGGCCCGGATGCACTTTGCCCCTTCATCGTCGGTAACGGATCTTCAGTTTCTTTATCATACGCTGCATAGTAATTAGGTTGTTGCGGCGACGGGCTGTTCGCGCCCGGACGAGGTTTGTGCTGGATCAGAGGTTCTGAGAGATGAGACTCCTCTAGCTTCCATTGACTATTGGGAGGGAATTTTTGAATTGGATTGCCAGCCATTTGCGCGTGCATAGGCGATGCGCCTGATTGACCTGAGAATTGATGTTGCGAACCTGCAGATCCTCGTCCCATCATCTGCTGCGGAAATCCATTAGGTTGAGGAGCTCCTCTGCCAGCTGCATACCCATTGGGATTTTGGGGCTGGCCATTGGCGAGGGCGTGATGTTGTTGATGTGGTTGAGTGAAGTGTTGAGGCTGATTTTGATGCGCGATGGCCTGATTCACCTGTGCCTGGCCAGGTATATGCCCATTGCCGTTTTGATAGTTCATGTCCTCTTTTATGGGAGGAACCGGAGGTATCTCATTATCCGAATCCCCAACTGGTGATGGAATCCTATCGTCGTCATCAGTACTAAACTTCGTTCTTGATAACAGGTCGATAGTTGAAGTTCTGCGAATGGGCGGAAGAGGTGTGAAACCGGAACTGGGTTTGCTTTCATGCGGTTGAGGACCACCGAAAGACGGCGAGTATGTCCTGTCAGCAGCCATAGGAACTGTCATGGTCTGACGTTAACGTTGACGTGGACGGTCAATTGGACAGTTAAAAGGGTTTAAAGCTGGTAATCCCCGACGATGTCACTTTGCCGCATTTATTCAAATCCACTATTGACAATTCAAATGCGCGACATTCTATTCTCCAGCACTTGATTCGAGTGCTGATGTGGTGCCCGCTGCAATGCTGCCGGCCTGTTTTGACCGGCTTACGTTTGAAATCTCCTTCCACTTAAGAGCGGATCGCTGGAGATTGATTTCCCAACTAGGCTGGTGCTTGCCGATATGTGCTTATATGTACAATACAATTGACGAGAACACAGGCAGAGGCTCCTTTGGTCGCGAAAGGCTTGAGATGGGAATTTATGTAAGGAAGGGAAAGGCCTGTCTCGGAAGTAGGCGAAACAAGTAGACAAGACCGGGCTGAAGACGCGAAGGAAGGGTAGGAAAGTACCTCATTAATCAAGAATGCAGCTAAACCCCGGAGAGGAACGACTACGGTGAAGGGTCTGGGACCTTTGAAGGCGATATTGATAGAGGTCGAGTTGAAGGGGTGGAGTTGAAGCACAAGCGACGGTGAGAGACGGACGTGTTCGTGTTCCCTACGAAGAGGCGGGATCTGGAATTGAAATTGCTGGGATGCCTAGACGATGAACGATGGACGATGGACGATGGGACACGGCAGCGGATATGACGGGGGGTTGTGATGGGCTGGTTTGGAGCCCTTTGGATGGTCGATGGTTGGTAGGATCCAATTTTTTATTACTGCTGGTACCTGGAGCTGAAGCCGGAATCGATCGACCTGGTTGGTTAGTTGGTCAGGCTTTCTTGGCTTCTTCAGGCCTCTCTTATGATGATAATCCCGGACCGTTTCCTGTCTTTGCACTCGATTGATTGGCAGGACTAAAGCCGACAGGGTACCCTTGGTTGTACTTCAGTAGGGCTGTAATAAAACCTATCCCCTGTTCTACTAGGTACGGACGACAATTCTTATGAGAATGGTAAGTACGAGCCAATGATTCGAGTTCCAATCATAAAGATGGTGATGGTAATGGTGATGATGTCGCTAACTTTGGGGGCCTCAAATGAAAACCCGTTCGTTTTTCGGATGCCTAGAGCCACAGAGTTGTAGATTGGGGGCGTAATATTATACCTAACAACCTTGGAATAATAATACCTTGTACCTAGGTAAGACCTGTGAATGTGGAGAAGATATTACAGCGTGCTGCTTCCGCTGGTGTTGCCCTGCGGATAGGGTGGCTGTGTTGGCGGAATATCTCTTCTTATTCCCCCCCTCCTCCTCAACCAATGAAGTGAGAGAAAGAGATGGAAATGAGGGTGAATATTAATGAGAGGGACCGATATCCCCTACCGGCACGTGTGGACGCGGTAACCGTTTGACGTTGACTATCCGAATCCTACGAACGACGGATTCTAATTTACTTACCTGTATGTATGTATTTCGTGACCGTCTTTCCCCAAGTTCCCAAGTTGCAAACTAGCCATGAAATGTTAGTGAGAAGAGTTGCATTTGATGATTCCAATAGGTCGGTAAATCTACTTACATATAAGTCTAATGCAGATGATATCGGTAAGATCTCCCAGAAGGGATAAGTTCTATTAATATCCTCTAACCAGGTAGAGGCATTCGCTATCCCGGCTCTCCATACTAGCGGCGACTCGTCAAGCCTCCGCAATGTACTTAGCAGCTTAGGTACTAGGTAAATATGGTAGCAGTACTAAGTAAGCGGAATGAGCACGGAGTGACTAGCCGGCTCATGATAGGATAGAAGCATATGTACGTAAGACAGGAATCATCGTGTGTTTAACCATCGAGAAACCTACCTACATTAGTTAGATTAATAGAGAACCATATCAGCAATATCATTTTATATGGTGTGACTAAGGTATACGATGGAATTCTAACGCATTGGACAAGCTAACCATGAAACCCTCATGTTACTTGGTCATCGTCGAATCCCATCAGCGATAATGATAGGTATTTCAACAAGACTGCCGTGCTATTGCGTAAACCAAGACAATGCAGAAAAGTTGCACAAGAACGCCACGAAAGAGCGCCCGATCCTTGCTAAGCCTTGATCTGTTTCGGGAAACGGATGCATATGATGGCAGATCGTCATGATTGTGGTTTTTTTTTTTTTTTTTTTTTTTTTTTTGCTAGTTCAAGTGAGACTGCCAATCAATCTGATTGGTATGAACCCATGTAGAGAAGGATTCGATGCGGGATGCTTACACCTACCTAAGCAGCTTAAGTGCACATACATATGAGGCGAATAATAATAATAAATCTCAGCCGAAATTTCACAACTGCTGTATTTAGATAGATCGAATTATTTCCATCCATGACCCATCAAATACACCTTCTCAATAAATCGTACATCCTATCCCCCCGACCTACTTACTCCCTTTTGTTCAATCCGATCTGCAAACATGCATACCCGCGAGATGAACCAGTACAATACATATGAGAAGTACAGGCAGGCAGTTCGCGAGACTTGTGAGGTGCCGAAAACGACACGAATCTGCCTGCGAGGTGACAGGATAGTGTTCTCCCGTCCATCAGCCTCACCAATTTCATATTAAAAGAAATCCATTCGAAATATGTTGTCCCAAAAGCAATGCACTGCCGCCGTCCCATGCCGCCTCCCCAATCGAGTAAAAGAGCAAGAGAAGAGAATCGTAGCGTTAAAAGAACACCTTATCGCCTGTCCCACGAAGCTTATTCTTTCCTTTGTTGAATAGCTTCATACCAGACTTCACACCCTTGTTTCCGAATGCCCCCGCTGCTTGTAGAAGCTCCTTACTCTTTGCCCCGACCTCCTTGCCGGAAGGACCAAAACTACTCATAGGTTGTCCTGTAAACTTATGCTGTAGACTGCCACTTGGCATCCTGCCAATTTGCGTCGGTGGTGCACTCGGGTTACTAGCATTCAGGTATTGCTGGTAGTAAGGTTGTTGAGTTGGCGGCTGGGTACCAGACGGAGACGTTTGACCTTGAGCCATGGGCTGGCCCCCTAGTGGTACTATACCAGCTCCGAGCTCTGGCTGGCTTTGCATATACGAAAGCCAATTCGACAGACCCGATTCCATCGAGTAAAATTGATTCTGCGTCTCTTCGAACTTCCCGATTCTCTGTTCGATCGACACAAGGTTGAGAATATCTCTAAAGGCCATAACCTTCGCATTTGACGCTGATTGGGCTGTTGGGGCTGATGTGATAGTGGGGGACGGAGTACGGGCCAGCTCTATTGGATCAGATAGAGCGGGATGATGTTCGACAGACGGCGCATGAATTGATTCTTGGATAAGTACTTTCTCCTTTTCATCTGCGAACGATAGGCGGGAAATATCAGGAATTGAAGCCTGGGTATCCGTGATCGCTTCCGGGGGCAACGAGATAGGGGAGAGTGGTTCAGGTAGAATAGACGATAAGTCACCAGGGCTTTGACTACTGATCTGAGAAACTTGATGGGATACTGGGCTAGGACCCTCGGGTCGTACTTGCAAGGCGCTTGGAGTGCTGACTGCACCTAGCTCTGACTCTAGGGTCGGCCTATTTTCACCCTGGGTGGCCGAGTCTGCTTTGGCGGGTTCCTGTATGCTTTTGTCTGCGCTATTCTCCCACGAGAATCGTCTTGGCCGGCGGTTAGCCTCTTGAACTGGGCTTCTACGTGGGCTCAAGGGAGCAATCTGTGGGAAAGAGGTCTCCCTCTGTATGCTTGGTCCAGACGGTGTTTCGTTAGCTGCTTTAGGTCCTTGCTTCAGGAGCTGACCTGTTTCTTGAAGGGACTTTTCTTCTGGCAGTGATAGGTATTCATCATATACACCAGATAGGTATGTGCTCTCACGAGTTAGCGCGCCTGGAACCGGATCGTAACCTCCAGTACCTGGGCCCGGAATAATGCTCGCATCAGGTGTGGTCGTAGCTGGGCTTGCGCTTAAAGATTTGAAGATTTCCTCCCTTAACTTGTCGCTCTCCTTTTCTGGAGATGCTGTATCAACGGTGCTCATCGTAGACTTTCGCTCTTGTATTGCCGGGGTTATGATTTCCGCCGGGGCAGCAAAAGACCGACGTGGATTTAATGGTGCGGTAGGAGCGAAAGCCGATCCGGTGGTGGCCGCGCTATGCGGAGTAAAAGTTGCTCGGGACGGTGAATCATTTTGACCTGAAGATCTCGGTGCCATCTCGTTGGCGGGTGCGTCCTGTTTCTCCTTCTGCGCGGCGTTAGATGCAGCAAGGGGATTTTCTGTCTTAAGAGGCGGAAGGAATTGATGGGTCGGATGAAAACCCGGTCCAGAAGAAATGACTTTGGATGCTATAGCACCGTCGTGCTTCCCGGTGGGTCTATTAAAGCTGTCTTCCCCGGATTCTTGCGCGGTTTTATTGTTCGCTGCTGCTTCCGAATCGGATTGTGTTGATGGCAAATGTTTAACGGCAGTGGTTGGCTCAAGATCAGCGGGCTCTGCGTGTCTGCTGTTTATTGGAGACACAGCAGGATTTGCAATGCTGCCCAAAGACGTAGAAACGGGCCCCTCGGCCTTTTCTGCGGGCGTTGTATGTTCAGAACCGGCACTCACAGTTTCTGATACCCAAGTCCCAGGAAGCTGAGGTCTAGACGGAGCAGATTGTTGAAATGTTCCTACGGGATCTTCTTTCTTCGGCTCTAGATCACCGTCTGATGGTGGCATAATGATTTTGGGATTAGGTTCGAGCCTTCGCCCTTCTAATGCACTAGGGGCATGTTTCTCTTCGTATAGTCCTGTAGTGTCACGCTGATTGTTATTCGGCCTAGATGATGGGCCAGGCTTGGCACCCGCGACACTAGTCCGCTGGTTATCCGAGACTGGGGGAAGAGAAGGACGCCCCGTCGGACTAGAACCTCCGGAAGAAGAGAAGAAATCATCACCAAAACCCGACATACGTGCTAGATCAGGCAGCTTAGGACTGGTGGATAGATGTCGTTGATTTCCTAGGCTTTGACCTAACTCGGTCTCGTCGGCAAGGGCTCGAGGCCCATTCTTCTGTTCTTCGACGGGAGCTAATGTTTGTTTCAGGCCACGAGAGTTATCGGAACTATTATGGCTTTCGAAGCTGGACCTCTGACGCTGTTCTATCGAAGAGCGGATCGCGCTTACTGATGGAGAATTGGCATCAGTTCGACCATAACCACTCTCGACACTAGGTCTACCCGATTCCGTACCTGACCCAGACGCACCAATATCTCTTGAACCCGGAGTTTCTTGTTGACTTATACTACTCTCGCGCGGTGGAAAGCGGGCTTGGCTCTGCGCAGACAAAGTAGCTCCGGCTAGGTGAGACCTCGGATCGACTCCGGTCTGTATATGTAGGGCTGGCGGACCACTGGCATTTCTCACCTCTAACGGTCCAGGTTTGGTGGAATCGACAGTGGGTGTCGGCTGAGAAAAGGCCCTTTGTTGGGGGGCATTCGCTGCTTGTTGTCGTAAAGCGGCAATCCTCGACATTGGCTGTGTGGGAGGTGCAGGTTCTGGTTCACGATCCTCGTATTCTTCCTCATACTCGTTGCCCCAATCGTCACCATCGTAGTTTTGGACCTTTGCCTCGACCCATTTTCTCGTCTTCGTTCGATTTACATTCGCCTTGTAGCTGTTTGCGGTAGACGGTGTCCTTCGCGATAGTATAAGTGTTAGTGGCGAATAATTCCGATAGTAACATACTAGGTACTAATGATCTAGTGAAGAAAAGAGACCAAATAGTAAGGGAGAGCTCACATGGGAGAGAACGGGCTGTTGCTCCGAATAACATTATTATACGTTCCTTCGTTCATGGTTGAGAATTAAAAGATGCCTGGTATTCTATTGCGACATCTACGTCAAATTGCACCGGAATCTCGGATTGGGGGGGATATGCGAGGATTGTTTTATTTGGAGGCGATATGAATAAAATTCGTATCAAATTCGTCGAAGAACAAAGTCGGCAGAGTTCGAGTAGGGTAGAAGCAATTGGTTATAAAAAGATTATCGCAGAAACTTCACAGGCGCTTGGAAGATCGATGCGGGCGAGGCGAATCGCGGTCATAGATTGAACAGAATAGAGGCAGGGCGGGAAAAAAGGGTATAAGAGGGGATCCGTATAGGTTGTCGTTGCCGGGGTACCTGGGTATCTGTGTATGTACTAGGGAGGAGTAGGCAATGATTGATGCTTGATATTCGATGTTACAAATGGTTTGAATTATGTATGGAAGAAGGATTCGGAGAATTACTTGCGACTAGACGCCATGACGATGTTGGAATTTGTTAAAGAAAAGAGATTAGTACGAAATACGTACGAAGTTGAAAAAGTTGAAAATCGTCGGTCGGATGACGATTTACCTTTCACATTTTAGATTTTAGGGATACCTGGGATAATTTACCGAATGTTCCTTCTATTCCTTTACTCAAGTACCACCAGCCTAAAGTTGACTCGTGCGGTACATACTGAGTCAATGCTGGACATGACGATCTGCTGTAATGTTTGTATAGATTTAGGTACCCAAACTTTATCAACCCACCTACGATACGTAATCCCGTGCAGCTGCCCGTGTTCGGTAGAGCAGATAGAGCACCTATCTAACGCTTAATGTTGACGCCAAGCCTCTAATGAGGTACTCGTATTGTACATTTGCGAGCTACGGACCGCCCCAGTTTTACAGGGTACGCGCTACAGCGCATATGGGCAGTTGCTGGGGAGTTATTATGCACAGCCACAGCCAGCTAATACGCTAAAATCCGCCTCTACAGAAAATTGGAATTAAAATGTTTCTTCACGAAACAATACCCCTGGATTCTGGTCATGCCTCGAATTGCCTTCTACATACTAGGGTTCAAGCTTCGACTCAAAGAATGGAAGTGAACATATCCATACGTTAGCCCTCTATGGACTCGGCAGTATTTCCAACACACGATACAGATTGACAGATTCCATCTGCCGATTCACTATTCTGACCCATCTGGAAACCGTTGAGGCCGTCGGGATGTTTGGATAGGAGTCGACGCATCTCCTCTTTTGCACTATATCGTATTAGTGCAAGCAACCGACATACATAGTAGGCTATCATAGGATAGCTATCTACTCTGGGTATTGTACATACGTTGTCAACAATGGTGCCCACTGTGGCCACATTCCTGCTGTGCATATATTGTTGCGACTTTGAAAATCATCAGTGCCGGGTCTTTTTATATGTGGGTGAGTAATCGGGAGCTAAACTTACACCGCGTATAGGGCATGCCGATCATAGAAATCTTGTCTTGGCTCCGATGCCCCTACTTCGTTTTTATATAGATCTATGAACTCCATTCCGAGCGCGTAACGGGGATCTCCCATACACTGAAGATCCACTAGCATCGAGAGTCATCAGCAGAACATCCTATTGTGTTATTGTTGCTCCTACTAACTTTCATTGTGCCCATAAAAACAGCATGGGTCGAACATGATCGGTTGCTTGGTCTCGACGTCGACTTGGATGTTACCATCCCAGAGATCACCGTGGCATAGTGTAGGCTTGATGCTCCTACCCGCCGTTTGCAGAGGCCTTAAGAGCCTAGGGATTACCTTCTCGATGAAATCCTCAGCAAGAGCCTGCAATTCGGGGTCTTCGCCACGTTCTTGTTGCGCATATGCTAGGTTCGCCCGAAATTGCCGTGTGAAATACTCCTCCCAATTGTCTGTCCAGTCGTTGATCATCGGAGGGGGGCCATAAAACGTTGTGACATGAAAGCCAAACTTCCCCGTCGGCGATACAGATGATAGATGTAGCTTTTTTACGATCGCTAAGAGCTTCAAGGTTGGAGGAGGGCAAACACGCAGATGACGGAAACGAGTGAGGAAGAAAGATTTCGAGGTATCATTTTCTAGAAATCCCCAAGCTATAGGGATCACGACGTTTTCTGGAATATAAGTTGCAAGAGCCCTTTGTCCTTCATATTCTGCCTCGGACATACCAACTAACCCAGGCCGCTCAACAACCTTGAGCGTGTGTTTGAATCAGTCATCGAATACGCTTTGGAAACTTACACTTACCTTAACGAAGAACTCCTGCTGCTTATCATCTGCGTTGATGACAACTCGGAGACCTGTCGACCACTCATTATGTAGGTCAGTGATTAAGCAACACTGGGTACTTAGTTACTAGCAGGGCACCGGCCATCTAGCAACTCATCCGGGTCGCCCACGAAGAGATAATTCTGACATGCTAAAGCTTGGAACTTACATTGGTTTTCAAGTACTTGGTTACTGATATCACTTCACATTTTGTAGGTAGAGCTGATATGGCTGTTAGCTCTGTTGCTATACGGACCCCTAACCACTCACTCACCAGCTATTATTGCTTGATCTAACATCGCCATGCTCATTGCCGTCAACGAAATCGAAGTATAGAATTGCTGGCTATAGTTACATTATAAGATAATTTAGTATCTAAGTAGATATAGATGACCCGACTACGATATAAACAAAAATGAGAAGACGCCTAGGTGTTCGCTAGGCTTACAAGCATTGGGGTCGAGGCCATATGCGACAGGTAGGCGCTGAGGGGCTGAGGCGCTGCAAGCATCTCAGCGTATTGTCATTTGATTGGCCCTAGAAGGACTGTTGGATGTATCCGCTATAGCTGATGTTACATTCTAGGAAAGCATACTTGACCACCACCACCACCACCACCACCTGGTTGTTCCATTTCATAATTATGTCAACCATTTATAACTTGCAACATACTAGAGTAAGAAGCACACAGCTTCTCTCTAGTGTGTTGGGCGCATGCTATATTGGTATGTCCTTGACGCCTAGTGATTTGATCATCCACCCCCGCTCGAATTGTCTGTAAAGAAGCTCACTGACTAAAGTATCTAGGTAGGCAATGAGCGACACTTTGTGCGCGCCAAAAGACCTCTCTACCAACTTACCAACACACTCCAAATCTTCACCGGCCGCGCATAACTCCACCAACAGCCCGTCTTCCTCTAGTGTTGCCGCTGTAGAGCCCGTCACCTTCTCGAAACCGTCCCTCACGAAGCGATTCACTAGTTCGTTGGTGAAAAAACGATCCGATAAAGATGACGAAGAGGGTATTCGGGGCCCTACCGGGCTCAGGATCTTACATTCCTCTCCCGAACCGCTAGTGGACCTGATATTTGTACATGGTTTACGAGGGGGCTCGATAAAGACTTGGCGGAAGGGTGACGACCCTCGTATGTTCTGGCCGCAATTGTGGTTGCCCATGGAGCCTGGACTAAGAAACGTCAATGTTCATAGCTTTGGGTACGACTCGGATTGGGCTAGTACAAAGTCAAGCATCCTGAATGTTCACGACTTTGGGCAGGCGCTGTTGGAGGAAATGAGGAATTCGTCACATTTGAGAGAGAATATAGAAGTACGGATCGGCTCTTCTTATACTGCTCCGAAACTTACAGTGCATAGAGGCCTATAATATTACTTGGGCATTCCATGGGCGGGCTCGTGGTAAAAAAGGTAAGATATTATGTATATGGAGATGCATTATCATGTGGCTAACTTGGATGGGTAGGCATTCATACTGGCAAGAGACGTATTGGATTTCAGAGACCGCATCAAGTGCATCTTCTTTCTTGCAACGCCGCATAGGGGGTCTGACTACGCGGCGATTCTTAACAATATTCTAGCCATGTCTGGGATAATGTCTTCTCGTCAATATATCGATGATCTAACCACTGGTTCGATTTCTACGAGTCTAATTAATGATGACTTCAAGAAATACACGATTGACACGCGGATATTTTCCTTCTACGAGACTTTGCGAATGAACCTCGGGGTTTCATCTGGTCTAATTGTAGAGAGGAGTTCCGCTATCCTTGGTACCTAAATACCCCTTACATTATAGCGTCACCTCTAAGATCCGAGGCACTAACCACACCTCGCATCACTTCAGGAAAGGGGTTCCCGAATGAGCGGGTCCAATATATGAATGCTAACCATAGAGATATATGCAAATTCGAAAGCAAGGATGACCCTAACTATATAACCCTCAAGAATGCGCTTTCCAGTGCCGTGGAAGATCTACTGAAAGATGGTGAGTGCAACGAATTCCCCGTCCTTGTACTAATTATGGATGCAGCTGCTTACCTAGTAACTATCCGCAGACCCGAGAAACCGTCTTAAGATGTTACGGGAACAAATGAGCATATTAAAGTCGTATCTCAGTATATCAGATCCTCCAGACGACCATTTCCCCGCAATAGATGGATCTTGCCAATGGATTGATTCTCGAGATGACTTCCGAGGCTGGAGGGATGCTCCTGATGAGTTCTCCTTTACACAGAATAATGAAACTGGGAACAGAGCACCTTCAATCTTTTGGGTTCACGCCAATCCTGGAACTGGCAAAACATATCTCGCCGCACATGTTGTTTCCCAGCTTTGTCAATTACAACTTGAATGTGCATACTACTATTTCCACGCTGGCAACAAATCTTCAAAATCCTTGGGCGAACTTTTGCGATCTATAGCATATCAAATGGCATCATCAAACGAATCTATTCGCAAAAGATTAACTTCTTTATATGAAGAGGGTTCGTGCTTTAATGCAGATGATAGCCGCACGATATGGACGAAAGTCTTTAAAAAAGGGGTTTTCCAAGTATGTTATTCCAAAGTAAAACCATAGAGAATACGACTAACTCCAAGATAGTCTCATGCGAACACGCCTCAATACTGGGTAATCGATGCAATTGATGAGTGCGATAAGTACCAGGAATTTTTCACGTTGATTAGGGGCGAGAAGCCGAGCTTTCCTCTCCGAATTTTTATCACAAGCCGAAAAGTTCCAGATTTGCAGAGGTTATGTTGCCATCTGGAAGGCTATGCCTTACTAAAATCCATCGAAATACCCTTCGAAGATAGCATGGCTGATATCGAGAGTTATATATGTGACCGTATTGAGAATCTGCCAATTGATGCGATTGCGGACAAGCATGATCTCTCCAGTCGAATTCTTCAAAGGTCCAATGCTTGCTTTCTATGGGTGCGTCTAGTGCTGGATAAACTTGAGCAGGTCTACTCAAACGAAGGTATCCTCCAGATACTTCAGAGTATTCCAGAAGGAATGGTACCCTATTACGAGAGGACTACGAAAGCAATGTCGGAGAACAAATTGGAGAAACATATTGCCCAAGCCATTCTTCTATGGACGGTGGCAAGTTACCGAGATCTGACAACCACAGAACTCTCACACGCACTTGAACTAGATATTAACACCACCCTTCCAAGTGCCAAGAGTGCTGTGGAAGGCCTCTGTGGTCAATTTATTTCTGTTGACCCTGGTTCCGGCCTAGTTAGCCTTGTCCATACTACAGCTCGAGAGTTCCTCTTGTCAGAGAATGCGGGAGATTTCAACATCTTTAAGCCGCTAGCGCACGAAAGAATTGCATTGGCATGCTTGCAAGTATTATGCAGCGCTGAGATGCAGCCGCCACGAAGCCGTCGACTATTGAGCGCAAATGTACGCCAAAAAGCACCGTCTCCTCTTCTCGACTACGCGATAACCCAGTTCTCCGAACATGTATATGGCGCATCTATCGAATCCGATAAACTTCTGCTTGCGATGGATAAGTTTTTCAAATTGAATGTCTTGTCCTGGATCGCAAGAGTTGCTCTGAAAGGCGACCTTCAGTGTTTAATCAGAGCTTCGAAGAATTTGAAGACTTATTTGGGTCGAAAAACGAAATATCGATCGCCGGTGAATAGCCAAATGAGAAATATTGACGGCTGGTCCATGGATCTGAGCCGGATCGTGACGAAGTTCGGCGCAGTTCTCTTACAAGACCCTTCGTCGATTTACTTTATTATCCCACCTCTGTGTCCTTCGAATTCTGCCATTTACCAGCAATTTGGGAAAAGACCCGATGGTTTGGCAATTTTAGGTTACAGGGAAAGCGAATGGGACGATTGCATTGCATCCGTCAGTTTTGGCGACGACAGTATCCCCTCTACTGTTTTTTGCGGGGAAAATGTAATTGCTGTAGGCATGGAATCTGGGGACATAAATCTTTACAACCACCGCGATTGTCAGCAAATAGGGCACATTCAGGATAAGAGGCACCCCATCGACCTTGTGCATCTTACTAGTACATACATAGCAGCATGCACGACACGGTCTGTGGTGGTCCGGGACTTAGAAGGAAACACGATATGGGAACAGCGCATAAGGTTCCGCTGCATTCTCCTCAGCTCTTCTAGCGACTTCCTTGTCGCCGTATCACAACATGGACATTTACTGAAGTGGAATCTTTTGAATGGAGAATTACTTGAAGATCAAACATTCTCATATCAAAGTCATGATAGCGACTCTAAGTTAGGGGAGTTTTACGGAAAAGCCCCTTTTCTAGCCTCGATTTCCCCTGATGCGGAATTGCTTGCCTTGACATACACGGGTGGCACAATCTGTCTCTGGGATATCCAGACCGGCGAACTAATCGGCTGGGCCGCGGATGAAGAGAACAAGCTTGCTGCATTCTTATTTTTCAATCCCAACCACAATCTGAACTTGCTCCTTGTCATATACACAAATCATGACCTGTCACTTTATGATACTTGGTCTGGGAGCTTAGCTAATAGCTGCAAGGCCTCCACTGACATGGGTATACTGTCCGCCTCATGTTCTCTGGATGGGAGAACATTCGCAACTATCGATAGCCGAGGCAATCTACAGATTTGGGATTTTGAGTCACTCTCCTTACTATACCATGTCCTATCACCAGCATCATCCTTCAGGATATTGAGTTTCACATCTGATGGATATAGTATTGTCGACGTAACGGACTCCGATATGTGCATCTGGTCTCCTGCTATACTTGTACGGAAGAACATTGAAGATGAATACTTTAATTGCGACGATGGTATTCAACCAGCTACCATCGAGGGGCAGTACGAATCACGGAGGACGTCTAAGATCACAGCTCTTTGTGCTCATCCTTCACTCCCTATCGTTTTTGCTGGGAAGTACACCGGTCAAGTTATCACTTTCAACACGCAGACTGGGAAGCAGATCTCAGTGCTTTATTCTCATCCAACGACGGCATTTGTTACAGAAATAGTAGCAAGCAGAGATAACTGTATTGCTTCAAGCGATGTAAATGGCAATTTACAGGTCTGGAGGCTAGCTGCAAGTCAGACGTCGGTCTTGGCATGCGAGTCGCTGTTTTTACGTACATCTCTACCCGCCCAGGTAACCCAGCTCTGTTTCAGTGCTGATGGTAGCTTTCTTCTGGTCGCAACAGCGCGTTCGGACCTCGTATATTCTATCAAGGATGGCTCTCATGTGGGGTCGTTGCCTTTCGACCCCGACAAAAGACATGCATGGAGATGGACCCAGGGGCTAAGCAACAATGGGGATGAGCAGTTTTGTCTCATCAACAACCACGTTCTCAAGCAATATAGCGCAAACGCCTTCCCATCGACCTCCGTCGAGATAGAAATTCATTTGAGGTATGATTTGGCAAATGGTGATGTGGAAACGGGGATCCGTGCAGCATTTATATATTCTGAGCCACACATCCTAGTTCTTGAGGTTCATCATAACTCAGGATACATTTCTTCGTCAACTGTCTTCATATTCAGTTTTCAAGAAATGACGAATACTACGAAAACCTTGATGCCTCTGAATGATTTGCTACCTCTTTGCTCCAGACACTTTGTTGGAATTAGTCAGCGAGAAAAGGCTTTTGTCTTTTTACATAGGGACTCGTGGTTATGTAGCATCGACCTCGAAAATATTATGACCAGGCAATTCTCTCGGCATTTCTTTGTTCCAAATGAGTATACCCCTTCACATTATAGAGTATTTCCAATTAAAAGTGCTGACGATAACCTTGTGTTTTGTCTTCACGGAGAACTAGCCATTATTAAGAATGGTCTCAAATTCCGGGAAATTCAGGTCATGGAATAGAAAATGTGGAATAGAACGCAATATTCGGGGAAAGGCAAAGAGTAGAAACTACTGGCATACCCCTCTGCTGCGGTAGCGGTTATATCTTTACGACGATTGGCGTCTCTTCCCACAATTCAACTCATGCAGGTACCTAACTAGGTAATAAGTACTGATCTAGGTTAACGAGGTCGGCGATCCTCCGTACTCTGATAAGACCTTTACACATCACTTCTTTCTACCTATTCACATGATTGTTTAGAAATATAATTTCGAAAATTGTTTTAATAGAGTCGACAATATGGGACCTATGATAATTGAATCTCAGAGTCCTGAGATCAGAGGCCAACAACCAGCAAATTTTGAGCTCGACGATGGTGAAAAGCCGACTTCGGCCATTGCACAGAGAGAAATTTCCAACGAATCCCCGCCCTACTCTGCTTTTTCTCCTGCTCAAAAGAAATGGATTATATTCATCGCGTCTCTAGCTGGATGGTTTTCTACAGCTAGTAGTTTTATTTATTTCCCCGCAATACCATTTCTGGCGAGAGATATCAAAGTATCCGTTGAAAATATCAATCTTACCGTAACTTCGTATCTAATAGCTTCTGGGATCTTCCCTGCTGTAACTGGAGATGCCGCTGATAGATATGGCCGCCGTCCTGTCTTTGTCGCAGGCCTTTGCATATATGCGGTGGTTAATATCGGATTGGCCATTCAACGGTCGTTTGCATGTCTTTTAGTCTTACGTATGGTACAGAGCGCCGCAATATCTGGTAGGTACCTACATAATTATGAGATCATGGACTGTTGCTCGCCTGCCACTAAACTGACCTATCGACCTAGGGACATTCTCTATAGTATATGGGATTATCGGTGACATAACTACACCAGCCAATAGAGGAGGATACACCGGATTTGTTTCCATATTGTAAGTGATGGTATTTGGACTTTCAAGTGTATCTTCTATTCTAACTACCCTCCTCAGTCTAAATACGCCTCCGAGTGTTGCCCCTCTAATTAGCGGCTTACTTCTCATTCGATGGAACTGGCCCTCCATCTTTTGGTTTTTGACGATTTCATCATCGACCGTGCTGATAACTATCCTCATCTTTCTGCCAGAAACATGTAGGAACATTGTTGGGAACGGAAGTTCCTGGCCTCCGGTAATTAACCTACCCTCTACCAAATTGTTGTGCGCGTCGAGTCAGCAGGAAGGAATCCAAAGGCCGGAGCAAAAGGTTCGGACCGGATTACCTAACCCCTTTTCCGTCCTTTCTCTGCTAAAGAACCGTTCAACTCTCGTCGCCGTTATATGCTATGGGATCTACTATACTATCTATTCCTGTTTACAGGCTTCGTTGTCTACGGTATTTGTTGAAACATACAACATCTCCGGTTTGGTGGCAGGGCTTTCATATTTACCGTTTGGAGTGGCGTGTGCTACCTCTGCCTTTGTCGCTGGTAACATACCTCCCTTCGCGTCGAAATCTAACTACGCTCAGTGACTAATCGATCGATGATAGGCAAGATCATAGATATGGATTATCGAAAAACTGCCAAAGCCCGGGGAATGCATGTTGATCAATTGAGAGGGGATGATGTGTCTAAGATTCCAATCGAGTACATACGACTGCGAACACACAAATATTACATAGCGTTTTGTGCACCCCTAGTAGCCGGGTATGGATGGAGTCTTCAATTAAAAACTGTAGGTTAGGTCTTGTTGAAGCTAGGTTAAAAAGTATTGACTGCGTGCTAATAATTACCTACAGCATATGGCTCTACCCCTAACGCTTCAATTTTTAATTGGCTTCACAATGCAGCCCCTTTTCACGGTGAGGAGTACTATTCTCTTTATAGCATGACTGTTGTAACTAATGAATGTCATTTTACGACACTGGCAGTCACTCAATATACTATTAGTTGATTTACACCCAGATCGGTCATCTTCCGCCCAAGCTGCAAACAATCTTGTTAGGTGCGAGTTTGCTGCCATAGGCTTAGCGGTACTGGAACCTATGCTGCGAGCACTGGGTCCAGGGTGGTGTTTTGTTATATTCGCTCTCATTCACAGTCTTACTCTTCCTGCACTCTGGATACTAGGAGAAAAGGGTCTAAAGTGGCGTTATTGAGAAGCTACCTAGTAGTCAAGTGGGATAGCGTTCTACCAACGCTTGTATCTAGAAAACGAAGTAAAACGTAAGTGGCGAGTACCTAATTCGATTAGAATGAGACTCGTCATACACTACCTACCTACGTTGGATACCAGGACGTCATCGGATGAATTTTCGTTGAATGGAATACATGCAAGCTAATGCGCATGAGTTCACACTCTGTAGCGGTTCTATAAATTCAGTTGAAACAAATCGAATGGGTGGCTTTTGTAAACGAATCAAGCTGAAATGAACATCATTCTAAGAAGTAAGCCTGATATTAATCAATCCTAAGCAACTTTCACCCAGCTAAAATAGACACCGCTGTTGTAAAAGCCTCAATAGATAGCAAACAGGTACCGGCATGTGACTCTCCCGACCTATTTACCAAAGTAACTTTTAAATAAATAGGTACCTAGGTAAGTATGGACGGTGAATTCTTGTGTTAAGATTTATCATTGCAACTACTAGCTGGCTACGCATCTAAGAATCTGCAAACCTAAGTGCCTAGATAACTACCTACCTATGTATAGTGTCATCTCTTTTGGAGAAGGGAGGGAGTGGTCTCCATTAGAATTTCGTGCCAGTCGGGGAAAATATGGAAGAGGGTCGGCTTGCAAAGATTGTCGCATTTCTAAAACGAAATGTAGCGGAAAGTTAGACAACAAAGACTGCGACAGATGTAAACGCCTTGGCAAGTCCTGTTTATATCCCAACGACCAGATTCGACGCCGGAATCATATCAAAAAGTCTCTTGATGGAGTCCATAAGAGAGAAAGCTCCCAAGAAGAAGTTTGTGAGCCGGAAAAAGTGGAAGAAAAACCATCAGGTTCATCTAGCCATTTGACAGATCCAACAAACTATGATGAAACGCAGTTTGCAGGTGACGATAATCTGGAGTTCGATTTCGAAAGCTGGCTACAACTACAATATAATCCCTTTGCCAACGAATCGCTTCTACTGAATATGGATATGGACATGGTGACCACTCCACGATTTGGGGACAATCAGTATTCTCCTCCGTTACAGTCTGAGGGGTCACAAGAGGATACGGAAGCGTGGCAAACAACTGCACTCTGTTATTCTAGTTTAGAAAACGCTGGATATCAGAAATATGATGTGGCAGGTTATGAATTGGCCATGCCGAAATCATTTGACGATCTTCAAGACTGGACACCTGACGTTTGGGGAACTGCTTTTCGATGAAAGTTAGTGGTCGGTTGAGAACCCCCGGCAATGCCCTTAATCTACCATATGCTGCACGAATTGGCTATTCCATTGTGGGTCATTTTGGATTGACTGGGTACCTAGGGAGGAGGCTACTTGCCTTCAAGTCAAGCGAGGCAGGAGAGAGTTATAGCATCTTTGACATCTCCGCAGGACGAACTCATGGATCAGGACGGATAGAAAGGAAAGATTTCAGAAGAAATAACATAATTTGGGATTTAAAATTGCAATGTTTGGACTTTGGTACTTAGTACTAGGTAGAGGATGAGAATGAATTATGTAAAGACACTGACTGACTACTAAAGCAAGATGAAGAGATGAGGTAAGCAGTACTTACGTAATCTCCTCTAGGACCTCGGAACTGCCCAGTGAGATGTTTCTTATGTAAGCAGAATTTCTAGATAACATTGAACAATAATCCGTAATATTCACACTAAACATGATTTTGAAAACCTTCTTCTATGAATTAAACCGTCATTACCAAGGCAGGTACGCCAAGATATATTTCTCGGGCAAATCCCGAGCCGGAAGGGTTCCGTCTCGCCGTCCCAATTGCCCAATTAGGCAATGTGCTGTGCTGTGAAATGAAAGTGCTGTACCTACCTACGTAGAGCTGCACCGCAGTTACATTAAGTGTTACCACCCCTTACTTTAAATAAAATACTCGTGTAGCCCCTTCATGTGCATCGTCTTTCTCTATAACACAAAGTCTCTTCCCTTTCCCGCGCTCCTATCCAAAACCCATAATCACCTCGCTATCATCATGTCTCCCACCTCAGAGCCCTGGAAACCCTCCAGCTACAGCCCATCCAAAACCGCCCTCCTCCTCCTAGACTACGAAAATGCGCACGTGAACATGATCCAAGATCAAGAGAGAAGAGAAAAAGTAATCCATTCAACGAAACAGCTCCTGACAGCAGCGCGAGAAAACAACGTCGCTATCGTGCACTGTCTAATGGATACGACTATCGACCCTCCTAAGACCAGCAAGGGCACGGAGAAATGGCAGTCGATGATTAAGCCCATGCTGACTGCTAACCCCGACATGGTTGCTGAGTACAGTGATTTCGCTATCACCACTGAAACTTCTAGTAATGGCCGCGAAAGTACTTCTCACAGGAACCCGGGTTACCTGTCCGCGCTGGTAGACGAGGGGCTTTTACTGCTGTTACGCGAGAAGCTGGGTGTGGCGCATCTGATCATGAGCGGCATAACGACGAGTGGCCCGGTCTTAGGCACGGCTACGCATGCCACGGACCTGGACTTCGTCGTTACTGTGGTGGGTGACGCGTGCTGGGATCCTGACGAGCAGGTGCATCGCGCGTTGCTTGATACGGTGATGCCGGTTTTGGCCTGGGTTTCGACTGTTGAGGAGGCAGTTGGGCATATGTCTGGTTAACTTACTGGTTCTATCTTTGTTGTGGACGGTAGGGGCCAAAAGCAATGATTTCATACTTCGGGGCTGCGTTAGCATTGCCTAGTGATCTATCTACTACCTATATTTTAGTGTTTAAGCGCCACAATACAGGGACCTCGGCCGCTAAAGAAATGCCCCAACGCTGATCCATCATCCATGGATCTTTCAGCTTACACAGTCTTAGCATATTCGCGGACGTGCGAAACCTTCACCCTCGATCTTCGTACGGTATACACAGCATTAGGCCCCTGCTAATATTTTCGTGTCTATTTTAGGTGATATGTAGGAGCTGATAATACGTAAGTTGTACCTACTAAAATGTGATTCCCGCATTAACCACGAAAATTCTGCCCTGGAAACTTACTAGAGAGGTCGCTAAGTTTTGGGGGGTTACACGCTCGAAGAGGGGGTGCCGTTTCGGTGAGCCCCAACAGCATCAATGAGAAAACGCTCTAAGCTACCAACAACTTCTGATGGCAAAATTTATAAGGTTGTACCTATTGTATTTAGTATGGAATTTATCGTCTTATACAGAGTGGGGCAGTTCATAGGTATATATACGCGACTGATTTGGTAGTTGCGGTTTGATGTAGTTAATCGCCAACTGCATGGTGATTGACGGCGTAGGCCAACTACACGGCCTTCAACGCCCAATACTGTCCTGTAATTCATAGTCTGAAATTGTGTGAATCCTTACTTCTGCTGTGAGATACGCGGCATTATTTGGATTGGACGCCATATGCAATTAAAGAGAGGCTAAAAGTCAAGTCCTAGAGGTTATGTTCGTCCACTCTGCTGGTCACATCCCCTCTTCGTGCGACGACCGACCTTAAGCATCGCTGAATATCGCTACCCGACTCATTATCCTGTCAAAATCACATCTCTCTGAAAGCACCGTATATCCGATAACCTGGCTATTAATTTCATTATCACAACATCATGGATTATCTCCTATCGAGACTCGACCCTTCTATGACCCCGGTGGCGCCGCCGCCTCCCGGTGTAGTAAGCAACTTCGTAGATCCACCATCGGTAGCGTGGGGACCGCGACTAGCTGTTTATCTGACATTCCCGCTTTTGATTCTCGTCGCTTGCCTTCGATTGTTCGCACGCCTAAAAAGCAGGCAGATTGGGGTAGATGATTGTGGGTTGACCCTTTCCAGGAATCCCGGCGATGATGTGCTAATTGCCAATAAGATGTTCTTATATTTGCAGTGGCAAGTTCTCTCCGAGTAGACATTGCTATCGGGGTCGCATTAGTCTAACAGGACCAGCTTTCTGCTATCGGATACAACAGTCTTATGTTAAGCATCTGTGAGTTCTATCCCCTGACTAAATTGGTGTAGTGCAAGTCTCATTGATCGCATGGAAGATGTGGACGACTCCAATGGGCGACATAGTTGGGACACGCCGCTAACCACATATGATGCCTCGTACTTCAAGGTGAGCTTACCAACTATCTTCCTGCTGTCAGGAAACATAAAAAGTCGACAAGTTGACGTATGATAGAAAAACTTTGCCTCCATCATTGTCTATAACGTCACTGCCACGTTGGCTAAGACCTCAATTTTGGCTCTGTATCTTCGGATTTTCCGTCCGTTTCAGGCAGCTGTTGTCATGATCTGGGTCGGAGCTGTGGTGACAATACTATTGTATACGGCGACTTCAATCGTAGCAATGGTCTCCGACATCCCACGCCCAGGTGATGGGGGATGGGGATCAGAAAAGACCAATCTAAGGTCGGCGAAACCTTCCGGGCAGCTACTTGCTGCAGCAGGTGTAGGGGGTACGGTGACGGATTTTTACGTGTTCTTACTCCCTATCTATTTCGTCTCAAAGATTTCTATGCGGGTTAACAGAAAGATTGGCGTTGGCTGCCTCTTTCTAGCTGGTCTCATGTGAGTAATGAATACATCGTCCAGCGACTATCGAAGGTAATTGCTAATTTCCAGACCATGCGCCTGTTCCACTGTCGGTACTGTCTTCCGGTTCCAGTTCCTCTCAGCCACGACCGGCATCGATGGCACATGGGTGGGGACTCAGATGCAAGCACTTGCGTACGGACAACCTGTTTCATCCTATAAGTTTGCAGTTGTCGCTAACAAACTAGGATACAGAATCACCGAAATCAATACTGGCATTTTCTGCGGCTGCATGCCTGTCGCGTTTTGCCTGTTCAAATCAACTTATCAATGGATTGAGTCTGGTCTGGTGTCTTTCAAAGACCTCTTTAACTCCCTTCGAAGTAGGTCGTCCATGAAAGCAGAATCTTCCAGTAATAAAAGCGATGCTGCTCCAAACCTCTCAGAAAAGATACCAAGAGGCATCGTGACTGGACTGCGATCATTCATGCAGAACGGTCTCCGGTCTAAGGCTGAGAAAACTGGAGCCGATGGTACTATCCCATCCTACGTAGATCTGCATTCCATCGATTATGAGACTTTCGGTCGAGTTTAGTGAAATGTATATGGACTAGTAGTCTCAGAATGCTGTGCACTAGGTAGTGTTGGAAGTTGTTAGCTAAAGCTGCGTCGCGATTTTGTGTGTGAATTTTTGGGGTCTGAAATAAAAAATAAATGCTTGGGCCATGATTTACAACTGTTGATTACCTAAGGTAGATGAGTCAGAAAAGTTACATAAGCCATAGCGGGGAATCATGTTATGTAAGCTAATGCTGACTCATAGCCGGCACTTGAAGCGGGGGCGGGGTCCAACACCTCAAACCAACAACCTACATACAAGTCCATTCCTAAGTACTTTTCGATGTCCAACAACGTTGTGTCATATTTGCATAGAAAGAATTATCATTCGATTCGATAAAAATAGCTCGATACCCCTTGCTTAGTTCAATCTGTATTACGTCCTAGTCCTGATTTTATATTCTCCTAGGTCCCATAAATTCCTACCTACCTCATAGTACTTACATTGACAGCTTAACGATTCGACGCTGTCAACCCAACCAGTCCACAAGCTCCGAAGAAGAAACCCGTCACGATACGAAAAACTGCCTTTCCACGATTTCCAGCTTTCCAGACGAGATAGCCCTCCACCAGGCCAGCGTAAGGGATGATAAGGAGAATGGAATCGACAGCCTCGAACTTCCCCTGAGAATAGAATATGGAGATAAGCGTTCCAAGCATGGTGGTACGTGCGCCGAATAGCATCATGGGGGGTACGGCACTGGGTGAGTTGGCCACTCGTGTTGAGAATCCGAGCTCAAGTGCGGACCATCTTGTGCTGATGAATGGGGTAAATCCGCCGAAAGTAAGCGTGATACCAGCGATTAACGCCGGGACGTCACGGAAAGATAGGTCCTTGAACATACTAGCCGTATAAATGCTAATACGGTATAGGCGAAGGATGAGTTACGTATTCTATCGCAATTCGAATCCTGTGAGTGTTGCAAGAGGTAGAGAGCTAGGACGGAGGTAGGTCTCTCGGGCAGGAACAGCCTTATGCGGAAATATAAAAGAATTCGGTGAGAAATAGAAAGCGGTCTAAGCACTTATCGAGGCCTTATTCATTCCGAGAGTTCATTCACATTCCTGAATGGAAGAGCTTACGAAAGTCCCAACTGCTTGCGCGTCTTTAGGACCAGATATGTAGTCCTGATGCGTAAGGGCGGATAATCGTGGGATCCTTGTCTCTTATGCATAGTTAGGTACTTACTCGCTTTCCCCGGGAATATTTCGTTAGGATGTTGGTTAGTACCTAACTAGTAAATGGCGCCCTGTTTCATGGTTCAGCTGGGCGCTGATCTAATCAACGCGATGGATCCTCAAGTCATACCTACCTAGTAGGTATAATGCTTCATTCTTCAAGATAAGTATCACCGAAGGATGTTCGTGTCGTGCAAAAAAGCGCTTCGCCGTACCCAATTGCTCATCATCAAACAGACAGAAAATCAACAGTTAGCATCGTTGGTTTATAAAAGTATGAGTATGGGTGTAAATGTATTGATATCAAGTTGTATATTAAGAGATGGTCACCGAAGTATTTCTAGAAAGATTCCCGTCGAATCGAAAACCTCTTCTAGGAATCAAGTCGTTCACGTTTCATATTTCAGACTTTAAGCGCGCTATACCTACCAGGTACCTACCTACTATACAACACCGAAAACCAACTTCAATAGTTTACCTCGCGCAATGCTCTCTGAACTCATAGATGTTATCCCTCAGGGGGTATCCCCTCTATCTAGCATTTTTATCATGTTCATTACTTGCTGGGTCGCTACCAAGTTATTTAGCAAAGAGTCAAGGTCCAAAGATCTCGGAAGATCTTCACCTCCTTTGGATTTATTGATGAACCCCCTTTCAACTATCAAGAAACGGTTCAAGGCTTGGTCATTTCTTCTAAGGGGTCCCTTGATCATTCAGGATGCTTACGATAGGGTATGTATATTAGGTAACGACCATATTCATAGTGTTACATTACTGAATCATGACTCTCAGGCCAAGGGAGCCCCGTTCACTGTTGACGCCCCTGATAACCGATACATCTTAGTGTCATCTTGGGATCAGATCCGTGAGATCGATGCTGCGGCAGATAGTGTACTCTCGCTCCAGGCCGCTGCAAGAGAGGTCCTACAACCGAAGCATACCATGGTCGGCTTTGAATGGCACGATAGGAAAGGTTTCGATGGCGCGCCCTTGCTTAGGACCATTCGCTATCTCCTGACTGAACATCTTCCCTATATCTTACCTGACATCCGGACTTCCATCTCCCATATGTTTGATCAACGCTATGAGTCACATCCGATCGTTAATAGTGAGTAGACTCTAATCCCCAGATCACCATCATTAAGTGCTAACTCATCCGTGAGACCAAAAACTATCGCCGATATATCCCATGGTGATTGGAGCTGTTGCTCGATCCAACGCATATGCCTTCTTTGGTCAGGAACTATGTAAGCTCAAGCATATGCAGAATAACTTTTAACGTACTTAAATATGGCTGACCCTTATCCTATCACAGCGAAAGATGAGAAGTTTATGGAGGCTGGTATGGTTTTTATTGAACAGACACTTCTGATCGCAGAAGTGGTACGACTTCTCCCTCACTCGATTTCGGGGTAAGTAGGGTAGATAAGTCCCCTAGCAATACTGAAGTCTATTTAGGCGCTAAGTTTAGCATTCAAGGTACATTGGTGACTTTCTGGCCAAGAGACTGAACTCCGGGAAGATTATCTATGACTCTTTAGAGCCTGTTGTATCCAAGAGATTCGAAGAGCGAGAGTTACGGAAAAGGGGTCACAATATTCCCGAACAGGTATGGGATTACATCTAGAAAGAAATCTTTCCAACACTAACACATATTATAGAAGGATTGTATCCAATGGATTATGGAAACCTCACCAAAGACAAGGCCGTGGACCGTGCAACGCGTGATACATGAACTTCTAGCCGTATGGTTTGGATCTGTTCATATCACATCAACGGTGAGGACTGCTTCCCCTTTCGCCCAACTTTCCTGAGTGGTCAAATTTGCTCATCACCTGTCCTTTAGACGACTTGTTTCGCACTCTTTGATCTTTGTCTACATCCTGAGTATGTTGAGCCCTTAAGAAAGGAGATTGAGAACACCACTTGGAAAGCATTTGAGGAATCCAGCGGCCAGCTCTTCCCGCTTATGGATAGCTTCATGAAAGAGTCTGCACGTCTTACTCCTGTTGAATCTGGTACGTCTTGAATCTCTAAGTGGAGTAGAACCTATTGAACTAGAGACTAAATAATGGAAATAGTTAGCACTCGCCGCAAGGCGACAAAGCCATTCCAGTTATCGGATGGGACTAAAGTGCAAGTTGGCCAATGGATCTGCTCCGCAGTTCGAGGCATGAACCTTGATCCGGGGAATTGGTCACAAGCTGACGAGTTTCACGGATTCCGGTTCGTGCCGCCCAATGTGCTAGAACGAAGTCTCTCGAATACACGATCCTCATCCAACCAGTTTCAAATCCCAGACCCAGAGAAATCCTCCGAGTTCGTAGATTCGTCGGGCTGGCAACTCTGGGGAACCGGCAAATCAGCTTGGTATGTTTTGTATCATCCAAGTCCAAAATCCGATGTCTAATAACATCCCCTCGAACAAAACTTGCTGACCCTTATCTTTAGTACGGGGAGATGGTATGCCTCAGCAATGATCAAGATAATACTTGGCACGTTCATTACAAAATGGGACATGGAGCTCGCGGATCCCAAAGCTGCGCGCCACTTCTGTTGGCGAACATTTATCTACCCGATCCCTAGTACGAAGTTCATCTTGACACCAAGAGTCCAGACTGCACAACAAAACCCGCCCTCTTCTACCAAAAGGAGCCCGGAAATCTCTCTTTTATCAGTAGATTTATCTGCCTAGCTGACTAGGTACCTAGCAAATATTTGTGTACACTACCTACCTAGGTAGGTAGGTAGGTATAGATCAGGTCGTAGCCTGCATACGTTAAGTATAACGCGGGTCTTCTTTTAATCCACCTTATTACAGTCCATTCTGTGGCGGCTACATGCTTGTTGGCGACCTTACAGTGTCCGTTGATTGATAATACCTAGTTTAACTAGGTACCTAGGCACACGTACATCTAGTACATGTAATATCAAATGTAAGATCCCAAATGCCGATAGCCTCCGTACTACTCGAGCTGCCTTTAGTACAACTGAGCTGAAACCAACCGCTCTGTGCATCTTCATTAGGATTTTCAAACATGAATGCTTTGCATGCATAGCAAGCTCGTGGAATGCCTAAAATCCTGGCTTCTCCCCCAATACTTCCTATTTGACGTGATATTTCAATGGCGAACTCGGGACGTTCTTCTTCTACGAGTGACTCTATCCCCCAACACGGGTCTGCGTGGCATCGATATATGCCCTGCATATAGCATTTCGCTAGCTGCGCTTTGAAAACGTCGGTGACGGGATTCTGGTATACGTAGAGAACCGCATTGCGAAATTGGGTGGCTATTTCCATTATGTCATTTTCGCGCTCCGCCTTGGACTTTTTCTTTGTGGATGATGCGTGTGACATTTTGTCGTATTTAACCTCAGTCTCGTCTAGGAACAAACATACCACCGTGTCGGACGAGGTTTTAATAGTTTTCTTGAACAGTTTTAATACATCCTCGCACATGCCGGGAATTAGGAAGTAATCTCCAAGTTGCCAAAGCTCGATCAACTCAACGAATTTGTTATCTTCAGCAACGCGGAGTCCTGTCACAGATATAAGTACTAGGGGCTTAACATATACGATAGAAAGGAAAGGAAGGGTAATCAGGGGTTTGGAAACCAACTTTTCTCATAGATATATGTTATCAGCTTATCAATGTGCTTAGGATCCCAAGGTTCTTCAATGTTGATATCGCCACCGGATTCCTAAGAAGAGTTAGAGAAGGACTCATATCATTATCGAAAAACTGGTACATGGTCTCCAAGTGACTTTAAGATACGAGAAGGCACCTAGGTAGGTAGGCAGGCACTTACAATAAAGTTCCCATTGAGGGCTTTCTCAAACCATGGGCTTTTTTCACATAAAACAAGCCTATGGAGTTTCCATACTTTTCCCTGGCACGTTAACTGAACATCGGCGTATTTGTCGTTTTCTATCAACCTGTTGGCCGCATTGTCAGCATGTGCAATATGGATAAAAATTAGATCTTACTAGACCATCAGTATGAAGATCATATTATTCCTTACTCAACGAATATCCGACGCTCCTTCTCATTTCGTTCCGGGGTATCCATGGCAGAAGTCTCGAGTTTCCTCTTAGCTGAGTCTTGGATTGATTGCATTCCCAGGTTATTTATGAAATTGCACGAGAATTGAGCACTATACGTGCTTTAAGTCTTTAGATCGCTGAGAAATACCTGGGTATTTACGAATATGTCTAATAGGGGAAATTTAACTCTTCTGGCTGTGTAGGTACAGGGTGAGCAGGTAGGTATATTTATATCTAGGTATATAGGGAGTAACTTACTAAAGATCTACCGATTCAATCATATTCTTTATGCAACTACTATCTCTATAGACTGCCTGCCTGAGGAAACTTCTGCACACACTGATAGCTAGGTTATATGTGTGTAGGTAGGCATCAAGGCGCATCGAAGGATCTGTTGGATTGAAGCATTCAATTATTGATGAAAGATGTATCTTGTTCTAATTCTATTATTACAAACAGAAACTCTTAGGAAAAGTTCTTCTTGTCTCAGAGAGGTCACGTGAGTAACCAGATTTTGACAATATCTCCAAAGCACAGACAGGATAGCTATTCAGCACAGACCGCCTGAAATACCTAATTCCACGTGACAGATACAAGGAGAGAAAAGTGTATCTGACAGGATCCATGGAATTCTTTGAGCTATCGCACTGTCTTGAAGCCTAAATTAGTAATGGAAACCCTCCCCATGGCTGTTTGGATATCAGGCGCATGGAAGCCTGTGCCTTGTATGTAAGGAGTAATATAGGTGTCTAGTATCCATGAATCTCTACTTCCTTATAGTAACTCGACATAATGAGTAATCCAATGGTACCTACCTAACTCACTATAAAATGTCTGGTATGTAGGAGGATTCGTATCTAGGAGTCCTATTAGGATCGGAACTCGACCCGTTTCCCTCGGAACCTTTAAGGTAGGTGTGTTAGTTGCTAGCCCGCACTCCTCTAGCAATAATAGGCCTAAACCCCCCGTACAGGAATGTCATTTTTTCTATGTTTTTTTAGTTCCGCCTTGTGACAAAAAGATAATTTTGAAGGTAACTTACGTTCATTTCAACAATTTTAAAAAGGGGTCGTTAAGGGGCAATAGTATATAATCACAGATTATGTAAGCTGGTAGGTACGAGGTGCTTACCTGATACTCCTAGATTACTTGAGGAAAACCAACGCTCTTCATTCAATAAAATATAGGTACCGTTCATAATGCAAAAGATGGTATGTGGCGAATGTGCAAACAAGTTTAATCATGTGTACGACTTTGATAGGAGTTTTGCGTAAGTTATGGTCGCCTAGGAGAGGAGATTGAAGTTGGCTGACTGAAGAAAGTCTTCCTCAATACCAACTTTACAATATCAAATGGTACCTAGGTATGTAGGAAGGTAACTATGAACTATCATGTCTACTTAGGACTTTTTCAACAGCCTTATCTACCTGGGAGCTGGACCATCTCTCACGAGGATTAGGATGGACCATCTCGGTTGCAAGCGAGACGACTTCATCAACGACTTTAGCGGGATGACCCTCACTTGCCAAACCTTTCTCGAGACCCGACGGCACGCGGCCAAGCTGCAGCCCTTTGAACATCTCGGCACGTTCCATCGCCGTGTTACAGCGGCATAGCATCTCGACAAACACGACACCCAGGGCGTATATGTCGACCTTTTCGTCGTCGGCGCCTTTGAATGGTGGTGGTCGGTAGTTCGTGGTACCGACAGGGCGTTTACTCGATGCTGACGTGGTATCATCATCTGCATAAGATGATAGGGGCAATTCACCGCGGGCTAATTGGGCGACGAGTCCGAAATCACCGATACGAGCATTGATCCACCGCGGTGACACATTATCTGTCTTTTTCTGGCATGGATTGCATGAGCGATCGCAGTATCCCCCTTGAGACTCTTCCTCGGTTAGGGACAGGAAGATATTGCCTGGTTTGATATCTCTGTGTAGGAAGCCTTTGGAGTGGATATATCGCAACCCTGAGTGTATAGAATGGAGTAGCCGAAGACTAGGGATTAGGTGAAAGCAGTGTCTTGGGCCATGGGACTCGTTGGATGAGATGGATATATACTGAGCCAACGTCATGGGATATAGCGACATCTGGATGTACAACGTGTGGCCAGTTGCATCAAACCTTTGATGAGTTCGAATGCTTTTTTCCAGATGGCTCTTACCGTCTGTGAATATGTCGCTAGTGCTTGACAGGGACGGACTCTCGGCGGCACTATGGCTAGAAGTGGATTGTTCAAACCATTGGCGCTGGTGACCTGATTCTTCATTGGGAAGAGAGAGAGTATCTTTCTCAAAGATTACACCCCCACTTATAGATGGCTCGGGCTCGGGTTCGGGTTCGAATTCATCATTGGTATCCTGAGAAAAGGGATGGTTACTCAGCAATAGCTGTTGGCGTTGGCTTGAACGGGGCCTTGCTCCAGAATCTGATGGCTCTGTCAGCGATCGATATAATCCTAGTGGTTAATTTCAAGCGCGCGTCTTAGTTTGGGGTGAACTTGGGGGGGATAAGGATTGTTTCTGATGCACCACACCTCTGATGGTCTAGGGGTGCATAGAATTGATTGCGAGGACATCGGTGTTATGCAACGCTGCGGCAAACATGGTTCCAACGAACGTATATCTAGGTGATGAACCTAGAGAGATAAAACGAGAGACAAAAGAGAAGGCCTTACCGTTTGAGTCCATAATGAAGGGAGAGGGAAATTGGTGAGGATCCTCAAGCCAGGTAGCGTGATACCGGACGATATTTGGATGATCTAGTGTGGCTAGAGCTTGAACTTCACGTAGAATATGCTGAAGCTCTTCAAGTCTTCCATCGCGAAATCTCTTCCCAAGCTTTGGGGATAACTGAATCTTCTTCACTGCGTACGTCTTCTGATCTAATGGATTGAAGCATCGATAAACTTTTCCGAAACCACCTTTTCCGAGAAGAGCAAGCTCGCGAAACGAGGACTGGTAGTGACTCTGCTGTGGCTCCAACTGTAGACCCAGTTCAGCCGGGTGTGGAACGAGTGTTAGCTGGGACGTTTGAGAGATAAAGCCGCGCATCGGTTCGGATATACTTGAAGTAAGGGTTTGGGAATTAGCCACTAGATTATCTACAGCTGATAAATATTGACGGCGAGTTCCTATACCACCATCGGAAGCAGCAAACTCTGCCATGATCCCGTTCGATGAAAGCTTGCGGCTTGCCTCTGTAAAAAGTTGACGGGCTAACGGCTGGATCTCCGGTGATTGTCTGGTGAAGTTCTTACCCGGATTAGCAGCATTGAGAACCTCGGCGGCACGAGTGCGAATGTAGTCCTCGAGTAGACTAGCAATCATCATGTTACGATGATCTTCAACACTGTCCTGGCCTGAGAAATCTCTGGAGTCGGATATGGATTTAGATCGTCCACTAGACGAGATGCTCTGAGTATCTCCATGATCTGTCCTAGCCCCAGCATCAGAGCGGGGCTGGCTCTTTTGGCTGGATACCGACTCTTCAGAATCCATACTTCTCAATAAAGTATTATGATACTATCTCAGAGAAAGTAGAATTTTACTTCAATTCCAGAGAAAGCTAGCTGTAGTGATTGTCACATATCGGAGTTGAATGACGATCTCAGAGGAGGGTGGTGCCTGATTGAAGAGATTGCGGCCGTCCGAAGACGATGAAAATGTGTCCAAAGTGAACATGAGCTTAGTTCAGAGAAAAACTAGGTATTAAGGATTACTTGTTTTTTGTCTAGGCAAAATTCAATCTTGGTGCCTATTTGGATTTGAGGATTAAAGATGTTAAGGTGACAATTCAATAACTTGAACTTTGTAACTTTTGATGAATGGCCAGATCACCTTGCACCTGCCAGGTGCCTGCTTTGTTACATAATCCAAAGACCTTTCATGACCCACTTATAGAGTATTTAGTAGCCACATTTATTGGCAGAATTCCGAACCTTGAGCTAAAGTGATTTAATAACCAAAGTGGCTGAGTAACCGGGTGGCTGGGTTCTTATTTTCTTCAAGGATCCCCATAAAGTGCAATTCTGGAACTGCATGAAGCAACGAAGTGGACCTAATTTTGCACTTCTGCAAATTGAGCCTCAGTGGATCTCAGAATGATATATGATAAGTGATGAAGTTTATAAAATGCATACGAAATGCAAAAGGCAATGCAAGGAATGCGCAGTTGCAGAGAATGCAGGACTGGTTTCGCTTTTCTACATGTAAGATGATGTAAGGAACATTTGCCTTCTGTCGGTTCCGTCGGTTTTGTCGGTTCTATCGAAATTCGGGATGCCAGATACGGAGATACACCACTTCCCCTCACTCTATGGAAAACACAACCTTGGAACACATCCATGTACCTAATATGCCCAATCTACCGGCAGAGAGGTAGGTATGACAACAACCTTGGAACTCTAGTCGTCGTAAGGTGCTGATATGATAATATATAGGTACTGTAGGTATCTACCTACCTACCTAGATAGGTAGCCGGTCAGGTAATCGGGGAAATGCAACAAAAAGCGCTCTAACCTCCAAAGTTCTTTCACTTTCTTTACCTATTCACTCCCACGCCGGATCCCACGCTCATGTTTCTTGTGCCGCCGCTTTCCATCGCTTTCAACATCTACCTGCCTCCGTTATGGTTAGGCGTAGCAGGTGGAGTAGAGTCGCCGCCTGATGTGCCGCCCCCACCACCACCGCTCCCGCTTGTGCCTCCACCGCCCGTTGACGACTCTGATGATTCTTCCTTTTTCTCCTTTTCGTCCTTTTTTACTTTTATCGGTTGTCCTGAATTCTGGAATATGTGTCAGGCATCTTCTCTCTTTGGTAGTATCATACGGCAGGCTTCGGGTTAAATTCATGCGCTAATCTGACATGCTCACCATCGTGCTCCAATCAGTTCGGTAATTAATCAAAGATCGTATTTCGGTCTCGGTGGCAAACTTCGCGATCGAAGATGCAGTGTAATAGCTCTGCGAGGGATGTAGGTGCTGGATGGCTTTCTCGGTGGCTTTTTGCTTTGGATGATAATGATCCTAAACCCAAACGGCCAAGAAGTATTGGGAGGACGAGGTTGTTATACACAAAGGCTCGTGGCTAGATATCAACCCAATACTAACCCGACACTGCAGCTACCTATGTATGAACTGATATTTTACAGGTGGTATCATGACAAGGGGTATGAGAGACGAATCATGTCGCGCTCCGGTTCGGCGAAAGTCGTTTAATTGAGGATGTGCCTAAGTATATCCTTTATTAAACAGAGCAGCGTCACACCCCCTTTCCCATATCCAGGTGACACCATTTACTCGGCCATTCGGGTCTCTTCTGAAGTGAAGTATGCCCACCATAAAATAATCCCAATCCAACCACCCTGCCCTTAACCAATTATCGCGATCCGTAGGCTGGTAGCTGTACATGTCTTTATTGTAGTGCTCCAAGTTCTGCATTATATCTTCTCTGCCATTGAATATGAGCTGTAAAGGTCCATTTGGCGTCCTTTCGCGTATAGTCAGAGTAATCCCTAGCCCTGTGTAGTGTCCAATATATTCTTGTACGGGACATTCAGCCACAGTGGCATCGCGGTTTTTTTTCCAATCGCTAATAAGAGTTAGGAAGTCATTGCGGCGCATCTCACATTCGTGTGAAACCATAGGTATGATGTCGATGCGTTTTTTTAGGTCGAATAGAGCTTGCATCATTACACTTGCTATGAAGTCGCTTGGATCTCCTAGGTTTAGGCCACTGCCGAGGACTACGATTGCGCTCATGGTTTCGGGAAGTAAGATGACTGACCCGGAGCCGCAGAATCCTATCCCGGTGATCTTATATAAAGTCCGTTTCGGCGACTCTCTACCCATTATATGAGAATTGATGTATTCTTGGTCTTTATTGCCGTTGTCAGCCAGACTCTGATTCCATGACCCCCAGTGAACCATTGATGATGGCATCACACACTTATACCACGATAAGTAGAAATGAGATAAGTTTTGCAAGTCATCATTATGAGGGCGCGTCCAATAAGACTTATTGAGGATAGAATTAATCTCTTTCAGTGGATTCGTGGTTATGCCAGACAGAGCTGGGAGGGGCCTCGAGATATCTCCCCACTGAGCGTCAAGTGTGGCGGCACACCAAGTGAGTAAGTCCTTGACGGAACTGCGTATTCCAACCATGGCAAGAACAGGGGTATTGAGTTCGTTCGTCCATTCATGGTCAGGTTGCTTGTACCATTCACCATTAGAGAGTCGAACATAAGAGTGAGCGATGTTGGCATCTGGAGATAGGCGAGACTTATAAACGACTGTGTCATTCATCCCGAGTGGCTTCAATATCTCTTCCGAGATGAAGTCGGCATAGCGTTTCCCACTAAGACGTTCAATGACGAGTGCAACAAGACCATGAGACACGTTGCTATACTCCCACGTTCTGTTATGGTAAAGGCCAAACCGTTCATTCCCGGTAGGCGTATCATTGAGAACGTTGATGAAGTCCTCTTGAGGGACCAAAACCTTACCTTCAGGGCCGAGGAGTGTGACGACTGGATTGGCTAGTCCGCCGGAATGGCGCAAGAAATCGTTGAATGTTGCTTTAGTTGCCACACGAACGTCGCCCTTTGGCTTAAATTCGGGAAGATAGCACCCAATTGGGTCGTTCCAACTGCATTTTCCCCGATCGACCAAAATTCCAACAGCTGCTGCAATGAAAGATTTCGATATCGAACAAAGGGTATAGAGTGTACTCGTGTCAGGTGCCTTTTCCTTAGGAATATCGCGATAACCGACGCTGCCGGTGAAAATGGTCTCTCCATGATGTAGAACTCCAAAACTGACGGATCCTACGCCACAACGCTCCCGGACCTCCGTGGCTACCCCCAATTGGTCTTGGAGGCGTTTCTGAAACGTTTAGAAAACTTCCACAATATCAATGGGTGGAATTGTGGTTCTTACAGTGGTGAATGGATCCATAGTAGAGTTAACATCTGGCGGCTATCTGGTATCACGGAGTTGTAAATGCGAGAAAGATGTAATGATTGAGTTCATTTCCTGATTGTTGAGTGAGCAGTGATGGTTACTACTCTAAGAGGTACATGTACTTGGCTTAATGTATCAGTACAACGCCGGAATTCCCAGGTGAGACATTTCCGGGATGTTCTACTAGGTAATCCAAACACGGGAATACCGGATCAGAAGCATATTACTGATAATTGGCCGTTAATCAACACAAATTTGTTTCTTGGATGATCTTAAGAGTTTCTCTTGATTAGCCCGTTGCCCGGTCAAATGAATGGTCGTCTTGTGACATGGCTCTTACTGTAACGTGATACAACATACTGTATTGGTCAACACCGATTGCCATGCAAGAAGGAGTTACGTAGACAGGTAAAACGGTAAAACAAAAAGCATTAGGCATATTCTGAAGACCAAGATGCATTTCAAAGAGGTAAATATACCTAACAGGAAAATTTTGATGAAGGGAGCCAAAGACGATAGAATGTCATTGGTTTACCAAACTAAATGCATGAGAATCCCACCATAGATTGATTGGTACGATTCTGACTGGGCATGCCTCACTTGGGATTGCAGGGTAGTAGTGCGGCTTTTGAGGCTTCGGTTCGGGCTATGCCTAAAAAGGATAATTCAGTGTTCATAACAATACCATATTGGGCAAGTAGGCATATGCATGTAGCTACCTAATTATGTAGCAGGCTTTAACGGGAAATTAAAATCGCTGAAGGCTGGGTAGGTACATAGCCTCTATTGAAGTCCTACAGCCGTGTTTTATCCAAAGGATACTTACTTTTAAAAGGGGTTCTTAAGACTGCTGTCACCTCAGATATAATCCATGCGATTAGGTATCCATCAATCCATTCTCTCTAGGCATCTCAACGCTTAATTAGTTGGTTCGGATGTCATCAACCTGCATGGTAGACGCTCAGGTACAGGGTATTTGGGATTCGGCGTGGGATGAATTCTTAAATTCGTTAAGTGAGGAAGACCGGGCAAATGTCGAGTCTACAGGTAGTGTAGATGACATGCTGCACCACGTGCAAGCCCTAAGAGTATCATATCACGCCTCTCGTTTAATCCGGACCTTGGATCGTCTCCAACCAATATTGCGATGGCTGCGGTCGTACAATGAGTGCATGAAAGTCTACATTGAAGGCTCACCACGACCACTCATATTACTCTGGGGCTCGATAACTCTGCTTATTGAAGTAGGACACTGCTTTAGCGCCCAGCCACCTTCATTCTGTTCTCGCCTTTGTCAAGCATCTTTTAACCAATGTGTGATGCTAATGATTCCCCACTGCTAGATCGTCACTCGGGAGCACCGTGCACTGGAGCAAGTAGTGGCTGCCCTGGAAGAAGTTTATCGACACGGACCGAGATTTCATTATTACACGATCCGGTTGGCTGGTGGCACATATGAACGACTCAAGGCCGCTCTTATTCAGTATCACACAGAACTCATTGGCCTCTGCCACGATAGCATAACATTCTTCCGAGCTGGCCCAAAGAGTGAGCAGGTCCTTTTTTTCTGGAAAAGAAAAACAAGTTATTGACTACCTACCTACCTATGATACATTCGCTCATTGATACCTACAGAGAACCTCTTACATTGTACATTTAAACCCTTCATAGATAAGATTGAGCCTCGAGTTAATCGCTTACGTGGGCTGACAACTTGGGTTGATCAAGAAGCTGCCGTAGCCTCAAGTGAGCGTTGGAACAGAAGATATGATGCACTCAATCAAGACATGCAAGGAATTCTCAGACTTTTAAATCCACAAAACATCCACCTATCATCAGCAATGTTGGTGACGGGTTCCTTCCAGAATCTGCCTCCAAGACATAGGCAGATATGCTACGGCAGAGATGCAGAATTGAGTCGTTTAGAACACCATCTTCGTGCGAATGAAGAGCGAGAGGCCCTTCAAACTGCTTTCCTCTGTGGAATGCGAGGTGTTGGAAAATCACACTTGGCATTAGAATTTGCTTATAATCATGTCAACGACTACATGGCTACGCTGTGGATTTCTGCGGAGAGTTCCCTAAAGCTACAAGAATCCATCAGCGTGATTTCTCATAATCTGGGCATTGCCGACGACTCGATACAGCATCCAGACCAACTTCGTGAGATACTCAAGAAATGGCTCTTCAATACCAATAAAAGGGGTATGTATAGTCCTTGAGTTACTAGTAAAATAACACTAGTCGGTCGCTAATTTACTCCAGATGGGGATAAAAACGGTTCCAAGTGGCTTGTAATCTTTGACAATGTTGAGGACACATCACTTCTTGAATTATACTGGCCTCTGGAGTCTAATGGCTCTGTTATAATTACAACTACGAATGAAGATGTTGCTCGATATTACCTGGGCGGTGACAGGATGATCGTGATGGAGCCGTTTTCCGTGGAAATAGGCATACACCTGCTTTTGAGAGTCACAAACACTGACGAATCAAACTTGGAAGAGAAAGCAGCGGCAGAACTAATAACAAATGCATTAGGACATCTTCCCTTGGCACTAGACTTGGTAGGTAACTATGTCAGGGACCTTGGCAAACCTCTCTCCTCTTTTTGGCGAGAACATCCTCATTTCGAAAGAGATTTTCTCTTCAACCCCGAACTTACGAAATGGTCCCCGACATACTTTGAGAAATCAATCAGCAGAATCTGGGCTCTCCATATTTATCCTAATACCCAAAATACTGGTGGGCATCTTGACGTCAAATCATACTGGTTGATCAACATGTTGGCATTTCTGGACAAAGATGGTGTCACCCTCGATTTGTTCCAAAATACAACTCGTGAAGCAATGTGAGACCAGGACTTCCCGTTCCATTCATAGCACCCAGCTTCACTGATATCATGAATGATTAGGTTGTTTGAAGGACCCGACCGCCCTGACGAGATTGAGAATCTTGAAGGCCTCGTTGAAAATCCTTTCAACCAAGTTCTCGTGTACGTCATTGCATTTATAATCATAACAATCTGTAGTAACATAAATGGCATATGAAACCTACCTAACTTTTAGTCTAGATTAAATGGTGCGATAATGAACCTTCGCAACAGGGCTTTAGTGAAGATCAACGACGACACGAACCATATTAGCTGTCACCGTCTAGTTCGCCACGCCGTATTAAAATCAATGAATAAGAATACAAAACTTGAGACATTCAATCAGGTTGTGTTTTTGCTCAATGCATCCTTCCCGACACAAGAAGATGGAAAGCCTCTCCACAGCAAATGGAAGTCTTGTGAAACTCTCGCAAACCAAGTCTCAACCCTTTTATACTCTTCTTCCCTTTATACAACCGAGATTGGCCATCCAATCCTCCTTTGCGAGGTTGCAGTTCGTTGTGCTTGGTAAAAGAAGACCGTCCCTCTAATATAATTGGGATAGTTATTGCTAATGGACTAATTGCAAGGTATTTTCTGGAATTGGGACGATACCACGCAGCCGGAAAGATGGCAGAACAGGCTATCAGTATTTGCAACCTCGCCCTACAAGAAAAATCACATCTCGGGTATAGTGTCTTTTTCATCCAAGATATGATTAGCCATCACTTCAATGTCTTAGCAACTATAGAAAGACAACGACCAGGCCCCGACTTTGGCATATCTCTATCTGAAAAAGTGCGCGATATCAGGGTAAGAAACAGGCGTCCTTCAAATCCCCAAGACGATATGTGGATTGCTGCCGCAGAGGGGAATCTTGCCGTATCTTTAATGGCTTCTGGACGTGCGACAGAGGCATACGAGATTTTGCTTCGACTCAGACAGAGAGATGATATGAAAGCCAACCTAGACGCCTACCTACGGAACAGCTGTCTTTGTCTGCTCATATTAGGGCGAGTTGATGAAGCGATGGCAGTAAACGACGAAGCATTAGATACCGCAACAGCAAAAAGAGGGGAATCCAGCGAACAAGTAGCCATGTAAGCATTTCATTCTCTCGGATTGAAAGACAGACTCTCACTTGCATTAGATGCTACTTTGATCTTGCCAACATCCATATTCGAAGAGGAAATACGTCTGCCGCGTTGAACGCCTTGCAGGAGTGTCTCAACCGGCGGAAAGCATCCATGCCGCTACACGAGGTCACCGCATTCACACTCCATAAAATAGGAGACGTTGTGGCCACGGAGAAAGACTACAGATCATCAATGCAAGTTAATTATCCCCATTAGGGCTTGATTTAGCAACGCTAATCGCTACCTATATATAGTCCATTCTATGAGCAAGCGCTCGCGATTTTGACCTGTTGCGAATGCCATCCCGGTGCAATTTGCCGCACAGCCTTTGCTCTAGCCTCGGCATGTCAATTGGAAGGTGATGAGGAGAAGTACACAAGATACATACAATTGGGCAAATTCACAGAGTCGGGGTTCTCAGAAGATGAAAAATCGGTGCTTGAAACTACTCCAGAGTACTATGATAGATTCGTTCAAGTTGGCTTACGATAGAACTCTCAGAAGGCTTACGTACGTGTATATAGTAGGTACCTATTATTACTAGCAAAACAAAGTTATTCGGTGTGACCAGGTACAGGAAGGGCATAGGTACCTAAGTACGGCTTCACGTTCTCTTCAACCCCTTTGGCATTGATTCCTCGCCCCTTTTCAGTGAACATGTTTCCCAGTCTTAACCCCCTTGATGATCCCTCCCCGTGCCATCGCAGATACTAGATCTTGCAACATGAAATCGCACTTCCGCGCAGCGGAGACACTCACAGACCACGGCATCGCCTGAGCCGTCAACGTAGCATCCGAGTTTGTATTTTCCGTTGCCATTTCGCCGAGCGTGATCACGAAGTCGGGATACCCCGCTACAGACGCAAGTCTACTCGGCGCGACCGGGCTCGTACTCGAACTCGTCAATCGTCGCAAGGTAGCTCGGGCTTCTTCGCATGCGCCACTGCTGCTGCTATTGACTGGCTTGTTTTCGTCGCAGAGGATAGTCGCGTTGAGCTGGGCGTTGGAAAGTAGAAGCTGCGAAGCTTTTTCGTACAGCTTCTTCATGTAAACGTTCGTTTGGTCCGTGGTAACGTCCGGCTTATAAGCCTTCGCTGGGGAAGAAAAAGTCAAGAATACAGCGTCGGAGCAACTTTTGTTGTCGGGACGGAGGAATTCCTTTTCGACCCATTCTCTGACGATTTGTACGGTTTCCAGACTCTGCCGGTGCATCTCAGGGGTAATCGATGTGTTTGCCTTAAGCCACCCTTCGCGGATATTAGGGACCATTGGCGGGAACTCGCCGGCGTGCGTAGCCATCCAGTCGTGTACATACTTGCGCCCGAAATCGTTCCATTGATCGTATGTTGTGAGGTTACCGTACGTCCAATTGATAGTGGTGCCGAGTTCCTTGCCACCGATTGTTGGAATAGAACTGCTCGTACTATTCCACAGGGTATCGATTGAAAGGGGGGTGACTTGAGCATCCATGAGCTTTGCCATCGCTTTCACGAAGTCCTGTACCTTGCCCCACCACGCAGCATCATCTCCTGTCGCTTCAGAATACCGTTCGACTGTCTCTGCGTGGATATATATCTTCTTAGGAAAGGAAGGGTACTCCTTTGCAAATCCCGAGTAAAGGACCTTATTCACGTCAGACCATATCTTGGGATCTCGAACCAGCACACCACTTGTATCCATCGCGGGCGAAAGTGGCAGCACCCCGAAGCTCAGGTCGACGGCCCCAGTTGAGGGACGGCTACCCATGACACCATTAACCATCGCTGGCCCTCGAATGCTACCACCTGTATCAGAGCCCATGCTCACATCCAGCCAGTCGTAACTCGCAACCGCCGCACCCGACCCACCCGAACTGTCACTTGGAGAACTATATCCGTCTCCTCTCGGGTTGAAGGGAAGAACATAATCCACGTGCTCAGGGACATCAATACCGGCGAAAGCAAACTCGGATAAGTGGTTTTTCCCCACTACCACGGCACCCGCATCAATCAACTTCTGGACCGGAAGCGCTGTGGCGTTCTTGGACTGGCTCATCTCGTATAGGGCGCGGTTACCACCGCTCGTCCGCAACCCGCGTAAATCGTATAAATCCTTGACAGCGAGACGAAGACCTGCTAAAGGCTGTTGGCGCGTCTTTGTGTAGTAGAGACGGGAAGGGATGCCAATGGTAAGAGCCCCAGCTGACATTGAGGCAGCTGCGAGGGGATGGTGGGTGTAGTTTTCATCTTGGTACGAGGACTGAGATTCTGATTAGATGTCTAGTCTTAATAATAAGGATATAGGGGGAAACACCTGAATAAATGCTTGATTGAAATCATTGACGAGTTTGTATGCCCGGTAAACATTCCCTGTGTGCGTTTCTAAGAAGTAAGGTCCGAGAGGGATATTGGAAATATCCGGTCGATTAGAAGCTCTGTCGAAAATATTGTTGATAGTGTAGTCGGGCGCAAGGAGGCTTTCAGAAGTTCCATGGAGCTGGTTTCCGTGGTGTTCAAAGAAGATTGCTGTATTTGAAGTAGGTAAGTATTGACAAAAATAACAGGTTTGAAGAGGCTTACCCTTGGTAAAGTTAGGGGTCCAGACATCGTCAGTAGCATTGTAGGACTCTAGTATGGCTCTTAAGTCTTGAGGATTGATTCTGCTGTTATTGAGTCGTACGACAGTCAAAGGAAGGAATTCATCAGAAAATTCATTCGGTTTAGGCATCCATGATTGGAAGGACCAAGACTTAGTCGGAGGTAGAAAGTACGAATTTGCACCGAGTTCAACCTGCTTTGAGACGGTTTGTGCACACCTCACCATAGACGAAAAGAATATTATAGAAGCGCTTGAAAGCTGAAAGAACCTCATATTGTCGGGAACGAATGACACAGCTTAGGCAAGTTAATACGAAAGAGCGGCGAAGCCTTGAAAGAGGACATTGGCTAACGAGCGGGTGGGGGACAGGAAAATATTTCTATGGTGTACTATCTTCGAATATTTATACTATTGACTATACTGCAATTAATATTTACACACAAAACGATCTACCTCAGAAGTAGCTTGGACAGGCAGGGCATGTAGGGCTGTATCCCAATAAGGCAGCCAAGAGCTGAGCTGAAAGATGAGGGAGGCTTCGTGGACTAATAATCCAGGGAGTGAATCGAGATACATAGCCGTGTGCATGTGGACGATGATAGCCCCATTGCCTAATGTGGTGTTATGAAGAGAGATTGTGTTATTGGTACGAAGATCTTCCTATATCTAATTTTAGTCCGTTTCCGCGTTAGAATGTCAATTTTCACACTTACAATTAGATTTTCGTCAGTTTATATGAGTAATAGGATAGGAGGTAGGCTTGCGATAGAATTCGTGTACATTCGCTAGCAGTAGGTTGGTAGTGTTTACCTTCGTTCGATTACCCCTATGTTTACACGGCCCCACTTTAACATCGGGATAGAAAATGTCCACTCCTATTAATTACTAGGTACCTTCAAATTCTAAGCTGGATAACAGAGTCTACCAAATTCCTATGCCATAGGTATGGAAGATCTAGTTTGACCTCGAAAGGCTTCTTCTGCGCATTAAGCCGAGTACTTTGGACATGATACCAACGGAAAATTCACAATATGCGTTGACAGAACTACTACAGCGATCGTCAATATTTTGAAAATTAACAACAGCCCTTATCCACCTAGGTACAATAACAGAGCTATCAACAATTAAACCTACAACCACAAAGTATCTTCCCCAAAATCCAAATCACTAAGAACCGAAGACATAAAACACCCCTCCGCCCTTACCCCGTTCAAAGCAAAGCAGCAAGCAACCCCAAAACCGCACCCCTCGCACCGCCCATCCCAACCACCAACCCCGCCGCCACACCCTCAGAAGTCGCAGCCGCAGCCGCAGCCCCCGTCGTCGTACTGCCACCCGCCGACCCCGTCTCCGTAGCAACTCCACTCCCACTCTGTCCCGTCTCAGCCGTAGCCGTAGCCGTACCCGTCTGCGTCACCCCCCCATCAAGCGGCGTAACAAGCCTAGTCCCACTCTTACTCAGACTCTCCCTCGCACTCTCAATCTGCTTGTCGTAATCCGGGCCATCGGTAACGATCGTGGCACAACTAATCGGCGTAGCGACCCAGGTCGTCGTCGTTGGCCCTTGACATACGGGCCAGCCCTTGCAGACGGAGAGATACGGCTGGTCGACGCTGCCGCCGACGCAGCAGCCCTGGGAGTTGGTGTGGACGAAGGTTACGCCGGGACAGTTGTTGTTGCTGTTGTTTATGATGATGTTTTTGTTGGCGCGGTTTTGGGGGGTGGTTGTTGCGATGGTTAGGGTTAGGAGGGTGAGGGTGGTGAGTGTGGTGGTGAGGGATGGCATTTTGAGGTAGGTTGAGAGGTAGGTTGAGGTGGAATTGGAAGGTAAGGTGGGTTTTGATGTTTAAGTAGATCGGACTTTCTTTCAATGTGAGTTGTGGTTGAGGGCTGCTGTTGAAAGTTCATGGTATGTTGGGCGACGAGGGAATGTATCGTTTTATATGTCTGTTGCCTTGATGGATAAATCGTGTGTAGTCTTAATTGGGGTGAATCCTGCGATGCAGCTGTAGAAGTGACCCTCTTCGACGTTCTATAGAGGCTGTCTTGGCGGAGCTGACATAGGGCTGTGTCATGCTACCCTAACTTAGTAGACCGCCTCATAGATACCAGTTTGGGAAATAGAGTGGGACCCGAGCTGATTTTTCGCCATAACGACAAGTCGTTGATATTATTGGAGGGACTGGACTATCTCACTTCCTAGTACCTAATTTTCTTTGCCCATTGCAGACCACCGGGCTTTCATTTGGATTTCATTTCATTTTAAGTCCTACTCCCTCGTCTCAACAGACTCTTAACCGAGATTCTCCATCACAGGGGCTCAGCAATTCGCATGCTCCGATGGTCCCGTCGGAAGCAAGTTTTGTTCTGGGGGTAAAGAGGGCCAAATATTCCCACTCGTGGCGTAACATCTTTGAAATATTTCCTCCCTAGTCCACATGATATCCGTGGCTGGGTTCCTTTCCTGGAGTAGATTCAATAAATCTACGATCCACTCTTCCGTTTCCCTGGACTTGGCACTGCCATAAGTCAAAAGGATAGCGGTTGGATAATAGTGCATGCCAAATGAGCCCACTTTCATAGCTTGCTCGTGGAACATCCATATTCTTCTGCTGTGTAAGTAGTTCTCCTCATCGAACTTATACAACGATCCGTTTAGTGCCGATATCATATTGTTCGCCACGATCTTAGCTAGCGCATATAGACAGCAAGCCCGGGGAATCTCGCTGTCTTCGGTGTCGTAAACTTCCTCGACGGGGGATGTTGGGGAACAAGCAGCTCTCTTGCCAATAACCGATTGATCCTCTAGAATAGTCCGTATAGGACCTTCGATAGTATCGAATACGACATGCATCGAGATTATCCTCGAGTGAATATGATCGTAACTCACTTGCCCCAGATGATACCTTCGCAAGTCTCTCATCACGTCTGGGAATACCGACATCTGGCTATACACCTTAAACAATAACTTGTCAGCGATAGAGACATCTCGGTTCTCGTTGAAGATTCGCTGCCATTTAGGAGAGCCCATAAAAAACCATTGGTTACGGGCATAATAGTGGGAAGACTGGAAGTGTTAGCTTTTGACCGAGAGGCAACTGTTTGAGTCTTACCAGTTCAGAAAGGCTTTCGAGAATCACGGAGAACACGAGCTTGTTATTAGCAGCCTCCGGTCCAAGCCGTTCCAGGAGGTACGCAGCCCCGGCCAGGTGAACCGACCAAGTCACAAGTAAATATGGCAATTCTACAGTCGTAGCAATGGTAGCCTATGTAAATTTTAGCAACAAGAGTTAAAAGACATAGAATCAAGAAGGTCCTCACTTCGACTCTCCACATTATCAATGTCGCCAATAAAGTTTCTATCCGACTCAGCTCGTTCTCATCTTGGAGAGAGAATCTCAGATTACGTAATGCAGAGCAGTACAGTCTGAGGTCAAGTTTCCTATCAGGTTTCGGGGACATCGATTGTCGCCTTCGTGCGTCGGCAAGACAGGATACAGCACTCGTCAGAGCTTGAGAGCCATCGAGCATGGCCGGAACATGTTGTAAAACGTGCGCGAAGCTGGAGAATCCGAACGTTTTCGCTTGGGATGTCAATAATGAAACAAGTTCACCACCTACTAAAGTTGGCTGACTTGACGGCACCGAAGGTGGTATAATTGGTTGTTTTCTTGGAGGCACTTGGGAGCTTGGACGTGATCTGAAGCGATTGATTACGACCGCCTGCGAGGAACCCTCCGCACTATTCTCCGCGACAAACTTCACCTTGTCCGGTGGTCCCGAGCATTGCTGCTTGGCCTTTTGACATTGCCCACATGCCGGCCACTGTCGATCACACTATTGAGAGTTAGCAAAAGCCGGCTTTCTATCGGAGGACTTACTTTTATCTTCCTCTGTCGACAAGATGAACAACGGGTACTCCAAGCCACCATGTGGAGCAAGTCTTAGCGATAGGAGCGATAATGAACGTGACGAGCGTGGCGTGTTTGCATACAACGTATTACGACGGCATTCGTCTTGACCTTTGTTTCAGCATTCTGCTACTGCGGCGCAACTCGTGTTTATGATTATCGACGAGATGAATCTTATATTCATGAAGAGATGACAATTGGAGGCGAAATTTTAGTGTCGTCATCCGAACCTATCCATCCCCTGCGTTCTAAATGGGGCTAGTTCTTGTCACTAAATCCTGAGCGTAACTAATGTTACTCTATCCGTAGCTGACCTCAGCCCCATAACACCGCCCTGTCTGTTACGGGAAACCCCGAATTGCTATACTGGTACGAAGTGGCTTGATAGGTGGTAGGTAGGTATCTGACTTAAGATTGATGTCATGTTTATGTCCTTGCTGATTCAATGGTTATAATCGTGCTTCTCGTTCGATCTGATGCATCCTTCAAGATATGGATGTGTTATGAGTGTGTGTTAGTGGAGTTAAATTCATGCGGGAATCTCCAATTTGTTCCGGAATAGATATCACCCCTGAGCACCGAGTATTCATTAAACGGGTTCTATAGCTGACATAATATCTCTTTTGAAATAACCCCGGCCTAATATCGAATTAAGGTGAATTAATCTGACTAATAGCTTCAATATAACGATAATTATGTCACAATTGAAGGGAATAAAAAGGAGATAAGCAAGAACAGGTGACAGGTGTGGGGAATTTGGGGAATTTGGAATCAACACATCACTATTGGGACACTTGGGACTTTTTATTATTATAAGCTCTTTCGGCTTCGTAATTCATTTATTTTTACTCATCCATTTGTGATGATCTACTCATCTCCATAGCAAAAAGCAACAGCATTCCCGCGCCTTCGTCAATCTTTCGTAATGCGAGGCTTCAATCTGATAATCGAACATGGCTAACTACTGAATCATGCCTCTGTTGCACGGATTCGATATTCTTTGCCAATTTTCTAGTTCGATATCTCGGCCACATGATTAGGCGCCCCCGTTACGAGGTCCTCGTGGTCCGTTGCTATTTGGGAAGAAACTTCTGCAATGACTAAGAGGGTTGGTATTCCAATTCTGGTCTAACCAACGCGCATCATCTCCACTCAACCAGAGGCGACGATTTTCCCACATGATGTGGTCCTTCTTCACTCGCATCAGTAAAGCATATCGGGGCGGCATTCCCCACGTCGAATATCCCTTGTCCATGCTGGAGAATACTGTCTTTCGTAGCACCTTAGTGAAAGTCGGTGCATCCGGGATTTTCTGGAGGCCCATTTCCTTAAGGAAGGCAGGGAAATCGTTAACGGTATGCAGGCGTCGAACTGTCTCGGACAATTCCTGTGCTGCACCGTGAGGAGGGGCGCCGTGGCGCTCGAAGAGTTCATCGCAAACCTGGGTTAGAGGCATGGTGTGGGAGGGTCGTGCCGTGCGTCGGAACAGTTCCGAGAACATCAGAAGTCGATAAGAAGTTCGGGAACCCTCGAAAGTCTTGTTGAGACGGTAAGCCGATACGGGGCCCGGTTCGATGCACGAGAGCTCTGGCATCTTGGCTCCCTTTCGGTCGAGAAGCCAAACCACATTTCTTGTGATAGCTTCAATGATAATCGCCTTTCTCAGCGCGTCGGTGACCTCGATGTCGGAGATCAACAAGGCAATAAGAAGATGTCCTAGATTGGGACAGTCTGCCTTGGACTGCTTTCCGCCCATGAAGTTTCGGAGAAGAGAGTTCGCATGCTCAACCAATGAAGGTTGTTCGATAGCGAGACAGACCAACAGGTGGAATAGATGGAAGTAAGAATCAATGGCCTTCTCCGAGGCGTGACGAAGATTACTCTTGTGAGAATTATTCTTATCGTTCAACTTGGGCTCGGTTTCCTGGTTGAGTCGAACCACCACGTCATTCATGAACGTGAAGAGCACTTGGGCTGCGCCAAAGGGGCCGACATTCTTCATCTGAAGCTTAATTGCATTCAGGACGTCGCCAACATCTCCTTTCACTCGTCGCCAATGCTGGTGGGAGATCGGCAAAGGAAGCCACTGTTGGAAGTTGAGGTTATTGACCGAGCGTCGAATATTCCAATGCTTGTAAGCATCTTGCGATAGGAGGTCGAATTCTGAGGCAATCTGACCACGGTAGGTCGATACACCTACGCCGAGCTTCACAGATCGGTAGTCTTTCTTGAGACAGAAGCATTGGAGCTCGCGCTGTCGCATGACGTCGAAGTCTGCGACGATCTTACTGATCCTCGGCCAAGCAGCAGCGAACTGCGTCAGCTGATCGAAGTCCAACTTCTCGATGACCATTAGGAGTAACTCGTTTGGCAGGCGATCGATCTCGCATGCCGTCACGACCTTCTGTTGAATCAATTGTGATTCAGAGCGAAGCTTTGGCGACGACGATGAAGACGATGCACTTTCGCCTGAGAGCGTTGGCCATTCATTCGGATCAGCATCAACGCGGGCATCGTAGCGATTTCCTGGCTTCGCTACGCGAACTACAGTTCCAGGACGTCGATAATCTGATCGCCCAAAATGACAATACCGACACTTGAAACTGTTTACAAGTCTCTTGTCGATATCTCTTAAATCAATGAAGTCAGTATCAATTAATAATCGAGGAAAAGCAAAGCAGACTTACTTATATACATCTAGACTCTTTTTGTAGCCAAAACCCTCTTGTTCGACATAGTCGCTGGAGAAGAAACTTAGAAGCTGAATTGCTATGCTCTTGAGCGTGTACGCGGGTGTGTACTCCTCAGTCGGACGTAGGATAGTTGCGCATATGTAGCCGCCGAACACATTTGGGTGACAGACCTCCGAGTCCATCTTAACCTGGGGTGGTTCCACGGGATAATTGCGCGAAAGATAAACGGTCATGTGAAGTGGTTTATAGTTCTCAGGCGTGAGTACTAGACAAGCTGCCGAAATGTCGAAGTCGTAGGTGTGTAGTTGGATGTTAGGGTACGGTTTCTCCACGAGTTCCTTAATGTCCTCGAGAAGTCGATGCTGTCGAAGGGGAGCGCCGGCATCATTCTGGGACGCGTTGCGCCACCCATTCTCTGAAAAAGTCATCTTGGCAACGCGACGATGCCGACTCAATCAAAGATGGGCTACAGTTGTAGAGTGAATTAATAATGAGATCAGCCCTTGGTACCACGGTATACTTTTATGAATGTGTTCGTAAAATTAGTTTGTGGCCAGTTAGGTTGACTGGAGTTGTATTTGTTGTAATGAAAGAGGGTAGGAGGGACAGTTTTAAATAGTATTGTCCACTTGAGATCTGGAAATGTCTCCTCAGGCATCAGCAGCTGATTTTAAGCCACTGCAGAATAAACTTTGAAAGAATCTCAGGCAACAACACATTTCGGTCCATAATCACAGAATATCTTCGGTAGTTGACTCACTTCGGCCATTAAAGTGGGAACTAATCCCCTATTCTTACTGTTTGTAGCACGCCGGAGCGGCATCGTGGCGGTGTAGTCTGCTAATCTGCGCATTAATGACAGCGCTCGCAGTGTCCATTGCCATTGACCCAGAGATGGCCAATGCTTCACATTCACACAATTATTGTACGGTTCTAGGACTCATCATATCAACTCACTCGAGACAACAATTCGCGCTCTTGCTTTAGGAATCGACTTGGTTTATTGAAAACTATTTCTCATTCTTATGCCTCAATTCACACATGAATCATCCTCTGTCACAGATGGGACCTGCCAGGCATTGTCGTCACTAGTATTAACCACCTGCTTAGAGGTTTCTCTTAACTTATCTTCATTCGAATCCGTCTTAAATCGGATTCTTTATGAAATTCAGGCATCTCATTTGATCTAAACATTGATCTAAACATGGCACTGCCCTTGTCTTGCTTGACTATGAAGCGTTTTAAACATATCTTATAAATGTCTGAAGACGTACAGGTACCTATACAGCCCACTATGCAATTCCTACAACATATTCTCGCTTCAAGTGTAATGGCTCATTATCGTCATCAAAATCTAGTTTGTCAGGCAACAAACTCGCGAATCATCGTATAACGATACCAGTTTCCTCTCATACTACGCCTAAATTATGATGCAACTGGATTCGTTGAGGTACGTAGCTTGCACCTGCATCGATGAAGATAAACAAACTGCTGCAAGCAGCAGAATCGTTCTTAGGAAGTTAGAAACAGATATCTTAATAAGTGGGAACTTAGCGCGACAATAACAAACACATAAATAAATTTGAACGATTTTGTTTAAAAAGAAGCACTAGCCAAAAAATAAAAAAATAAATCAAAGTAAGGAAAGAGCTCTAGTTATGTTATCCGGGAAAGAGTGAGTGCAATTCAAAAAGTTACGGAAGGAACAGGCCGGAATTGAACCAGCGACCTTCGGAACTGCAGTCCGCTGCTCTACCTCTGAGCTACTGTTCCCTTACATTGATATCTGCTGCTGACGGGTCATGCAAAACTTATTATTATTTTACCATATATTTGCAAAAAAACGGGTCTAGGTGTATATACATCACGTGAGTTGCCAAGAAACCGTTACTAATAATACGTATCCCCCACTCTACCCACTCCTTCAATTCTTCCCAACATCTCATTCAAAAAACAAAACATTCATATTCACATTTTCATATAGTAGACTTGAACACATGAGATATTCTTTGTTAAATTACTTTGTATTCTACTTTACATCTCAATTCAACATCCTAAGTTGTTTCAATTCAACCTTTTATTTCCATCACGAGTCACGAGGATCGCTCATCGCCATGTCCTTTTTGCCAAGCAAACTCAGCTCTCGTACTCGAAAACAAGTCTCTGGTATCTCCTAATCGGATAGAGCCCCGCCTTATTGATAACCTCCAACAGCACATGGAAGTTGTTGCTAAGTCCTGTGTTTGCGTTGTATGTTGACTCCGGCACGGTAATCAGAACCTTGGAACCGAGTGTTACGTTAGAGAAGCCAGCATCGTTGGCAACCAGTATACTGTCTGATCCCTTTGGAGGTGAGAGAGCCTCGATCGTAACGTTTGACGTGAGGGCAGAAGTTGAGAAAAATGTCGCTTCCGGGTATAAAAACCATTGGAACTCCAGATGGCTATTATCTGAAGGATAATCCGGGTCGTATGTGAGTCCTGCGTCAAACGTGTATGTCTCATTACCCTTCGTCTTGATAAAGACTGGGTCTGGGCCCTCCTGGCCGTTGATATTGAGCACGGGCGGATGTCCCACTTCCGAGAAATTCGACGTGAGAGTCCATCGTATCCGAGCCGCGAAGTCGTCTTGGTAAGCGCTACGCCAACGCCAGATAGTTGCCTGGTTCGTGCTGTAGCTATTCCCGTCGATTCCGATCACGCCAGTGTCCCGAGCATCAACGAAATGGTTCGTGTATACTCCATCTTCCCAATCGACTAGCGGCTCTGGACGACTGTAACGTCCTCCCCAAGTACCCCAGTCAATGCGATCTCTGTACCCAAGTCCGTTCTGGACTAACCATAGATAACTGGGAGTGTCGCCTTCCATCCCATAGATGACCTGCGGGTACATGGCTCCTAGAGGCCCAAGTCGAATATGAGCGTCTAGCCATGGGTTTAGGACGACGGTCGAGTTCACGCCGGGGGAGGTGACTAAGTTAATTCCTGGCCATGTTGCTACTTGATAATCGTTAAACGAATGGATGGACACGATATAGAATACGTCCGGATATCGAGCGCGAATCCAGGAGCCCGTATCATCTTGGTCAGATATCGTGTACAATCTGATTCGTGATCTTAACGTCGCAGCTTCGGAAGGAGATAGCGTTTTATCCATGTGAAGCAGCGTTTGGGCGAGTGTGTTGGTTCCACCCCAGCCCCCGACATACAGAGGCTCTTCTGATTCCTGCAAGGCGCTAATGATATGTTTGGCACCCTCACTCACGGGTTGATCTAGTGCCTTGTGTCCATAAATCTATAATCATGTCAGCATCTACATTGCCATCAGCAACGGTATAGACCGATGGATAATCAACTTACGGCAGGTCCCGAAGTAATAAGCGATATCAAGTCCTCGGGTTTCGGATACGGCGCATTTGGATTGACGTGTTGATTCAAGTTGTCGACGACTTCTCCGTACGCGTTAATGATCTTGCGGATCTCATCCGGGTGAGTGGCATTCTTCAGCCACCACGACGTAGTTGCGCAGATTCCCCGAGTGTCGAATTCATTCGAGTACAGAAGGTAGCGCACAAGGGACATCGAGTCATCCGGCTCGTTCAGGATGTCAGTCATGATGAAAATCCGTGGCTTGTAGCTAAAGGACTGGAGCTTGGTGAGGTCTGCCCCGTCTCCGGTGCTTGAATTGGCCCATCCTACATAGAGGCTCAGATGAGCCACTATTGTGAACAAGATGAAGTTTGAAAGCGCCATGTTTCAAAAGTCACATAGAAGGCACTTCTTGACATTCACTACCTATACACATTCCGAAGTACGAGTATTCTACATCTTTTAACGTGATTATATAGATACCTCGGTGATGATCAACTCGGCCCTTCTCTAGACACTAACCAAAGGCAACTCATATTCGCATGTCAACTCATTCTCTTACGAACACGAAATCTTGCGACTCTTGATGGGGCAAGTCGCCATCGTCATTTTAAACCTGGTTTGCTACCCCGCAAGAATATCGATCTCCACGTTAGCTGCCGGCAATGGGGTTAGTTAAAAAAGGGAGCCCCATCGACACCAGCTAGCTACCGGATGGGGTCGGATGGAATCTACCCAAATAGTGTATTTTCCGCCTAGAATCTCCAGCTTCTCCGCGTCTCTTCTCCGAATTAATCTGCCGTCCTTGGCCGACTATTCCGCAATTGTCTCATCGCCGCCCGAAATATACCCAGACGACCAATCAGCCATGCTATCCTGGTTCTTCCGCTTCGGGTTGTCGGGATATCATCATTCCATTAGAACTTATGACCTCTGTTAACTGCAATTTTGTCCTTATTTAGTTACTTCTGCCAACTTCATGCGAGCAAGTGTCTTTGATTCTTGCGACGCTTTTCCGATGTGGATATCAGAAAAGCACCTCACTTGTGAGGTAATGTGGGCTTGGCGACTGGCCACTTGCCGGTGATCGGTACTGAACCACCTCCTTGAAATACAAGATGTTGGTTAATGGGATAATGACGTTACCTAATCATAGACGTCGGAAACCGATGTCGGGAGGATGGCATATTGACTGCAATTTACATGCTAGCTCTGAAAGCCGAGGTCTACAAGGATGGTAGAACTAGCCAGTTGCTTCAAAGGGTCTTTCCCGTCGGCGAGGTGGACTCCTGCTCCTAAGTTAAGATATCGATGGGAGGTCAATTATCCTTCCGATTGGACCAGTGGATGTTCAATTGAACGCACTCCCCGTTATGAAGTCGATGTTTAGCTGAACGTTTCCCTTATTGGCGTTATCGATATTCGCACGGGTGCATGGTGCATTCATGGCCGGAGACGTTAATATACTCGCCTAGGTAAGCATCAATGGTGTGGATGTGATGAGCAACTTTCGCAATCAAGCGATACAAAATGTATGGATTCTTTCCATCTTGCATACAAACAACCTTGGAAGATATCTCTCACCGCCTAGAATGGAGGTAGTGCTATGCTCAATTCACCCCTTCTTCCTACTTCCCACCAACAGGCCTACACATAAGCCAGAAAGTAAAAGGACCAACCTTATCCTCCATTTCCTTCCATTTCTCATCCGGAGTGTCGGTTTTCGGTATATTGACGTTTTCCTCAACATAAGTGAAGTTATTTGCTTCGTACAGAGGTCTCCCATATGGGGTTGAGTCCAGGAAGAAGTCATATCCCAATTCATCCGCCTTCTTCATGCCCCAAGTCATGAACTGCTGGCCAACGCCTTTGCGCCGGTAGTCCGGGTGCGTGAATATGATGAATAGATCTTGCTCATTAGTATACATGCGACAGTAGAGTACTGGAGTTACTCACAAACATGTGGTTTCTGGGCTACCCGACTTCTAGGAGTTGCGTGGTTTTGAAGAGCCTTCTCGACGAACCGCCGCGAGCCGTCGTCGGGGAACCAAGTTACCGGTACAGCAGCGGGGTTCGCGAACGGATTTTCTTTGTGAATATTCCACAGGGCACCACCTGCAATCTTGCCGGTGTCCGTATCAACGACCTTCTGCCAATGACTCGAAGGATCATGAGTATGCCAGAGCTTCAGACGAGTAGCGGCTTCTTCGATGGCTTCCTCACGAGCCTTGTCCCCCGTTCCGTGAGTCGGGAAGAACACGTGGAAGAATTTCTGGGGTGGATCTTCGTACGACTCGAATAGACATCTAGCAATAGCTGGGAAATCGGTATCCGGGTCGAATTCCTGAAGTTCTAGAGGCATTTTGGCAATTGGGGCAATACGTCGGTGGCGGTCGGGGCTATGAGGGTCTAGAAATGTGTGCAGGGACCTGCATGGTTAAATATTTACTCAAGTGAATGTACTATTGTCTATTTTTATAAGAGTACCTTTTACTACCTACTTACGCTTTTTCGAACTAATCTATTCGCTTCCTTTAGTGTAGGTAATGACCCGGGTTTAGTAATGGAGGTTGGTGGCACGACAGAACGACAAGTTAGATTACGATTAATCGGGAATACCACCAACCCATCGCATCGGATTTGTAAGTTTTATGACAGTTCATCCTGCATCTAAATTTTACCACATCTTGATTACCCCGTGGGGAATTCACAATTACTAAACTGAACTCTTAGAAGTCGAATTAAGCTTCTAACCCCATGTTTAAAGGGAGGACACCCGAGAGAGATGTTAGCGGGTAAGAAGCGGGAATGACACGAGATGGTGGAGACGATGGCAGTTTCAGCTCACCACTTAGGGATGTTTCCCATAAGGTAAGTCATGAATATATTTATATCGATATATTGATCTAATGTAGGTCCTAGGCTTGGCCTTGGCCCGTTGCTGTAACCCTACAACAAATCAACATTGAAGTTTCGACAACCTCCATCACTTGTCTTTGGAGGAGATGGCGAGAAGGAAATGCGCCATGTCAGCAAGCTTAATATGTCTGTGTGAAAGGGCCGACTTCTTTGCACAGTGTGAATCAATAACATGATCGGCAAGCCGCCCATGTTCGAAGCTGACCCCAGCCTTGCATGGGTACTTGGCACTACTGTGTGTAAGTGTGATACGAAGTACGATCTCGTCAGTTCTACCTACCTACATATGTATTTACAACATTGCTTATTAACTGCAGAATCTACACCCTTCGCATGTATAGAATCAGTCTCGATTTCCGGGAAACCCGCCAAGTCAAACCCGGTCGTATTTAATTCCTTCCGCAACACACAATTCCTACCCTCTTCGTCGGCGTAGCGGCGTGGCGACGTAGCGATAGAGGTGCTAGAACGGTGCTACTCCTCGCTGACAAAGTTAGTCCGAAGACCAATCACAGGCGATCTTTTGTCGTCTGTTGGTTGGCGTGTACCAGAACCACAAGCTTATCGGATCTGCCCTGTCTGCCCTGTGTTTTGAACAATCCCCCCAATGATAAAATCTCCGATCTTAGCTAGAAACTGGACTAGCACACGCGATGGCCAAGACATCCCGTCCGATAAGTGATGGGTATGAAAATGCCCCATACCCGCTGGACTCTTGCAGGGTGCGTAAGCCAGCCACCCCCCATGATTTATAGGCCATTTCTTATCGAAACAGGGCCATCAGCTTGCTTTTTTCCTGTAGCTTTGGGTACGCTGCATGGGACCACTGGATGTGCAGATTGCTTTTCCCTTCCTATGCGGTAATTACGGCTTATGCCGCAGGTGTCTTCACCAACTTCTACAGCGTATGTACGCATGTACGCATGTACCCCAGCCTGGCGGCGATTCATTCAAACAATATTACAAGGGTCACGTCGCGTGTGATAGACCACGGAGCGATCAGACATAGTACGAAGAAAAGCGTACCAATATGGCCCCCGATGCGATAAATCCGTAATAGACGGGGGGGCGGACGTACCCTAGCAATACCTAACCTTGACGTTTTTTCGCATGTCCTTTATTATCTTACTGATGGTTCTGTGACGTTATTCCTAATCCTTCCTTTCCGCTCTGCGGGAGCGAGAGAAAGATGGTTCAAAGAACCGCAGATGTGAGCCAGACCGCCCAGATTATCATATGGTTTCTGTTTGTCGTAGCGGTCTTCAGCGTCGGCGCCGGCGTGGGAACGAAATATGCGCTACTCCGGAGGTTCGGTTGGGATGACAGGCTAATGCTCTTGGCTCTGGTTTGTATTTACGATCTTTGGAGTCTTAATTAAAACAGCGCTGAACTGTGTTAGGTCATGTCCCTTGCGCAATGCATCGCGATCTCTCTAGCGGCGTCCCAAGGTATCGGGAAGGATATGAGTACTTTGACCGACGATGCGATAAGCGGCTTTCTGAAGGTATTCCGAGTGTTCCATTTGCTTGGTTTGGGCCATGAACTAATAGCATCAAGGCCGGATATGCTAGCGTCCCCTTTCAGATTCTGACTTTCGCGGTTGTTAAATGGTCGATTACCATTTTCATCGAATATTTAACCCCAGATGACCTTCACCTGTATATGGTCTTGGGCATTCGAGTGACGATCAGCTTATGGACAATCTCTGGAATATTGAGCGGCCTTTTCCAATGCGCTTTGCCCACTCCATGGAATTTTCTCAATGGTGCTCGCTGTATAGATCGGGTATGTTCTCTCGTAACTATGACATACCAAAGACAATTCACTTACAAGAGAAGCGAGCTTGGTGGACTTACATAGGAGCACTCAACATCGCAACTGAAGTGGCAATCATTGTTCTGTACCTCCTTATTCTATGGGACCTCCACATATCCCATTCGAGGAAGGTCTTTGTGCTCTCTATCTTCTTATCCAGAGTCCTGTACGTCTTTCTCGGACCCGACATCTAAAAATTGAGCCTAACAGGTGCTAATATTTTCCTCCAGCGTCATCGCGGCTGTAATTGCGCAGCTTGTCATATTTCACGATTCGTATTCAGACCCTGATGTGACCGAGAGCTCGTGGCTCCCTATCATTTTGGATCAAGTGGTCATCTGTGTGAGTATACTAACGGCTTGTTTGCCCTTCATGAAGCCATTCATGGAAAGCCTGCAGTCGGGTATCGTTCGTGTGGAAACGGTGGTGGGCTCTCAGGAGGAACTATCTCATAACAGGGCTGGGTCAAGCGCATACTATTTGACAGACTTCAGCAATTCGGCTGCATGTTCTCACCCTTCGAATGGGTCTACTAATAGGTCTACCAATAGGTCGATACCATGATTAATGATTATTTATGATAAAGACATCTTGCCTAACTACGTGTTGATCATCTTCGAGTATAAGAGTGGGAGTGACAAGTCCGTATCGCCCAAGTAAGCTACCTACCTAGGTACTAGGTATTAATGAGGGGTGCTTTCAAGCTGCTTGCATCAAAATGTTTCACTATTTCAGAGCTCGTGAAGACTACCCACTTGATTGTATACATGAACTTACTGCCACTAAAATAATATCCGCTTGATATAATAGCCCGTAACGGAGTTAGTATACCATCCATCCTCTCGGTATCAACCGCTAGCATGCAGCACGCTACTAGCTATGGCGCCGGTAGTTCTAGCGGCCTACCGGCTCACCCGGTGCATCACCCGCCCAGCAGATTTAAGGATAGCGCGCTAAATCGTCAGCACATGTAATTCTGGTTCGTTATCTTTCTTTCCTGTCTTTCTTCATTTTTCTTGATTTTTTTCTTTGCTTTTTATCCATCATTCGAGCTCACGCCAGCCTCTTTTACAAGTCGCTTATACGCTCCCGCCAAGTCGGCGCTGAAATGCAGTGAGATGCAATGAAATGTCGTAAAACGTCGTAGTATTGTGTTTCGATAATACATAACCACATGGTCCCTAACGAGCTCGAGACGCGGGCATCAATGCAACGGAGACCATGCTGCTAGAGTAGTACGAATATGTCGCAGCCAGTGACCCAAAAGAGTTAGATGATACCATCATTCCCTAATAGAATGTCGATTGCAACCCTCCTTTAGCAACTCGGGGGGGGCGGGACATGCGGATTGCGACCAGTAATCTGCCATGGCGTCGGACGCCGTAATATTACATGCGTCGCATTCTCCCGCGTGGGATTTTTGCGTTGCGACGGTTCCCTTACACGTATGCATGCACCTACGAACATCCCCGCTAGGTATCCGGTGAAGACCCCAGCAACGTGCTAACGTACTGTGACCGTGCCCTGAATCCTTGGCTTTAGGTGGGCGACTAAGAATAGTAGAGGAAAATAATGAGACAAGTACTCTATCTGCTGCGATGGCTTGCATCTTTCCATTGGTCCTTCTTCCAATCACAACTTCCTCATTCCGATTACTTCGACGATATAGGTGAGCTTGGGATGTCGAACGAATAGCTCTCCGGCACATATGGACACTCAAAGCTAGGCGACGCGAAACTCCGCGATTCCCTTATCCGACGTTACTTATATCGCGTACCTATCCTTAAGACCGCTTTGGGAGTTATTGGCGATTATGGATCTCAGCTTGATATCGAAAGAGGTCGCGCAAACGAACACGCTAGTTCAACAGAGTACCGGGCCATCCACCTCCCACGATGATTTCGCGTTGGCACGGTTGGGAAAGAGGCCCGTCCTCAAGAGGAACTTCGGGTTCCTGGCAATTCTCGGGTTCAGCTGTACGGTTCTTATCACTTGGGAAGGGTCATTGATGTATGTCTTACCTCGCGATGGAGATAGGTGGTGATCTAGCTAACACGGGGACAGTGGGTTCATCTCAGGACTGCAAAAGTAATAGGTTTCCCGTGTGCCGTATTCCGATTTAATTTACTAAACGTAACAGTGGAGGTCCGTCCGGTATCATATACGGCTTTCTCGTTGTCTGGGTTGGCACGCTCTCCGTATTCGGAACGCTTTCAGAACTGGTCTCGATGGCACCAACCTCCGGAGGTCAGTATCATTGGGTCTCTATGCTAGCTCCTCCTTCATCGCGAAAGTTCTTCGGATACATCACGGGTTGGTTGGAAGTAACTGGTTGGCAATCGCTTGTAGCGTCGGGCGGATACGTGACCGGCACTATGATTCAGGGCATCATTCTCTTGACGTACCCGGGCTATGCGGATCATATGCAGAACTGGCACGGCACTCTCCTATTCTGGGGCATCGTATTACTCAGTTACGGTATCAATACTGCGGTCGGCTCTCTCCTCGCGAAGTTCGAGGGTATCTTCCTTGTCATCCACCTTCTCGGATTCTTCGCTGTGATACTCCCGTTAGCATTGTTGAGCCAACATTCGGATTCGGCGTCTGTATTTGACACGTTCTTGAATCCCGGAGGCTGGCAGACGCAAGGTCTATCTTTCTGCATTGGAGTTCTTGGAAACGTATTCGCGTTTCTTGGCGGGGATGCTGCAATTCACGTAAGGTCCACCCACCCCCTTCATATGTGATGTTTGACTCATGTTCTTGTAGATGTCAGAAGAAATCCGGAACGCCGCCGTCGTGATCCCGAGGTCACTCTTGACAGGTCTCTTGGTGAATGGGACACTTGGATTCGGCATGTTGATTGCGACTCTATACTGCATGGGAGATATCGATCAAGCGCTGGCCGAAAACCCCCACTATCCCTTTATGTCCATCTTTAAAGCCGCTACGGGTTCGACTGCCGGAGCAGCGGTAATGTCTGCGATAGTCGTCGTCATGGCCTTTAGTGCTACGACCGGGTCTCTTGCATCCACTTCGCGCGTTTACTTCGCCTTCGCTCGTGATCGCGGACTCCCTGGTTGGAGAACATTGAAAAAGGTCAGCCCTCGTACAAGCATCCCCATCTATTCCGTTATTACAACTGCTGTCATCGCGGTTATCCTCTCCCTCGTCAATATCGGAGACTCCACCGCGTTTAACGGCGTGATCTCGATTTCAACCGCCGGTTTATTCGGGTCCTACCTCATAGCAGCCTCACTGCTACTTTATAGGCGAGTCACTGGGGGTATCCGTATAGCGAACGACGACGATGTGCTGACGAACACGGTCGGTTCAAGTTTAACTTGGGGGCCATGGCGTCTTCACGGAATATTCGGGGTTGTGAATAATATTTTCAGCTGCATTTACCTTGTCTTCATCTTCTTTTTCAGCTTCTGGCCGCCAGCCTTAGAAGTAACGCCGCAGACCATGAACTACGCCGTGCTGGTGTTCGGGACCGTCATCATGTTTAGTATGCTTTATTATGCCGTATGGGCAAGGAAGGTATATTCTGGTCCCATAATCGAGTCTATCCCAAGCGCAGGGAGCCCAAGTCCACCTTTTTGAGATATTGAGATAGACAATGAACATTATAATCGCATAATTCAGAATGATGCTAATGTGATGGGCCTGGTTAGTACTTACCTACCTAATATTGCCGTCCTAGGCGTAAAAGGAAAGGTTGTATCTGAATCGATTTGGAGTTGGGGTTGGGGTTTATGGTCACGATAAGATTGGGATCGTCAGCTCCGAGGCGATGCGCGCTGCGTTCAGATTATCGTGATAACCCCTCCAGAGAATGGGGTTCCCCTTGCGAATATTCTTTTTCACCTTGAACGCCATGCGACAATGCTGATAAGAATTGTAGTTAGAGGAATTTGATACCGTAATATGTGCGATATCATAGTGACCAATGCCTCGCTCCCTTACATAAGCCTCCTATTCGCGTACAATATAGGTAGGTTAAAGTAATCCATCAGCACGGTAACCCTACATTTCATTCCCCGGAAAAGTTGCCATTTGGTAATTAGATTGCCCGATTTGGTGTGTTGCAATTGTCACCATTGATTATATCCAATATCCAATTGCTAACCTCAACAGCTTATTTTCACTAGTGCTGCTATTGCCATCGTGTCTCATTTTTACACCTTATGATGGCCGGGACTTCGACGACGGTCTCTTGGGTGCCGAGTGGTCAAATTCGGTATACCCAGATATCGTGTTTTCCACCAGTATGCATCGGGCGGTATAATTCATCCCGACTTCAGTTACATTGGAGCGTGAAACAAGGCCATTGTCCCGATGCAATGTTTCTTCCCGCGTATATAGATTGAGCCTGAATTGCTAGGTATCGTATACCTACATCTACACTCTTGGGGTCGACATGACAAGTGGATATAAGGGCTACCGCATCACCCTATCATTGATTTAATTACTAGGTAAGTGAACCTGATCTATAGCTCAATCATCCACCCATCATACAATCCTCTCTTCGAAGAGATACACCCTGTGTCCTTATCAAGATGCTTAAATCAATTCTCGCCGCGTCTCTAGTTGTGGCCGTTTCGGCTCATCAAAATCTCCATCAGTTCTGGGTCAACGGCGTTTCTCCTGGCTACGAGATTGGAATACGCCGTCCTCCTAGTAACAACCCAGTGGTAGGTGTCGCCTCCCATCGCGACATTTGAGAAGGTCTTCTAGAGGGATTCGCCACTTACTATATAACAGACCGATGTAAAGAGTAACGATATCGTGTGTAACGTCGGAGGCGACAAGGTGCCCTCAGGGGTGCAGACCGTCCCCGCGCGTGCGGGCGACAAGATTACAGTTGGTTGGGATCCATCGGGTCATCCTGGTCCTATCACCCATTTCTTGTACGGCCCTGTTGATGATGCTTCAAAAGCAACGGGGGTGGGAAGTGGATGGTCCAAGATTGATGAACGTGACTATGTAGATGGGCACTGGGCAAACGAGGTCGTGCAAAGTGCTGGTGGAAACTACACTTTTGCCTTGCCCAGTAAACTGAAGAGCGGTGATTATCTGGTAAGATCTCTCCACTTCACCCTCCATTTGAATGAGCGTCGCTTACAATCTTAGCTACGGTCTGAAATGTTGGCGCTACATGGAGCGCAGACAGTGGGAGGTGCCCAGTTTTATATAGGCTGCATGCAATTGAAGATTACTGGAAGTGGAGGGAAATGCTCGCCGACCATCTCCTTACCTGGGGCATATAACGCCGAGGACAAGAACATATATATACCCAATGTATATAACGGCTTCGATCCTACAACTTACACTGCGCCGGGAGGTTCTGTCGCATCTTGTAAGTAAGTAATAACCTTGGAAGTCGGTAGGTAGGTAGGTATCTAGGTAGTAGGTACCTACCTATCAACTGAACCACGATGTCACTCAACAATATCACTCATGTGTGCCCAGTAGGTACTTAGTAAGCAGTAAACTCATAGTATTAACATTGTACCGCTATTTGTACATAAACGCTTCAACTTATAAACAGTAAACATAACAGTGTCGTAAACGTAACGATTAGCATCAGATTATTCCATGTGGAAGCCAAACCCCCTCATTTCTCAGCCTCCTATAAACTACTCTGTCCGTTGTCGCTTTGAAGACTCCCCATCGTCATCATCATCATCATCATCATCATCATCTAATCCGTGCTTCACTGGTAACGCATTTTGCGTGTTTGCAGCGCCTACGGGAACCTGGACAGGATTCGTTCCATGCGTTAGTTGAGGTCCTTTCGCAATTACCTGAGCCAGCGGCCCTTTGCTAGGAGGTACCTGAGGGAGACCATATAAAATATCGGGACCCGCATTAGGTACTTTGACGGGTACTTTAACGAGTACGTTTCGAACCGTGTAGTGCTTCTTCTTATACTCCTCATCAGGTTCATTAGCACTCGTGCGGAGCAAAGCATCAGGGTTATGTTCCGACTTTGCGCTAGGCACCTCGATTGCCAAGCGAACATTGTGCCCGGACTTCTCGATCGTTTGATTTGCACAGGCAGCCATAAGCAACTGTCGGTACACATCAAAGTCGAGATCTTCCTCAAACTCGTCCCAGAGGAAGTCACTCGAAGTTGACCCTTTTCGATAAAGCAAAACTCTTAATCGACGGATAAACTCCCGAGACATCGCGTACGAAACCAGCCCTGTCGCCCATTTCTCCTCAATATCGGTCTTGAGGAAGCTCTCAGTTCTCTCATAGAATAGTAATTCAATGCAGCCCTCAAGAAGAATTCGTGGAAGTCGGTCTTCAAGAATTTCCAATCGACAATCCCTGCCTTTCAAAACAGGGTCGATTACGACAAAGTTAGAGACTATTCGGTCAAGATATACGTCGTCGATTGACGTTGGAATGTCAACTCTGCGTGTCTCGATCTGCAAAATAACAGTCACCCAGACTCCATCCATGCGAATGGGCCAAATAGTATAAGGGCGATTTCGCATAGGGCCGAACATAGGGTGCATCTGGACACCCTGAAAGTTGTCTGGGACCGATTTCCGGATTGCATCGAGTGCTTTCTCGAATGGGTCCTCATCTACAGAAAAGAGGTCGCATTCAAGATCATCGTCGATTTGCGGCGTAGAAAGGGTTTTCTGATCGGCCAGATGACGGTGTTCCCAGAACAGTGCCGGCCTAAGACTTTTCGAAGATATAGGCCTGTCTCTTGAAATCTGCATCTGATACATACCCCCCGCGTCCTCCTTAATTCTAGCCACCATGTCGTTCGTCTCTTTGCTCAGCGTTGCCCCCCATCCATATTTCAGGAAATTGTTGCGGACAATCCGCGCGGCACATGTAGGTTGTGCGGAAGGCATTTTCGATAAACTATGATTGAAATATATTGATGTAATGATAAGATGTAATGTTGAGACGATACCTGATCGATCTGTATTTTGCGGGTTAATGTTCTGATTCCTTTCCTGACTCTGATCTCTCCTCCCAGGCCACTTTATACTTGATGTTATCGAAACAATCCCTTAGTTCACTTCGACCTATTGTTAGATTACTCCTTGATTGTATCGCAGTCGAAGCTTTGATCGCAAACTCGATAGCGATGATCAGGTTAGGTTGAAAGGGATGGCTTGCGGTTACAGCCATCCCAAGTGAATGGTAGTGTTTCATGGTGGTGATTGAAGTTTGGAGCTTAAGAAGAATCAATGAAAGCATCCGTTTACTGGAGTGTAACCTTTGAATTCTTTGTGGGAGGGTAACGAGACGACGGATGCAGAAACAAAGGCAGCTATCACCATCAATTGGTATTAAATGACATTGTTGCTCTAGTAGCAGGTCAATGCTTAAAGAAGGAATACAATCAATTCTTTGGTACATGAATTTTCACAATGCTATTATTCCAGAGTGGGAAAAAGAAGTAATTGTAACCTAGCACATTGTCAAACGAGCATAAAGGATCGCGAGAAGGTACCGACATGTGACAAGCATGAAGTTGAGGTAGACATGAGAATTTCACCCTTCAATAATTCGAACTGCATTTTCCAATGGGATTCAATTATACGATTTCAATGAACCGTTGGCCTTAGATGTTTTCTTTCTAAGGAGGTAGGTAAATTGCGGAATAATTATGGCAAACCAAAACAGATTTCTCTTGTTTTGATAGCCTTGGTTTTGGCCAAGACAACCCTCTGTCAAATTATAATATACCTACCCAGGTTATTATGGTTCTCTTATTTTAAACCCTTCGAAATTCGTTTCTGTCAATCGGGGAGCGACGATGTAGTTGGTGATGCTGGATCCATGCTGACTCAGCCAAGACAAGACCAAGTACATCTCCCTTGGTTGCCTAGGTGCCTACCTCTGCCTAGGTAGATTTTAAACACATATCCTAGGTAAACTTGTCCTTATCCTGGATCTTCTGGTTTATCATCCCTATAAAAGCCCATGGTGAGTAGTAGGCTATCCATGGCATTGGTCTAATTTAGCCAAAATTGCCAGTAGGTTACGGTGTCCAATACATTGCAGACATCAACGTCATTTGGACACTTTTACAGATCCCACCTAAAGATACCTCCTAATATTAAGCTAATTCAGTCACCCGTCCTAGCAAATGCAGAGCCTCTATTTTTCAGTGTATACTGAACCGCCTAACTACCTCTTTGTTATATCTACCTAGACAGCGCCATTCATTGTGGATTTTCCGTGTATGTGTATGTACGGTATTTACCAGCCATGGAGTTATTTCCCAACTTTCCTTCTTTTATCTCCTGGGCAGGAATTCTGGCCATTCTCAATCTGCCTTTCGCCATCGCACAGCTACTAGATCCTAGTATCTGTTCCTCAGATAGCCACAAGTCCCTTTCGGGAATACATCACGGGTTACCCATATGTCCACTCCCCATAGACGAAGATTCGGTCGCGGATACAGGTTCATGGGTGCCATGGAAGCGTCGGCCGTACTGCTTAGAACCTTTCATGCAAGACGATGACGTGACTGGACCCCAGTTTTGTCTCTACACATTCGAATCCTTCCGTGGAGACCAGGGCCTGAGTGTTATCACCACACCTGTACTTGCGGCGACTATGGTTGATGCACTTGATGACTCAGCTGTGCCTCTAAATCTCAGGAATCATCCTTCGAACTCACTTGCTGCGGAGGGAAAAAGAAACCTGGCGTTTACGATAGAAGACGTTCCAGGGAAAGGAAAGGGACTTGTTGCAAAGCGTCCGATTAAGAAATGGGACATCGTACTCGTGGATCACCCGGCCCTGATTGCACATATGGATATTTTTGACGTATTAGGCTCTGAGATTCGGGAGGAGATTCTAGAGCAAGCTTTAAAACAGCTACCAGAGGAGCAGCGCGAAGAAGTCATGGCGTTGGAACGTAGCATGGGAGGCGAACCGATTGAAGATATCCTGAAGACGAACATCTTCGGGGTTGAGCTAGGATTCGAAATTCCGCATCTTGGACTATTTCCGATTGCATCAGTAAGTTGCCGATCATTATCGCGTGATTCCACTAAGGGATGGAGCTGATGAAGATAGAGGATCAACCATGATTGCAGACCCAAGTAAGCAAACACACATCCCCCCCAACAAAGAATCAGAACCGAGAAAACTCATAAATATCTAGCGTCTTCTGGCGGTATTCAGTGCGAACTCTAGCCGTCGAAGTAATCGCATTACGAGACATCGAACCAGGAGACGAGATAACCCAAAGTTGTACGTAACCCATCATGCCCTCGACCCCGCCCCCTTTTCCCCGCCTCCTTTTTTCCCACCCCTTGTCCCACCACAGAGCACCCAACCCTAACACCCACCACCAGACGTCCCCCTCGGTCTCTCCTACCAAGACCGCACCGACGACCTCAAAAACTGGGGGTTCACCTGCACCTGCGCCCTCTGCGCAGCCAGCGCACACTCGCGCACGACCTCAGATAAACATCGGCAGCAACTACAACACATCTACTACACGCTCAACGAGGGCGCAAGCGGGCGTTCCAACATCACCTCCGGCGCAATCAGTTCGCTCGCGGGGGAGATGGAATCGCTGGTGCGCGACGAAGGGCTCGAGGCGCAGTTACTTGTGTATTACGGCGTGGTGGCGAGAGCGTATATGCGTGTGGGTGAGTTGGACGCCGCGAGGCGGTATGTGGAGATGAGCGAGGAGTTGTGGATGCGGTATGCGGGTCAGGAAGAGGATTATCTGGCGGGGATGCAGCAGTTGAGGTATGAGTTGGGGGAGAGGGAGAGGATGGCGGTTACGGATAGGAAGGTTGGGGAGGCGTAGGTAGATTGATTGGCTTTGGTTTTTGTTCTAACTAGAGGTGAATAATGCAAGGTTTTGGTGAGATGAGAGATGTGGCGCTTTTTTTCAACTCTTAACACGATCCGATTCCATGTCGCAGATAAAAAAAAAAATCTCGGAAATCCGAATGAGAATGGGCATTCTCACAAAGCCCCGAAATGTTGAAGTAGTTGGGCAAATTTTCTTCTTTTTTTATAGCGTGAGCTGATTAATATCGTCTATTTTATGAGTATCCCCTATATATCCCGTGTCGTTACAAGCCCGCAAATTAGGTCTCGGCTTTCCAGAGCTCCATAGAATGAGAATAAGTACCATCGTTGATATAAGTTTCAACTCCGTTCGCCTCTATATTTCGTATCCTCCATGCCTGGTATTCGTCCATCCGCATTAGCGAGGCATCAACCATGTTCTATAGTCCGACCAGAATGTTAACCGCGAGTCATCACACCAGATGACTAAATCCCAAGGAACCGCATGCATATATGATGAAAAAGAATTTCGTCGTCAGTTAATCGTGTGCCATCTCAAAACTTCCCACCGAAAAGATTTCAAATTGTACTCGGTCTTGATGCACGCCATACCTCTGCAGGTGATTCGACGCCTGTATCATGAACTTCTCGGGGCCGCATACGTAATATTCCGACATCCTATTGCTGAGGTACAAGTCTTCGGCAGTTAGGGAGAGGAAGTCGTTGTCGAAGGTCGATGTGTATGAGAGGACATCACTGTCCGACAACCTTGACTTGAAGAATTTAGTCCGCATGTTAGGATGTTTTTTCGCGATTTTCTCCACGTGCGCCTGGAAAGGCGCGTCGTGTCGCGAAGCCTGGATCCACGATAGAGGCCTAGTGATTCGTTTCTCCACCACCGTGTTTAGGATGGACATAAGTGGGGCGACGCAGACCCCGGCAGAAATTAGTACAAGTGGCATTGAGGTATCTAGATTAGGGTTGAGGTGAAAAGCACCGGACGGATGTGTTAATTCCAAGGTATCGCCTTCGTGGAATTCGTCGATGAGAGAATTTGACACAATGCCGGGTCTGCAAGGCTGCACGCTGCCGATACTGCTATCCGAAGCACTGCTCGCGGCTGACGACACAGTCATATCATCTCGGGGTGAAAGATAATCCCAATTCGTCCCCTGGTCTCGCTTGACGGTGATTCGGTAGTGATCGGGGCTAGGTGCATCGCTCAACGAATACTGTCTCAGTTGTGCATACTTCATCCCCGGCACCGTGATCCTCAAAGTGATGTACTGGCCAGGCAAGAAGATAGGTAAGGCCTTTCCGTCAACGGGCTTTAGCGTAAATGAGACGATGCTTCCCCCTATCGTCTCACTCTTCTTATCGTAGATCATGAATTTTCGCCAAGCCTTCCACGCTTCGAACTCTCGGTAAATATGTGCCTCTCGACCTGTCAACATTTTTGCCATAACCCAGTACGCCTTCGTCCAAGCCAGCTTGACATCGGGAGTCATCGAGGGGCCAAGCACGGCAGAGAACGCGCGAAGCAAGTACTTCCCAACAATTTCATATTGTTCGGGTTGGATGTTCAGTGAGGCATGCTTTTGTGCTACCCGCTCCAACTTCGGCGTTAGCTCGCTGATGTTGACGATGTTAGAGGCGAAGGCTAATATGAGTGACGTCAATGCCCGCGGCTGCTTTCCAGTGTGCATGTTTACATTGTTAAAATAGTTGTGCAGGTCGGGGTGGTCGCGTAACATCGTCTTGTAAAAGACGGTCGAGATGTGTTCTCCATGTTGGCGGAGAGCTGGGAGCGTATCCTTGACCAACTTCGTCTCTTGGGAGTTGAGCATGGCGTCTGATTATCGTCCTAAAAGACCATATGATGACCAGCGAAATAGGGTATGAATGAGCTAAAGCATAGAAGACAATGGTATTGTAAATCAGACAAGCTGCAGTGCCCCGGAACGTCGTATTGAGAAAAATGACATGCAGGATGAGATGGTCAAGAAGGACAAGATATGTCTTAGTTATTGACCCAATTTTACAGGGTATAGGTTTCGATTCAATATCATAAAACTTTTCAGGTTTCGAAACATGATGGAATCATGGATGGCGAACACAGTACGCCCAAAGATTTTAATATTTTACTTACCGCCTCGCACCGGTGATGCAGCATGGCATCTTGTTCCGCTTTGCGGAGTCATTTGCCAGGCTCAGGCTGAAATGTTAAAGGAAAAAAAAACAATCTAGCGCAAGGAATAGCATGACGATATGTTGCCGGGTATAACCGGTGCTACTAAAGACTTTCTAAAAGGCAGTCCGTCGTTTTCGACCGGTTGAAATCACACGAGCGTTTTTATCCTCGTGAGGCGAAAATGGCATGATGTGACAACATTTCCGTGCGTAGCTGGGAAGATCTGGCCAGATCCTCTCATCGAACGATAATTAGGGTTTTCTAGAACTGAGAGCTGGGCGAAGAAATTCCCCGACGTGGCCGAGCTCGCGTGCGCTGACACGCATTACGACGTAATTCCAGGCCCCCGGTAGTTGGGGTAAAATCTAAGACAGACCGCTAAAAGTTGTGGAGATCGTCACCAAGATATTGGGAATTATCTCTCCAGATTTCACTCGTGTTTGCTTTGTTCATCCTCGAAGTTGGAAACGCACCCCGGAGTTAATAAACAATCATATCTGTAAGGAGACTTCCCAATATAGGAATGCCTGCCAGGTGGTTAACACATTATTGTAGGGCTGCGACCCGTAAAAGATCGACAATGCTACCACGCATTTCGGCTCGTTCGGCGGAGCTATCGTCTAGCTTCCGCTGCCATCTTATTCTGGCAGTTCGATCATGACTTTTTCGATAACAGGGTCCCAGGGATACGGGGTCTTGGTCCCTTAGGGTTCCATTATGATTTCCTCATGATCCAAGATCAGATTATGTGAAATTACGTCTATTTGACCTCAGATCGCCCACCTCCGGTTCCGAAATCCGGGTTCGATTAGTTCATTGCGTTACTAGTGGGATGCACGATGTCTTAGAATCGATCTAAGTCCCTACTAGAGGTAGGTATGTATTTTCCATTTTACGAATTTCAATCTCCGGGGGGAGTTATCAAGTCTCCGACATGCTCCTACTATGCGCACAGATATGTGTGTCTCGAATCGTCCCAACGGCACAGCCCTTTCTGTCCTTCCGGTAATTAATTCGCCAACGGACTGGGGAATATTATCTAGAAAATGACAAGTCATCAAACTATCCACATAACAAAACTTGATTTTTTTTCTTTTATTTTTCCTCGACTCATATCATAACAGCCACAATAAATTCTATCTCGGCGAGACCGATCCGATCAAACTAGAAAACGAACAAAGAAGTCGGCACAGCACCTATTAACCATATCACCTCAAAAACAGGCACGCAGACACGAATAATCGCAGTCATAGATTGTACCTAAGTATACATCATAGAATGAAGTAGGTAATATATACAAGAAGAGGTAGGTAGGTACTAAATGTACAAGGTTTTCAAGTAAAAAATATGTGCAGATAATGTAAATGATGTTGTACAACATCATGCAAGCAACCATATCATCTCAGCAGAGAAGAAGAAAGAGAAAAAGACATAAAAAACTCCGAGTCCCGTCACTCCGTCCCTGCATAAACCCATAACCCAGTCCCGTTTTCCTTTTGCCCCCCTTTATTTTCCAATCCACCATTTGCCAAGAGGCGTCCAGTTGCCATTCGCATCGAGCATCTGCGCGGCGGGGCTCACGAAACTATTGACGACCTGAGTCGACACGCCGAAGAAGCCATACTCGGCGATCCAGCTCTGACCATCGAACCAGCTCGACATCTGCTTGGTGAATGTGACGACTTGGTTCCCGTCGCGGTTGATACTCGCGATCTCGCCGACGATGATGGGCAGCTTGTACTGGTTATGTTTGTCGGTGAAGTACGTCTTCGCGTACTGGACTTCCTGGGTGCTGGCGCTGTTCTGCAGCGTGTAGAAGTGCAGGTTGAGGTAGTCCGGCTTTTCGTTGGCGGCTAGCATGCCCATGAACGACTGCAGCCACGTCGCGCCGTTGGGGGCGCTCGAGATGCCGGGTGCGACGAGCTTCGCGCCGTATTTCTGTCGCAGAGGGAGCATGCTTGATCGCCATTTCGCTACCGCGTCCGCGGCGCTGATGCCGTTTAGTTCAGGCTCGTTGTAGAAGTGCACGATACTGTTCTTCTGCGACGATATCGTCGAGATGAGGTTGTTCCACTCGGTGCCGCTGAGTTGTTGTGGTGTGCGCACCATTGGACGGAACGGTAGCTTGGTGGTCAACTCTGCAGGTCGCTTCGTGTCCCAGTTCGTTATCGAGTGGATGACGGTCGATGAGGCTAGCAAGTTCGCTGAGTTCTTAAGCGCCGGTTTGCTGTTCATCTGGGGTGCTAAGCTTGTCTCCCAGAGAATGATGCGCTTTCCAGTCGTGGCTGCGGCACCGCGCTGAGACAGCGCTTCGGGAGTTTCCACCGGTGCTGCATTAGCCGGGCTTGCGAGGAGGACGCAAGCTGCAAGGCAAGCTATGTGCCTGATACTTAGAAGTTGAACCATCGTGATTGTGGGATGTTGCGCAAGACTGTTGATGAGATATGTCGCTTCTACCTACGAACGAGATCGATGTTTGTTAGGAATTGTTCATAATGCATCACGAAAGGGTAACTGGCGATTTATATCATCGTCCTCCAGGATTTGACGATTACACCCTAATTTAGGCTTACGTTCAGGAACAGGACTTACATACCACTTTGGAACAGGTACTCAAGTACGTGGGAGTTGTCCTGCAGTCCACCAACACCAGCTCGTTGGTAGCACCAGGCCAGCTTAGAATATATTGGCCAATGTGCGGCCAATAATTGACGGCTGAGCCCCCAGGGACTCGATGCGGTCTTGTGGTTTGAGGTGCTTGGATCTAGATTGGGATGCTAAAAATACCCGTTTCGGTGCCTGTCATACCTCAATCCGGGGATGGTCAGCCCCGATTCTGACGATCCGGTCAGCGTTCCGAATTTCGCGCAATAATATGCAGCTCAACGCGACGAAACAGGCACGGAATAGAATGCAACCCTTTCTAAAGGCAAGAATTGGCGAAAATAAAGAGTACTTGGTAGGTGAAAACTCTTCTAGCACCAACATTTCGATAATTACTTTTTATTCTGCCCTTTAAGCTTATTGTTAGGGTTGTGTTTGCTCCCTAGGTTGTGTCGTCCAATCCCCAGCAGGATTTATAGAGGATCGTTCTTAATTATTTAGTGCGGCACGGTGTTTCGAGATAACGACCAGTTATATTAGGGTCTTGGGGCTGAAGTCTAGGACCTCGTCCCTTGTTCAATGAAATCAAGTCTGCTAACATATAAGTAGGTAGGCAGCAAATCGTAGGATCTCATCGATGCTTGCGACGGCTGCACGCTCTTGAAGCTACGTACCTAAGTTTATTCGTTCCGCATCGAATTACAAGATTTGATGTTTCTCACATCTATGTAGACTAATGATGGCATGATGTAATCCACGAAATAACTTCCAGAATATGACATAACTTTCAATGATTCTAACATCATTCTATAGACTGTGCATGCATGAGATCTTAGAATACACTCCTCATGCAAGGGGGAAATAGACAGGTGCAGCTTATTTCGACGTGAGCAATTTTTTGAAGCAATCAAGACTTGCTTTTATCAAGGTAGATACTGTTATGTCCATCATTCCAGTTGGTAAGTGTCTGAACAGGGTTTTTTCAATAGGTAGGTAGGTAAATTCTTGTTAGCCTGACCTATAGATGCAACCAGATACCTAGTACCTTCAGTTGTTGTAGACCTCTATCCGAATTCACCAGAGACATACCAACCCTCAATAGACGATCGCAGGTCAGCCAAAAGAGGGTCATCACAAGATTACCAGATGTTTTATGTCTTGACGGCTAGTATTACCTATACAATCCAATGTTATGACCTAAGAAACTATGGCATATGGATTGCCCTAGGTGGCAGTGAGTGACTACCCCTTTCACCTGCCCACCAACCAACAAATTTATTGAAGCACCCATCATCATACTTTTAGTCAAATATTCAAGGGGGGGGATGAGTAAAAAGGTAGCTAACCACCATAGACAAGGCCATTAAATTACTGGATGAAAAAACCGTAGATCAATATCCTGGAGTATATTCGTTCTGAGTGGAATGAATGTGACTTCCGAAGTAGAAAATAGGGGGGTTCTCTACGTAGCAGCTACCTAATGTCCAGAAGCACCTAATAACATAGGTAGATCACTATAAAATGTCAATTTAACAGGTTATCAAAGTTTCTAAGATCATAAACTCATATAATGAGATCAAATGTCGTTCTAGGTACCTACGTTACACTAAACCTCCAATTTTACATCTCACTTACCAGGCACACATAATAGTTAAAGGGCGGAGATAAGATCTGATTTGCATTTGGCATTAGATATTAGATAGTCTAGCCATCAGTTCCAAGTAAAAAACAATATAATGCACTTGGCGTCCCTGATAATGTGACCCTCCCTGGAATAGTGGATGGTGTAACATGCGGAATTGCAACCGCAAGTAGGATTGCAAAGAGATTATATGACATAAGCAATATTGTATTAGGTAAATATATTGAATGTCTAGAATTAATCAAGCTCGTCATTTAGGTACTGTACTAGAATGGTCATTATGTAAATATATGAGATAATCAATGGCAGTTTTGTAGACTGGAGATTTGAATCAAGGAGATATTTACTTGGTACTTGCCCCCTATCATGCAAATGACAACGTAACATAATTGTATAAATTATTCACAACTACGCACCAATCAAAAAAGAAACGTAATTAAAAATATTCGAAAGATCAAATCTAAGATTCACCCAATGGGGCCGGAGAATGGGCATTGTGACGATCTGAGTCACGGGTCCTAAGTCGGCGAAAGCTTATATATGAACATAAGAACAATTTGTACATCGCTTAGTAACAAGAACCTACAAAAGCTTCATGGCGCAGTGGAAGCGCGCCGGGCTCATAACCCGGAGGACCTCCGATCGAAACGGAGTGAAGCTAATTGTCTTGATTCTTTTGACCTTCCTTTTTATCGTGAAAAATTTCTCTTCTTTTTGCTCCGGTGGTAGGCTAATCCCCACTGTGGTGGAGTGCACCATTTTCGCTCTCACACGATCTTTTTTTTTTCCCTCGTCTGATCTAATTTAGTTTCTTTTTTTCTCAATCTCAATTGATTTCATTGAAGTTGGTCAGTGTTAGATTTTAGTATATATCATCTTATGTCAGTCAATGGTATCAAGAATCCTGGTGTAACCTTCAACAGCGTCATTGTCCCCGATATTCACTCCTAGAATCGAGTTACCGGGATTGCCCGATTAGGAAACACAGACATCTAGCTTGAACTCTCCGTTCTAAAGTATGTGATCTAATTGGCCATCCTCCTTCTTGGGACGGACCTATGGTTTCCATTAGGCGAACCTTGAGTTGAGCCGCAGCTAAAATATGTTGCATGTGACTCTCATGTAGGACTTGCACGAACTTCAATACTATATCGATAATCACGTAGAGGATGACACTTGACCAGAATACTGTCACTTTTCTTCGGATAGTCTGGCTAAATACTTACTACTTGTGTCCCCGGCAGCCATCTACCGGATTGGTACCGGAGTTGGGACCGACGTTTCGTCTGATCTCGAAAACTTGGTTCGAATCATCAGTAGCTACCCCAAGACCACGGACCACAACCACATCATAAGCAACCGCAGTAGGTAGGTAGGTAAGATACAATCATCTCATTGTATTTGCGCGTAACGGTACCTCAAACATTTCATCTCACAGCCTAGCTGTCTGTCTGTCTGTCTGTCGTCCACTATCATTACATTATGCAATCCAGCCGAGCCCCTGGCCCGGGCATAACCATAACCGTTCGGTCCAGTGCAACCCAATACATTACAATACAAGCTCCAGAGCTTTTTAAGCGCCTAATCAATCAATCAATCAATCGCCGTGCTCACATTACCACTTCCGCCATAACTGCCATCACCGCCATCGTCATCGTCATCATGAGTTCGTGCTAAATTGTCCCAAGTCCTCCCAGCTCATGGGGAATTGACTGGAAGACAGAGGATGGGCCGGCTCCTCTTCTACCTCGACTAGGGTGCTCGCGAAGCTCCGCCAGTCCTCCGACGATAGGTCGAGCGGCGGTAGGAGCCCCTCATCCGTGTTGAAGATGGGGAAGTCCATTTGCATCGGCGAAGTCGGCGAGGGCGCTAGCGGGGCTGGAGGGAGCGCCTTATCCGTCGTGATAGGCGCTGGCACGTACCTCTGCTGCGGAGCCGGCTGCATGGAGAAACTTTGGTACGCGTTCATCATCGACTGCTGTTGGCTGGGCACGGACTGCATAGCCAAGTTCAGATTCGATACTTGGGTGGGAACGCCATTGTGGGGATAGTCGCCAGACGGCGTTCGTCTGCTGTGCCGGCTTACCCCGGGTAACGCAGATGTGGATGCGGATCGTCGCGGACCAGAGGGGTTTCTTGGTATGACAGACATGTGTTTGGAGGGGTTGGTCGGAGACGTCGAACCTAAGGATGTCTGGGGCGAGCCTTGATTACCGGACCCTGACCTCGGTCGGAATACGACGTGAACGCAGGTATACGCCATCTCGACAATGTTCTCGGCGGACTCTTTAGATCCATCGAAGAACTCTAGCAGATCTTGCAGCTGTCCGGGGTTCTCGTTTTCTACGAATCCCTGAGCTCGTCCAGTCGATTCGGGACTCCAGCTGAACATGGGCTGATGTCCGTTGAACTTGCTCTGCTTCTTCGCAATCAATGTTTTCCACGCTTCGTGGATAAGGTGCTGGTGCAAAAGTCCGTAGATGACGTTCGAGTGCAGCCAATCCACCTTCGTGCTCCCGGTCTCGAAATGCGCAGCAACGTGGTCGATGTGTTTCTCGAATTTGCCGTGCATCGCAGCGCAAAACCCGCATCCCCATGCCCTCCTCTTTCTTAGATGCTTGACGACGGTGTCTGCGTGGGGACATGTCTTGCAACCGTGTGCTGACTTGTGGTGCTGATTAAACGTGTTGGGGCCCCAGAAGCTCTGGTTGCAATTCGGACAGGGGTATTTACGCGACCGCTCGTGGAATTCCTCCTCGTGTCGCTTCCAATCGAATTTCCTCTTAAACGTCTTATCGCAGGACGTACACCAGAACTTCGCGTCCGTTGTCGCTGGGGCTGTCGTCGATGATATTGAGCTTCGTGCGGATGCTGAAGAGAAGACGCTGTCACGGCTCGAACAGCTAGATCTGGACGACGAGATGGATGATCGTTGCCTATGAGGTTGACCGAAGGCATTGACGTCTCTGTAGTTGAAATTTGGCAGTGAGGCTATAATTACGAGTCAATTAGTGGGAAAAATCGAGTTATGTTGAGGTTAGTCTCGTACCATCGGTTACCATGGCATTTTGTGGCTGTTGAGGTGGTTGTTGTTGTTGCTGCTGCTGTTGTTGTGGTTGCTCTTCTAATAAAGCGAGTAAAGCATCACGGCTGAGACCGGATTGCTTGAGAGCCTCGAGATGCTCCCGCGCCTGCGCTAATACCCTCGATGGATGATCCATTGAACTGTTTCTAATATCAATTGGCAAAATTTGGTATCTTGAATGAGTACTAAAAGGCTACGATAAGGGTGTGGTATTGCGAAGGAATAAGCGATCAAAAGCTGGACGAAAAGGAAAAAAAGGATAGTTTCTCAGGACAACAGGACTGAAGATTTACGTTGGGCAGCCTGACGGTCGCACCCGCGTGCATTCGGCTACCTTTTCTGTGATATATTACCCCCCAAACGCAAGTAACCCCGTATGCTCCGTCATACTTTAGGGTCGCGGTCCCCAGCATCACCCCATGCTGATTGCTCATTGGGGAAGAGGCCTACAAGCATCGTTCGCTAGTCGAATGAGCCTTGCTAACCTTGTTAACCTTGCTAAATTACCTAGGCCATCTGGCAGAGCGTATGTAGCACTAGAGAAAGTGACTGGAGGCCATTCGATGGTCGGCTCAACCTGAAACGAGTCGATGCCAGCCCGCCTCCTCATTGTTTCGAAACACGCGCGAAGGTGGGATGAAGCCGCCAATCGGAGGCAGAATTGAGAGCGACGACAAACGAAAGACCAGGACTGGATCAAGCCGGATCAACCGTGGACCCATTGACGATCCATGATCACCCTAGGCAGCCTAGGGCTTTTACCCTTGGCGAAGGACCATGCAGAAAATCTGTTTCAAGATTACCGGGTCACATCTATGCCTTCGTGATTGGTTCATAGTTTAGTCCGTTCCCCGCCGTGACCCGAACATGTCACGATGTTGTTTTTCTTAAGAAGCATCCGCCTAAGAGATCATCAGATTGCTTTTCCCGATCCATCCCAGGCGTTTGTGTTTTCCCGTAAATCCCATCTCTTTTTCGAAATGTTCGAGGGGATCTTTTGTTCGATGGAAGATGGAGCGAAGATATACGCAGATACGGCGATTCCGTAGTTCCATGGTAGAGGAACGACGGAATGACGCCAGTGGCTACGCGATAGATCCTCCGTCGATCACAAACAACACCCCTACCCCGGTCGACCTATCTGTTTATTACGTGGAATCACTTGGCGACTTCGTCAATCTGACTGTCGGATTCGGTACGGCTGTACACGTCTTCGGCAGTATCCCGCCACGTGTAGTGGAGGCTTCAAATCTATCGCAATATAAACTATCAACTATTATTGGTAACAATTCGTTTGATCTTGAATCACTCTAATGAATCTATTCTTGGAAAGATTCGTTTCCCGTCGTTTGACGCAAGTAGCGTGATTCATTTAAAGGTGAGTAGATTGCTTACTATTGAATTAAAGGCAATTATTTACCTACAAAGGAGCGCTTTTCTATCACGTGATTCCCATCTCCGTATTCCACCCCTTTTTGTGACCCATAAACTCAACATAACACGAAAATGACACCATGATGATAGATATTCACTAATAGCCTTTATCGTCATCTTTCTATGTCGGAAGATTGCTGATATCTGTCATCAACAGACTACAGGCAGGTATAATATACAAAATTCTCCAACCAGTTTAATATGGTTACCTATCACAAGCACTTTACATCAGTACTTCCAACAGCATCCCCTTCTTCTGCTGGATAACCCTGGACTCTGCAAGCTGAATTGCGGCCTTGAACTCACCCACCGTTTTGACCCGCATGCCCTTTATCCACTCGCCCTCCGCAGTCTCGGCTGTGTCCCCACCCTCAGCCCCCGAACCGGTCGCGGCCTCTGCGAGGGCGGCATAGTTAGGCGTAGGTCGAAATGAGATATTAATCTCGTCATCCGAGGCCGTAGCGCTAAGACCGTCGGGATATACCAGCATGGCTGAGTTCCGCGGTGCTTTCCATCCTGCGATAGGTCATTAGTGTCCTGTACTTCGCTTGATGCCCCTACTTATTATGAAGTATGAATGGGGTGAAATCTACGAGACCAAGGGAGTACCATCGGAGATGAAAGCCACCTTTGTTACTTACCTCCGTTGTTGAGCACGATCGTGAGAACGGGGATCTCATACTTCCTCGCGACCCATAGGGCGCTAGAGGGCGCCGCACACATAAAGCTACCGTCTCCTACGACGTGGCACACCAGATCCGGCAAGCTCCCAACGCCCCTTTTCTCCGCGTCGTCATCAAGTGCCATTCTGATTCCCAGAGCTGCACCATTGCTCCAGCCAATCCCAGTGCCGCCGCAGTTTATCCAGCTGCCGGGCTGGCTCGGCTGCAATTGGTCGTGAAGCGTCTGGGCGGCCGTGACAGCTTCTATGACGAAGGTGGTAGAGGCCGGGAGAGACTCCTTCAGAATATGTCCAATATTATGCGCATCGAGAGCCACGTCAGTACCTAGTTGTAGCTGAGCGGCGAAACCGGCAATGCGGGCTGAATGGGCCTCGGCGCGGGAAATGGCACGGTCCGCATATTTGGAATCATTGAGAACCTCGGCGAGTGCCTCGTCATTTTTAATATGATCGACTAATTGTGTGAGCGCGGTAAAGCTATCTGCCTTCCAGCGTCCGTGTGCTGGGAAAAACGAGACGGGGATCTGTTGGTTGAGGGGATCACAGTCCACGTGGTATATTCTAGCCGATTTCGGAGGCGGATTTCGCATCGGGATCCAGGGAACGTCGCAGTCGAGCATGAAGATAACGTCAGCGTCTTTTGTGCACTCGTCGTAACTGAGCCGAAACCCTTCCGATGCGGGATGCGACGACGGGAAGCACACGTCGCTGCCTCCGGTGTCGTGAACGCGTATACCCGGGATAAGATCGGCGAGAGCGACGAGAAGCTCGGGAGTTCGGCGATCACGGCCGGAGTACCCCGTGATAATTAGCGGGCGCTCGGCGTGGACAAGCGCAGAAGAGATCGAGTGAATAGCATTATCCGGTAGGGCCGCTGGACCAATGGGGACCCACTGCTCTTGCTCTAAGGCGTATGGTTCGATCTCCTGCGCCAGAATCTCTCGCGCAGCGGCGATATACACCGGGCCTTTGGGTGTACTGTTGGCGAATTGCAGTGCGCGTCCGATTGTCTGCTTAGCGTTTAACCCTGTGCGGATTTCGCCCGTGTATCTGCAATACTGCCGTACGATTGCCTTCTGATCCGGAGCTTCCTGCAGCCAGTGCATGTACTCGGTCCGGGACCCGGGTAACTCCCCGGATTCTGTATAGGGGCACAGACCGGCGAAGATGAAGATTGGGACGCGGCCGACACTGGCATTGTGAACGCCCTGGCCGAGAGCTTGTGTGCCCACATCAACATGGACGATGACGGCTTGCGGCCGTCCCGACACGCGAGCGTAGCCATCCGCCATGGATATCGCAGTGACCTCGGAAGGACATGTGATTATCTTGGGCCAAGCATGCGGCCGTTCTCTCTTTCCTTTGACGATGGCCTCGAGAATTGAAGGGTGGTCGGACCCGACATTTACGAAGCATCTTGTAATGCCGGCCTAGATAGAGTAAGCAATGACTACTACTAGGGAATATCGTAAAGGTACTTAGGTAGGATTTTCGAAGAAAAACATACTTCCCACAAAGCTTCGAAAAGCGCAAAGGCGGTTGTGTATCTACTTGAGGTTCTAGCGTCATGACCCAAATTGGCAGAAAAGACATAGAAACGAGTGAAATACTTACTGTCTACCAGTGTCCTGAGAAGTCGCCATGTTTGTGTGCTTGAGATCTCTGGCTGGCATACGTTGATGGATAGAGGATGTGAATGGCGATATTCCACGAGACAAAGACATCAATGGAAGAAGACTCCGTGCATAATATCGACCTGATAGTCCAGGCGAATTTATTGCCATGCGACGGAATGAACGGGATAAAGGGCCGTGGATAGCCATCATGGGCGAGTTTCGGCGGGCAAGCTGTGGAATCCTAAAACATGTTGGTCAAGTTGGGAAATAGGAAATGGAGAGAGCAGGTGATACAAGCCTAAAAACACAGTAGGGGTGTCTTTATAACTGCAAAGGCAACTCACATAGCCAATCAAAATCGATGTAAGGAAGTAAGGGGTAAAAGAGGTAAGGAGGGACTTCTGATAACGACATGAACAAAGGAACCACTGCCGCCGGTTTCCAACACCGAGGCTCGCGACAGAGATTCATTGAACGCAGTAAAGACCAATGATCTCCTCAGTCTGGATCAACGCGTCTCACTCGAAACTGCCCCTTCTCAAGGTATGCGAAGATTGATCCGCGTTCCTACCTAATCTAGAGTAGGTAATGAGTCTGACACGAATATATCGCGTTCAGTAGGTAGCATAGGATAATTCCTCAACCTTTCAAATGTCAGGGAGAGGGCTGGCTTCGAAATCTAGGGTCCAACATTAGAGTCGCCTCACAAGCAAGGGGTTAAGACGCACCGTTAGACTTCGAGGCTGGGGCAGCGGCCACGAGGACGAACATCAATGCAAGGGAAAAGGCATTCATTTTATGACCTATACTTGATGTTTACCCGTCACTAAGGTTGGTAATAATTGAAAAGATTGTGTGTATACTAGGGACTCGGTTGGCATACATGGAACTCAAGATGAGAGTCCTAGTTCTATCTTTACTGCTATAACGCATCTTATTGCAGGCTGCGTACCTAGTACTTACCAACACGCATGCCATGTAATCAACATTCTAAAAATATGCCCGAGTGCATACCTACCTAGGTACCTATGGTAGGTAGATAACGAGATAGTAGAGGCAACAAAGTTATCAATGCACCACGACCAGCACGACCAAGTAGGCGATCACGTGAACTAATATGACGCAAAATTCACCTTAGGATACATCCCGCGGTCAAAGCAGGTACAGGAGACATGAAGATCTGTGTACTATTAGAAACGTAACTAAACTAGATCACGCAGCGTACAATGAAACCAACTCCAAGGAGATACTCAGATTCGCACCTATAACTTTGAGAAAAAAACAACCCCTACCTCCCCTTACCTCCCCTTACCCCCCTGAAAAAAATAGTAAAGATATACTCGACATTGCTCATTACCTAACCCCTTAGTAATACACCCAGCCTACCCCTACCCACCCATCCTAACACCTAATCAAAATGTATCCTCCAAAGCTCCCTCTCGCACCCCGCCGTGAAATCGCTGCGGGTATGCATAGCTAAGACATTATCGCTAACGAGCAAGTCGCCCTTCTCCCAAGAATGGTAATACGCGACGCGGCGATCATGCAGCAAGCTCGTGAGGGTATCGCACACGTTCGTACTATCCACGCAGTGGGCGCTCGCGTTGTCGATAGTTATGTGGGTAGCATCGAAGCGCGTCTTAGACTGCGGCCACGGCTCGTGGAAGCGCAGGCAGGGGCGGCTTGTGGCGGGATGGTCGATGACTAAGGGTAGGCCGTGGAGGGTTGTGGAGCCAAAGGAGGATGTGGATACGTCCCATGTTAGGGGGCGGAGAGAGGAAAGGGGGAGGTGGGAGGGGAGGTATTTGAATAGTAGTGTTGATGATGAGAATAGGGTAAAGCCTGTATTTTTGGGGGATTCGGTGACGGCGGTGAAGAATTGGAATCTAACAAAGTGTGTTAGTAATGAGGTAAGATAGTGGAGGTGGGGAGCAACCTACAGTGGTGGTGTAGACACCAATTCTTCGCTTCCATCGTCCCGCACTCTTTTCTCTGTCTTGAATAGTCCGTCGTAATGAAACGGCATCCATTCAGCCGAAAGGACATTGTTCAAACCACGTGTATCCATACCGCGATCTTTGACTTCTAGAACGAGGCCGAACTTCCACGGCAACGGTGTTCCAAATTCTCTAGATTTATCAACGAAAAAGTCCCGGTTCCTCGTCTGAGAGAAGCCTCTTAACACGACAGGCGAGTTTACTTGTGATAGTTCACGAACTTTGGCGGCGTCTACATCATGTATGGATAGAGCGCCCGGACCTGTTGCCGGGCGAATTAGAAAACCGGCGGGGTATAGGGGCTCGCATGTAATACCCCCCTTTTCGGTTGCCCATGACAACAAGTCACTCTTTTCGCGAAAGTAGCTGGGTCTGCCGTCCTCGTAAACGAGTTCAAAAGTATCGTCAACTTCGAACTCAGACCGATGGCCAGTGGTTGTAGTACCATCGAGCCGGAACGCGATGCTGCAGTGCCAGGGAGTCGTGAACATCGTGTCGGTTGGCAATAAATTGACGGAAAGCTTGTTCTCGCCTGTCGAAGCATGGATTGACAATCTAAGCCTATCCGGAAACATTTCCCTGACCGCTCGAGCGAATGCCTAGATTGCAGTTATCAGCTCCAACCTTTCTGAGTAACGACTGTTTTGAGTCAAGGTAAAACCCACATCACCTCTCATGAGCATCTGCTTGGCGATATATTCAATCCCCTTCTTGTATTTTGATTTGCTTCGCCCTTCGCCCACTGGGTATACATTTTGAAGATCGGTCGCTAGGAATTTGATGTAGCCCCTATATGTCAAGCATGTATCTTCATCTTCCGAAATTCGGAGTGAGACATTGAAGCCGGGCTTGCTGAATTGCTTCAATAGAGCATAGCGAAAATTAGTGGCATTGGCGACATCTACAGAACCATTAAGGTTAGCATGTATTTTTATATAAATCTAATTTTAAGAGTTTCTGGCAACGAAAAGGGTCTCTCCGGGTTTGAAATAGATAGAGTCTACACTTACATCTAATCTCATCAAGCTCATTGGGTACATCGATTTGAACGATGTCCCTGAGTCGGCAGAATTCGATATGGTGAAAGTTCTTTTTGGTCCTTAACGTTCGGAGAGCTTCACCATATGCCCACACGTCCTTGTCCGGAACTCCTAGAAGATCTTTACAGAGTTAATAATAAAGTAGAGGATAGGCTAAGGGTATAGTACCGTTATACACAAGCCCATCTGAGACGATCATTAATCTTGCTCCGGGTACGTAGATGTCTCCTATAGCGGCGCACAATCCATTCAGGTGTGCAAGCGCAAACTCCTCCGCCTTGTCGGGGAGACGGCCAAGGACCTTTGAGGTTGTGTTCGGTGATTTGAAAGGGAATGCGGGAAGGCACATGAGAACGGTCTCATTAGCTGAGACCTTGGAGTAAATCTGGGATAGAAAGTTGATCCCATCGTTACTTTTCGATAGAAATGCGTCTTTCGTGAGCTTGTATCGCGAGATGATGTTCAAGATACGTGATGCGGTTTTGAGATGAGAGGGTTCTAGCTTCCCCAGACCCTCGGCCAGAGCTGTTGGAAATGCCAAGCCATCGGCAAAATCGAGATTCAGGACGGACGGCATATTGAATGTAGGATCCAGCAGTATGGTAGTAATCTTTAGATATGGTTGAATCTATAAACCAGAGTACGACTTTGCAGGACAATGCGGACCCTGTGCATGATACATATGATACATAGAAGCTCGACTTAGGAGACGTCAATCAGTATCAGTGGCGATACCCCGGGTCTTTATTCACCTAATGCATTTATTAGAGAAAAAGCCGACTTGGCAATGCGGCAACGTTGCAAATTAACTAACCAAGTTTTATAACAGGCCAATGGCTGCTGAAAATGCATAGTGGGTGTTCTCCGGCAACACGGCTAAAGCCCTCGAGAAGTTAAGATATCTAGGTCCAATATAGCATGACCGATGCGGCGCTTTTGCGTGATTCAGAGATTCCGACGCTATCTCGTAAGATTTAATGGTCTATAAATCCAGATTATGCTTCGTGAAATTTTCTGTATGGCCGAACCCATCATCCTCTTTCCTAAATGGGAAGTTTAGCACGATTGGGACTGGGGTGCGGAATAGCTCCACAGCTCCGTCTCGTACTGTCTCCGCAACACCATATAAACCTGCCGCAAATGGGGCGGTCATACCGAGAATCCCGGTCGCGGGTAGCAGTTCTAACCTTGAAATCTAAAGGTATTAATGCGAAAGGCCCCGTCGGTGATGCCCGGATTGTGTTAACCTGCGATATCGTCAAAACGATAACCTAATAGATACCTCGGATGCTTAATAATATAACTATGCCACCGTAACATTCGATAAGATCATCTCACCGTCGATACTTATTAGGTTGACCGGATGCTAACGCCATAATAGAATCTTGAAAGCTTGGCAGAAAATTTTGTCGGTAAAGGCTTTCAAATAGATTTATAATCAAGATTGAACAAAGAAAGTCCAGCCATTACCTCATTTAGTTTGAAGAGTTCCTTTACAGCTGGAGCAGTCTTTGTGAAGCTATCCGCATACTGTCTCCCCTCGACCATGGCGCAAAATGACCAGGTCTTCGGATCTGAGGAACAGGTTGATTTAGCAATCATTGGAGGTTTGCCACCAGACCCATCATAATGTATCACACAATATGCTAACATTGAGATAAGGCGGTCCCACAGGACTTCTCTCTGGGCTTCTCGCGAGTCGTCTGGGCCTTTCTGTAAGCATCATAGGTATGTCGCTACACCTCCGTGACGGATCCCAAGTTCTAATAAGGTTCTAGATGCAAAGCCTGGGCCCTTGGAAGTAGGCCGAGCAGATGCGTTGAACGCTCGCACACAGCAATACCTCGAGGTTGTTGGGATTATTGATGAATTGCTTCCACTAGGAATCAAATGCAACAGTAAGTACTTCTTAATCTTGAGGGGTACTGGTAGCTCACCGAATTTAGCTAGTTCAACCTTCTCAGAGGGTGACTTTAAGTCTCGACAGAGTCATTGGTGGACATCGCTCCAGCACTGCTTTCGCCCTAACTTCTTGATGGTCGGCCAATCTGTTGTAGAACAGGTGCTCAAAGACCAGCTGGACGTACCGGTCCATTATCAAGAGAAGGTCACTAGCATCTCCGAGACGGAACAGGGCGTCACGCTCCATACAGATCGTGGCCGGAAGGTCTCGAGCAAATATGCCATCGCAGCTGATGGAGCACGTTCAACTGTTCGGCAGGCTTTAGACATTAGTTTTGCCGGAACGAAGCCTGAGATGGTGTGGGCGGTGCTTGACACATTCATCGAGACCGACTTCCCCGTATGCTCAGAGATTATTACGTTCCAACTAAGGGGCCAGTCACGGATATCATGGATTCCTAGAGAACGCGGGATGGCGAGATTTTACGTGCTTCTTGAGGGAGAAATCACTCAGAAAAAAGCTGAGGATTCTATCCGAGAACACATGGCGCCGCATAGAGTTGACTTCGTTAGAACGGAGTGGTTTAGCACATTCGACGGTAAGTATACACACTGTTATGAGAGGTATACCAGATGAGCGGAGATCTGACAAGACATATTGATCTTTAGTGAAAGAGCGAATCGCCTCCACATTCGTCCCGAAGCAGGGAGATGGTCGTATCATCCTAGCAGGCGATGCGGCTCACGTCCATTCTGTGAACGGAGGGCAGGGCTTAAACACGGGAATTGCCGACGCGTTCGCGCTCATCTGGCGCGTTGTTGCAGCTATCAGGAATGCGGGGCTCACTCCTGGAGCTGCCACCAAGTTGATCCGAAGCTATGATACTGAACGTCGGGCCGTAGCACAGGAAGTCATCGATGTCGCGGCGGCCCTCGTCCGAGATACGGTACATACTGCAAAGCAATATGTTTCGACCATTGAGAAAAATGCCGGATATATAACAGGTAAACAAATCGTCCTACGATTATTTCGTCTGTAAAATAGACTGGCTGACAGTAAAACAGGAATGGGAGTCTCCTATGATGGAGTTGGATCTGAATTGATCGTGGAATCCGAACGAGGTATCTGGAAGGCAGGCAAACGATGTCCAGATATTTGGCTTACCCCAATTGGGAACAATGAAGCGACTCGACTGTATTCGATGGTTTCATACGGAAAATATTTGGTAATCTTCCAAGGAGAACAGGATGTTCAGATGTTGTTCGGAGATATCTGCACCTATTTTATTCTCCGCCCCATCGATGCAGCTCAGGTGGGAACGGGAATCAACGGTCACGATAACGGATCAAATAACCGACCAGGTATTTTTTCGTCGGATGTTACTACTCCTGAAGACAACTTTGTCGTCATAGTAAGACCGGACATGTATATTGGCTATGTTGGAGAAGGTGACGGATGGAAAGCATACCTAGAAGAAGTTTATGTAAAATAGAAAATGATGAGGGAGTCCGGAGTCCGAAGTTGAATGAAATAGGTTCATTTTAGGGTGTCTGGGTACCTAGGTACTTCATCATATGCTGATAACGATAAGATTTACTACCTAAAGTGGCCTAAGCGCGTCATTTCAGCTGAGCCTCGGCTCGGCACTGGCCACCAGTGGCAGGAGCGTGAAGCATGACGCGCGAAATGGATAGAACGAGACCCGATAATTTCCCATTTCGTGGACAGCTCATCATCGTTACTTCCACTTTTCCAAAAATCAATCGAATCAATTGCGCAGCTTCGAATCGCACATTCCTCATTCCTCCCTTTTTTTTTCTTCCTTCTCCCATCATATTCTTTCTTTCTAGTGTCGTTGTAGTTTTAATTCGATTTAATTTATTCCTTAATACGATATACCAATCCACCATCGACCATCCATCATCCATCCACAATGTCAATACCCGCCGATCACTCTAGAGGTAGCGCATCGCGTCCCCCTAGCAAACCACAGTCACGGAACCCCGTTCGAAGTATGCTATCTCTGCCACCCCAATGGCTGCACATGTATGGCGATTTCATCACAAAGAACGCTCATCAAGTATCACAAATTGAGAGTGCCTTGCGGTCTTTAACATACATTATCCCTGGTCGATTTCGTGATGCGGAGATTGCTTCGGAAACTTTGCATTCTGGCATTCAATTGCTATCTCTCTATCACGATGCCGTTCTCCAAGGCGCTATCACCAAGATACCTGGACTCTCTCCAAAAATACCGAGCCCTCACACACGCTACACCAGATTCTGGACGGCTAAGAGCAGATTGTATCGGAGAATAGCATTGTTGTTACAAATAGTGCAATATACCGAGATGCTGTGGGAGATGGCAGCTAAGCGCAAAGGAGAGAGAATACGTTGGCGCGTAGTCATCGTTTTAGAGATTATAAAGGCCGTTTGCCGGTTGTTGTTGATGAGGGTTACCAACTCAAGACCACTCGTCACCCCACCTCTACCCGAACGAGATCCAATTCCGCCAGATGTCGACTCAAGCGACGAGGATACACTAAAGGAACTGATGGGCGAGGATACGACAGAGTCGAGCGACTCCGCTAAGGCTGTCTACGAGAAGGAATGGACGATGCCACGAACCGGTTCCAGCCTCCCCAGCCTACCGAATCCTAGCGATATTGGCTCATATCTAATGGGTCGCGTCCTAACAGCAGATGACATCAAGCCCGCAGCAAAACTTCTCAACACACTATCTCGCCCTGGTCAGACTGCTGAGATATTACACATCCTCGCTCCATTGGCATACGCTATTGCATTATCAAGGAGCAAGAACAAGAGATCCTGGACGCCTTGGCTCATCGGCATAAGCATGGAATACGCTGCACGGCAGTTGCGCGAGAGAGGTCTACGTAGCACTGCTCTAGAGAACGAAGAGTGGGGCAAGAGGTATTGGGCAGCTGGCTGGTGGACCATGAGAGGTGCTTTCTACGAAAACTTTACGAGGAATGTCATCGGTGGGGTACGTCGTCGCATGCCTAGTCTCGTCTCCGGCATATTGGAAGACTACGAATACCTTTGGGAGAATTATTATTTCAGTACCAGTGCATGATGGATTGGTAACGAGGACCTAACAACTTTTTGGATATCTGCCGAGGCGAGCAGAGTTGTATCATAAGATCACCGGAAAACATCCAGGACCACAGTTAGGTTGTCGAGGAGGATAATTCGGCAGTCTAGCCAACCCCCCCTTTTCTGACCGCCAACTCATTTCTGCGCCTGGAGCCCCATTTCCTAACTATAATGATACCCGACGAATACACCGACTAATTGATAACGTTCAAAGTGGAGTTTGGTCTAGGCTAGTAAAGATCACGTGGGATAGAGCAGACGAGTACACTTTTCAAGAACATAAACTTCTGGCTTGATTCATTAAATCTCCAGTTGCTCATCGCTATGTCGCAGACTTCGCATCCTCACTTGATGCTAGCAAGTCAGTGGCCACATGTGACGGACTCAGCAGACGCCCCAGGATGAAGTTAATTCCCTAAATACTCCGTTTAGGCGAGCACTCCCCGTTGACTATCATCACATCCTAATGGGTCGAGCACACATTGAATTTAGCTACATGTCAAATAGCAGTGGCATATCTAAGATTATTGGAGCCATCAGCATCCTCCTAGTCCGAAATATGCATAATATCCTCCCAGCTTTCTAGATGGAACAGACATTAGGGTTTCGGTTTCAAAGATTGGTTTGCTACCTACCTTAGAATATGGCATAATGATCTGCTGGGAATGGCATTTTTGTAAGGTTAGAACATTATGGTAGAAAGTTTCAACCTTGAATTAACATGAAGAGACAGTATGCGGATATTTTGCGTGATCTTTATACTCCGTACACAAGTTAATCACGCATAGACACTCATTATTATATGTCATAAGAATAAATCTAGCGTTATGTCTACTATCCTATTCCTTATTCAACAACTTATGCTCTGTATAAAAGTCTAGGTCAAACCTCCAGGCTGTGTGATGTGAAATGTCTTCGCACCGTGTGGCGTCTTTTTGGTGGCTGAGTTCCCTGAGTTATAGCGATTGTTCACTAAAACTTTAGCGGGTAAATCACTAAATCTTCTAGGTTAGGTACATAGACAGCTATATAGCTTAGGGTTTTCAGTGAGCAAGAAGCCCGAAGATGGCTTTAGTTAGGCATTCAATACCTAGGCAATGTGTGGATATAATTTCAAGTCTTTTTCTAAGACGGCTGATGCTTTTACTGTTTACGTAAGTACCAAGCAAAGAAAAGGCCAAAGTCTTTAATAAAACTTCCATGTTTGCTTAGCCATGTAGTGTAGGTACTTAGGTAGGGTTAGGAGATGATAGGGGCATCAAAAGGCCTTCTTAAAGAAAAAAAAAACATGAAGCTCAAAGGCGCAAGAAGGCGCCACAAGTCTGCGATGGTACTGACATGACTTAGGCAGGCACCTAGTTTTAGGTTCCAGAATCTGCCTACAGATGAGGCATATTTATCACAACACGGCTACCATCTGATACGCAGATGGTATTATAGTAGGGACCTAGATAGCGCTAAGCCATCTACTCAGGAATTGATTACCTAGGTACCTACCTCTACCTATTGGGTGGTCAGGAATAAGAACATACTAGGTATGCAAGTCAGCAGGTCTTGATGGAGCATAGCCTCAATCAGAATGTATTACCGGAGACCTTCATGAAATCAAGAAGACTCATTGCACATCATGAGGGGAACGAGATCTTCTTTTATTATTTGAAAAATACCTATAGACTGATTTGACCCCTAAATATTAGATATATTCGTGATGAGCGACAATCTAGATAGAATTCTAAACCGGGATGGCCACTTCAAGCATCCCATTATCAATTCCCAAACGCAAGCCCGGCTGATGCGACTATCTCCCAATCGCACGAAAAATAGGCGTCTACAGTACCGCTTAGAGGTTTTCGATCTATCTAGCTTCTCTTCAATAGAATATACCGCCCTATCTTACACATGGGGGCGTGCAGTTAGTGTTGATGAACTCTACGAGATTTTAATTGACGATCAACCTTTCTTTGTACGCCGGAATCTTTATAACTTTCTTGCTACGGCAGCGGGAAAAGAGACTAGTGGCCTATTTTTTGTGGATGCGATCTGTATCAACCAGCTCAATAGCGCGGAGCGACAGCATCAGGTCCAGCAGATGACACGCATATACCGCAATGCAAACAACGTCATATCATGGCTCGGGGTCCCAGAGACGGTTCAAGACTTAGACAGTGTGCGGATTCTGGCCCAGACAAGAGGTAGAGTGGGCTGTGGACACTGGACAGCGCGACAGTGGGATGGCTTTCAGTATATCAGCTATCATCCTTACTGGAGTCGCGTCTGGATCTTGCAGGAAGTGCTATTGGCCCAGAGGGTGGAAGTCTGGTGTTGGTACTTCACATTTCCGCTCGATCTATTCGCAGGGATCGACTCGTCGAAGGTTAATTATCACATATCACAAGTGAGATTATCCTCGGATGGAAGACCACAAACAGTTGTCGATGCTATTTCACGATCATGTAGTCCAGCGGAAAGAATTATAACTCACAGAACACGACATGTGTTCCGACCCATAGTTGACCCCCTAGCTCAAGGGACCGCTGTTGGGACGCTCGAAGAAATGATAAAGGCGCTCGCATACCCTTATATGGCCACAGAAACTTACCAATCATCCATCCCCGACTTGATTCATCAGGTGGTGCGAAAATTTGGCATGCTCCAGTGCTCAGATCCAAGAGACAAACTATATGGATTCCTGGGAATCCTAAAAGACAATAGTAGGGCCAAGGTGAATCCTGATTACACGATGCCCATCAGCTATGCTTTTCGCCAAGCTCTGAAGATTGGCCTAGAAGAAATAGGCGGCGAGCACTGGTTTGGGCTATACTCAACAAGTCGTAACCAGGTTTATACTATCTTGCTTACGTACTATTGCGATGTACGTGACGCTTTTGATATGGAAGATAGTAATAGCATGGCAATACTAGAAGAGGTAGTCGCTGAACTTCGATCCGAAGCTCTAACAACGGAGCCTATGGCCGAAGAGTTGTGGAGAGAGTGGTTTCGTCCACATTGTGACAAGGGATTGGAAGGATTTCTAGGCTCTGAAAAGCTTCTACAAACGAGTGCTCCGATTAGCAACAAAAGAACAAGTTTTAAGGAGCTTTAGTTGCGCCGATACAAGGGATTTGAGACGCGGCGTCAATCTAAGTTATTTTATTAGACACAGCTTGAGTTTGTGGTTCTTTTCAACTCCTCAATAAGACACGATGATGGATGGGTTAGGTACCTGCATAGGTACCTAGTACCCATATTTTGATCCTCCGTGATTGCTAGGTATCCATGGATGCGGTAAATGTTAGATAGTACCTAAGGTACCAGTTAATGTGCTAATTACGTGAAAGATGCTTTAACTCTCAGGGGAATACGCGCTATCATTCAGCGCTTTTCAGCGTCTCGCTGGCGTGTAACTATGAAATAATACAGTGGATCTGTTGAAAAAGCACTGTACATCTTCTACCATACAAACCCTAAGAATGGAAAGACTCTGGTTGGAAATTAATCAACGTGTCTATCGTAAGAAGTATACTCCAGTCTTGCGTAGTAGATAGCATCGTTTATACTACATGGCCCATAAGCGTGGTATATGAAAAAGCTATTTCTGTCCCCAAGTTACAATGTATTTAGTGTAACCCCCCTTTTCCTTCAAGTCCGTGTACAGGCGGGACTCTAGGTCATCCCATTCGCTTTTCCAGATATCCCGGGGCATCTCTGCAAGCTCGTTAGTTAACTGAACACTGACATAATCAAACCCACAGTATTTTTAATGACTTACTCCTCAGCACAGAAAGAAAGTTCGGGACACCCGCGACGGCTGTCCTAAGGCTCCTCTCCCGAATATAGGGATCTGCTACGGCAGCACCATAGCTAACGATGACCTCCCTCTTTTCCACATTCTTCAATCCAGCAGCCTTCATCTCCTCGGGAAGAGTAGACCATAGGTTCGACTTCTTGTATTTAGTGCCCGCGTACAGGTTCGCGTATAATGTGTCGAGCATGTCGATGTACTGGTTCTGCGAAACCGGGTTTTGAGGGAGCGGTGTAGTAGCCACCTCGACCATCTGCAACCACCCTCCCTCCTTGAGCAAATTGGCCAGGTTCTGCACTACGTAAGTCGGTGTCCTCTCGGGCCCTGCGGCGGCCATCACAAGACGTTGGTGCACTAGATCAAACGTTGCGTTCCAAGCTTCCGGAAAGGGTTCTTTGATCGACTGGTTGAGAAAATGCACCCCTTCAGGAGGTGGGCTCGGGTAAAGTGATTCGACGACGTCGGTTCCCACGTATTCGTGCTTTACTTGCGAAGCCGCAATTAAGTCCTTAATCCATCGACCTGTGTCATGTTTACATTGTTAGAAGGGGGTGTGGTTTTAGATCTCATCGTTGTTACTTGATAGAAACAATACCTCACCATTTGCGCATGCAGAGTCTAGGATACGCAGGCCCGGTTTGGTCAAATTGATAGGAGCATAAAGGGCTTTACCGCCCATCGCATGGACCACTGTCTCGTGCTGGTCTTCCAACCGTACCTGCTCTGACACATTGTCATCATGAGCCTTGGTCTTATCCATAAAGACCATCATCGTGGCAGACGACATTATTGAGGTTGTCTCTGTTGACATTTTGGGCAGTCCAATTCGTATTCATGAACCTTAATGCCACCACCTACGGTGCTATTGGTATTTCATGATTTTATAAGCACCAGCCTTGAGATATTGAACCAGGGAGATCATTCTAACAACCATAAGATGCTAGTAATGCGGAAGAACTGTATCCGGATTCTCACTTTGGCCGACCTAAAGTTACCAAAGCTCCATGCTCCCCCTCTTCGACGACTCGAATCACCGCCATATTTTAGTAATTCGGGATTTATATCTCCGCGTATACTCAATCATTCAATCCATATCCTAGAATCCTGAGGGCACGTGAGTAATCCGTCTTTGAAGAGTGACGCCAGCACTCGGAGTTACATGAAGCCGAAGGAAGCGGCTCGGCACTAAGGCAAACGTGACTTCGCATTCGAAACGAGAAAAACCTTAATATCAGAAGTCCTTTGCATACATATACGTGTAAGTAATTGAGGTTATTCAATAATTTCTTTTACGTAAATCGTGGTGTAAGGGGTTGATGCCAGCGGCAGCTTTATTCTACCTGGCACACCAACCCAGACTTAGAAATCCATAACTCTGGGAAAATCTTTTATAGGGAAGTTAGAATGAACCTTGAAAATCCTAACGTAAAATGCGATCTAACTCATCTCATTATAAGCAAAAGCTAGCATTCATAGAACTGTAGGAGCACTGTATTTAGTATAATGTAATCGTGATGCATGAAAGGGGTTAGGGGTAAACTATGGTCTGTGCGTCACCCCCTATTGAGACCTGAAGATTTTGTTCAATTCTACAAGTTCTCGTAAAGTTCAGCTCCCAAGTGACAATTACGGAGAAACGAAGAAATAAAATCGGAATAAAAATACTTATGGAATTATACGAGGAGTTACACGGGAGAAATATTTAACCTAGTTACTAGGTAAGTTACATGAAGAAAGATGTACAGGCTTAAGCGAGCTTACATGCTGCCATTAGGTGGTTCATACCCATAATTACGAGTAACTTCGCAGTCTTTGTTTAGATAATTCCTAGGTTAAGGATTTTAATGAGAAATTCTTTCAATAAGGTGATTAATAGCTAGGTACACTGTTCGAACCGAAACAACGTCCAAACAATGCCTGGGTGGACGAATCTTTGCTGTCACTACGCATAGAGGAAAATATATTAATTCCTGTATTGCCGGCCTAATTCTATCATAGAGAGAACTGTTAAGGGAAAGGGATAAGTTTTCATATTTTATGTATCTCCTATCGATTGGCTATCCATTGTATTGCTACCTATCCTAAACCCGAAAAAGATTGGCAGGGGAAACGTTTCCCTAGTAACCTTTGTAGATCACAGTAAAACTAATACTGGTACTTCATACGGAACTCAATATGTTCCTGAATAGTCCCCGTCTTATACTTACCAGCAGGCATGCTCCCACACTTCCCAGTGGCCTGCGGACCCGCAATTCCATCATGGCGGGGCGTGATGAAGTACGGCATCGAGTATCTCTTGGGCGTGATCTCGGACCCATCTTTAGCGCGTGGGATGATAACCCTGTGCTTCGATGCGGGCAGGTAACCGTTCGTCCAGATTTCACCGAAGTCGCCAATAGTAAGGTACAAACGGTCCTCGATCTCGGTTGTAGCCTGAAGAAAGGTGCCAGGGTTAAGCCTGTCCTCGATTTCGAGGCCCTGGTTCTCGTCTTGCATGAGCAGGGTATAGGTCGTGAAATCGGTATCTATAATAATGTTGGGAATTAGTAGATACTTCTTCGGGGAGTTCTAAGGGTTCTATGCATGTCTAAGAAGCAAAAGAAAATCAGTGCTACTTACGTGTGGGACACCACGTGAGAGATGAGCGATCGATCGTGGACTCGTGGGCCGAGGGGTAGTGCATGAGTCGCAGACCGTTCTGGTGCCCGGTATGGACCTTCAGGATGTACTTCTTGGCCTCTTCATCGATCTGGAGACCTTCGAGCATAGCCTCAAGCACGACTTTGCTCAGGTCTTCCATTTGCCAGTAATACCCTTGGGCCCATGTGTGGAATCCAGGAAGAGCATTCTCGTCGATCCAAAGGTTGTAGTGTACTAGTTCACCATCGCTTCCGATGTCGTAGTGTTCCTGTACTCATTATTAGCGAAGGTCAAGATATGCGATGATCTTGTGTTACCTTGAAATCAAGGGGCTTCTTGAAGTCTGATGCCAATTCACCGGACATGCTCTTAAGCTCTTCCTCAGTGTAGATCAAGCATTTCTCTCGACCCACTCCAGAGTAACCACGATGTGGAACTATACCCTTGGGGTGGTTCGCCTTGGCTTTCTCCTCGTAAGGCAGATCGAAGAATTTTCGAGACCAGTCGAAAGCTTCTCTCAGTCTTTTGATCGGGATGCCATGGCCAACGATACCACAGGCGCCTTGGACGTGGATAGCTTCCACGAGCTTGTCAACTGTAGCCTTGCGAGCGATTGGGTCGCTATCGTTGATCAATGGAGAGATATCAATGGTTTGAATGCCGCTCGGGGGAGGTAGAGAACCCATTGTGACTGATTTAGTGCTTAATGTTCGTGATTGCGTGTATGGTGCCCAGAAAATGAAGCCCAGCAAGGCAAATCCAGCTTGATATAAATCCATGTCGACTCCTTATGTCGCGTCTACTAATAGCCCGAGACTTAACATCGGAGCATTTATTCGCACCCACATCCGGGCCGGTACCGAAACCACCGGACCGGGTTCTTACCGTTACGAAGTTTTATAGGGTGGGGCCAGGGGTCAAAAGGTCCTATCCGGGGTGTTGCAACAAGTTGAGCCTCTGAGCAAGGATGGAAGATTTTCTCCGATATTCCACCCCACACGGCCCCATATGCATCGCCCCTGATAAAAATAAATCCGTTGAGGGATGATTCTCGGACAGCACATTTACTTCATAATTTTGTTCAAAACTTCTCAGGAGGAACCCTAACTGCAGTTGCGCGCGTATTGAAGTATCGCGTAAAAAATCACACCTAGTCACTACCTACCTACCTAGGTAGGTAGATACCTATGATCCTAAATGGCGCCATTCCCGGGGACCTTGTGTACCTATATGATTGATAATGAGAATACGAGTCATATGTATCCATGAATATAGAACTTTGGTAGACCTGACTAATAGTACTCTCTGGGGGATTTGGCAGCGATGGCTTGCTCATGCGGGCCTGTCGTCAACGGGGAAACTGAGTCCGGGTGAACAGAAAGGTTCTCCATAGAATCCATCTAGAATCGAACGATTGATATAGAAGGAATATTAAATCGTCAGCAACCTAAACAAGAACGAAGCTCCGACATGAATTGGCCATCTGTTGGCAGGCATAGTATCATCATGGTCGAGAGAGTTTAAACCACCACTATATCCATATCTCCTAGTTCGGACCCCTTGATATAGGATGACCTTCTAGGAGTCTTCAACAACCAAGACGTATAATCTTGACGAAATTGCCATCTACGTGATGTTAACCTCACCTAGAGATATGGACGACTCATCAAGTCCTATGGCCAAGGCAGCAAAACAGGATGACCTGCGCAAGGTTTGGAGTTGGAACGCAACGGTGCCCGAAGCCGTAGAAGCCTGTGTTCATGACCTGATCGCAGAGCATATGGTGCCGGAAGCGGCTGCCATATGTGCCTGGGATGGCGAGCTGACATATGCCGAATTCGACGAGTTATCAACACGGCTAGCACATCATCTCATTGGATTGGGGGTCGGACCGGAAGTTATAGTACCGCTATGTTTCGAAAAGTCGATGTGGATGCCGGTAGCGATGTTAGGGGTGATGAAGGCCGGTGGCGCAGGTTGTGCGATTGATGTCACCCAACCCAAAGCGCGGTTACAAGCAATCATGCACCAGATACGGCCCCCTATTATACTGTCATCGATGGTAAACACGGACCTGACCAAAGGACTTCTCGACGATATTCCCGTTCTAGCTATTGATAGGGGGAGTTTGGAGCAGTTGCCCCCGACACCTTCGAACACTCTACCATCAACAACATACGTGAAACCCTCGAACACCTTATACCTCGTATTCACATCCGGCAGCTCGGGAACGCCTAAAGGTGTGATAATTTCGCACAGCAACTTTAGCAGCGCCCTAGTTCACCAAACGCGTCAACTCGGGTTCAAAAGAAGTTCGAGAGTACTCGACATGGCATCTTATGCCTTCGACGCGGCGTGGTATAACGCATTACACACATTTTATGCTGGAGGCTGTCTCTGTATACCCTCAGAGAGCGAGAAGCGGAACGACTTGACAGGATGTATTCGTCGACTAAAACCAAACTTCATGAATCTTACTCCGAAGCTATGTGAAGTCCTAGACGCGGCTTCGCTCCAAGGTGTGGATATGATCGAATTAGCTGGGGAGCAAGCAGATGCCAGACAAGTCTCCCGAATGAGGGAGGTGACGGCGGTGCGCTTCGCGTATGGTCCGGCGGAGTGTTCGATTCTCTCAACAGTTTCTCACGAAGATGCATCCTGCTCCAATATCGGTTTCGGACTTGGTGTGCGGACATGGATTGTGAGCGTCGATGATACTCAGACGCTAGCACCAGTGGGTAGTGTTGGGGAATTATGGATTGAGGGCCCATTAGTGGGACAAGGCTACCTGAATGATGAAGCCAAGACAGCAGAGACCTTCGTCGAAAATCCCTCTTGGTTACTTAAAGGCGGGCCTGGAATGCCTGGTCGGTCCGGTCGTCTCTACCGAACCGGAGATCTCGTGAGATATAACCAAGAGGATGGCTCGCTATTGTTTGCTGGTCGGAAGGATGCGCAGGTCAAAATCCGCGGTCAAAGGGTGGAATTGGAGGAAATTCAGCAACAGATAATTAAAGGCCTTCCAGACACTGTCGATACCCAAGTAGTAGCAGATGTCATCAAACCCAACGGAAGCGATAGCGCGACACTTGTAGTATTCTTAAAGGCTACGCCGGGAATTGAAGCAGTAGTAGCGCCGCTGGAAGAAAAGCTAACAGCAGTACTACCCAGTTACATGATCCCATCAGCTTATATCGCAGTTGACGAAATACCCACGGGACAGACAGGCAAAACCGACCGTCGAAAGCTCCGAGAACTTGGCGCTACATTCACCTTGGAACATCTTGCCAAAATCAACATAGCTAGAGGTGAATGGCAACAACCGCAAACTGTCGCAGAAAAGAAACTTCAAAGGCTTTGGGCAGCCGTGCTTGGGATCGATCCTAGTATCATCGGTGTGGCGGATAGCTTTTTGAGAATAGGGGGCGACTCTATCAAAGCCATGCGATTGGTAGCGGCGGCGCGCGAAGTAAGTTCGAATTGGAATTTCAGCCTAAAACATTTTACTAATTATCGAAAATTCAATAGGACGGTCTATCGTTGACAGTTGCTGATATTCTAAGGCGGCCTCGACTGGGCGATCTAGCCTCCATAGCGAGCCATATGCCGTTAGACGAAGCGACTAACGAGATCATAAAACCTTTCTCTTTACTTGAGATAGAAGAGACGGAAGCACGAAAATTGGCTGCTGGCATTTGCGGTGTAAAATCATCGCAAATCGAAGACGCATTCCCATGCACACCAATGCAAGAAGGCCTTCTCGCATTGACAGCTAGACGTCCAAGCGATTACGTGGTGCGGATCGCTCTAGAACTACGATCAACGGTTGATGCTGATCGTTTTAGATTGGTATGGGATGAGGTTGTTTCAATGTCTCCGATCTTGCGGACACGAATTGTAGACCTCGGACAACGTGGCCTAACGCAGATAATAGTTACTGAGCCGACACAGTGGTACCTAGGAAACAACCTCGAGATTTATATGAGGGAAGAATCACAGCTCACCATGGGATTAGGAACGCCACTGACTCGGTTCGGATTAGTCAGCGAGGAGAACAGTGGAAAGTGTTTCTTTGTATACGCGATACATCATGCACTTTGCGATGGTTGGTCAGTACCATTGCTGCTCGAAATGGCGGACGAGATTTATCAAAGTAAATCAATACAGCCTTCGCCACCATTCCAAAGATTCATCAGGGACATCCGCAGTATCGATGACTATTGCGCAGCAACTGCGTGGCGAAAGCAATTAGACGGCATAGGAGCACTACCTTTTCCACAGCTTATGTCAGCAGACTACCAGCCGGAGGCAGATATGGAGATCTCGCACAGAATTTCTGACTTGCGCTGGCCAAAAACAGATATAACGCCGTCTACACTAGTTCGGGCGGCATGGTCAATCGTGACTTGGAAATACACCGGCTCTAGCGATGTCATTTTTGGAGCGACTGTTTCGGGGAGACAGGCAGCCGTGTTAAAAGTTGAGCAGATGACGGGGCCAACGATAGCCAGTGTACCAGTTCGAGTGATTATAAATCCGGAGGAGGCCGTCAGCGAACTATTAGGACGAATACAAGAGCAAGCCATAGAAACCGTGCCCTTTGAACAAATGGGCCTACAATGGATACGACGGCTAAACAATGACGCAGAGCGGGCGTGTCAATTCCAGACTTTACTCGTTATTCAGCCCGCTAACCAGAAGGCCGAACAGAGTACTCTATTTGAAGAGGCCGATGATAGCTGGGAACTTGGTGCGTTTAACCCATATGCCATTCTGTTGGAATGCCGATTGAAAGATGATGGAGCCCTCCTTCGTATCAGTTTCGACTCGAATGTTATAGACGAGATGCAGGTCAACAGAATAGCGCACCAACTTGAACACACATTACGTCAACTATCCTTGACTAGAAACGCCACAATGAAGCTGGCAGCAGTAGAGGTGGCTAGTGAGGATGACCTGCGTGATATTTGGAGCTGGAATGCTGCAGTACCAGAGGCAGTGGAGGGATGTGTACACGACCTGATTGCCAAGACGGTTCGAAGACAGCCAGAAGCCCCAGCAATATGTGCATGGGACGGGGAGTTAACATACGGGGAGCTTGATACTCTATCAAGACGCCTGGCATCTCGACTCCGCAGTTTAGGCGTTGGTAAGTCAACCCCAATGAGTATTTCCAGATGGTCAAGATGACGGTAATTAACATACTCAATGAAATATAGGTCCAGAAGTAATTGTCCCGCTGTCTTTCGATAAATCGATGTGGGTGCCTGTCGCGATGCTAGGGGTGTTGAGGGCTGGAGGTGCATTCGCAATGCTCCCTCCTTCTTTGCCAAGCGCCAGACTCGGTCTTCTCCTAAAAGCTATCAACCCGAAAGTTATCGTCACAACTTCTCGGCATGCTAGTATTTTTACGGAAGTCCCAACGATATATCCTCAAGATTGTGCAGACGAAGACGACAGCAGCTGTTTCGAACCAAGTAATATTCGGCCATTTAATACTGCTGCGGTGCTCTTTACCTCCGGTACAACTGGTGCACCTAAGGGCATCTTATTAGACCACCGATGCCTATCAACCACGGCACAGTATCTTGGCAGGGACTTCCAGGCCAGTACTTCGACTCGAGTATTTCAGTTTGCGTCATACTTGTTTGACGTAAGCATACACGAAACATTTATGTCCCTATTGTATGGGGGTTGCCTCTGCGTCCCCTCTGAGGCAGATAAAGAAAACAACACCAGTAGCGCCTTGGTGAATTTGAAGGCCAATTGGGCGTGCTTGTCACCTTCTGTAGCAAGAGCCATTCCCACAGAGAATGTCTATACCCTACGAACCCTTGTGTTCGCTGGAGAAGCTCTCAAGAAAGTAGATGTCGTTCGATGGGCAGATAAGGTAACAATATTCAACTGGTACGGTCCAGCAGAGTTCTCGCTATGCACAAGTACCCCTGTTGTATTTCCGGCATGGAGAAGCGGCTCGATCGGATATGGCTCCAGTGGCACCTGCTGGGTTATTGACAAAGACGATCCAGAATGCCTGACACCCGTCGGTGCCATCGGAGAACTGGCTACAGAAGGTCCAGGTATGATGAAGGGTTATCTCAACGATCAAGAGAAGACGGCAGCAGTTACCATTAAGAATCCGAGATGGCTTGTGCGTGGCCAATCTTATCACCCCGGCCGACATGGTCGACTATATCGTACCGGAGACTTAGTGCGTTATAATGCTGATGGCTCGCTCACATATGTTGGTCGCAAGGATGCGCAAGTAAAGATCCGAGGAATGCGAGTAGAATTGGGAGACGTTGAGCATCACGTCCTTCAGAATCTAAACCTTCCAGGTTTAACTGATGCTCAAGTCGTAGCCGAAGTAATTACACCACGCGGGAGTAGCAACCCTACACTGGTGGCCTTCGTCAAGAGTAATGGGGAAGACAGGGTAATCGAAGCTAGGCCTATCGAGAAAAGCCTTTTAGCTGGATTAGAAAAGCGGCTAGCAGAAACATTACCGCGCCACATGATCCCATCAGTATATCTCACGATAGGAAAGATACCAATAACACCAAATGGCAAAGCAGACAGACGAAAGCTTCGCGCAATCGGAGACTCGCTCACGATACAACAGCTCACTACATCCACTTCGATGGTGCGAGGAAAGCGTCGGCGGCAGTCCATGACGCCAACAGAAAGACAGTTGAAGAAATTGTGGGCACCAATTCTCGGCGTAAATGTCGATATCGCGGTAGAGGACAGCTTCCTCCAGATAGGTGGAGACTCTATTGCGGCGATGCGGTTAGTAGCTGCCGCACGAGAACATGGACTATCCTTTACAGTCGCCGATGTTTTTAAGAGACCTCGACTATGCGATCTCGCCACCGTTGCAGTGGCAGTCGTATTGGATAAGGAGAAGGCTACTAAGGTTGCTGTTGAAGCATTTTCATTGCTCAACGACCAGGTAGACCTCAGGGCGTTCGTTCGGGAGGAAATATCTCCGCATCTTCGTTCGAATTTCACCGTATCAGTCTCCGACGCATTTCCAGTCACGCATTGGCAGGCCACATGCATTAATCTCGCGTTGAAGACCCCTCCTCAGCAGTGGCATCATTTCTGGCTTGACCTCCCTCGTTCGAATAGCACGACCAAGATTGATAGAGTCTGTGAGCTTCTGTGGGATAACCTAGATATTCTCAGAGTGGTTTTCATACGCTCTAGAGGTCAGTATCTTCAAGTCCTACCAGAAGGACTCCGGCCAATAATCCTTCATTATTCTACTAATGGAACTATTGACGAACTTACCTCTAAAATCTGTGGCGAAGATCTTCGGCATCCTGGCACACTCGGAACCCCCTTTACGAGATTCCATGTCCTTTCTGGTCCTCAAGGTGCGCAGCGGTTAATAGTTAGGTCGTCACATGCGCAATATGACGGAACGACCCTCATTCATATGATGCGTTTCGTTAGCGCATTTTACAAGAATGAGCAACTACCCCCATCGCCAACCTTTTCAGCGTTTATTCAATACGCATTCAACAATAAACGTCGTTCTCGGAAGTATTGGAAGTCGTTTCTTCAAGGCTCAGTCCTTACGAAATTCGAGCGAGAACCACTATATAACGACACTGTTGGTACATCCGGGTCCCTAGTGATAGAGAGACTAGTTCGTATGCCGCATACGTTTAGTGGCTTCACCCCCGCAACCATTTTCACATCCGCGTGCGCAGTATTCCTTTCAGAGGCCACGAAATCATCAGATGTAACATTTGGTCGATTAGTATCCGGACGGGCTATGGTACCAGTCCATTTGCGAGATACGGTAGGACCAGGGCTCGGATCAACTACACCAACTACACCAAGAGGGTATATTAAGTGGATTAATCTTAATTTACTAGATCTTCTCGTGGAGTGGATTATGGTGTATATTAATAGCTATTGGTGGACGTTGATTAATTGGTATATTATAAGATTAAGGGCCTCCTATTTACAATTAATTAGTATAGTTCGTTCGATAAAGTTATTCCTATTTACGCTGTCGTTACTTTTTATGCTTTTAAGCTATGCTTTAAATCATTCTGCGAGTTTTTCGTTGCTTATATCGTTAATTTTATTATCGATTATATCGTTCGAATAAGGAAAAAAAATAAGATTAATATCTTTAATTACTTTAACCCGGATTTAGGACCGTAAAACTTAACATATAACGATCGTTTACGTATTCATAATATTACGTAAAAGTATTACCATACGCTTTATAATTAAAAATAACTTTTCGTATTTTGCTAATATCGGTTATATAATAAAAAAATCGAGTGTTATTTTAAATAATTTCGGGTATTTATTTTTTCGATTATATTAATATATAAAAAAATTACGAACTTCGTTATTATTAAATTTTAAATTATTAATTTAATATTAATATTTATTTACTTTATTTAAAATAATTAATATATCGTTTTTTATTAAATTATTACAATTATTTTCGTAAAAAATAGTAAAAAAATTAAATTAATAACGTTATCGTTTAAAAAATAACTTATTATTTTAACGCACTTTTTCCTTAACGATAATAAATTATTTCATAAAGTTATAATATTAAATATCCCATACATATTTAACTTTTATATAAACTTTAATAATTTATTTAAATTTATTTTCCCATTAAATTTTAAATTAAATAAAATATAATAACGATATAATAAATAAATATATCGTTAAGTTTTTTATAATAATTATTAAACTTTATTTAAAATAAGTTTATATTAATTTTTAAATATTCGTTATTAAAATATTCATTTATTCGAAATTTATAATCCTTAAATTATTTCATTAAAAACTCGTAACTTAAAAACATATCTTAAATATTACTATATAAATTAATTTAACCTTTTTTACGTTTTTTAATTATTTTATCCCTTTTTAATAATTATACGATAAATTTAAATAATTTTAATATTTCCGTAAAAACTTTAATTACTTCTTAATTATAATTAATTAATATATTTTTAATTTTACATATAAAAAATTTATCGCTAATTTTTCGTTTATTACGATTAATATTTTCCCATTATTATTTTTAAATTAATATTAATTTTTTAATTTAATTTCGTAAAAATAAAACGCGTTTTATTATATAATAAATAAATAATTAATAAATAAAATTATTTAAAATAACGTTATATATAATTTTTTTCGTTAAATTTATTAATTTTTATTATTATAATAATCGAAGTTTATTAATTAATTTATTTTTTATAAATATATAATTAATAAAATTATAAAACTTATTAATTAAGTTTTTTCGACGCTATTTATTATAATTATCTTTAAATAAATTATTTTCGAAAACTTTAATATTATTATTAAATATTAACGTTTTAATAATAAAATTAAATACGTAATTAAAATAATAACCACGTTATTTAAATCCTTTAAATTCGTACGCGTTACCGATTTTTACTATTACCGTATTATTATTTAACGCGTTATTTAAGGTAAAATATCTTATTTTATTATTAATATTATAATAATTTATAATATTTATAATATAAATAATAATATTAAATCCCGTATATATTTTCGAAATTTTCGAAATTTTTAAAATAAGTTTATAAAGTTTATTATTTTCGTTACGAAAAAAATATACGATACCATAAAATATATAACAATTAAATAATTATTACTTATTAAAAAATAAATATATTAAATTAAAGGATTTTTATAAAATTTATATTATTTTTTTTTTATTTAATTTAAATAAATCCCGAATATATTAATATTATAATACGTAATAAAAAAGTTTAAATAATTAAAAATTTTACGTAATTTTTAACTTTTAACTTAAGAAAAAAGTAGGTTATTTTTAACGATATATTTAAATAATAATCGTTAAAAATAAAAGCGGTTAAATAACTTAATAAACGTATTAATAAAAAATTATTTTTTTTAATCGTTAATTTTTAAACTTATTATTTCCATAATCCTTTTAAAACGTTTTCTTTTTTTAAATTTATCTTTAACTTAAAAAGCTAAAAAAATCTTACTAAAAAAAGCCCGAATATTATAAGTTTTATAAAAATAATTAAAAACGTTTTATATATTATTTATATTAAAAACTTTAAGTTATATTATTTTTTTTTTAATATAATACGCGTAAACTTATTATTATATTTTTAATAAACTTTTAATATTATATTCGTATAATTAAACTTAACTACGTTTTTTTTTATTACGTTTAATATAAATTTATTCTTTATAATAATAAAATAATTATTATTTTTTTTTAAAAAATAATTTAAAAAAGTTACGATTAATTTTTAATTTAAAAATAAATTTAAATATAAATATTAAATTATTTTTAATTAAAATAAGTTTAATAAATTATATTAAAAATAACATATTAACGGTTAATAATAATTTAAATATATTAAATTATTAAAAATTAAATTCGATAAAATAAAATTTAAAAAAATAAATACTTATTAAATTAATTAAAATTAATAATAATTTTTTATTTAAAAGTTTATAAATTAATATATTAAATAATAAACGGTTATATATAATAAATTAATGTTTTCGTAATTTAAACTTTATTAATAATTTAAGTAAAATTAATAAAATTAAGTAATATTATAAATTTTACTTTTTACGATTATATTTTAAATATTACGTTATATATATATTTATATATATAAAAAAATAACTTTTTTTAAAAGTTTTAATTTAATATAAATATTAATATATATAACATTATATTAATTATTAAAAACTTAAAAAGTTATTTAATCGTAATATTTATTTTTAAAAATATATAATATAATTATATTTTTTATTTTATTTAAGTTTAATATTAAATAAATCATTTTTAATAAATATTATATATATTAAAATAATAAGAAAATTTTAATAATTATAATAATATATTTTAATTAATTTTAATTATTTAATTAAATATATAATTATAATATTTATTATTTTCGAATAAATATTTCACTTAACATTATATATATTACTTGTTATAACTTTCGCCACGTTTTTAATTTATTAATACTACCATTAAATTTACTAATAAACATTAACAACGAAACGATACCTTTATTATATTTATAATTAATTAATTACATTAATCCATTAATTTAACTTATAATAACTTCAAGTTAAGTTAATTATTAAATTAAAGTAAACCTAGTGGAATTAAATTAAATTAAATTTCTTAGCAGTGGGTATACACTAATGGATTAACGTTAAATTAATCCGAGCCTTGGGTAAGACCGTGTGTTAATATCATTTCTATGAGGGCACGCTTCGGATGCGAAGACCCCTTACAAGGTGCATTAAAATCCATACACGAACAGCATATCGAAAGTTTGCTCTTCGATACAATCGACTTTGATGATATTATCAAGCACTGCGCTGACTGGCCTTGCAATGCCCACTATTTCGGATGCGTGACTCATTATCAAGATCTCGGTGACGCGGAAGAGGAGATTGGCGGCACTCTCCGTCGATTGGAATGCTACGAAGGCAACAGAGCTGACACGAAAATGATGGAAAACGACGTTGTCATGATTTTAGCAAAGCCTGTCGGAAGCCATCTAAGGTTGGAAATAGCCACTAATGGTGGATATTATACAAGGGAAACAGTCCAGAAATGGTCGGATATACTCGCGAAAACTATTGAGGTATTCGACCAAGTCGTGGATTGTTGTTTATGAAATTCATTGAAGAGATGTGAACACGAAAACTCAAAAGTGGTTAGGTAATTGAGATGACTCAGCATTACTGAGTCAGCATTGTGATTACTCAGAACCCCTCTTGTTACATATTTGAGATTACTAAGATTACCTTTTAAAATCATAGATTCATTACCTAGATATATGCATTTATCACTTCAAGATTATCTAATTTGAGCTTACCTAATATCTCATTAGGTCAGATCTTAATAAGCACCCCACCTAGATCTTACATTCACCTTAATAGTTTCGTTTTAAAAATGTCATCATTAAGCACAAATAGTATGTTTATTTCAAATTATACTATTTATGATACTATTATTGAAAGTCAATGATCATACCTCTTCGTTAGACGTTCCTCGTTATTGTATCAATTAACCAGACCAGACAGCGGGGCCGGGGACCTTGTATGAAGTGCCCTTGCCCATGTAAATGTCGACCTAACAGTTGTTAACTCCGAGTTGTATATAAGGGATTATTCGTTACTTACCATGATACCAGGGTCGGACTGCGCAGCGTACGCAGGGATGGAGGTGAGAGACGCACCGCTAGGAACAGCAGTGCCAGAGCCAGTGACCTTGATCTGCGCGCATTCTGGGTAGAACTGAGGGGTGTTGGCCTGGTGGAGAGCGAGCAACTCATGGCGGATGAGGTAGTTGCCAGGCTTGAGGGTCTTGGGGATACGGCTCGACCATTTCAAGTCCTTGTAGATGAGGGCGGTTCCCCAGTTGTTGCTGTTCAGCACGTCGCCCCATAGACCCATTTCATCGATCTTGAACCACTTCTTGCCCTTTCCATCGCAGGCTGTGAACTCTCCGTCGCAAGAGTACAGGTATACGGTAACGGGGCCCTGTTGGTGTGTCCACTGTTTCCAAATCGCCGTCACGTTCTCGCCAGCTGCGACTTCAGCCGAAAGGGGAGCCGACGTTCCACCGTTGCAGGTCATCTTAGGGTCCGTAACCGTCATAATGGGGTTGTAGTCCGGCCATTGTCGCTGGATGATCTGAGCCCCGGCTACCGGAGAAAATCCCTGATAACCTTCATACTTCTTGCCACCGATCTCGTAACTGGTAACCGCGCCGTGGGCGGCGACCAGGGCGGGAGCGAGGAATAGGGGAAGCGAAAACAGCATCTTGACTTATATGGTAAGGCCAGATGGGTTTTACTGTTAGGGGCAGAGAAGGGTTGATCGAAACCCTTGGCAAGGAGCGAGACGCAGTATTATTTATGCTGATCGTGCTGGTAAACAACCAAAATCTTGTTATGCGAGGATACGGGTAGCGCAACATTATAATCCCACAGTCTAGATTCCCAGGTCAGGTATGTGACCATTCCCGGTGGGCCATACTTGGCTGCAAGGATTGTGACTATTAGGAATCATTAGAAGAGTGCCTACTTGATATTCAATATTGGCTTGAGCAAATAATATCGAACCACATAAGTCAAGTCCTTAGTGTATTAGACACTCGACCATTTTCGTACAGCCACTTCTACAATAACTCATCAAGTATCGACATCCGGCCAAGCGGACCGACGCTTCAACTCGGCGAAACAGAACTCGGCGATCGATCTGCAACTACAGGTTATATAAGGAATCGAAGGCATTCGAAGGTCCCTCGGCCAAACCTAAGCTATATCCTGGATGCTGTATATGAAATCGGTATCAGGTGGTGGCCTTAGAAGTAACCGATTGGAATACAAGACTGCGTCTTAGCAAGGCGATGTCTGGCTTCCCCACAAGTTTCAATATACCGGCAGGCTTGGGTCCGGGGGATGTTACATTGCGGCTACAAATTGGGAAGCCTCCCTGCAATCTATACAATTCCCGGCGCTCTTAGTGCACAATGTGATCATAACCCATCAAGTATTAATAGAACACCTTCAGGCTATATAGGTAGGATAAATCTAAGATCCCGCGCCTCCCCTGTCGTAAAGGTTCAAGGTGTGTGGGGGACTTTGAAATACTCGACTAATGGCAAAATCAGCGCTTCGTTTATCGGCGCAAAGGGGGACAAAGAAGTATGCGATAAATGTAGATAGGTACCTACTAGAAACGAACATATCGTAAAGGGCGTCGTCGGAGCTTCCAGTGTCTACCTAGGTACTACACCCCCAGTACTAGCACAGCCAAGGTTAGTCCCTATTCTCAATCCTCTCCCACCTCTCTATAAACGCCAACACGCCAGGACTCAACATATCCGCCATCTAAATCAACGCGCTATCCCTCTTTCCAATAGACTTCGGGTTCCCTATTAAATTCACGTCTCCCCTAATTAGATACGGATGCCTTGTCCCCACTTCTAAACCCGCGGTCCAGGCCGTCGCCGTCCCATAATCCGAAGACCCGGTCCTAACCGTCAGTTTCGGCTTTGAAGGTAGTAATCGTTTATCCTAAGGCCGATACCAAATGATTCATTAGCTTATCAGTTCATAATGATGATATATCAAAGTTGTCCATGCTGAAAACTCGTAAACTGATCAACGTTTCAGGGAATTTTAGTCTGACTGTCTGAGTAGATCAAAACTTTCTATTTCTGAATCTGGGGTATCTCGAATCCTTAAATACATCGCTTGGGAGTTCATCAAGACTCTTCTTGTACTTCTGACGAGTCTCGGGAATGTCGTGATTAACATCACGTAAAATCATAAACCATTAGGCTTTCTCGTCCTTTTGATTCCTTGAGGACGATAACCATCTCGTCATCGAAGCCAACCCAGTTTCTCCGATCGTCCCATTCAGTGGTAATGTCGTCAGAGGGGGCATTTCCTACCCCTTGTGTATCATCAACTGTTGGCTTGACTGTTGGTCGGACCTCGATGCTCTTTCCATGCACCTTGCCTTCTAATTCCCAGACCCTGATTTCTTCTCCTCGACAGCTAACACTAACTGCTTTGCCACGAGCCGTTATCTCAGCATCGCTTATACCAGAAGTGTGTCCCCATAACCTTATACCAGGTGATATAGAGAGTGAGGTCGCATTAGATGTGCAGAGGTATAAAATCAATGTGTTATCGGATAGGGTTGCGAGGAGGTAAGGGTGGGTGTAGCATAGGTTGATAGGCCCATCTAATTCTTGATCATCTTGGGAAGATAGAAGGTTGCTAGGCTGAGATGGGGAGGTGGGCGGAGATGGTATATGGGTAGGGCTTGACCGAACAGGGAGACTGTATGCCAGTCGGGTGGTTGTGATGTCCGGCGTAGATTTGGACCCAGAAGTAGACGGGCGCAAGTGTAAATCTTGTATACCTAAACACCACCCCTGAAGAGTTGAAAATGTGTAAGCAATTGAAGCCACAATACTTACTGCCGTCTTTCGAATAGACAACGCTAGTGGTGCCCTCGAAGTATGCGATTTAAGTGATGTTAGAAGGTATGGGGCGCGAAGAGCCACCGGTTCAGAGTTTCGTATCTTTGAAGTCGAGCGCGTTGAGGGTGATTCATCTGTTTCTTGCATTGTTTCGCTCTCAGAATCCCCTGTGGTCTTACTTTCTAAGTCTTGAGCTCCAGGGCGAGCCGACTTAGGTGGTCCATTGAATGTATATAGGGATATTAGAACAGATTTAGTTGCCGTTAGGAGGTATGGGTAGGAGAAGGCAATTCCAACTAGTTCCCCATTGGTAGATTTCTCATGGCGATACCTTCGTAATATCCCCCTATCTTGGATATTCAACGTCCAAGTCCCGAAGCTACCGTCGGAAAACCCGATCGCAATGCCCAGAATTTTGTCATGGATCCCTTGATCGTCTATGGTGATGCAGCTCGGAACGACTTGTGAGTTTACTTGACCCAGACCAATTTGCGCCAGTAGATGTTTTGTCTTTAAGTCCCAAGCCCGCAATCCCGTAGCTATATCGGCTGTAATTGCAATGCCTTCGGAGATTTTAACGAGCATCTTATGTGGCGAAGTCGTCTCGGGAGGTGGTAGTTCTTGTCTAAGTTGTAACTCCTCCACGGCGCATTTTCCTTTAGACCAGTTATGTCTGAGCTTGTATTGCTTCTTCCAATCCCGTGAACGGTCTTCTAATTTTCCGACGTGCATGTCTACCCAACCACCTCTTCTCCCGTCTGCCCAAACTGCTTTACGAGACGAATAGTGGAGTTTTCCTTCTCTCGCCGAGCCATTGCGGAATCCGGGGATCCGAAGGGCGCGGGGAAGAACAAAGCGCGAATAGTATAAACGTTTCCATATCTGCGAATCACCGAATAGGTCGTAGAAACGCCGCGATAGTGGTGCGATATTTAGAAGATCGGGGAGGGGTAAGAATGCGAGGATGCGTATAAGAAGTTCGTTCGGTAATGGCGATAGCAAGTCCGGTGATTCGGTATGGCGGGATCGTTTTGTTACCGTCGACCTGGACGCGACGTCATTTTCGCTGCGCTTTCGCTTATAAGTCATCATATAACTCCACAAGAACGTCTGCCAGAATACGAATCTACTACCTATGTGTAGATAAATTCCAAAATTGAAGAGTGGGTTATCTATCGGGTAAAAAGTAGCTCTTAGTTAGTAGGAGGAATAAATCGCATCTTGACATCTCGACAACAAGAAATCGGTGATATCGGATATAATTCTAGAGCGTTACGTGACTAACCTTAAAGCTGACTCATAGTTCTTATGTAAGTAAGATTAGTCGCCCAGACCCGTGACCTTGGCAGCTTGGCAACTTGGCCCGAAGGTGGATCCCCGGTGTTCATAGGGCTAAGACTAACTTTTCGGGGCTTAGCCTATCAGATGGTCGGAGTCTTTCCTAACTCGTTCGATTAGGTAACATCTTAAGTCTTCAGCTAACTCACTTTTATAACACTCACTTATCTCGTCCATGAGGAATTATATTTTTCTATAGTTCAATTCTCTGGAACATACCTAGGTATTCGGTTGTGGATGTTTTAGTACTTATCACATAAGTCGGGATTAATAAGCCAATACCTAGGCTCCTCTTCTGGATATCGATCGTTACATTCTAGTCGGCATAGTCAGCCTCTCAGAGGTCGACTTTTATATCCCATATCAGTGGGATAACGATTCGCATTGGAAATGTAGTATCTGATCTTATTGGTACTATTACATATATAAATGTACTAATCAGTCAAATACTAATCTCTTCTAGAATCAGCCACCCCCTACGGAACCCGCGGGTGCCGAGATTCACCTAAATCTTCCGGAGAAGAGCATGAGGTCAACTTAAACCCCGAGATTCGAGTTTTTGGACGTGTGCAGGAGTTAATACCTCACGTTTCCGGTTATAAGCATTGCATATGCTAGCGAGTTGATTACCGAACAATCCCAACTGTAAATACCTACCTAGCCTCTTTACGCCTGTTATGGAGGCTGAGGCGTCCGATGCGAATGGTGGGTCCGGATCTCCAGGTCCTCGGAGAGCAGTAAGTGAGAATCCGGTACCCGTCGGGTCCGTTATTTAAAGGGGCCATCCTACTACGATACTATCTTTAAACCAAGACATGTTGGCTAAGTAACATCGTGTAACAGTGTGACCAATGCAGACTCAGGAAGGTAAGGGCATTATACTATTCCCACTCCCCCTTTTAGTCATTGCTAAAATCATTGGCCTTGCTAACGACCAAATTCGTGCTGATAGATACGCTGTGACAAGGAATCGCCATGCTCCAACTGCCGTAGCGCTAGGCGGTCATGTAGTTCTACTGGCGCTGGTCAGAAACCCAAGGAGACACGGCAGCGGGTACTAATATCTAGCCAATAGTAAGCACCATAAGGATCTCCTGTAGCTCAGTTAAACAGTGTACATGATCATCTTACTAATCATCTTGTCTCAAACTAGTGAGCGGAAGATTGACTTAATTGAGGAGCGGCTCGGCGGTATCGAGACCCTCCTGAGAAACCTAAGCCCAATCTCAGCGCCTAAGACACACGACAAAGAAACTTTCACATATCGATCACCCGAAAAGCTGACCCCTTTATCTTCTAACAGTCGAGATGAGGCATCAAGCACCATCTTTGACCCCGAAGATGCAGGAGACTTCGAAGGTAACTCGTCCTTGGCAGCACATACTGTCTTCGCCAGCGAGTTTCTCGAGCATGCCGTGCAGGGGACCCCACTGCAGCAGCAAGGGAACGTCCCTAAGATTGACACCGCACTATCATCACTACGTAATATGTTAAACATACATAAGACTCAGCGTGCTATATCATCGTTCCACGAGTTGCGTTTACCCGGTTCAAAGCCGACTCCAAAGATTAACTTACACGATCTACCTCTGCCTCCCATGTCACTTGTAGCAGAGAAAATACGAGAAATGAAGCGTATGATATGTCCCCTTCTACTCCACGTCCTAGCATCTTAGTTTCATATCCATGGATCATTTTGTAGGTCTCACCTTCTAACGTCGTACTCCAGATGGCCCGGCCCCGATGATGCTTGCTATTCTCTACTGCTTTATGGAGGTTGATCGCTTCACTGATCAATGCAGACGAGTTTATTTCAATACTGGCGACGTCACGGACGCTACATATATCCTCGTCAACTCTGGTCTCGCCTATATGTTTTTTGAAGCAGGGCTTGGCGCAAAAGACCCCGAGGAAAAGGCTCAGTACCATTCATATTACACTATGTGCCAGAAGAACTTGGAGGTTGTCCTATCGCAACTAAATCTTCTCATGCCGGCGACACTAGAGAATATAGAAGCTTTACTTATGGCGGTGAGTTCCCTCCTGTGAAGAGATAATGAAACATAGATCGTATGCTAGGAGATGGGTTTCCCCTCTACCTAGATATAGACTAATGTAACGTTATTGACAGGCAAGTTTCTCCATCGATATATCACGGCCCTCTCTAGCTTGGCTTTTGGCTTCACGGGCCGCACACATGTGCAGGACACTAGGCTTACACCAGATGCACACCATGAAAGACGATAGCGTACAGAAGAAGTCCGATAAGTCGCTACTATTCTGGTGCACTTATATGCTCGACAAGGGCCTGTCTTTGAGGTTAGGTCGAGCATCTGTCCTTCAGGACTACGACATATCTCTGCCACATATAGCCCCCGAAGCTAAGGCGGCCTATCCAGGTACAGAGGTCATGACACTGTGGATAAAACATGCGCAGGTTCAGGGCCGTATCTACGAACGCCTGTACAGTCCCGGTGCTCTGCGGCAGTCAGATATGTACCGTGTCGAGCAGGTCGGTATATTATCCGCAGAGCAAAAGAACCTAATGGCTCAAAGTTTGGAGCTCTACGAGGAATTCAAAGCATCTGAGACAGCTGAGGGTCGCATGTTCGCCATCGTGCTCAAATCTGACGAAGTTTCATACCTTTCGTCATTAGCCCTGACATATCGCGCGATGCCGCCTGCAGGTACACGCTCTCGCACCTTTTCGGATGAGTGCATTGACTCCGCACGAGCAGCAATGACTGGTCACCAGGAGGCAATGGCTATGATGGACGACCAATCTCTAAAAATCGTGTATATCCACTGGTGAGAATCTCTTTTTCCCCACAGCTCTCTTATATAAAAACCTCCCACTAATCATATAAACATGAAGGACGATTCTCTACGCACCATTCATCCCATTTATCGTAATCTTCTGCTTAGTGATTGAAACATCGAGCGCGGAGGACCTGCAACGACTAGGCGATTTTGTGCAGTCGTTGGCAGCGGCGTGCGATCTATCGCATTCGATTTTCAAACTGCACCAGCTGTGCCAAGTTCTATATAATGTCGCGCAGCTTTACATAGAAGCCAAGGCGCAGCAACCCGTGGATCAGGATATGGTGCCGGTAGGCAACGAATTCAATATGTATCTCAGCCAACTGGGGCTCATGCCCACGGACGAAAGCATAGCGAATTTCGATGTCAGCGGTAACGGGAATATCGATGACCAGGCGAGGTCTATGGCGCAGACAACACAGTTGGGGGACTGGTTCTCGGGGAATAATTATATGCTGGGTTTGTTGGAGGAGGATCTTTCAGGGATAAATTCCACGGGTTGGCCGTCATGAATTGTTTCATCGGGAAAATATTTAATGTGGATAGATAGGTACGAAAGGGTGTACGTAATGGTAGGCCGGGATAGTGACATTCGATCATGGCTGAGATTCCTTCTCAAATATGTCTTGGTATCTCTAATTCTTGATAAAGGTTTCTTCATCGCGAGATAGATAAAATTCAGGTTTGACGAATATGTTGAACGAGCCGGGTGTGAAAGTAAATAAAATCTTAAATTTTGCATTTCACGTCGTCTTCATGGCTAGTATCGACTAGCAGACGAATGTCGGTAATGGATATGTACACAACCGCAACTCCTTCATTCTCCTTTCCCCGTTTCCTACCTTGCCTTTCTTCCAACTCACGAACTAGTGCCCTTGCTCAACCTCTCAGCCTCTAGTTCCTGCTCGGCGCGAATGTAGTATTTCGCGGTGTCAACACCATGCTGGTTATGGTTGACAAAGTTGAACCAGGGTATCACGGCAAAGAATAATGCCGAGTACCTCGACTGTCGAGCGGCTACACCCTGCATATGCGGCGTCACTGTGCTCGCGCCGTATAGCGGCTCTCCGGTCTTGACTTTATCGACCATTTCTCGCATGTCCATCTCTACTTCGCGGGCGTTCTCGGACATGCCGTAGAATCGTACTGCAGATATAAGCTATTAGTGTGGGGTGTGCATGGACGGGTATCGATGTGGAGGAGACGTACGGGATGATCGTTGGTAGAAGTATAGGAATCCGCCGATTAAACCTATCGCTCCGGATAGACGCAGTGCTCTTACGAATCCACCCCGGCCGACTTGCGAAGGTGCGAATTTCTCCATCGCAAGTAGGAGACCCGGACCACCGGCGGCGGCTACGGTGCCGTAGATGTAGTCCGATGGGCGGGCATATCCCACTACTCTCCGGAAATGTCTAATAGGGCATAGTATGTTAGTCAAAAGGTCTATCCGAATCGTTGCATCCTTCGTGGAGGTTCGAGATCGTTACGTACGGGTCATTGTCGATGAGCTAGAAAGATCTCTAATTAGTGAATTAGTCCACAGACCAATTGACATGGATACGTACGGGATAGTCGGACTTCGCGACTTTGCTAGGAATGTACGTCGGTTGCGTAGAAGTCGCCATTCTTGCGGAGTCTAATGGAGCTCCCCAATAGCTTCGGTGTGGTGAAATAAGTACTTCGTAGATTTGATTGAGGTCATTGTTGAAGCTTCGAAATCGCGAAGTCTGAGAAATTGATGAGGTAAGCGGGGTTTCTTCGGATATACTAGGGTCGGAGCTGGGATGTGGACCCCGCTAGAACCAGTTACAATTCCGTCATTAATAACCTTATTGAGAACTAAATTGCCCCACGTTAAGTCGCGTCTTTCATCGATCCGACGCGTCTTATCAATCTTTAATTAAGGATATTTCTAGGATCTATCAATTCATTACTTTCACTAGAATCGAATATAGTAGTAATGGCGCCACGAGCAGATTCGGTGGCTGCAAGGCCGAAAAATAACGATATTGACAATTACGATGTCGACGACGACCCGTTCGCTGAGTCGGGAAACGAAGCCCCTGCCAACAACGCGCAATCGAAGAAACGTAAAGATACTACCGGCCTAGGTATTGACGAAGCTGTAGCTGTGGGAAAGAAAGCTAGAGCTCCAATTGTCAAATTAGATGAAGGCAGGTTCGTATTACCGCCAAGAAAAATTGGTCAATATTGCAGAATATGAGCTCATCAAGTTTAGACTATTATCCGAGAAGGGTATACCAAGACTACGAAGAAAAGCACGAGAGCTAAAGTTCAAAGGCAAAGGACATGAGGTACGTACTTATACATTCACGCCCTTTATGAAGAAACTAGTGGAATTGACGATGGTCTAGTTCTCAGATACTGCTAGGCTACTGTCATTCTACCAATTATGGTTCGACGACCTATTCCCGAAGGCGAAGTTCCTAGACGCCGCGGCTATGGCAGAGAAGGCTGGTCACAAGAAATATATGAGAATGAAGCGGATGGAGTGGATTGACGAAGGAAAGCCCAGGCCAGCAGGACTTGACGGAGACGATGACGATCTCTTTGGAGAGCCTAACGGTCAACCAGAGGAACGCTCTGCCGCAATATTTCCAGCCAGGATCGCCCCAATATTCCAGAATTCCGCAAGCGAGAGGCCACGAACACCAATACATGATGATGTACCTGATGACGAGGATATGGGTGATATCTACAACGCTAGTCCAGTGGCTTCAAGGACAACACAACCTGCAAATACTTCTATGTTTGGAAATGGAGGGGCGAGTACATCGCTGTTTGGAAATGGTGGCGGTGGGGAGCCAGATGAAGACGACCTAGATGCGCTGATGGCTGAGGAGGAAGCACAACGCACGAAACCCACTTCTCTCTTCGGTAATGGCGGTACTGTGAAGGCCAGTCGACCACAAGATGAGCCGGATGAAGATGATCTGGATGCATTAATGGCAGAGGCTGAAACCCAACCGAAGCAGGCGCCAGCTGCTGCGAATCACGACGAAGATGATGATTTAGATGCGCTGATGGCAGAAGCAGAGAATCAAGACCAGGCAAAGCAGCCTTCTAGTTCGAAGCCGAAGGAGGCCACAGGTATATCAAAAGATGCGGCAGACTCTGATGAAGAGGAAGCTATGGCTGAAATGGATGGTTTATGGTGAGTCAAACTTGGTAACGGGAAACGGCATTATCATGCATGTGATGGTGTTTAGGAGTTTGTTACGATGGTCTGGCGATCTATATATGATCGGATTGCCACTATTTTAATGTCTTAAATGAATTTCGTCCGTTACAATGCAGAGATGAAAGGATGAAAGGGCTTGGAGCTCAATAGGTATGACTCAACTCAGGAGTGAACAACCTTTGAACACCACGATTACTTGGTACCTCTGTCCCCAGTGCATCCATCCATTCGTATATTCTCACATTTCAGTTAATTCCACACACATTGACGCATATTTATTTCTTGAGCCCCTATACACACCATCTAAACTAGTTGTACCTCGGTACCTGCACGTATACTTCGGTACGAAGTACATGTAAGCTTTATCGATAAGTCTTTGAATGATCCACTCTGCCATATTTCACCCTACATCCCACCAAATCCACTTCCGCTTCCACTTCACCAGGAACATTACTTGTGAGAGAAAACGTCATTCGATGGTAACGTCTTAATTCTCTGTCGCCGTTAGCTGGAGCATTTCTTCGAGTCCAAATTAACGTCTCAAAGAAATATGGCGTCTCCAGATCTTGTAGAAGCTATCCAAAAGCTTCATATTGGGGACGACACGAATATTGACGATATCCTCTTCCAACAAGGTCCCCGCAAACGACTAAAGCAGGATCCTGCAGCGCTTAAGGCTGAACTCGAACAGAAATACCTGACCCCTTCCAGCACTTTCTCTACCGAATGGCTCAACCGTCTACAGCAACGATGGGACTGCCCGACCGATCTCACCGAACTCTTTCGCATTGCGCCGACCCAAACCCGAACCGTTACACGATTCCAGCGCCAAGGCCTTGAGGGTAGAGTGACGGGATACAAGAATGTTACTGTACCAGCAAACAGTGCCACAGCCAAGAACTCGACGTCCCTAATGCGTAAGCCTGGCGGCCGAGGCGATTTCGTTCGTGGAGCGGCCGGGTTCTTCCCCTTTGCACCCGGCGGATTGGAAAGTGTCGAGGCGACCGCTGCTATAGAGGATCAGATGGTGCGCTCTAGTACTACCGGCACACAAAATAAGTTAGAACGAGTCATCAAGCTCGGTGCCGAAGGCGGACTCCTCGAGGTAGCCCCTGGTTTGGAGAGAGGCATTGACTTCAGCAAGAAGAAGTCCAAGTTCGATGAAAAAGAAGCTAAGGCCATCGAAGCAGAACTTGACCAAGAACCTGAGCAAGAACCCGAAACGGAAGAAGTGAATGGACATGCGGAAACTCATGGCGCTGAAGAGGAACCCGACGAGGAAGACTCCGAAGATATTGACTCGTTACTACCAGTCGAATTTCCAGCTTTGGAGCCACATAGTAATCTTGCAGGATCAAGTGCAAGAAAGGCTGGTCGAGAATGGGCTCACATGGTAGATATTAACCGTGATATTACCAATTTCCGAGAGCTTGTTCCCGACATGGCTAGGGAGTGGCCATTCGAGCTAGACACCTTTCAAAAAGAAGCCATCTATCATCTTGAGAACGGTGACTCGGTTTTTGTTGCTGCGCACACATCAGCCGGCAAGACTGTTGTAGCCGAATATGCTATTGCGTTAGCTGCGAGACATATGACCAAGGCTATCTACACGTCACCTATCAAAGCCCTAAGTAATCAGAAATTCCGAGATTTCAGACAGACCTTTGACGAAGTTGGTATCTTGACGGGTGATGTCCAGATCAACCCTGAAGCAAGTTGTTTGATCATGACTACCGAAATTCTACGGAGTATGTTGTATAGAGGCGCCGACTTAATTAGAGATGTAGAATTTGTCATTTTCGACGAAGTTCACTATGTCAACGATTTCGAACGTGGTGTAGTCTGGGAAGAAGTTATCATTATGCTTCCGGAGCATGTGTCACTGATCCTACTCTCGGCTACGGTTCCGAATACGTACGAATTTGCTTCCTGGGTTGGTAGGACCAAAAAGAAGGATATATACGTCATCTCGACGCCGAAACGACCTGTACCACTGGAACATTTCATATGGGCCGGTAAGAATATTTGCAAGATCGTCGACAGTGATAAGAAATTCATTGAAAGGGGGTGGAAAGAAGCAGACCAGGCGATACGTGGGAAAGATAAGGTTCTTCCGGCACCCGCTGCTCGTGGTGGTGGCAACCAACGAGGAAACCAACGAGGAGGTCCTCAGCGTGGCGGTCAACAACGCGGTGGCCAGCGAGGTGGTGGTCAACAGAGGGGTAGAGGAGGCCCCCCGAGAGCTAGCCATGCACCTGGACATATGGGTCGTGGTGGGCGACCCGGCGGTTTTTCGTCGGTCAACCAAGACAAGAACCTGTGGGTTCACCTTGTGCAATTCTTGAAGAAGTCTTCTCTGCTACCCGCTTGTATCTTTGTCTTCTCCAAGAAGAGATGTGAGGAAAATGCAGATGCACTGAGCAATCAAGATTTCTGCACTGCTCAAGAGAAGAGCCATATCCACATGATCATCCAGAAATCGATTGCTCGTCTACGACCCGAGGATCGAGTTCTACCACAGATTGTTCGTCTACGCGAACTCTTGAGCCGAGGAATTGCTGTACATCATGGCGGCCTCTTACCGATTGTCAAGGAAATTGTTGAGATTTTATTCGCTCAAACATTGGTAAAGATTCTCTTTGCCACAGAGACCTTCGCAATGGGTCTCAACTTGCCGACAAGAACTGTTGTATTCTCTGGTTATCGGAAGCATGATGGGCATTCATTCCGAAATCTTCTCCCCGGTGAATACACCCAAATGGCCGGCAGAGCTGGTCGTCGCGGTCTTGATCCAGTTGGCTCCGTCATCATTGTGCCCCCTGGAAGTGTAGACCAAGCACCACCTGTGAGCGATCTTCAGAAGATGATACTGGACCCGCCTAGTAAGCTGAGGTCTCAGTTCAGATTGACTTACAATATGATCTTGAACCTGCTGCGAGTAGAGGCGTTGAAGATCGAGGAGATGATTAAGCGCAGCTTCTCCGAACACGCTACACAACAACTCCTCCCAGAGCACGAGAAGGCAGTCAAGATTTCCGAAGCTGACTTAGCCAAAGTGAAACGGGAGGCGTGTAAAATTTGTGACGAATCTCTAGAAGCATGTCATCAGGCATCAATGAATTACAAGCAATTGACACAAGAGCTCTACAAGGGTCTCCTAACTATCCCCATCGGCAAAAAGCTATTCACACAGTCGCGATTGATCGTATTTAACAAAGATGGTGTCCGAACTCCAGGAATTTTGCTGTCGAACGGCGTCAGCACGAAATTATCGGGAGGCGAGCCGACTGTACACGTATTCGAGATGAGGACTGAGCGCGAAACTCGTAATTCGACGGATTTGCTACCCTTCATCGAATCATTCCGATTCCTACTTACGGCACTCCCACGTCAGAGAAAGTCGATGCTCTCACGAATCGCCCATGTGCCGCTTAGCGATATTGAATGTCTCACAGGTAAGCTCACTACGGGAATCGTGCCCGAATTCTTTGAGCAGGGAGAGTCTCGCCAGAAAGCGAAAGACCGAATGATGAGTATCTGCAAAACATGGGATTCAGATGTATGGGATGAGGTTAGCTTTGCAAAGATCAAGAACCTCCCGTTACAGGAAATCATCGGGAAGCGCCGACAAGAGGAGGCCACTATTAAAGTTACTGCAACTACTTACTGCCGTAACTTTTTGAAGCACGTAAGTCTCAATGCACTCTTATCACTGCATTTCATGTCATGCAAGTACTAAATAATTACAGTTTGCTATGTGCCATGATCAGTGGCTTATCAAGGAACACATTTCATCCCTTCGCTCAGCACTCGCAGACCAAAATCTCCAATTATTGCCGGACTACGAACAGCGCATTCAAGTCTTGAAAGACCTTTCTTTCATTGACGACGAAACCCGCATCCAACTCAAAGGCAAAGTCGCATGCGAGATCCACTCGGCAGATGAGCTCGTCCTCACCGAGCTCATCCTCGACAACGTCCTCGCAGACTACGAACCGGCCGAAATAGCCGCCCTACTCTCAGCCTTCGTGTTCCAAGAGAAAACGGAGTCGGTACCCAACCTCACAGGTAGCCTCGAGCGCGGCATGAAGACCATCATCGAGATCAGCGAAAAGGTCAACACGGTGCAGACGGAACGCCAAGTGATCCAAAGCTCGGACGACAGCAACGATTTCGTGTCGCGCCCGCGCTTCGGGCTCATGGAGGTTGTGTACGAGTGGGCGCGCGGCATGAGCTTCAAGAACATCACGGATCTCACCGATGTGCTCGAGGGCACGATCGTCAGAACGATCACGCGCCTCGACGAGACGTGTCGCGAGGTTAAGAACGCGGCCAGGATTATTGGTGATCCCGAGTTGTATCAGAAGATGCAGACCGCGCAGGAGATGATTAAGAGGGATATTACGGCTGTGGCGAGTCTGTATATGTAGGTGGTGTGTTTGTCTTTCCGACCTATACGAGGTTGGGGGGATGAGTGAGGTAGGAGGTTTTGTTTGTGGCAGCATTTGGGACTTGGGAAAATTCATGATGGGGTTATGATTGTAAGATGAGATTACGGTATCATGAAACTGCTATGAAATGAGACTTGCTATTTGGTACATTCTTGTTTTCTAGTGTTGTGCTTGCTTGTGTTAGACGTGATAAATATGTGCTGGAACTTCCTTATTTGAAATAGGTTCATGTTGAGCATGATATCGACTGATGAGGAATAAAAAACACTCAAGTGCTCATCCATACTGGCCTTCTGTTCCAATTCAAGATTAGTTATGATATAAGAGAACTAGACTAGAAATTCTCAATAGAAGATGCATAAGTAATAATAAAATCATGTTGTTGCCCCGTTAATTAATTCACTTACATATCAACATAAACCCATCTACATTAACACGTTGAAGACATAAGCAGCACGCAAGACTTAAAAATCGTCTATTCATTCAACAACCCAACCCACAAGTCCCAAACCCCGCCCATCAAGGAGCAAAAAAAAAAACATCATTTGTTTCTAGTCCCTGGTAACTAATAAGCGATGCCATATCAGCCCCCGGGGACAAACATGAGAAACCGGAACGCCAAACCCGTCCCTTATGTTGTTGTTAATGCTAGGTAATCAAAGTCTGCCTTCCCTCTACATCCATCTCACGGGTGTGCTTCTAGTCCTACTTGTTGCAGTCAAGCCAGTCACTCCACTTAGCACTCACATCGCCAACTGCGCAACCCGCTCCTCCTCATCACCCCCACCACCACCCCCTCCCGCACCACCATCGCCATCACCACCAGCACCGCCATCAAAGCCCCCAGCCTTCTAAGCCCTAAGAGCCCTCAGGCGCTGCTGCAGCGCGTCCTCCTCCTCGGCCGTCGGTTCCGCGGCGGCAGGCAAAGCGGGCTCGGCGCTGCTGGGCTGCGCGGCGTTCAGCTGGGAGTTGAGCTGGACGCCGGCGTCGTCGGCGAGCTTGCCCAGCAGCTCGTGCACGGCTTCCTCGGATACCTGCTGCGAGGTCGTCTGCGAAATCGCGTCTTGGTAGATCCCGTTGTTCACGGCGTATTCTTCGTTCTGCTGCTTGAATTGCTCGAGCGTCATGAGGGTCTGTTGCGTTGTTAGTGTGTGTTTGTGTATGTATGCAATTATTTGGTAGGGGAGGACGTACGCGCTCCGGGTTCATGTTCCGCTGGGCGGCGTTCATGGTGCGCGAGGATTGCCCCATCATGTGCGTCATGCGGTTCATCGCGTTGTTCGCCTGGATCTGCGATACGCTCAGCTCGGCCATGTCGGCCATCTGGTCCATCTGCTGCGCGAGAGCCTGCTTTGAGAGCAGGACCTTGGCTTTCTGGTACGCCTTCGCTGTGTCGCCTTTTTTTAGTAGCTCTTGGATCTGCTTCTTTAAGAGCGGGTCCTGTTTCGCGGCTTTTTGGGCCTCGCGGCGGGCTTGTTTGGCTTGGAACTGTTGAGAGTAGTGTTATTAGCGACTAGAGGTGATACGAGGGGTTGAAAAGAGATAGGTGGCATACGCGAGCCTGGAATTCGACTTGCATGTCGCGGGCGAGTTGTCGGTTCGACATCTTGACTGATTGGAGATAAGCGTGAGGTTCGTGGATTAATGATAGTTAGCCGATGATGGCTTTACGGACGAAAGCCCGATGGATATCTCGACCGAGTATGCGTTCAATTTGGTGGATAATGTCGAAATGAGCGAAATGATAGGATAATGTTGCAAAGGTCGTCGTCGTTAGGAAAGATGCGGAATGGAGTTGCGGTTCGGTGCTCTGACCCAGTCGGCAACCGGGCATTTCTTGGTGGGGCGAAGTTAAACGCTTCTCTCTGACGAATGACGCAGTTTAATGGATTTGCCAAGAGTCACGGTTCGCCGCGGCTGCGCAGTTGCAACTTTCAATCATTCAAGCCACACATTCTCCGATATTTCAGCCACATCTCTATCGATAAAAGGTCACAGTCAGCACTCCGCAGTCAGCACAGACATGCATAAAATTTATTAAAGGGGTGTGCTGTTTCGTAATAATATCCAATCATGAACATTAAATATGGTCATGACTGTTGATCGAGCAGATCTTCTTTTCTATTTGTTTTATGATATTTCTTACTGTTCGAATGACATGTTTGATTGTAAGAAACAAACATGATTCTGAAGATGCCCCTTGTATCCCTTGTTTGGATCGATAGGATCGAGCATTTTTGAAGATGTTTATCACGAGTAACCCTTGGAACTCAACTCTGCTACTATGCAGTTATGCTGCAAGGACCAAATTTTTCGCTTACTGTGCGCAGTATGAGGGTATGATGAACATCCATAAGGAAGGGAGATGCAGAGTAATGCCCCTTCATTGATAGGGATATTACTGTCTTTTCCCTTTCACTCGCTAGATCATGCTGTTTGAGGTGTTCTATCAAGGGGTTCTAGTTCTAATTACGAATAGATGACGAGTTGCATAACAAAATGATATGTTCAACTCCCGTGGAGGCATTGCTAAAGAAATAGTCAAGTCTAAAACTTACTACCATCAATGTAGTATTCGGTATGAGTATTTTCGTAATTCGTCGAAGCCGAGATACTGATTTAGTAACAAGTCTAACGTTCATTATGCGAGATGGCCAATATTTGGGGTTCTTCTCGCATTAATTGCATCGTACCAAGACAACCTAAGCTCGTGGTCGATGTCGTACCTGGAGTAGCTGAGATAGGCTAGCGAACGCCGGACTGGTCGTTGAATACGCCGAGGCGATTGGATCGTCGTAAGATTCAAAGGGTACATGTACCTAGCTGCCTAGTCAGCCCTAGAACCTGACGTGAGGCCATACGATAGAATAATATTGGAACGCAGAAGAACGAGATAGGCAATTTAGTGCATATCCTGTTCTGTAGCGAGTAAATGCTCGACATCATCAAGTCGTCAGCTTCATCATCACTAAAGAGATCGCTATTGCGTGATTTTTATTAGAATTCATTTACGATTTTACTGTCCGTCGTCTGGAATGTACATAGCTGCGTAGGTATGTACTTTATGATGGCGAACTAGCATCGTATCAATGTGCGTAATCTTGGGGGCCTCGTGTTCAAATATGGGGACTTCGCTTGACTTGTCCGAGTTTCCCTTGTCGGAGCAGTCGGAGGCGGGAGAGAAGAAGAAAAGGGGGCGGGCCGGAGAATATCCCCATTGGTGATCGGGACTAGCCATTCGATAGGGGGCTTGGCCGCTTGAGGGGGGGCTAGAACGTTAAGTCCGCCCACAATTTCCTGAAACAGGCGTCGTGTAGGACCCATTTTCAGCACTCCGTCGCCTGCCTCGTTCAACTTGTTCTGACTCTCCGGTCGTTTGATTTCGAGACGGTTTGTATGTGCGTTAAGCCATCATAAAGGTCATAGCATATTACTTAGGTAGGTAGACTTGCCTAAGGTAGGTTGGTATGGCCCTTGGTATAGCCGATAGGATAGTGTAGGATAGTTATAAGCGAAAGATAGTAGGGAGGCGATGTCTTTCCTCCAATCAAGGGACGGGATGAATTCAATATTGTTAATCAATTGGAGAAATGCAACACGTGCTCCTCGTTGTAGGCACCGACATAGCTATGGTGTAGGGAGTATACCACCTACAAATGCACGCTGCAATGTCGCTAGCTCTAGCTAGGTGATTATCAAATCCATATGACCCTCACTCACCTTTTCACCTTGCCCTAAATTGGCTAATATCTAGAGGCGTGACACAAAAAGTGCATGAATATGTTGTGCCTCCATCTAGATCTGCTGATTTATCGAGCCGGACTTTGCGGGGAAGATTGCGAATTCGATGCAACATTCAGATGGCCCACGATCCACCGTGCTCGCGGAACTTCGGCTGCTCAATTTGAAGCGGAAGGTGTTTGGATTTGTGGAATTCGAGAGCAACGGACGGAAGCAGGGAAGGTCTGAGAGATCCCTTTACATAAACAGTGTTTCATTGCCCGACGAATGAGAGACGAGCTTGGCCGAGAAAGGTTGGTAGTTTGTCTGTGCATGCCGCGAGAGGGATTAATTTGATAATTTTCATCTTTCTGAGATTTGCACAATGTTTGACATGGCACAGGAATCCTCTTTCATCAGCCAGCGATTTCAGGTTAAGACCAACATCGCACGATGCTACTCAGAACGGTCTAATTTGATGCGGGTTGGCGGCTTCGAACGAGGCTGAGTGTGCTCCCAATACGGCGTAAGACCTAATTTATAGGCACCTAAATATTTTGCATAGTACAATACAGCAGTGCTGAAGTCATAAAATCAGCCCTAGTGACATTAATAGACGAGTGCTGTTTCGTGCGAAAAGGGCTGGTTCTAGCAAAATCCTTATTGGCTCGTTCGCTGGTTCGATGGTCTCGATTTAAAATGTCGCCATTAACCCTATCCAAAATCGTCGTCGATCAAGGGGCCAAGAAAACGCTTTGAGATAATGACAAGGTGAGATTGATCAACCAGTTCATCGTGGATGAAGTGGAGTTTTTTTCACGGCAATGATAATAGTTTCCCAGATTGGTAGCTATGATTTGCAGCTCGCTGAATTCGATAGTTGAGATCTTCTATTCGGTCACGGTAGTTTGTTACAGAATAGGTAAGACGATAGGGTCAAACTACTGTCCTCCCTATTCTAGTATGTGCAATATGCGCACATGTACATATAAGGACAATTTTGCCGAGTCCATCCGTAGCGAAGCAACAATCCTTCCAGCGATTGTGGTGGAAGCCAAGTCTCATACTGTAACAAACCATATCGAGGCTTGAAAATCGAGTTGTACGAGAGTCAATTGAGAATAAGATATGTAATTGCCATGTCCGAATTAAGAAGCAAACTGCCTCGAAGGATTACAGGCTTCTAGAACGACTCGAAATATCCCGGTTTGACTTGTACGATGACGTCGGTCAAACGAACTTGGATTAATCTAGATTAAATATAATTCCAGCCTCAATTTAAACCTACCGATCTTAAATCATGTCGGTGATCGAAAGGTGTGAGAAGATTTAGGTTGGCGATGGCTTCGTTGCCGCTTTTGAGCCGGTTCGTCTCACACGCCGTATATGCCGCATATTCCTATAGCAATAGGCAGACAACCACTAGATGAATAGGATGAAATGCGACGAAGGATTGCCGCCTCACTAATAACAATGCCGTTCCTGAAATCTTATATTACTAACCGCAAAGTTTGGCTCTTCCCCAGATTCCGTCAGGACAATGCGGACGGCTTCGGCAGTCCTTCCGCCGTAGTTGGCCGACCATTCTAGCTCGGCAGCAATACAGGCTAATACCCCAGGTACTGATTAATTGCGGATAGATTATTTCTATACTCTCCCTTTTCCTTCTCGGAGACCAATTGAGTTTTTTTTTCTTGCCGTAAACAGGTCGAAGGGATTAATGAGTTGACAAATAGTGGATTTTTCCAATTCGCCCTCGTTGGAATTCGGCCGTGTTAATTTGTCTTGGTATTTAGGTAGATTTTGGATGTCAACAACATGAGCCAATTCATTGATACTGACATATGTACCTAGATAATTCTACCCGATATAAGCGTCATAATAATAATCTCTAACTGACATGAAGCCTATTCGGGTAGAATCTTAAAGCTTAATCTGATGGCGATGATGGTGATGGCGCGATTAGGATCGTACGTCATGAATCCTTCTATTCTATGTTGGTTTAATAGAAGGTGAGGCTTCTCAGCGAGGGCATGCTGGGCATGCAAGTCAGCGGTGGGCTGACATAGTTGGCTGACGAACGTGTCCTGCGAGTCCAGCTCACTGGGTGGGTTAGTGGATTGGTGGATTATCCCAGCTGCTAATAATAACCACCGAAAGCCTTGGGGCGTTTCCAAATTGGCCTCTGTCTCCGCTGATCGTATCGAAAAAATAGAGGCTGAGGATCAACTCAAGACTTTAATCAGGGGGCTCCGGCCACTAGAATGTCGCCATGGAATAGTTCGAATGCACTAAAACCCCTATTCGTAACAGCATGAACGCAACAATCCACCTAAAAAAGAATATATCCATACTTGTTGGTATCGTACCTGGTATCCATAGATAGGGACGTCAACGATATTCTGCTTAGAATGGTCAATGGTAGATAATTGTATGTGGTAAGAGTGTTGGTCCAATCGGTAAGTTTGTCGAGTGATTAAGTAAATTATTAGGTCAATTGATTAATCCAATAAATATGATTGTAACCAAACTTCGGTTATACATTGCAGTTTCCATTGTTATGTAACCATTGTAGAGCCGGTTCGGTTGATGGACCTGACTTTATTAGATGGAAGTCGAGGGAAAAGGGAAGATACACTGCTGAGTGACTGTCGCAGGGAAAGTGCACAGGCACGATGGCGAATAGGACCGGATAACAGGGAACTCCCATTCGTCTCGGCGGTTTGGTGCCACAAGATCCACTTGCCTAGTTGAGATTCATCAACCCCTGACACTTCCTCCATCCCTTCTCCAAGAGTCTCCAAATCCTTGTAACACTCACCAACTCCCTAGCAAGGGTGGTACGTATATTGGCCCCACCAGTGGCTGACACACATGCCCACCTAAGACCTCTACAGGGGTTCAAGCACGGAAGTTGCGGCCTCAGGCATTTCCAGGCTCCTAAATTTATCAGGACACGTTGAACATAAAGAGACGTTCTTGTCTCCCATCCTTCCCACCAAACAACCAGAGTTCAATTAGTCCAAGCACCAAGTCCATCAACCACCAATCAAGGAAGGGTAACACGGCAACTACATATACTAGGACTCTCGCTTTTAGGCCACCGTGTCCTTTATACTTTAACTCGTTGCACTCACCTGACTCAACACCGCACACCACTTAGGTACTTAGCAGTGTTGACTCATCCATCCTTGTCTTAGCAATACCATGCGTTGGCAAGGGTGATCTTGTTGCTGTTTATTTGTACTGAGGAACTAGGACGGCACCTCTTTACTTTCAGCTCCATTCATAATTCTTCTAATTAGCTACGCCATTGAAGTTTACCAAAGCTACAAAACAACAGCTAAATCTGAAGCAAGCTGCTGTAACCCATCAGCCTTGCAGCTTAGAAGAAACCAAGACCTCCTAACAACAAACCAGACACCAAAATACAGAGACACAAAATAAACAAAATGGATAACTGGGAAACACAACAAACTGCTACCTCGACACCTCAAGTCAAGTTCGAGGCTTCTCCAGCCGAGTCTCTAATGTCTGTCCCTGGCGACATGTATCCCTCCCTCTTCGCCACCTCTTCTTTAAACGCCTTGGAGAGTGCCATGACTCCCCAATCATTCACAGAAGAGAAGTCGGTAGACCTGGATGGCATCGATGCCACACCTTCTCCGGCTCCTGAGAATGGAGAGAAGAAGCCTACTAAGAAGAGGAAGTCATGGGGCCAAGTCCTCCCAGAGCCTAAGACTAACCTACCTCCAAGGTATGATTATTTACGTATGCATTAACAGATGGTTGTTTGTGCTAACAAGTACAACAGGAAGCGAGCTAAGACCGAAGATGAGAAGGAGCAACGAAGAGTCGAGCGAGTCCTTCGAAATCGCCGCGCTGCTCAATCTTCTCGGGAACGTAAGCGACAAGAGGTAGAAGCCTTGGAACAGCGAAACCAACAATTAGAAGAATTACTGCGAAATCAGCAGAAGACGAATGAGATGTTGATGGATGAATTGAACAAGCTTCGACGGGGCGACGGTGTTAGCCGAAGCTCGTCTCCACTTGATGCATTCCAGCCTTCTCCCCTAACTTTATCACAGCCTCTATTTGGTTCATCCCAGGATGGCCAAGCTGAAGACAAGCCGGGTATGATGAACGACTTTATCCTCATGCCTGAGCAGGACGGCACTGTTGACCCTGCCTCTCTCTCACCCGAACTTACACCTGTACCTGATGACAATCTCGATGAATCGTCGTCGACTGAAAAGGTCGCGACGGCTCCCACCTCCGAGTCCACTTCCACAGACGCGATACAACATCCAGCAGCGGTGTTGTGCGACCTGCAGTGTCCGTCAGTGGAAGTTCCTCGGTCGTGGGTAGCCTCGCAGCAACCGTCGCCTCCAGCGCTATCACTCTACCTGCAGCTTCAAACGCTGCTGATAGCCTCTTCGGCGATGCTTTCAGCCTTTCGGCATCCTTTGACGTTGATTCGTGGGGCGCTCAAGACCAATTTAGTCCTTCATCCGACCCCCTCAATTTTGAGTACAATAATCTGGCTGGTAACTCGACCCCCCAATTTCCGGACTTCGACTTCGACCAGTTCCTCAGCACCGACGACGTCAGCGGCGCAGCTCCAGGCGCGACCGCGGGAAGCGGCTCGGCCGCCCAAGACAACTCGGAACCATCTTTCAGCCTCTTCGACTCTGAGAATCAAATCTCTTCAGAAGATCTTAACCAGCAGCCCCATCTTGGCGCGTCCACTCAAGGATGCGACGATGGAGTTATTGCGGTTGGTGTCTGAGAAGGGACGCGATGACCGGGTCGAGGAGCTGGCATTTGGATCCCCGGGTATCAAGGGCGATCGTAGCCGTGGACCGCAGACGTGGCCAGACGGCACCAGCTTACCGTCGCGAGAGGTATTGCTCACCCTGATGTGGGCAATCACTGTCGAAGAACGGAAATTTACTAGTACTACTGGTACTACTACTATAGAGGAGGAGGCGACTATAGTCTCCTCGCCGAGTTCCCGACCCGGATTATCAAGCGTCCTAGGACAACAGACACCACCCAACAAACAACACTTTGTATTATCGGTGACATCAAAAGGGGAAAGAGACATGACTACGGAATTGGGTAGCGGAAACCGGATAAGGCTTTCCCCATAAGGAGTTCCGGATCAAAACGGCAATGGGCCACACAGGCAGGCGTCATAGGAGCGGTTGCATGATGTGTGGGTTTGATATGGAAGCTGAGCTTGTATCATTACTATGTTATGAATTGAGAGTTTTGTGCTTTCATCTACCGTCTTTTGACTCTTGTGATATGTTGATGCTGTGGTTGTTTGTGAAGGTGACATGGCAGTCTTGGCTGAAAATCTAGTGTGCTCTCATAAGTCGTAGAAAGCTTACCAATGACAATAGGCAGCAACAATGTTCCTCTGTTGCCTGGTACGATCTATTCTAATGCCACCTTTTCTTATCTCTAGGCAGTTGCAATTCTTCACTCATCGCCTAATGGATTGCTCAGAGCCTGCGTCGTACAAACTACCCCTTTACCGATGATGAAGGGGTTACTCATCCGAAGATACGAGAATGACACCCCCGAGAAACTTGGAGAAGCTCACGGTACTTTTGCTCAAAAAAAGTCCAGAACTTTCCCTTTCTCGGCATTGATGAGGCTCATCCTGAATACGTACTTCCCTGCAGTAATAACACCTAGTTTTAATAGATGTTTAAATATAGATGCGATCTAGATGCGATTCAATGCATTATCAACAGAGTGGGTCTAGACCTACAATTCAGACTTATACAATTCACATAAATCACACGAATTGAATACTCAGCAAAAGTGTCTGTAACAGTTTATATTCTACCCCTGGATGGGTAGTCTCGGTTGGTTCCATTCAGTGTCTCTATGGACGGCTCAGATGAGCCTGTACCAGTCTCCGATACGGTACAATCAACGTACTGGGTATCTCTATCTTCTTCTTCTCTTTCTTGCGGCTTTCTCCGTTAATTCATGTGTTTTTTCTTGTCTTCGTCTAAAATGTGTAATGATGTATATGCCCATCGAGGATGTTACGATATCGCTCGTTCGGCCCAAGTTCTCCGTCTGGGTGTCTGTTGTCTCGCGTGACGACTGTCTATGCGCGCTGCGCGTTTGTTGTTGTTTCTCGTGTGTGTGCTTGGAGTGTGTCCCTTCTAACGGCAACCGCTGTGTTGGTTGCTACCTACTGACTGATTGGCCGCGGTAGGGACGCCGTCTAGGCTGGCCCCTGGACCGCGGATTTCGTTGTTGTACCCGGTTTGGCGTCGTGTGATTTGCTTGCGTCCCGCGCTTGCAGTTTGCGTGTGTGCGTGCGTGCTTGGCTTGCTCGTGTCTCTCTGTGTCGTTCGAGAGCGGTGGAGGTTGGATTTGCTTTCCCCTTTTCGTGCAGTGACTGACTTTTTTGACTCGACTCATCCGTCAAGTGGTGGGTGGCGAACGTAAACTGGGTCGCAGTGACTGAAGTAAGGTACATCTGAGAAATGTACGTAGTGACTTTAGACCTTTGGACTTGATCATAGGAGTTTACGAGGCGTAGTCCCACTCGACTTGGACGCGGCCGGCGGACAGATCGGCGAGTTCGGTGAAGACTGCGGTGCTGACGTCGATGGAATCGTCGTTGCAGCCCATACACTTGTCGACGACCTTGGCGGTCGTTGTCTTACCGTTATACGTGATCTGTATAGTCTTACCGCAGGCGTTGGGGTCACTCGTGAACTGGGCGGGGGCGAGTGCGACGATGTGGTCGGAGCTGGAGCTCTGCTCGCCGCAGGAGCCGAGGCCGGGCTGGTAGTAGGTTAGGTCGCCGTTGAAGGCGAGGGCGTAGCCGATAGTCATGGAGAGGGCGGCGACGATCTTGGTGACGGACATCATTTTAGCGGTTTGGTTTCTTAGCGGAGAATGTTGATATTGACTTTGAGTTTTGGAAAAAGGAGAGATAAGTATGGATCTCGATAGTCCCGTGAAATCTAGAAGAGATTGGTGTGAAAAATGGTGTTTCGACGACGAATTCTTGTCTTGTCTGTCGATAAGGATTGTTTAGAGGCAGGCGTTCTCGGAAGAGCGGATGTCAGTTCTGACAAGGAAGGGCAGCAGGCTAATGAATGCCGTGCTAGTATAGTCCAAAGATTGGAGTATAGAGATTGAATAGAAGTAATGAAGGTTGACGAGAAAAGAAGAGAAATGAGATAAGTTCAAGACGGTTCAGTCGATCTTATATACCCATCTCAACCAGCTGGACCTCTCACTTCTCCCTCACCACTTCTCGGTAGAACATAGCGGTACTAACACGCCACCAATACCTCATAATTTTCCAAGTGAGCGACTAGGGACCGGTAGGGCGAGAGGTTTGAATCATAATGCCGTCCTAGCTTGGTGTTTAGTTGAAACATCAAACATCAAACATATCTGCCATCGACGACGGCCCGTACGCTACGTAGACTGACATCGCCAATACCGCGTGGAGAACATGGGTTAGCGTGTTGACCCCTATGGACTGACGAGTCAGCATAATTCTCGGTGCGGGACCAGTTCATGCTCGTCGGCTTAGCGCCAACCAATTGACGTGGGACCTCTAGCGAGTCAAGCATAACTGGGGTATCTATTACGACGACATTCAACAACATGGGGACCACCTGGAGGTCTTGGAGACTCGGAGCCTCCGTGATGTTTGAAACAACCGGCTTCAAAATGTATTCGGGCCTCCCGTCAACGGCTTTGTGGCGGAGTGCAGGATCTTCCCGTGGTTGGTAAACTACATCGAGCGCGATGGCAAAAATTGGCCATGTGGTCTTGAAGATAGAGATCACTTGGACTTGGCACGGGGTAAAGACTCGAGCTTTTAGAAAATTTAGGTTGTGGTGTGTCGATGTTGAGATGTCGTAGGTCTCCTTGACCATCGCCGCATGAATACACCCGCAACTAAGTGCTATACTTAGTAGTTAAATTAATTATATACTAGATAGTAATATTTATTAGCCCCTGAGCTTATCACGACTCGTCATTTGGTATGTATTCGCTGTTGCTTGCGTATTTGTGGTGTTTGAGATGTTCTAAATTTGACGGTGGCTTGGGGACCGGAACGGGGTAGGCATAATAGTCCTCGAATAATCCTGTTATAGGACAAATATCCGAAGAAGACTTGGAGGATATTGTTGAAAAGGGTCTACTCTAAGGTAGAGCAGGTACTTACAAGACACCTTAATAGGTATATAGCTCTGATATAAGTAGGACTTCCCTATGGGTGAGTTAATATACGTCGAGAACCAACTTTATCTGCAATATCTTTGAGCAAACACATCATCAAATCCGCTCAATTTTCATGAACTTCAATGCGGAATTAGAAAAGACTCACAAACTAAGCCCTTGGGCTCTTGAAACCACAGACATTGAATTATTCACATTTTATTCAATCATCTTATATACCAACTAGCGATGACAACACCATAAAAACATCCCCACGCCCCCCCAAATCGCGAGCTCGCACCCCAACAACCAACCACACACATCCCTAGACAAACCCCGCGCCAACCAGCCAACTAACATCATCATTAAACGACGACGCAGCATCGAAAGTCTGCACGCCACCATTACTCGCCGCATACCCAGCATTATCGTAGTGTCGAACATACCGCGTCGGGTACCCCCAAGCGCGGATAGAGCTGCCCTGGCCATTGAGGCCCGGCTGCGTGCAGAACGTCGCGTCCTCGTTGAACTGCTTCGTGCCGTCGCCCGCGCCGACCTGCAGCTCGAAGTTGTAGTGGCGCAGGTAACTCCCCGCCGTGTCGACCGACTCGAACGAGAAGCACGCGCTGTTCCCCAGCCCCGCGCGCACCGTCCAGCTCGCCTGCTGCTTCAGCGTTGCGCTGCTCGACGACGTCACTTCTTGTGTGTTCACTGCCGACCCTGTGTGTGCGAGGTACCGTGTCGTGTACCCGGCTGTGGTGGCTTGCAGTTTTACGGACGACCCGATTTTCAGCGCGGGGCCGCTGGTCAGCGATGTGGTGGCGTATTTGGCCGCGACGATGTTGGCCTGCACCGAGTTCTCGGTTTCGTCGGAGGGGTAGCCGTCGGTCATGACGCCCTCGTAAAAGGTGCCCTGCGCGCCGTTGCTGTTGTCGCCGCCGATGCCGAGGATGATGGCGCCTTCCATGTGCATGGGGTTGTAGCCGCGCGGGCGCGCGCCGCTGTAATATGTCGAGAAGGATCCCGATGCTGCGTTGGCGCCGCGGATCGCCCATTGGTTCGACTTGCCCTTGAGAACGGCGGTGACGAAGCGCGAGGAGAGAGACGGGTCGGCTGTGTTGCGGCCTGCGCTGACGCCGGAGAACAGCCCGTTCTCTAGATCCGCCATCACCCATGGCCCGCTGCCAGAGCCGGTGCCCCAGATCGTGCAGCTACCGTAGTAGATGGCTTCCATATGCGCGTTGCCCGTGTCCTTGTTGTTCGTCTCGGCGTTGCCGTAGTCGAAGCAGCACTGTCCGTTGTAGTGAGTACCATCGAGGACTGCGTACATGCCCTCTGCGCCGTCGCCCGTGGCTATGCCGGTCGTTTCGTCGTTGCGGTAACCCGTGCCCGGGGAGACGAACACACCGTATGCCTTCTTGCCATCTAGGGTAACCGGGGCGCCGATCGCGCTTGCCAGATTATCGTAGCCGTTAGGTCCCGGGCCGCGGAAGCCGCCGGGCGGAGCCTGGGTCAGGTGGTTGCCGTTGCCGGACTGGTCGTAGATGATGGTGATGAGGCAGGTTGTGTTGGCGCAGAAGGTGTCTTGAGTGGCGGCATTGGCGACACCGCCGGCAGTCAACGGCGAGATGTCCGTCTTTGCGCTGTCGGAGCCGCGTTGCACCTGGTAGAGCCCGCCCGTGTAGGAACTGTACAGGGCGCGGGTGGTACTGTGCGCAGCAACACAGGGTGTGCCGCCAGAAGAGTAGATGTCGCAGGGCCCGGCGGCGACAAGGGTGCTCGAGGCAACAAGGCCTAGAGCGCGTTGGCGGCTTCGTCGTGAGAACATGTTGGGTCTCTTCTACCTATTGGGCACTTCTGTGATGAGAAACAAGCTCAAGCAAGCCACCTCGACAGGACAGCAACATCGTGGGCTTTTAAACCCATGCCGTGCCTGGCCAGATCCGCCTTCACCTTGGCCCTCCCCCGGTAGCATACCATTTTTTCTGTCGACCATTTTGACACTATTCACGAGGGATCCCCACCACTAAACGGTCTGACCCCTCATCAGTTGACATCCGTTTTCTAGATTCGAGGTAGCATGCAATGATTAAGTGGCTGGTATTTCCTCCAATTATAGATAAGGTAGATCTCCTGATGCTACGTCGACCTGCTCTTTTGCGGGTTGCGGGTTGCGTCACTGCCACCGCGCTCAGGTGTTCCACGAATAGAGGACCGGCGCTTATAAAACGGAAAAAACATAAATCCCTTTAAGCGACTCCCTTAAATCTGCATGGGCGGGTGTCATTTGTAGAAGATTCGTCGATATTAGATGGCAGCAAGAGTCTAACCTAGTAAAAATACAACTTGCGGATGATACCGAGGTTAGTAATTTTCAAGTTGTTAAAGCGTACCTTACGTTGAAATGACTGTCATCGATTCTAATATCCCATCTTCTCGGACAACTGATTCTTCACAGCTCACCTCGCATTTATCAAATTTAAATAATAATTATATTATCATTAACGGCTCCCGCTCTGGAATGAAGTGCTTGCCAATAGCTCCTCGTAATTTTATCCCGGGTTATAACGTTCTCAATATCCAACAGCTGATGCTTGACACGATCCACAGCTTTAGACACTAATTGGCATAGTGCTTCAATCCGTGGACTTACTCCTTGGTCAGATGGGAAATAGGTCTGAAACTTGACCGTTTATCTCGCACGGTTTCCAAAACCATCTGCGAATATGCGATTCAGTTTTCGAGTAGCACAGATAAAGAAATGAGGGTTGTGCTTACTTCTTGCCGGTCTCTGTAAAACAGCAGAACAGAAGTGCGATAGGCCAGCATATGAACGCGGCTAGAACAGCAACGCAAAACCCAATCGTCGGTCCTATTCTCCCGCGATCAGTATTTGCGACGATATTGCTGGTAGCATCGGGGACCTGGGTCCTGGGTTAATTGTAACTCACCGATGACCTTGATGCCGCAGAGTCCGACGCCGCGACCGCACTGGATACAGACGACGGGAAATGGGAGTCCACAGTCAGCCATGTTCGGGGCTTGTTTAGTGAGTTCGGTTATTGGAACTTGGTGAAAGTGGAAGAAGCGGGTTGTGTTGATGGTTAGATGAATTGATGACGGAGACGTTGAGCGGTTGACCGGAATAGGCATAGTCTTGTCTTGGCTAAATAAATAATTATTGCATGCTTATCCGCACCTCGGCGTGGGGTGACAGATCTTGGCAGCGACAAGCCAAGTTTTGAGTTTTCTTTTTTTAAATGGCCGGTTCGATGCCAAGAGAATATACACGTATCCATACCGATCGACGACTCCACGCGTCTAAGTGCATAGATTATTACCCCACACGGATCGGATACGACGCGCTTTTCTTCCAATTTTCTTTTTTCAGGTTTTTATGTTTACGAAGTACACTAAAAGACTCATATTCGTCGGAATTGCTGTCGATTGGTTCTCATATACTATTTATACTACTAGAGGAGCTATCTTATTGGTGAGGTAATGAGCGTCTGGCTTATTCATCAAAGAAATTCCTGCAGGTAACAATTTCGTTTCACAGCCGTAGGTACCTGATACCTCTTTTCAATAATCACCTGGGCACGTATATTGCACCTCTTAAGCTTGGACAGTAGCACCATCAACCTCAAGACGGTGGAAACCACCATTGCTAGCAACGTCCTTCTGCAGCGCAGCCATGCGCTTCTGGTCTCCGGTTGGGTCGGAAGACTCGCCCTCGAGAGTCCAGGACAGGAACGAGTTAGTGTAGTTAGGCTGGAAGCTCTGGTCTAGGACACCGAGGCGCTTGCCGTAGCGGGTGACCTTCTCCCAGTCGCGGCGGACGTTCTTCAGGTCCTTGGAGAAGTACGCGAACGAGCGCTCGAAGATCTTGCGGTTGAGCTCCGTGCCCATCACCGGCTTGAAATCGACATACTCGGCGAACGCCTTGGCCGGCTCCGCGAGCACGAAGTCCGTCGCGCGCTTGACAGCTCGCATGAACGCGCGCACCTTCTCCGGGTTCTCCGATAGGAACTTCTCGTTGCCGATGTACAGGATCGTGCAGAAGCAGCAGCAGCCTAGCTCGGCTAGTTCATCGATGCGCAGCATTTGCACATCGCTCTTGGGACGGCCCTGGGAGGTGAGCCATTCCTCCAGCTCGACCATTTGCACGTTCTCGAGGCCGATGCCGGCGTCGATCTCGCCCTTGATGATGGCCTTGGAGACGTTCATGCCGCAACGCACTGCGGTGTAGTCGGCCGGGGTCATGCCGTAGTGGGAGGTAAGCTCATCAATTTGGATCTATGGGAGGTTAGTGATGCGTTTCGCGGAGGGAGCAAGGCTGACATGCCTTTCCGAATTCTCCAACGTAGCCAATTCGCTTCCCCTTGAGAGTCGTAAAATCAGGGGTGATACCGCTGTCTTTCAAGTATACAACGCCCGTGAAAGGCTCGTCGAGCAAAGACCCGATGGAGAGGACCGGGAAGTTGCGCGCTTTGGCCTATGTTTTTCTCCTTAGTCTGAGTTGCTAAGTATCATCGGACGGTGCCTTACAGCAAGAGTGTGGATCATCGCCTTGAAGCCAAGGTCAACTTTTCCAGTGCCGATGATTTCGGTGACATCCTGTTTCGTGTGAGAACTAAATCTGTATGAGGTGCAACAATCAAGCGTACGCTCGGGTCGTTGGGCTCTAGTAGAGCCACCTTGATACCTTCATCCTTGAAGTAACCTTTGGCTTGGGCCAGGTAGAGAGGGGCGTGGTATGGCGTCGCGTGCCTGCTGGCGTTAGTGAACATTCATCTACTGTAGATGCCTCCATGCTTGCCAGTTGGTCAAGAAGGTAATCTTGTCGGTAGACATGGTGGATCAAGCAAAGCTGCAAGAGTTAATATTAAGCTGTCCAAACAGAGTAAGGGAAGGGGAAGCAGCATGTCCTTTCGCTGGAATTATCCAGATCAAGTTTGAACGGTGTAATCTCAGCCCATATGCCTCTCTCCTACTAGATCATCTCCTCAATGGAATTGAAGGGCGATTCTTCGTAGGATCGAAAACATCGAGCACCCGCCATGCGATTGACAGACGTTACCTTGATACTGAGATAGCTCCATGATGGCAGGCGCTTCTTGGACCATACCAATGGGATGACTTGTCGATGTAATTGTAGGTAACTTAGATCTATATCTAGCAAATAGAAACGTTGAAGAAGAAGAAGAAGAAACAGAAGAAGCCACAAGGGTACAGGAGAGTGGGAATATCTTGAAATATATCGGAAAAGATGAGGGGTAGCTATGCTCCGTAGAGAGCCGATGGTGGGTCAGTCATGCAGTTCGGCACCATCTTGATAACATATCGCCTCACTATTCTACCTAGTGTTTCTCCTTTTGCGTGATTTATTCTTTTTGTTATCTAGTAGGAGGAAGGTATATTATGAAAGTGACAATACGTTTTTCTAAAATTCATTCGTGTACAAGATTAAGACGACATGCTACTAAAAACGATAATGACCTTTTGTAAATCTACACAAATTCAACCACAATATTTTCAAGCTCTCGCAGCAGTCATTCGGCTTCTTTCTCACATCGAATATCAATCAATTCATTACTATAGGACATCTCTAAGGCTTCGAACGTGGGTACTCATATGTGATAAGTGAGGATCAAGCAATGAACACAGACCAATCTCAGAGATGACAGTCTAGTCATGTGATTAAAGAGATGAAGCCGATAGATTCTCGCGGACCTCAATGGGTCCTCCGACAGTTGCTCCACAACACATCAATGAGAGGACCAATTAATGCTTACGATAAGCAAAAGCCAAGAGTTCAGCTGAGTGAGGTGCGTAGTACCGAATGACAAAGTGCACTTAATAGGGGGCTGAGCTATGTGCCAAAGCTTCACCGGACCAGATGAGATACGAACATGAAATTAACTGTTTGCCCACAGGTAGAGGAAAATGTAGAAGTGATACTTTCTCAACCAGCTACTTAGGTAGGTACCAGATCTGAAATAATCTTTTCACAAATATCCCAGGCGTAAAAGATACCTATCTACATCACACCCACGTCTCTTCAACAACGCCAGCCACGAACGCAACCCCCACTGGCCAAAACTTGTTTGTGATACCACACGCTGCACCTTTCGGGGCGCTTCAAATCGACATCGCCGCCGCCACTCCCCATCATAGCGGCAGCACGGCAAGGTACCTCTACAAAAGTCCGACCCCAGCCCGACCGCGCATCTCGCCCAGCCCACATCCCACCCAGCCCCGCCTCTGCAACAGAAAACACACCGAAGAGAGCCTTGGCGCTATCCAGAAACCGCAGCGTCGTAATTAGATCGCAGCCGACAGGATATTCGCGGCGGAGAATACGACCCATGTGAATATTACGCTGAGAACGATTTGTGAGTGGTGCGCTATGCGCTTTATCAGGATATAGTTGGCGAAGAGGAGCATCGTTGCGACTGTGGCTTGACATAGCGCAGAGCAGAGGTCGTTGAGGGGGGAGGATGGCGGCTGGTTTGGGAAGAAAGAATCTGAAAGATTGGTTTAGGAGTTGACGAGCGATTGAAAATAGCGCCATTGAGCCAGTACGTTCGCCGGAACTAGGCCAAGGCGTTGGTCGAGATCGTGTAGCTCTCAGCCCTCCCAGTAAATGCTCCGGCTCACCAGAAGCAAATCTTGCCTCGGCTGGACGGTGTAACATGGCGGCCTCCCGAAAAAGGAAACATTGGTACACTGAGCTGGGCGTCTGGTAACCTGAAGTCAGACAAGCTGCGTAAGGGGGAGTCTTTTGAATTCCGATTTCACACCTAAGCTGCTTCCGTATAGAGGCTCTAACCTTGACAATAGGGCCTTCACGTTTCAATAACAGGTACTTGAACTCGGAATTTACATTCCATAACCCAATAAACAATCTAAGTCATTCAAGCCATTCGAATAAAGGCTGTCTATTCAATCTCTACAACTAGTTTCTTTGCCGAAACACCCTTCTTGAAGATATCCATCGCGTCCTGAATACCGTCAATGCCTTTTCTAGAAACCACTTCTGGCCGTGGAGCGACCTTGTAGACACCTTTCCCTAACGCCTCTACGAGATATCCGCCGAAAGTAACGGGAAGTGTCTCCTTAAACATGTCGACACCGCCAGTTCCAAATACCATTTTGGCATCGACGCCTTCTGGGACATCTCGTGGCTGCACTGGGTTGGAAGATGCAACGAACAGTTTCTGCTTTGACTTGTACGAAACTTGGCAAGCACTAGCTACGCTTCCAATGGCAAGGTAGATGCCAGCGCATACGCCCTTATCGAGCTCGGCGACAATGTCGTCGGTGACAGTGGGACTATTATAGTCGAAGACCTTACTAGCACCGAGGTCTTTCACGTAATCGAAGCTACGAGGGGAGCAAGTAGTGAAGACCTCGAAGCCAGCGCCCTTGGCCAGCTGAATGGCATTGCTTCCAACAGCTGAGCTACCACCCCAGATCAGGAGAGACTTGCCGGTGCTGGTGGCGTTGAGACTTGGGTGAGGCAACCCCAAGAAGTCCTTTCCGAAGAGACCAAAGGAGGCGCTGGTAATGCAGAGCGGGAAGACAGAAGCTTCACTGAAGGATAAGCCGTCTGGGATCCGGGCAGCTAGGGTATAGTCGACGGGGACATATTCCTGGAAGCCGTTGTTGATGGTGAAAGCAAAAACACGGTCTCCCACCTTGAACTTCGAGGCGGCGGTAGATCCAACCGCCTCGACGGTGCCGGCGAGGTCCTGACCTAAGATAATTGGATATTTGATGAACGGCAGAGATTGGTCTTGAAGTATGGCATCACAGGGGTTGATGGCTCAAGTGTGAATCTTCAGGAGAAGCTTTCGGTCTTCAAGCTCAGTTGGGGTTTGGCTCTCACGGATGATACCTGGGACTCCGGGCTTGTCTTGCCAAACTGATCGGTTGGTCGGCATCTTCGAAGCTGAAAAAAGACGGTATGGGATATACTGTGTAGTAGAGTGTAGGTGCCTAGTTGGCAATCTTGGGAAGTACTTGATGATGTGACTTTCGATCGTGACCTAGAAAGCTACCTAGTACATACGTAAGTTAACGGTACCTACCTACCTACTATGTACACAACCGTTATATAGCCAAAACACATTATGGAATATATGTATTATCGTAGTAGACTACTTGCGGAGATAAATAATTAACGTCAGTATCAAGTCAGTCGTGAGCTGAACGGGGCCCGGAGATTAGGTCCGGACTTTGAACAACTTTCCGCTACGAGACTACCTACCTTATACCTGCCTAGGTATTTAATTGAAATTCACCCAATTATTAAACTCTTAAAACATAGTCCATACCTGGTAGGTACCAGCGCCATGTAAAGGATAACTAGTCGCGATAATAGACGAAGTTCTCTGAAAACCGATAATATTTGTATTATAAAGGGGGAGGAGGAACACTAGGTACCTAGGATGACCAGGAACATGTATAGTAATAGCTAACGACCTCGGGAGGTTAATCTAGGATATTGAGAACCGCCTACGCCTACACCATCTGATGTAGACCACGGAATGCCAACGATAAGATGGAGCTATGGATGGTCTCCTCGATGTCATCTTTCGCAGTGACTAGGTACCTAGGTACCTAGTTGGATACTAATTGTACCGAGAATTGTCCTTGATGTCCTCCATACAGAATAATCAGCCACACGCCAATATAGGTAGTAATTTTCAAGAGGTGCGGAATATAGAATACCCTTCTCCCGATTGTTTCTGTAGGGCACACTAATGTCGATATGGCTGCAGACATAGCCTCAGCTTGATCTCATAAGGGTGTAGCCCCTCCCCCCAATCCGTCTGGCGCTGAAATTTGCTTTCTATTCTCTTTCCTTCCCTCTACCCCATAAAATTGTTGTGGGATTATCAGTAGCACAACCGTCCTATCGATGTCGCCGTCGTGCTTCTCGCCGATATTTCGGGCAAGATGGTTGAGCCTGGGCTTCATATTCTTTTTGACAGTGGCAAGGACAGCCCAGACCGCGGCGTTGTAGAAATAGAGTAAGCCCGGCCTCAATCTTGTCCCCCGCCCTGCGGTGACCGAATACCGTTGACAAAAGATTCTGCTAGTATAGTCGCTGTACACGGGCTTAATTTCAGGAACAACCCCGACCACGCGCGAGATACTTGGAAGGCGAACGACACGTTATGGCTAAAAGATTTCCTACCTAACGAACTCGCAAAACCGGCCCGAGTGATGCTATTCTCCTACAACTCGAGCCCTGCAATTGATGCCGCGGCGACTAAGCTCGCCGACCATGCCAAAAGCCTACTTCAATGGCTCCACATCGAGCGAAAGGTGTGACCCAATGCACCCCTCTTGAGCGATGCATTCTTCTTATCAGATTGACAGGACTCACCGCAAAGACCTCTTGTATTCATCTGTCACAGCCTTGGTGGTTTAGTGGTTAAGGAGGTTAGTAAACCAAACATGTGAGTCGGTATTAGGTGTGCATCAAGTTAACAGCGACAGGCTCTTGTCGAAGCAGCTTTAGACGTTACATATAAATCTATCGCTGAAGAAACCAGGCTACTCGTGTTTTTTGCTACTCCTCATCGTGGCGGAAATGGGGTTGGCATTGGCGAAATCGTCGCAAAAATTGTTCGAGCTGGCTTACGAAAGCCAAAGAACGACCTCCTCGATGCGCTCAAGAAGAATTCCGATAGTGCAACTAAACGATTTGAACAATCACGACACGTATACGAGCGATGCCTTGTTGTAAATTTCTTCGAAGGAAGATCGTATGGGAAGCTCGGAATCGTACGTTGGCACCGAACATAACCCCAACTCATTCTATCCAAGTACCTACCTAGTACTAACCAATTTCTCTAGATAGTTGATAGGGATTCCGCAACTCTCGGCCTCCCTGGAGCTCGTGAAAAGCAACTTCCAACAGATGCTGACCATAGTACTATTTGCAAGTTTGATTCAGTCGACACTCGTGCATGTCAACTGGTTTTACGGACGATTGTGACAGAGGTCGACCGTGCACTGGAAATAGAATGTATGTATCGATAAACTTGAATTGTATAAGACTTGGACTGAATCTGTTACCCAGTACGTTACCCAGCATGTTTCCCAGGGAACGTTCACTGGCTTGTCCCCCGATCCGTGAATGCGCTATTTACCGGTCGACAGAAGATCATCACGAAAATAAAAAACGCCGTGATCCCATCTACCGCTCCTAGTGTTCAGAAGAGGTTTATTTTGACCGGCATGGGCGGTCAGGGCAAGAGTGAAATCTGCCTCAAGGTGGCCGATGAACTTCGCGAAAAGTAGGTTGGGCATCACCACTTTATCTTCCCATACTTCCTAATATTTACGTCTTATAGGTTCTGGGGTGTATTCTGGGTCGATGTCAGCAGCGATTCAACTGCCAAAGCAGGGTTTTCGAAAATTGGAAAGATGTTGAAGTCAGGAGAAGCAGAAATTGATGAGGTCCGCGGTTTGCTTTCTAACATTGACCCAAAGCGTCCCTGGCTCCTGATTTTAGACAACGCCGACAATCCAAAAGTCGATTACAACCAGTACTGCCCCTCTGGTGCTCGAGGCACAGTTCTCATTACGTCTCGGAACCCTGAGTGCCAAAGATATGCGACAGTCGGTCACGAGGATCTTGGCAGTTTGGACAACAAAGACTGCATTAACCTCCTCCTACAATCGATGCAGTTAACTATTGCAGAATCGTCGACAATCAACTCCGATGCTGAGAGAGTCATTGAGGTTTTAGGTTCACACACGCTCGCCATACTGCAGGCTGGCGCGTACATCGCCACAGGTATATGTACTTTAAGCGAATATCCTGGCGTATTCCAAAAACAAAATGAACAGGTCCTCAAATTTAACTTGACCCAGGACCAATCAAGATATCGCAACGTTTTCGCGACATTGGAAGCATCGGCAGAAATCTTGGACCCACCCCAATCGGCAAATGCTGAAGATTCCCTATATCTTCTCCGAGCATTGTCACCACTGCATTATGAAAATGTACCTCTGGGTCTTTTTGCAGGCGCGTGGCAAGGCGCGCAGTATGTGGGGAAATACCTTGAATACGATGAGAGCGAACGCCTAACTAATGAGCACGTGTCCCAACTTCCAGATTTCCTTGAATGTCATAGCCATACCTGGGATCAGTCTCGTTTGTTGAAGGCTGCGAACCTGCTTGAATCGCTTGCTCTGATTAGAAAGAGTGGTGATGGTGATCAATTGACTATATCTATGCATCCACTCATACACAGCTGGATAAATCTCCGTCAAGAACCTGCTCAGGAAGAAGAATCTCTTCGCATGGCTCAGTGCATCATAGCACTCTCCCAATACTATCAACCCGATTGGCAGCCGTATCGAAATCGCATAGGGGTCCACGTATTGTCAGTACTCCAAAGAAGTTCACTCACCCATGGATGGGAGCGTCATCTGTTAGTACCAGTATATGTCCACATTGCCTGGTTACTGCACGAGTTGCGATATGACCAAAAGCTGGAAGAACTTCTCCGATATATTTTTACCAAACTACGCCTCGACCCTGATAACCCAAGTGAGCAGTTTCTATCCATTTTTGACATCGCAGCGACCAACGCCAACTATCGAGGAAAAATAGCACGTTCGATTAAAATATCAACATTCTTACTCCGAATCCAAGAAAAAACACTTAATGAGACGCATCCCGATCGACTTTCCTCGCAGCATGGACTTGCATGCGCATATGTAAAGAACGGGCAAATAGAAGAAGCTATTGATCTATTTCAACAAATAGTTAAGATTCGAGAAACAACACATAATGAAACGCATCCCGATCGACTTTCCTCGCAGCATGGACTTGCATGCGCATATGTAAAGAACGGGCAAATAGAAGAAGCTATTGATCTATTTCAACAAGTAATCCAGATTCGAGAAACAACTCTTAATAAAACGCATCCCAATCGACTTGCCTCGCAGTATGGACTTGCATGCGCATATCTAAAGAACGGACAAATAGAAGAAGCTATTGATCTATTTCAACAAGTAGTCAAGATTCAGGAAATAACACTTGATGAAACGCATCCCGATCGACTTGCCTCGCAGCATGGACTTGCGTGCGCATATCTACCTGAGAATGGGCAAGTAGAAGAAGCTATTGATCTATTTCAACAAGTAGTCAAGATTCAGGAAATAACACTTGATGAAACGCATCCCGATCGACTTGCCTCGCAGCATGAACTTGCTAGGGCATATCTAGAGAACGAGCAAATCGAAAAAGCTATTGATCTATTTCAACAAGTAGTTAAGATTCGAGAAACAACACTTCATGAAACGCATCCCGATCGACTTGCCTCGCAGCATGAACTTGCTAGGGCATATCTAGAGAACGGGCAAGTAGAAGAAGCTATTGATCTATTTCAACAAGTAGTTAAGATTCGAGAAACAACACTTAATGAAACGCATCCCAGTCGACTCATCTCGCAACGTTCGCTTGCCTACGCGCTTCAAGTCTATGCCGAGAGGGACCAACGACATTCCTCCTCTGAATCAAATACATCAGAAGAGCAACGTGTACCGCAGAAGGCAAAGCGTCAGAGACTACGACGCTTTCTATCTCATGGGCTGAGGCGTATAGTGGGTCGCCGCAATGTCAATGTCGCGCCTATATCAGAGCAGGAGGATGAAGGCGGAGGCGAGGTCGATAGTTAGCTCTAACAGTGAGCTGAGGTGGACTGGGTACTTCTGAGGTGACAACTGTCGGGGCTTAGGCTGGCAGCTGTCTCGTAGCAGCCAGGTAACTACGGTTGGTTGTTGCTGGTAGTTACTAGGATATGGGTGACTTGGGGTTGCTGTGATTTTAAATTTCTGTGTTTTAGGGCGAACTCGGAGTTTGGTTGGCAGGATACCTAGGTTTTCATTTGAAGGTAGGTTCTGTGTTTGCAGCGATGAGTTAGGAGTTCGTTTGAGCGGGGCTTGGATGCTCTTTTCTTTGACCTTACCTACCTGGGGAGGTAGTTGAGAGGATTTTGTTGAAATTGATGTAGGTTACGCATATCACTTTCTATTACTTGGAAGGTTGAGTTGTCAAGTGCAAGTAGTCGTTCGTAGATAGGTGGTAACCCCTTGGATACGGAGCGTCGACTTCCAGCCAGCGAATATTCCGATAGAAATATGGTGGATTGTGCCATATGCTCACCACATCAGCGGCCTCATGAACCCGGAAAGTATCGCTTTGCGAAAAGAAATGCGCCGCGAAAAGCAATCTACCTAAAAAATCTTATCACAGCCATTCCTTTTGGGGCAAACGTCGAAGAAGAATTGGAGTACTAGGTAGCCAAGGATGCTATGAACAATGGGCGATTGCGATTGCGCCACTGGCGGAAGAGCTGCATTGGAACCTGGAAATATCAATGAGGAATTATGGATCCCGACGCGGAAATTTTGAACCGCGTTGTACTGACACGGGACTCCACCTACGAACATTGTTACAGTCATGGATCTCGATAAAAAAAGAACTCTTATGTCGGAAAGACATGCGTCCGGGAACACGATGTTTTTATTTCACGTTTATTGCTACTCAGTTGCGGATAACATCGAGGCACCAATGTCACAAGGGTCCAAGGATAAGTAATGAATCACTAAAGTAAATTGGGAAAGGATCTTGGACTGAAAAAAGCCAGCTACTTGGGACGCACGCTATTTCTACTTGCGTTGATGGACGAAATTAGTTACGATAGGTACGGATGACGAATATCAGTTGGAATCGGATAATAATGATACAGAAGAGTGGTGGTGGCTTTTACGTAGGTACCTCCTTAGTGGATCCTAGGTGAGGCAAAGGGATATCACGTGACAGAAACGCCACCCCCTTAATCTCTTCTAAGAAAAATATTCTACTTCGTATTTATTTATTTATTATTATTAATAATTTACATTATACGGTATTATATTATATATATTTTATTATATTATTATATTTATATAAAATTATATAATAAACGGTATAATGTTATATAAAAGTTAAAAATTTTTAATAATCGACGATTTTTTTTTTTTTAATATATACGATATTTTAATTAATTAAAAAATATTTATTAAGTATAATTTTTATTAATTTAGTTTTTTTTAAACGCATTTTTTAAACGTAAAATTATATAAAATTTTTTAAATAATCGATAAAATTAAATTAAAATTAATAAATTAAAATTTATTAATTTAAAATAAATATTTATATATAAACGCGTTTTTTAAATTTTTTTTAAATTTTACCGATAAATAAATTAATTATATAAAATAAAAAAATTATAAATAATTATTAAATTATTTAAAAATTAAATAAAATTATTTTAAATTTATATTTATTTTTTTTAAAATTAAATAATTTTTCGAAAAATTAAATAATTTAATTAATTAAAATATTTAAAATTATTTTAAAATAATTATATATATTATATAAATAACTCTTATATATTTGGGGTATGTGGGGCCGGAGGGTTTTTCCGTTCCGTTATACGTATAATGAATTTATTATACGGTATAAGTATAATACATTATGCGCATAATGTATAGTTGTATTATACATTGCGGAACCTTAGTTATCATAGCTACTTACTTACATGAAGCCCTCTGCACAAGCCCTGACGCTCTCCTCGAGGCTAGTCCACCCCTTATGGCCTAAACCCTTAATCAACTCCTCGCCCCTCTGGTTTGGAACATCTGTCTGGTCCCAGCCGTTGTCTTCCAAAACCGGTATTTTTCTCTCGGGATAAAGCTTCTGCAAGATTTGGCCGACACGAGACCAGCTATACCGATCACTAAATCCGAAAATTCTCTCCCCGTTTACCCCAGGGGTGATTAGAGCTGCCACGTAAAGCAATCCGCAGTCAATGGTGTCGACGTGCCATTGAGGCGGTATTGAGCCAAGCAGATTCAGGTTGACCCCATCGACGACCCATTTGACCATGCCACATGTACTTGGAAATCCTTGGCCCTTAGGGTCAAGGCATTTACCGATAACAGTCTCGGGAAGAATCGAGTTGAAAGTGAAAGATGGTTTCTCTCTTCTAACCCAATCCCAGACTTTCTGCTCAAGTAAAGTCTTGAACGCCATGTACGGCTTGATGCCTTTCTCCTCGGGGGTGGCATTGCTTCTCACTACTTGAACAGCATGTTCATTAAACGACCATTCCGTCAACTTGGTTTTCTTGGTCTGGTCCGGGGTGTATGCAGACCATGCACTGGTTGTGTAGGCGAATGACTTGACGCTAGGCTCATTCTTTGCCGCCTGGAGGAGCGACTCATTCCAAGGCCACTCTTCCTCAAGAGCGCTATCAATATCTTGAATCGTAAGTGCTGCTGCGCCGGCCACTGCTGCAACGCCGGAAACCCCTTTTACAGCTGCATCCCAAGCTCCCGGAGCGCCGAAATCGGACACTTGCACTAACTCGAAGTGACTTGAGGGATGCCGCGAGGAGAATAGTGGCTCCATCCACGTACATTTTGAAGGGTCCCGAACGGTACCTCGAACGTTATAACCAAATGCGAGTAATTGATCAACGGCATGAGAAGCAATCAAACCATTGGCGCCAGTGACTAGAATAGTGGAGCCCTGAGGTATCGTTGGAGTAAATGTGAGTTTAGCCATTGTTGGGTCGTGGTTTAGATATAAGTTCTAAGTATACAAGAAATTCTTTAAGATCAGGAAGATTTGCAGATACCAACAGAATTAGAAACCAGGAATTTCTGTGCCTTACATACTTGAGCGGTTGGTTACACATGCATACCTAGTAGTTAGGTATGTAGCTAAACTTCGCCGAAGCATAGGTACCTACCTTCATTTAGACCAATGCATCATCCCCCCACGTCTCGACCGTCATACGGATATGTAACGGTGGCATAGAACGTTTGCTAAGTATACACAGAAGTATTCTGTCTCGTCGTTCCCGATCATTCTTACCATAGAAGCTATCTAGTAAGCAATAGGACATCATGAGAATATGGAGCGATGAATCGAAGTGAAATTATACAACCTTGGAAGATACCGATTGATTCCTCCGGCATTCCGAGAATATCTGACATTTGTCATCGATTCATCACGATACGTTAAATCCGCTATTCCCATCTCGGGTATCCAGTATTATGGTGTGGGTCAAGACGGCTGTATGAAGTAATCCAACTGGCTGTCTACCTACCTAGGTACCTACGATTATAAATACAATCCTAAGGTCCGAAGGCCGAGAACTTGGTTACTTCTTATTAGGTTGCATGTAAGGGCTGAAATATTAGCATAACGAGTTAGACAGAGGTGTTTACCAGGTACAATAGGTACTGCGATATGTTCTAGGTACATAACAAGATTCCAAATATCATTGGTATCAAAACAATAGAAAAAGATGACCTAAAAACGCTCTACCCTTCCTCCACAAACCCCCAAACTCCCAGACGCTAACTGACGTCGACGGAAAATAACAATTAATAATAAAGGAAATCAAGCCCATCAAACAACCTAGTCCCTAGCGACTTTAATAAACAACGACCCAATGCCCGTCCCGCCGCCCCACTGGCTATGCGCAATCTTGATATCCTCCATATCCCACTGATTCTTAACCGGGGCAGTAATAAGCCCCGTCCTAACCATCTCTAGCAACGCCTCAATATCCTCCTTATACGTAGCCTGGTCGCGAGAGATACCGAAGAAAGTCGCCTTCTTGCCGCACATGAAGTTGAGATTCTTCGCCATCAGCTTCATGATGGGGCCCCAGGGGCTCCTGACCTGGCCGTTCTCGAGTATGCCCTTGTTGTTGCCGTAGGCGACGAGGAAGCCGTTCGGGGACAGGATGGAGTAGCTTTCGTCGAAGCTCTCGAAGCCGAGGGGGTCGAAGACGACGTCGACGCCGCCGAGCCCCTTCATCGCGTCGATCCACTTCTTGTCCGTGTACGCGAACGGCGTGGCGCCGTGCGCCCGCACGTCCTCGTGGTTGCGCGCGCTTGCTGTCCCGTAGACCTCCGCGCCCTGCAGCTTGCTCAGGATCATCAGCCCGCACCCCACCGCGCCGCTGATGCCGTGCACGAACACCTTCTGCCCCCGCGTCACCTTCGCCGTGTGCTTCACCATCCCGTACGCCGCGAACCAGTCGCTTATCATAGCCGTCGCCTGCACGTGGTCCACGCCGTCCGGGATCTTGACCGCGTACTTCTCCGGCTGGTTGACGAGCTCCGAGTTCGCGTCGTACTTGGTGAGCACGCCCACGACGTCGCCGACCTGGAAGGCCGTGCAGCCTTCGCCGTTGGCGCGGACGGTGCCTACGAGGCAGTAGCCTGGAGTCAGTGGGGCCTTTTTCTGGAACGGGTAGACGCCTTTGCGCATCCCGACGTCGGCGCCGTTGAACCCTGCGTATTCTACTGCGATCTGTATGTGGCCTGCTGGCGGGTGCGGGACGATGTCGTCTACGATTTTGAGGACGTCGACATCGCCAAATTCGGTGATGACGACTTTGCGATTGGCGGTCATTGTTGTGCAAATGTTATGTGCTGCTTAGTAGGTACCTATGTAAAGTATGTCGTCGAGCACGTCCTATCTTACAAAGACGAGGAGCTTTCAAGGTTTGAGTAGCAAGCTTGAGATGGAGAAATTGGTAATGCAGAACAAAGAGATATGGGTAGAGTTGACGGACCCGCCAGTGCTTTATAAGGCTCTAATGATGCCGTCGAGACGTACATCTTCAGCATCAAAATAGGTCTGTCCCAAAGCGGCTGTAATTTCTACGTTTCATCTTAAGGACTTAGCAGTGGTCGTTCACCTCTTCATCTGATCGGTCCGGTCGAATTGACTGCCTCCAGGTGTTTTCGGGGCACTGTCCCCACAATTATTAGCCGATTATTCGGATAGGAAGCGATATCAAGAGACCGTCAGGGGCTAGACTCCAAGTCCGACGGCATAAATTCCATCCGTTGAATGATTATAGTATGACTTGGTGGTGGCAGTGCTTACGGTCCTAGGCTCCTCTGATCGTCTGAAATCTTCAGCTTTGGTCATCCCTTATCAATAATCGCTGTGCCGAATTCAATTTCAAGTACGCTCAGCGAATAGAAAAGTAAATATCTACAGGACGACCCGTATAAATCGAGGCGGGAGGATGCTATATCGATGATTTTGCTAGGTTTAATGCTGCATGTAAGCCTTGAAGGATGCCGGCTAGACCCCTTGCAGAGACACGGCCAGCCCTACGCGGACAAACACATAGCAGGCGACTTGAAACACGGTCAATAAACCATCCATTCTTTTACAGGCGATTCTTAATATGGATTTGGGAGCACCTGTATTGGGTAAACTGTCTCACATTCGATAATTAATACTCAATTAGAGAATGACATGGATCAAATATTTATATATCGTGAAAAAGGGGTTAAACAGGGGTAAGTCTTGGCACCCCTGATTTTCTACTATGCGTAGAATAGAAATAGCTGAGTGTGTACTAGGTACCTAGGTGGGTAGGTAATTATTATAATATTTAACGATTGTGTTTCTTCCCAGATATTATACATCTAATCTTCTTCATACAGTCGTTGCCCCTATTCATCTACTCATTTTTATACAATTGGTATCACAATAAAGCACTAAAACCACCAATAACCCAAACTCCCCCTTTTCTCCAATCCCAACCCCCGGTTAACTCTATGATGTTGTCGCCCAATTCTGCCAGATGACTGGTCCGTTTAACTCCATGTTATGAATATCAAATCCCATAATGTTGTGTTCGTCCTGATACCAAGACGCTTCATCTATTTCCCTCATATGCACTGTATGCATGTTCGTTCCGCTTGTTTTATATGCGTCGCTATTGTCTTCATGTTTCCCAACATAATGGAACCATTGATGTTCAATTGGCCCGTGCGCTTCCGGTCCCGTCGCCGCCATGATGTTGCTATTATCGATCGAACTAGATTGGAACCCTTCAGGAACAAACGACCTGTAACTATTCGATAATAGAGGAGTTGAAGCTAAACTCGTACCCATGGATCGAGGAGGCGAAAGCGCTGGTGGTCCATGTATATAGTGATCTTGCTCCATCACAGAGGCTGAGCTTGTAGAAAGCGAAGAACTTGGCCTTCTTTGCCAATGGTAGTTCATTGCTGGCGAGCCGATCTCAAACTCCATTACCGAACTTTTGATATGTCTCTTCACAGCCCGGAGAGAAGATCCAGAACCGAAGAAATAGTCCTGGGAGAGTTCATCTAATCGAATAGCAAGGGCTCGAAGTCTGGATTCATACAATGTGTATATGTCGACATTATGAACTGACCCTTTCCTTGAGTTGATTGTTGATAATGCCCGAGCGCACGTGTCTAGAGCGAGGGTGAATATCTCTGCCGAAGAGGGGTGTAGTTGGGGAGGCCCTCGAATTAATGCGTTGGTAGCTGTCTGCTCATATGCAGATGTGATGATTCCGATAAGCCCATCTGCAGAAACGCAAAACTGGTGAATGACGTCTCCGGTAAGGACCGATCCGGAAAACCCTCTCTCTGAAGATGGGAAAAGTACATGGATTGCAATTGTATGATAGACAGCGAGGACGAGAGCCCGCGATGGGACATAGCTAATCTTACCATCCAAAACATGGATGCTTTCAACCAAGACTCGGTGAATTTCCTGTTGTACTAATACGAGATTTTGCGGGATTGAGCCGTTGTGGATGCGTCCGGGAGCTTCTTGCCAAAATCCAACTCCATGTGTATTGGCCGACGAGATGTCTTGCGGATATAGACCACAGATGTACGCGATTACCGACGAAATATGTACTAGGGGCCATATATCCAGCAGCGCGGCCTTCTGCCTCTGGACCGTGGATAAATTGTCTGAAGCCTCATCTAATTGAATCAAGACGGATGATGAAGCATCCACAGGAAGGAATGCCGATTCTAGACTGGCCTGAGGAAGGTAAGGTAGCTGTTGGTCTATTTGCATGGACATCCATTGAGTCAGTATGAAATTAATCCACCACAGGTAAGCCACCATCTCCTTCTCAACCTCGCATATGTCGATACCGTTGATACGGCTGCCGGCTCCGGTAGCAGTGGCCGACCATTTTTGATTTTTAAGCTCCGTAGCCAAGCGGCTCGCAAGACTAATATAGCAAGTTGCACGGCGGATCTGAGATTGGCAAAGTGCGTTCCATCCCAGGAGTGTTAAAGCTTGAACCGTGGAAACGGTTGGGTGGGGTAGAATAGATTGTCTAGCTCCTGCTTGGAGCGTGGGAGAGCCCGGGGTTCTGGAAAGTCGTTGTGTAGAAAGCTTGGCCGTAGCGTAGTTAAGAAGTGCTTGGCCACGAGCCCCTGCGGCATCGTCGCCAAGGAAGAAGTTGGCATCAGCCAAGACCACTGCTAGAAGGATTTCATCGATAGTTTCGCCGCGTAACTCATGCATTACTAGCGTCTTAGATAGTAGGAAAGATAGCGGGTGAGTTGAGAACCAAACATCAATCAGTTGTGTTGTTTTTCGACTTCCATATTCCGTCAAGGGACTCAGTCCTGGATTTGCGGTGTCGAACATGGTATCTGTGCGGTCCTCTTCGAGTCCGTCAACTAAAAACTTAGCTCCGCCGTTCTCCATTACTTGGCATCCTAGACTCCCAAGCTTGTTTACAACCATCGCAACAAGGTCTTCTGTAAGTAAAGAGAGCAGACCGGTATATTTCGCGGTATGCGAGCCGAAGCTCGGAATAGGATGGTTAGTGTTTGGCGAACCGCGAGGGATCGATGCCTTCTGCTGCCAGTTATCCGAATTTGTCCTATTACTCCGCCCCGAGAAGTTCTCCAAGAAGATTGTTTCTAGCTCCGATGCGATATTGGTTGAGGCAGCTAACACTGCGTCGGGGGATCCTCCATCTTTCTCGACAAAACCTGGATTGGGACTTTGTCGATCTGCCCTGGTGTCCGTTTGCTGCTGAGATCGAGATACGTATCGTGAAGGTGCTTGATAGGGTTCGAAGTCGTATATACAATCGACACCCTGCTTGCGGCAAGCTTCGCAGATAGTCTCGTTAGAACATTTTATCTTGCGAGAACGACAGAAGCCGCAAGACTTGCGTAATGGGTGTTTACTCGTCGAACTCATGTTGTGTGATGCAGCTGTTCAGTCGGTCGACTAAGTGAAGCAAGTGACGGGGGGCATGTGAACTGGGCTTCCTGGGGTTCTATAGAAATAAAATATTCCTAGGTCCTTCGGTAGAAAGTCGAAAGCTAGGGTCAAACTGCAAACCCTGGCCAACGAAGGATTCATGGGGAAGGTTATATGTTGTATCCACGTGGTTGCAGCTGCGAGAGCGAAAAGCGCGCCCTGTAGCTACAACTAAGCGTGATGACACTCCACACCCAAACAAGAACTTCCTATTCAGGTGGACGTTCATCGACAAAAATTTCGACTTTGCTGGTAGCTCATTTCCCTAACTAAAAATCTGGCCGCATTGCGTTTAATTAGAATTGTTTTCTTATCCTAATATTTCATGTGATTGAAGAACAGCCAACTCGTCCTACTATCATGAACTTCTCGTACAATGCGACAGCACTAGTAAATGCTCTTACCACAGCATTCATAGTCGGATGTGCGATTCTCGGATTTCCAAATCCAAGCTAGGTGGAGTCGAAGAATGACCGTTAAGGGAATAGCCAGAATAGGTACGTTGGCTTCCAATCGAGCACTCTTTTCACTTGCGCCACATGTTTCGTATGTTCGATCATCGTCAACGATAAAATAAGCATAATCATCAGCTGTAATACGCTTAATCCATGCCCAGATCCGGATGCTGGGGCTTATTTCGTATGCCTACATATGCACTTAACGCCGTACAGGTTAGTAAGATCTTCGCCCAAGTATACCTGGCAACATAACCTTGCCAGTTCACAGCGGCGACCCCGCGGCGGCTACACGAGAGTTCTTCAAAACCGTTGGCTCTGGAGTCGTAGGAATACTACGTTCCTAAGCTGAGACGCCGTTTCAGATGATCATCACCTTAGGCTACAGCTTGATCCCTGCTTCGCCATGCGTCTCATAATTCAGTGCTGGCGATAGGATCTTATCAAAAGAAGGGTTTATGTTAGGTGATATTTTTGGATTTTAGTCTCCTATTCGGGTTGGTACAGCCAGAATAGGAAATGCTAACTGATCGACAACTAACACCCGATTTGGCAATGAGATTCAGATAAGCTTAACTAGTTGCGGCAGTCAATAGCTCTGGGCGTTCCTTAAGATCCGTAATGCCGGACCTAACGCCAATAGAAAATCGCCTCGGATACAATATCTCCTCCGAGATGAGATCATCTTTCCTAGACAGGAACAAGTACCACACCGCAGACGCGTCGTATGAAGATACGAAGGATAAAAAGACAGCCAACATTGTTATTTCAGACTTTCCGCATATTCATCCGTGATCGTAAAAACATCATATTATAAGTTCGGCATTGATACTAATTAGCTTATTGAAAATCATCAGCTAGGTATGTAACATTCGCTTGCTAACCTCTTCGGCTAGATCAAGATGCTATTCTACGTGCAGCTAGAGACACTAGCTGATTGGAAAAGCCTCGGCTTCCCCCGCCAAGAACAGGATGGCTTAGGTATTTAACTACTTTGAACTAGTAGGGTTACCCTACCTATCACTCGGAACCGAGCTCAGTTTCATCGACTACGTTTCAAAGCCAAGACATTCTATGATCAGGGACCTAGGTAGACCACAGCTAGACGGCCTCATGTCAGCCTTAGGATTCTTTAATAGCTGTAAAAGGTGCAGTAGCTGATGTTCCGTTCACTTGATATTTACGGATATGCCGTCCTCGGAGAAGAAGCGGCTATCTTCCCCAGTCAGATCCCTTGACCATATCTAGCTAGTAACATACTTGCCCAGAAGACCTATTTCCATATACCGTCACATAATTTTTCGCATTGTTCTCTTACCGAATAGCAATAGCGCGTCAAAATGAACCGCGCGGGAAAATTCATGGCTTAGCCAAGCAAAAGGCAGTAATCCATCTCATTAAAGCCGAGCCATCTTACTAAGTTACAACAACCTATCTCCATTCTCGATTATATCTGCCCTGGGTTCCAAGAGAAATGCAGTCGTGCAGGGGCCGGCATTTGGTCCGTACCTATGTCATGGTGCGAATCGCATTCGCCTAACCGTCGGTGACCTAGCTGGTTAGCACACGACATCACCCATCACCAGATCTTGTTAGCATGCACACAAAGCCTTTCACGTACCCATCTACTTGCCGCCTCGGGATCTGATGCAGACATTAGACTGATGAAGATCGGCAGAGATGCTCGAAACCCTAAGTCTAGGGGCGTCACTCCATCATGACGGAAGCTACATGATACAAACTTCTTCTTGCTGAAGACGGAATAACTGGCTTGTCCAGTAGCTAGCCAATTAGATACTTGAAACAGAGGATATGTTTGGGCCACATCCCGGGGTTATCGTGGTCTTATAATCGTGCTATAGAACCACATGAATATCAATAACTTGCCAAGCACCATATCGGCATGGATGCGTCGACCTAGGGACCGGTGGGATATTCAAACCATTCGGTGTTATACTTCATGGATTTTTTCAAGAACCTCCCCAAATGGGTCTAGATACAATTTGACAACATGCTCAAGTTCCTGATGTTTCCACTCCTGACAAAGTCGACATCAACATCACATACCCAATCCCAGGAAGGTGCATCAGCTAGGTGCTTCTTGATTATAAATCGAAAATAATCAAGGGAATAATTATCGGCGATGAACAATTGGAAATTGTTCGCTAAAACATAACAAGGGCATGATATTCTCTTGGCTTATGAAAACACGAGGTAGATATCCAAAATTAGAAGTTGATATCTCCAGAAGCACCAATATCCTTATCCCCGTCTAAACAGCGAGCTTGACGCCGACTTGTCGTCGACTTATAACGGAACAGGAATGATGATCTATGCTTGCCCGCCAACATGCCTCTACTGTGCCACTGATTGACCTCGGGGTTCATTATTCGAGTTCGGGGAATGTGGCGATGCTCAGAAGACAATGACGACGACACATGAAGGGATTCAGAATTAGAAGACCAAAATGAAGGCATCGGCTTCGTAAATTACCTGTTTAGGTACCTAGGTAAGGATGGTTATATTCTTCCTGAAGTTCTAGACCTTTCATTGCCGGAATCTATGCAGCATTACAGAGACGTACCCACCGTAAGCTCTGCCGGTAACCTGGGGACTTCTGCTCTGAAACGATGGATTAGGTTCCCTGTATCTGCCGTCGTCTTCGCATACGTACGTCCAACGAACGATTGAATTCCTAGATGAATCAGTCGCTGGTTTACCAAAGTTTGAAGATTCCTATCCAATTAATTCTTTCCATTGAAATGACATAGCTGGAGAACAATATTTGCATAAAAATGGTGTGGGTGTGAACAGTATCTTGTGAGGGGCATGCACTATGTAGTGGCGTATGAGGCGTATGCAGTAAGATAGCAGAAATCATGATACCTTCAAAATATCTCCCAATTAGTATTGTAATTAATTAAAATACGAAATACTCCTAGTAACTCCGAGGTCCTTGGGTACTATTAGGTACGTACCTGCCTTAATTCAATGTTGAGCTCAGGGACATCATCAGACAGAAATGGTGGTGACGTCACTCGATCTTGTGTAACAATGACATCAACACTCAGTCACCAAATAATAAAATGTCCATCGAAGCACACGAATATCTACAATGTACCAACTTATCTAAATAACCTCCTAAAATAAGATCTCAGAAAGCTACTAAGTACTACGAAATAATAACCCTACCTGCCTAAACATCAACCAAACCTCATCTCAAGAAACCATAACTCAACACACCAACATGGCATCCACCGGCACCCCAACCAGCGGCCTCTCGCACGATGCACAAGTCCAACACCCCCCTTCAACAGGCAAAACCAACATCGCAAGCGACGGCTCGCTCGTCAGCTCCGCGGACCCAAGCATCAGCGCGTCCGCAACAGCGGGGCAAAAGCTAAAAGGCGACGTCGGCGGCGCGGTCAGCGGCAGTATCGGCAGCATGCAGGCGGCCGCGGGGGCGATGCTGCGCAACAAGGGCATGGAAGAGAAGGGCATGGCCAAGATGCAGGCCGAGGACGAGCGGCTGGGCGCGAAGAGGGGCATCATGCCCGTCGGGTCCGGGCAGAGACATACCACTACGCAGACTACAGGTCACACGACGGGCACGGGTACGACTGGGACGGAGAATATGCAGTAGGTGGTTTTGGGGTTCTTAAGGGAAGTTACCTAGGGATTATGGTTATCATGGCGTATGAAAAGGGGTATGACTGTATGAATACAAATGGGTAGCTGTTCGACTACTCGTTATCTACCAAGTAACCAATGCGCAATGATCGTTTAACGTGACTTCTCGGCGTTCTGGAGTTAAGGTTATCTGTCTATACGTTGCTGTTATGTTCGGCAGTAGTTACACATGGCGAGAATAATTCCTTATAGGAGGAACTAGGTAGTTGTTGCCTACACCCACCCACAGATATAGTAGCGAACGAGGCATTGTCTCTTCCAAATAAAGATTCTTATACATACCTAGGTACCTAGGTAGGAGAATTTACCTATAGTATGTAAAGCTGATGCGATGGAGTAGAACAATACCTAACATTGTGTAGTACAAGCAATACTCAATATCCCCGCAGTGATGTAATTGACAAGGGGCAAATGAGACTTGAATTCCGTCACGACTCTCACTTCCAGCATTGCAGTTGCTCAACAACTTCCCATGAATTGATTTAATAGGGCATTTATACAAAGATCCCATAGTTCTCGACTTCCAATGTGGCACCTCAAAATGAGGTATTGGACTTCAATAAAAACACTAACACGTCATGATCTCACCAGTCGTCCGAAGCGTCTCCTACCATAAAAGGTCGTTGTCTGGCATAGCTCTACGATTCCATGGTTCTCTGAGTCACCCACCAATACGTTCTAATCCATTGATATACCATCGATCGCAGATATTGAAGCCAGCAAAGTTCTTCCAGAAAGCCACGATGTCTTCTAGCAATAACAGCAGCCGTAACGACCCCTTCACCCGTGACAAGCTTTTTGACCTCAAAGGGCATGTAGCCCTTGTTACAGGTGGCGGCTCGGGAATCGGGTTAATGGCAACACAAGCGCTGGTCGCCAATGGCGCGAAGGTGTACATCACAGGTCGGACCAAGTCCAAACTAGACCACGTCGTGGAGCTGTACTCACACGGCAACGATACCATCGTCCCAGTCGCCTGCGATGTAACCTCCAAAACACAGATCGCAGATCTAGTCAACCAGGTCAAGTCCCAAGAGGGGTATCTAAGCATCCTAGTCAACAACGCAGGCATCTCGAGTTCAACACTGCAGACAGAAGCCAGGTCCGCGCAAGAGATGCGGGAGAACTTGTTCGACGCAGAGAGCTCGTCGGTGGACGATTGGACGGACGCCTACCGCACCAACGTACCTCCCATCTTCTTCGCGACCGCGGCATTCCTTCCACTGCTGCAGAAGTCATCTGAGCGTTTCCCCGGCTGGTCTGGCACTGTCGTCAATATCTCATCTATAAGCGGCTTAGTCAAGACATCGCAACACCACTTCGCGTATAATGCGTCCAAGGCCGCTGCGGTTCACTTGACGCGTATGTTAGCTGCGGAGACTGCTGCGAATGGGCTGAAGATCCGCGTGAATTCGATTGCGCCGGGTGTTTTCCCCAGTGAGAGTAGGTGCATTATCCGATATGTCATTTTGAATTTCAGCCCCGATCCCCTAAATGACATCCTATGATCACATAGCCTTACTAGTCATAATTACAAGTCATACTTCCTACCTATGCACAAGATTGATTTGCTGACACGATATACCAGTGACGACCGAGGGCAGCGGAGACGATCAGAAGAGCTACATCGAGCGCGAGAAGTACCAGAAGATACCGGCCGGGCGACCTGGCAAGGACGACGACATGGCTCAGACGATACTGTTCTTTGCTGCGAACCAGTACTTGAATGGCCAGACGGTGGCTGTGGATGGCGGATATACGCTTGCAGCTGGACAGTAAAGTCACAGCTTGATGCGAAATGGCCAAGCATGTGCATTAGGCGGCTAGTCTATCAGGGACGCTATCGAAGTTATCACATGCATCCGTTAAATACCGAGTTCAGCTCGCCTCAATAGCGCCCCCATACTCGATCCGTCATATCGAAAACCGCATTAGTGATTTCAGGTGTGGTATTTTGCAAGATAACATGTACCCGGAGACCTATCTGTCGTCAAAGCTCCAAATATTCGGAATCTCAACGTCTAGTCCGAAAAGTAAGAAGGATTTTGCGATCTCGTCGCCAAGACTAGCATGCGTTGCGGCGTCGTATCGAGCCTACTTACAGGTAGGTACTTATCTAACCCAACCTTACTTCTTGGCCACGTCTTATCCATGGATGTGTTTGTAGATCGGATCTACTGCGACGTAGTATGTAATAGCAGGTAAGACGCTGGTATAGAATGACATCAATTTGACCGAAAATCTGAGCATTTCTTTCCTATTGTACCTGTCCGAGTACCAGGTTGGTACCCAGGTAGGTAATTAGCGAAAGAATCCCAAATGCGGAAGTAGTTGTAATTAATGTTTGTGTAGATTGAAACTTGTAATAGTTACCTGAACCTTAGCAAAAAAAGTATTACGCGAGATCTTATAGAAGTCCATAGTTTCGAAGTTTAAGTAGTGGGTGGCGAAAATGTTTCCGCGGTCTTTTTAGTTGATCTTGTTAATGAGTTGGAGGCGTTTGCCATCCATGATACCATCACCCTAGAACCAAACCCGTAAGTTTAACGACACAAAATTCAATTTTAACAGACTCAATTTCTCTTAAAAACTATCATAAATCTTCCCTCAGATACATAAAAAATAAATGTCATCAATTTACATCTAGGTATCGAACCTTATCCCACTCCCACTCCCACATCCCTCCCCTTCCAACAAACAAGCCAATCCATGTAACCATCACAAGCCAACCCAAGTCCCGACGCGATGTGACACGATTCCACTGCGGGGATCGCCCGCCCCTCGGGACGGCTTTACCCATCCCCATCCCCATCCCCCAAATCCCCAATTAAAAAAAAAGCATACCCGTCCCTCCCCATCCCCATCCCCAGCATGGATATCCCCAGCGCCCGTAATACAGCCACGGCAGGTACCTAACCTACCTACGTAAGCGCGCAACCAAACCCCATGCCCATGTGTACTGTACATCCACATCCACATCCACATCCACATACACATATCTGCGATGCGATGCACGCCGCACATACACATCTACCTACATACATACGCTGACCTCACTCTGCATCTGCATCCCAGATCGAAAGCGAGCCTGGTCGAACATAGGTAGGTAAGCAGCCTTACACACGCGCAAACAGTTGTATCGTCGTACGAGGGTTTCCTATTTCACCTCCCAGTAACCATGGTGGATACGTCCACCTAATCAAGTCGCGTTGTCCGAGCCCACCCGTCAAGGTTTTCGATTGAGCCAGGGTGACATCACGGATAGATTTAGGGTAAGGGCGATCTACCGTACCTAAAAAAAATATCCCACTTCGCCCGCCCGCCGGATCAGCAGGCGGCGCGCCAACGACGCTAAGGCAGGGACGGGAGCGGCAGCGGCAGCGGCTTTTTTTTTTTCGTAGCGTACCGTAAGGCTGGGAAGGGAGATTAGATATCGGATGCCATTTCCACGTGCGGCTGCGTCACGATACGACTCTTCCATCGTCTCCGTAGCTCTTCAGCGTGGCTTTTCACCGAGTCTAATGGCTCATAGGGGTATGTCGTAAGTCATTTTGCTAGGTACGTACGAGGTAGATGCAATCACAAATACATGAGGGTATGACGACATTATGTTTATCGTTATATTCGCTAATAGATTATCGAATCTGATACTAAAGTTGGCTACGATGGCCACTATAAGCAAATAGGTGTCTTCAATATCGTTCATGATAAAGTTGCACGGGGCCAGATATCGTTTCAAATATCGTTACGTGTCAATAGCAACATCGTAAGTCAGTCTGATCCAATAGGTAACCTCGAGACACTCATGCGTTTCCTTTGCTGAACTTCGCATTCTGTCATTAAACCCTGAAAACATCCCTTCTCTGCGAGGCCGATATAACGCCATACATGATGCAGAGGTATATCCTTAGTTGGCATGAAGCCAAACCTGACCGAAGCCGAACCAAAACGAACCGAGTAACCGCCGAACCGACTAAAATCCTGTAGACCGAAAAGGGTAATTCCTCATGTGGAGTGGAGTAACTATGGGGATAGGAATCTGCTCACTCCGGGTATCATCGTAATTCTGTTATGCTGTGTGCCGAAAACCGAACCTGTCTCCCATATGATATGGTACCGTTGAATGAGTTGACCTTCCCAACCAAATAGAACCGGGGTAACAAAGGAAAAGAAATATGTATCGCCGAGATCGTCTGTGATCAAAATATGCAACCCGCTTATAGGCTGACCAATCCAACCCTGACCTAAAATATGCACAAATCATGAAATATCCGCATAATCCATAGAACCCTAAGATGTCGTTCGTCTAAGTTTAGCCCGAACGACATGATCCATGCCCGATGGATCACTGCGAGAAAAAATATGGATACGCCCTTCACATGTAAGGACCCATCCAGGCTTTGTCAAGCCAACCGACCTTTTCAAAGGCCGTCCACAACTTGGAGGCTTTGTTGACGTCAATCTTGCAGGCCTGCTGCGCATCCGTCTTGCGGAACTCCTTTCCCACCTCGAGACACTCCCGACGTCTCACAAACATCCGCCTCTTGCTCGTAAGGTACGTAGCGCAATCGAGTCGAAGGTTGGCGGCGAGCGAAACCTCGTCAGCGTGCAAGAGATGGCGATGCTGGTCGTTACTCAGATCAATAGGAGTCCCCTTCCAATCTACCTTTAGGCTGTTGGCCTTGCTCGGAAGCGAGTCAAGGGGCGGGCAAAAGTTAGGGACCGACTCGAAGTCCTTGTCCTCCCGGTTCGGGGCAACTGCACGACGTGGCGAAGGATCGGCTGTCTCGCTGGGTAGGCGCTTGGGAGCTTGGCGCGGAGTCTGGCCCGAACCTGGGGCCGGATACGATCGAATTGGACGAGGAGCTGAGTGTTGGGACTGCGCCGTCTTTACGACCTTGGCAGACTTTGTTGTCTTGGCGCGCTGCGTTTCCTTTCGAATCGGTTGTGGCTTTGCTGGAAGGATCAATTTTGGCTGCAATTTGAATTGAGTGTTGCGAGCTCCAGCTTTACGGTCCGACATTAAGAGTTGGCGTTCTCGCCTTAGCCATCCTTTTGGATCTTTGGAGTAGAGCTTCATGACCTGGGAGCTAAAATGCAGGAACAACTCGTACTCCTCCCGCTTTGGTGGGGTCGCTTGTCTGAAGAGATCCGCTGGTCGCGAATTGACATGGTCGTCCACAATTCGCCGGATATCGGTGGGCTCGTCCTGACCAAATAGCGGTCGCTGCTGAGGTGAATTGGCGACATCTTGCGATGGGTATAGAATAGGATCCTGTACGGGAGAGCCCGTCGGAGACATGGCAGCGACGGGGTGATCAACAGTCTTAGATGCGGGAGAAATAGGAGGCGACAGAGGTGGAATTGGACCCATCCGTCGAACATCTGAGATTGTTGGACCCATGGAATTAGAATCTCGTCTCTGCGAGAATGAATCAAAGCGAGGAGGCTCAGGAGGAGACATCAAATTGCTAATATCAAGCGGCTTTTTAATGCCCTGCTCTGCAGATGACCCAATTGACGCCATTGACTTTTCCATCTGATGATACGAATATTGTTGGTTGATTGGGAGAGGTTTCGTTGAAACCTGTACGCCAAAGGCAGGAGCAGGCTTCATTATAGTGTGAGTTGGCGACGTTGGTTTGTCAGCCATTGCGAATGTGGGTCGATAGAGGGCGAAGTGGCAAACCAGGCAGAAGCCTAATTGCGTAATGAAGTCGAATCGGTTAATAGAATACTAGGAAGCAAATGATTTATGCAATCGGGATTGAGATGGCCGAAGATTGAATTGATTTTGCGGTATAAATGATTTGAGTTTGCGAGAAACAAGCTTGGGTGGGAGATGGGAGATGGGAGATGGGGGATTGAAGATGGGAAGATATATGTCAGGTAAAATGGCGTGTGTTAGAAGTTGGGAGAAAATAGAAGAGCCAAGATTGGTTTCGGAGTTAAGGTGTTATATAGAGTTCCCTTGTCCTCGCTACAGCACCAATAGTGCCGCCCGAGAAACTTAAGAAACCTTAAGAAAATATAGTTAAATAGTCGATTGATGACCGATCAAGTCGTAATGTAATCCTCGCTGCGGCGGCGAAAGCGATAGTGAATTGATGTTGAGCTGAGGGCCACCATTTGCGGGGATGGGAGCTCTAATTAATGGTATCGGTATAAAGTACCTGAAGGTGGTCTAATCGCCGAGTCTAGCAGTGCGCATAAACAAAACAGGAATTGGAAGCTGTTTATATCCACGGGTGGCAAGAATTGAGATTGGAGCGAAGGGCGTAGATGATGTAGATGGTAGAAGTGGATGGATAGATATGTGTTTGTAGATGGATAGGTGACCAAAGTGTAGGTAGACAGGTTAGAAATAAGGAGTGGGAGTAAGAAGGTTAAGAAGGAAGGGTGGACTGGAAGATAAATGTAGAAAATGTAGCGAAGGTAGCGAAGGTACATGTAGATTGCTGTTAGCCTTAACACTGGTGGTGACTTCAGAACTTGGTTTTGTTTTGGGGTCCGTACCTCGTCGGAATAGACGTGGATGTGTCTTGATGGTGGTGTAGTCGAGGAGTCACACTCCTTGTCCCAATCCACCCAATAAGTCATCGACTGTCAGTCATAAGGCAAGGCCATACAGGGCAGGCGCGGGTGGCAGGGGTGTGCTACATTGGCGTTGGCTTTATTTTAGGACTGTCCTGTGTATGAAATTCAATCCACCCCTAGTCCCTTAGCTCCTGTACCTTCATGTACCTAGAGATCAAAGGTACTTCGAAGGTCAGAGAATGACATCCAGCCCCACTTTGATTCCCTGTCAGCCAACGACGGGATTTTTCAACTTCGCATTGGAGACGATCAATCTCATCTCTTTGTATGTATCCATGTACACATCCATGTACACATCTATGGGCATATCCATTGATATTTGTGTATCAATGCGACCGTCCAACCAGTACAAGGATTAAATGCATCGACACATTGACGTTGACGTATTGACTGACTTCGAAGCTATTCGAAATCCATGGACACTTTTATGGGGTACAGAAGTACGAAGGTACGGATAATAAGAACTGTCATATAATTGACAATTCTTACAACTCAATTGTGCCTCGCAAGCGACGCAATTGGGGAGTACAGCTTGTGTTAGCTGTGTTGACTTTGCAACGTGATCAGGCTTCAATGGAGAACAATTGCAAAAGCGTGAAAAACAATGTTTGGTGAGTGGGGGTGTTCGATCAAAGGAAAAGGGGGGGTATGCCACACAATCCACATAGTACATACAATACGCACAATACGCACAACACAACACATCTTCCTTCTACCATTTGGTGTGTACTAGCCATAGTTGGCATCTGCATACCTAATCCAGACTTATATCTGTAAGTAGGTAGGTAAGGTAGAGGTAGAGGTAGGTACTAGGTATGTGGTATATCGAGAAACAGCCATATGAATGTGTCTGGTGTGGTCCCCCAGATACATAGAAGCCCAACTAAGGCACACAACGATTTGTCACACCAACGGTCCTTGCCAACGCGGGGTCCAATGATATGAGGGAATTGAAGTGCCCGATGTTGTCCGGTTCGTAGGAATCAAATGGGAGGGAAAAGATAAAATGTGTAAGAATTGATACTCATGCAAAGTTGACGTCGACGGGAATAACCTTGGCGCATTAGATTCGCGCGAGATTAGGCACCGTAACTAATCGACGAATGCCGACTTTTTTCTGTTTACTTGGAAGCCATAATAGGTCATCTCAACGAATTGGCCCTACTTTTCTAGAGGGGTCCTGATGCCCAAGCTTTGACCTCTCTCCTTATAAGTGGATCGAAGGTTCGATCGAATACGGTTGAAATTGCGACAATAACGAAAGTGGAATTTTGCGTCGTGTCACGCAACGTCTGGTCGTCATTCTCCTCATCAGATACTGTGAATGGGATTTGTGCGAACCAGGTGTTCCGAAACGGTTGGCCAATTGGTAAGCGTATGAGGTGGGCGATGACAACTACCAACCAAGGCAGTAAAGTAACACACGGATGAATCTGAGAGTTTTGTGAGCTTCATAGCTGACCCGTACGTATCTGACATGTCATCGTCCCGTTAGCTAGCAACTTTGCCAAGCCATATGTGCACAAAGGGCAACGAGGATCATAAATAGGTATGTATCGAGAAAGGCTTAGGAGAGCTTAGGTACAGAATGTTGTGGTTTATGTTAGGGCTACAATAATGGGTACATGGGGTAAAAAGGGGGCATTTGGAGGGGAAGGGGCCATAGTATGAGGGTTTTAAGTTGAGGATAAAACGACAAGACGAATACCTACCTCTTATCCAAATATGTGATCTAGTATTTGCAATTGTGCAAGATGAACATTATGCAGTAGATACCTAGAACGCTCACAACGAAGTACCTAGTATCCTTATTTTCTTAATGAAAACTTGATTCAAGTAATTGCCGACCTCCAATTTTTCGGAGCTGGCTCGAGATGATACTGTAGAAGCGCAGTAGGATGAATCCTGATTTTATTACCCAGGTTGGTAGGTATTAGAGGCGCGACCGCGTTTTGATGGCGCAAAGACATCGTTCGTCATCCGGGGTTGACCCAGCATAAAATCCATAAATGTAATGCCATTTCTTGCATTGATAGCTGGAGATGATAGAGGACTCGGGGTGGGCTGAGCGGGTAGAGCGGCTATTCAGCAGTAGATCCGGGTACCTAACACCTAGCAGATAAAATGCTTCGGAAACAAACGCGATTGAGCAGACAATTGGGCTAGCCTAGTAGCTGGATAACGAGAGTGAGGAGAAGGAGAAGCCAAAGCTGCCACCTCAGTGACCTAGACCGACGAAGAGAAGCAATTGGAAGCTTCAAAAACGAATTGACCAATTAAAGAACCAATTCGTACAGATGGGTGTCCATAATTGGGTGGATTCGATCAAGCTGAAGAGCAGGTAGCCGTTTCGCCAGTGAGTCATAGATGCGAGGACAACGAGGCGAAGAATTCGAGAGAATTGAAAAGGGAAAAAAAATTAAGAAAAAATGGAAATGCAAATTCAAATTTGGCATTGCTTAACAAAATCGAGTGAGGGGGAAACGCAAGGCTTGCTTGGCTGTCAATTGACTTTTGATCGCTATTGAGAGCTTATCATTGGATAGGCAGAAATCTATAGTTCCCTTCCTGGTTTAGATCGATATGATACCGGAAAAGCATTCTACGCTATAAATATTTAATATAATCGATAAGCCAACTTGAGTAGGCACTCCTAGAGCAAAGTGTGTCAAGTACTGTTTTTAATACTAATGTACCTCTACGAGTCCCCACGCTAGAGGGTACAAGATCAGATTAACCATTCACCACCGTGTGTCATACGCCAAAGTCACAAGCCCCCCCTACCGCACCTCATTAACAGGGCGCCAGGTGGGTCTTTGGAGATGCTAGGAAGCTGCTAGGTGTGTAGGTAGGTAGGTAGCCTGCCTACCTACAGATGCCATGTACAGACGGTACAGATGGTACAGATCTCCTTCTTGCTCACGAATCCAATCTCATGCCTGTCCCCAGATCTCTTAACTGCGTTTATGTGGTAGTAACAATTAAGGCCGTGGAGCATATCGACATTCGATAACATGTACGATGTACATATTCAGCCCTTTAGCTCTTTTTCTTTTCGTTGCCTTGGTAGTACTTTAGTATGTATGCCTTATGCCTCACGCCGATACAGATACCAATACCTCATCTACCTGAACGAATGCGGAACAATGCACAGTAGCACACAAGCCTAGATTCCGGCAGTGCTGACGATATTCTGCTGCCTGGACTTCCGGATACCCTCGTGGCGACGGCGATATCGACCACGATGATCTGACTACAGTACTACCTACTAGGTATCTAGTGTACTGTACTATATCCATGGATATATGGATATGTAGGTACTACTGGGTGGGTGGACTACAGTGAGGTGCCAGACCAGTGCGGACGCCCCATATTTACCTCTGTTATTGACATAACAGCAACTAGGATTTTATCTATTCTACCTCATTCAATTCTACTAGAATCTCAACTAGAATAAGATGTAAATAACTCCTCAGGCAATTGATTAATATTAATTACTCAACTCTTGAGTCTGAGACGTTGTTGAGTAATGATAATAAGAGATACCTTTTTAGCTGTTATATCAGCAACATATGAAAATATGGGGCGTCCGCACTGGTCTGGCACCTCACTGTACCTGGTAATAAATAGGTACCCAGTTAGGTACCTATAATTTGTCATTATGGCACTCGGACTTTAACGGATTTATTACTGATGACAGCTTGGAAGCTGGAAGCTACGGCATTTATCTCTAATATAGGCTTTGCACTGGATCATCATCAACGGAATATGGACATACTAATGGCGTTTCCCCGACGGATCCGGAGAGTTCTTCAATTCGCATTGTTCCAATTGCTCCGTTGACCGAGCGCGGTGAAGGCAGCTAGTTTTATCAATTCCGCCAGCACCAGCAGTCTCAAGTATTTCCTGTTTCGACTGCTTGTTCCCGCTCATTACGTTACGTTATGCTTGCCCCCAGCTCCGCCTCACATCCCTTATCATTAACATATGACAGCTTCGATACCCAGTGGTGGGAGCACTTTCGCTGCAGATCCGAGAGCGCCCGAACTCTGAGTGTCTGTGTGGTGAGACGTTCTCAAAGCTAATTAATCGTGGTCCTATGAGCTGTGGTGCGACCAGGTTCTCAAGTCCTCCCGTATGCCTAACTAGGCACCACGTTTATTCTATTTGCTTAGAGGAGCCACGGGGGAATGCTCTTAGGAGTTGCGCCTAATAGGAAGGCAGAAATACTCGAATGACGGGAAACTTGCAGCGACTCCGTACGTCCCCAATTGGTAGCCTCGAGAGTCTAGACAATTGAGGCAAACAAATACCTAAGCACCATGTTATCGCCACTTTGGATTCTGGATTTGACCATTGGGTTTTGCTATTCATCCACAAGATCTTGAAGAACGCCCTTTGATAGACATGGAGTACCTATCTACCTAACTACCTACCTTTCTACCTACTTCCTAGGTATGCAGTAGTTAACCTTAGCAGTGTACATTTTCGAACTCAATTGGCAAGGCAATTGATAGTCGGGACAATCTATGACCACGTCCGAGAGAACAGAAGGTATCGCCCAATTCAATTGGTCCCGGTAAACCAATTGTTCGTCAATTGAGACCCAATTGCCGACAGAGTTGCTTCATCTGCAACACGGCATGGAAAATAAACGAACTACGGACCACGGACCAAGCAAGACCAAACAATGTCTATCTACTCTATTAAGCGTTGGTTGCCTCACTCAAATTGAAGCAGGCAGTTGGTTCTGCTTACAAGTACCGAAAACCCCAATACGAAGCCAGGTGCCTAAAAGGAATTGCCTAACAATTTCATCTCGTCAATCGCCCGTGCTACTTTCAACCTTTACTGTAGGTACAATATAATCAGTTACCTACGGTCGGTTGATATTAGACAATGTGGCTGGCGCTTTGATGCTTATCTAGGTAGGTACCTAGGTATCACGGGTGTCATACAGTTATGACCAATCTCATTATACGATTAGCTATCCATAGATGTGTGTACAGCCATCCACATGACCGCAATAGACACCGTACTGGACTCCAAAAGAGATGACGGCACGAACCTTGAGCGGCGGATCAGTTCGCCTAGATCCGCCCTAGCCGTCTCTCAGGCGTGGGATGTACCTGGTGAGACATGCAGCAAGTTGCTGTAGCATCGCGCCCTACTCTATCCTACACTCCCAGGTAGGTATCCTGCTATTCTGCTATCATGCTATTTATGGTCATCCTTATTATCGTTATCTTATTCTCGTCCCAGACATCCCTCCACTAGATTGGTGATCACGTTTCTTTCATGAAGGTCGTCACTTGACCTCTTCATTTCGAGTTACCCTTACCATCCGAGACACAGTGGTGGTATCCTGAAAAGTCAGGCGCTGCCGCTATGACATTTGTTAATGGTGTGTAGGGTTGAGGATTGAACCCACTCTACCACTTTCACATGCCGGAGATGATGAAGACCTGAAGATCGACGACCCCGCCGTAGGTCCACGATGTTTCAAACATCATGATACCTACATGTACCTATGTACCTTAAGATACCCCGCCTGTACCTAGTAACACTTAACACTCAGTCCTCCATAGCGCGTGGAAACTTCCTAGGTACGTCCATATTATCGATAGTCTCTTCTTCGAGCATTGAATGTCACCCCTCCTTTTCCTCCTTTCCCCTTTTTCTCTAATTGCAAGTCACAGAAAGACGGGATTGAACATTCCAATTAAATTATATCCATAAGATAGACCATACATCTAACTCTAGTTCCAGTGAACGGGGTTGATCTCGACTTTTATTCATAACCGTTTCTAATTCTAAATCCCAATCCCAATCCCAATCCCAATCCAAATCATAATCCCATTCGTATTTCTCTCTAAAGCCTCAATTCGATGTGCCTTAGAGCTCTAAGCCCAGATCTCACGGACGAATGGGGTGAACCATTCATCAAATCGCATTAATTATCAATCCCCTCTGCTAGAACCCGATTATTGATTATAGCCTGCATTACGTTCCCATTACGCTCCCTCGCGCTCACGTAATCCCCCGCACCGACCCGTATCAGTGCCATCAAGTCGGATTCGCTTTACGTGACTATCGTCGAACTATGACGGTCCCTTGGTCCCGACTTGCATGGGCATCTAGTCATCTTACCCAAGAAGGCGGATCAGGGTCCAACATGCATCGGCATTAAGCGCCCGAACTTTCGCTCTTATCGACTAGTCGAAAATCCAAAATTTTGCTTTGATCTTCGGTCAACATGAGCTTTTTTCCCGCGGTGCGCCGGTGTTGGCGCCGATGACTCTTTACCCCCCTCACGCAATATGGTCGTCAATATCCATTTCCGGTCTCGCCAATTTATGGTTGCGTGAGTTGAGGTTAGTCTCATACCTGTGCCACGCATCTACCGTGCTGAAGAGTCAAGATCATCGGCAGCGTCAGCATGAGCCTTTCGTCCGTCCAATCGAGCTCGCCGATTGCGCATTTCTGTCGCCTCGGCCCGCATTGTATTGCTTGGAATATGATATCTTTGAAGCGAAATTACGAGGTTGGGTCGCACGGTGTTCTATTAGGTTGGAAGACCCGATCTTCCCGAGAAATTCGGGAATTCGTGAGCTTATTTATATGCCATCTAGTTCGCTTGCGGCTCGCGAGGAAACGCGGTGAGTTGACTGACTTATGAATATGTTCTGTGGACCACTCTAAGTGGCCACTGAGGCTTTCTTAGGCGGCTTGGTGTGAGACAAGCCTTCCAGCCGGTGATTCATTTATCCCTTACGGCAAGCAATCTCAAATTTTATGCAGAGTTTGCGCCTATCTACGCGGCTTGGCCTCTACTATCTTCCGCCGTAGTAAAATATTAATCTAGGCTTTCTGCTAAAGTCGCAGATATTCGGTAACTATCTGACTATTTGGAGGCGACGCGAACAAGACGATGGCATCAGTATGGTGGAAAAGTACACTATATCCTTCCGAACAGTTCGTTGAGGCGTGTGGAGCAATTGTATTTGACGCCACCGCCAATCCTAAGAAAGTTCTTCTGCAACACTATAGCACGGAGGACGAATGGCTACTACCGAAGGGAAGACGGAACTGCAACGAATCCCGCAAAGATACGGCCAAACGAGAAGTCCGCGAAGAAACCGGCTATGCAATCCGACTGCGCCCGTTAACTATGGCCACTCGGGCACCTTCCGATATAGAATCAGCCGACGTCAAAGATATAGCTCGTACATATGACAGTCTCACCGAGCCTTTTATGCTGGATGTTCGAGATTTGGGAAATGGAAAGGGGGTGAAGTTGGTCTGGTGGTTCATTGCAGACGTAGATGGTATCGTGGGCAAGGGAGAAGTCCAGTTCAAGCCCGAGTTCGTTCAGTGCGACAAGGCCGTCGAGAAGCTGACATTTGAGAAGGATCGCGAGGTTCTCACGAAGGCATTGGAGCTTATAGAGCTCTCAGGGGAATAGTTTTAAGGAAACTTGCGCGGGAGTGGGTAATGGGCGACCACGTGAGCCCCGGGCTTCACATCTAAAGAATACTGCCCTTAGAACTACTCCGAGACCCAGGCTTTAAATGAGACTAATAGATTGCATTCTATCACCACTAATATCAAAAGCAACATTAAACAAATACCTGGGAGGGAGCTTGAAAGCGACGAACCCTACCTTAATTTGACTTATAAGCCCTACTTTACTAATGTACTATCTTCCGTAGAAGAGACCGACGTCTTCGCCTAGGAGATATCCCACGTGTGTGACTCAAGAGCCTCCTGTCTAACCAAATCGGCCTTCCCGATGGATTTCTCGTGGGACAACAGCACCCACACACTGTAAATAATAATTTGTGCTGCCTACGCGGGACATTCCAGATTCCCATCTTGCGGCAACCCATCCCATTGGGAAGATCTAGACGTCGCGCAACGGCCCGGAATCTTTCCTAGGTCAGCAATCGCATAAAGCTACAAACGCACATACGGTAGGTAGATAGGTACTTGCCTAACGTAGGTAGCTTCAAATGTCCCGTCATCCGGTCCCAACTCGACGGAGCATATAAACCGGGGCGTGGGGCCAGGCTACATACATACATACCTTACCTACCTACCTACCTTGTCTAGCTACCTACCTAGTTACGTACGTGTGTATACGTGCATGCGCATGTCGACATCTCCCCTCCCGTTCTCACCACGACTGTGGGTATGTATGTGGGTAAGGGGGGTTGCTGTATCACGCGAGGGGAGGGGAGAAAAAAACGTGTCGACCTGACGGGTTGGGCCTACGTGCATGGCGTAGCGCATTACTTGGGTTACATATGAAAATCTGGCGATTTCTTGTGGAGCACAGCCGGTTTGGGGCTAAGGCCGTAATTTACGGCTGCGGTGCGGAGAAGAGGGCTCGGGATGGCTTCGCCGACCTACTGTGTGTGTATGTGTTTATGTATGTAATGTATGTTGCTGCTGCTGATGTTGCTGTTGTTCGGGCTGGAGAGCGTGAGGAGGTGGAGTTGCACCGTTGGGTTGGGCGGAAAGGGAGGAAGGGCTAGAGAGGTGAGCTGAGGCGCGATGTAACGATTCTCGTGATGCGTGGTTGTGCTGTTTTTATAGCGGCGAGAGGAAGGTAGGTAGATGAATGTATAGACACGAATTGATACCTTAGGGCTTATGGTGATAATTAAAACTTCGCGGATTCGTGCTAGATACCTACGAAGGAATTTATTAGAGGTCTTGGTCATGCTCGGGAGAAAATAGGATGTTTAGTAATGAGATAAGGTAAGATGGATGTAGGTATGAACTTGCCAGCGAAGAAACTCCATTAATATTCTTGATTCTGCGCGCTGATGTGTAATTGATATTAGTAATAAGGCACTAAATGGAATTGACTTGTTGAATGCATCTCAGGCTCTCTAGAGTATTCGTACCTACACTTGACAGGACTGTTAGAATTGCTGGAGATCTTGTAAAGTGAAGACACTGGTATGAATTCATGAGAAGCAGTTGAATACCTGTAGTAGGTACCATGGCATTCCCAAGTGAATTTCTAGAAACACGACCTGTATTTGATAATTGAATCATTTCCTGCGAACTAAAGAGGTAATCATAAGAGTAGTGCTTTGTATTCGAAAGTATTGCTCTCACGAGTTCACCTTCCAGACAGGAGGTATTCAGTATTCACGAGCTTGATCTGAATTAACACTCTCCTATAAGAAAGTGCGTTTTTCCCTTTCCAATCCTTAAACTACCTAGGTACATGGTTTTATAATATCTTTATTCCATTAATAATGTACAGGTACGTGATTCCAGCTGCATCATGTTACACAAGACGTAAAAGTTAGCCCCTGAACTCACCCACGTTACCAAATACACAGTGGACCTTGAGTCATAAGAATTTACCAAATAACCCAAATCGTTCAGGCGACCAAATGATTCCCATCGCAGTGCTTTACAAAGCGCCCAGATGGCCATTCCCCAAGTTACGTATTTCCATTCCCATTCTCCTTCCCAACCTCGATAACTCTAACCCTCAACCCCCTACCCTTCGGAAACCCAGCAAACCACTCATGATACGCGACCCAATCCTCATCCACCGTATCATACATCTGCATATCGAAACCAGCGCTGGGCCCGAATAACCGCGACACAGCCAGATACACGTCGATAGTGGCGAGTTCAGTCCCTAGACATAGCCGCGAGCCACGCCCCCAAGGCTGCAGGTACTTGTTCAGACGTCTGCGCTCTGCTGGATCAGCCCAGCGCTCGGGTAGGAATTGTGATGGGTTGGTGAAGATGAGGGGGGAGTTGTGGGTGTCTTGGGTTGTTGTTGAGATTGTAGTCTGTTGATGTTAGTTATCTCTTCCTATCTAGAAGAAAAGGAGGAAAAAAGCTTACACCCCGAGGAATAACCCACTGCTTATACGTCAGCTCTTGGTCCTCGCAGACTCGGGGCAGTCGGCTTGGCGTCGGATTTGCTAGTCGCAGGCCCTCGTTGATCACGCCGGTGATATAAGGTAGCTCCCTCAAATCAGCGTAATCGAGAGCTCCCCCTTTTGCCTTTTCGGCGATGCACAATTCATGGCGCAGCTTTTGGACTTTTGCGGGGTCACCAAGTAGGTTGCTCGTGATACACACCGACGTCGTGGCCGTGGTCTCGGTCCCTGCCATAATGACGGAGCGACTCTCGGAGAAAAGTCGCGGGAATGTTTTCTCTTCCGGTGGAAGGTCCGAGGCCATTAGCGTCTGTATCATATCCGGCGGAGTCCCCGGTGCGGGTTCGGACTTGTTCATTGAGCGCTGAACGCAATTTATCATGGTCTATTTTTTGCGTAAGCTTACTTTCGAGATTTCTTCATCGCATAAATTGTTCTTTGAATTAGGTAGGTAAATGTGACTTACATCCTTCATCCACATAACCCTCTTAAACGCCGGATTCATCCGTCGCGCAATGCTCTCGGGCAAGCTATGCAGCACAGGTAGGAACAGGCCGAACATATGTCTACTCCACATACTCGCCTTAACAACCACCTTCACACTCGAATTGAACTCGCGGTCGAAACTCGGCTCGTCTAAATGTCCAAATGGCGTCCCGAACGCGAATCCCGTCGCTACGTCCGTGGCGAGACACCGGAATGCATCACTTAGACTGACGATATTCTCACCTCTGTCACTATTCCCGACACTCGCGGCGCGTAATCGTGCACATAACTTATCGGCTTGGGCCGTGATCGTCGGTATGTAGCGCTGGATGTTGGACGATGCGAAGTAGGTCTGCAGCGGAGCGCGGCGCAGCTGGTGTAGGGTGTGTGACTCGGCTACGTTGGTGCTGGGGAACTTGCCGAAGAAGCGGAAGTAGAACCATGGTGGCTTGGAGGCCTTCGACGAGTATTTGTATACCGCATTCCACTCCGGGTCTGAGATGTGAACCTCATATGGGTTGATGCGAACTATGGGGCCTAGCTAGATAGTAAGTCTGGGCAGCTTGCCTTAAGACAGGAGAAGGATAGGGGTACCGTATTGCTGGTGCATCTTCTGAATCTCGGCCCAGTATCGCCCGCCGCCATTTTTGATACACTGGTAGTAAGCCTCATAAAGTCCAGTAGAAGCAGCCAAGGTCGGACCCGGGAAGCGAGTGAGAGGGTGAAAGGTAAGCCTGTAGAGAACTACCAACAAGCTTCCAATGATTATAATAAGGGGTAAGTATGCCAAGAGATACAGGCTACTCAGGCCATAAGGCCATATCCAGGTGAGACTCATGGTGAAGTCTATCTACTGTTTCAAGGGTGCTACTGAGCTGTGTAGGTGTGCTTAGGAGTTAGAGGAGCTGTGCCAGAGGGCAACAGAGCTTGACCCTATGCTTTATCCTACACTGGGATGAGACAAAGCGATGACGAACCTAGCCATCGTAGGACTTATTCCATCACCACGTCTTATGCGTTTTATGCGGTGCAACGATCCCATTTCTCCCTAGTCGAATCAAACCTAGTGCCAGCTCCAGGCTGGTACGTAACGGTTGCTCCCTTGAGCTCTTTGAACAGTGGACAAAGACTATTTATTCACCCACAACCTACCCGCCGCGCATTCATACCACCCTAGGTACCTAGTACGTATACCATCCGGTGAAGGGAGCAGGTCCGTTGGGGTAAGAGGCCATATAGAGTTCCAAGACAGGGCCTTAAAAGCCGTATCTTACATGGAAGCTTTAGCGCTGACACTTCAACTCAGAGTAGCTGTCGTAGCTTAATGGGGTGGCATAACCGGTCCGCGCGTTGACGTGAAGGTGGTTCTACCAGGTAGTGATATCTGAATCCCATGGCAAGCTTACTAGAGTAGCTCAGTGAATAACGGTGTTATCAATGGCTCTCATAAGTTGAGACAAACCTCGTCGCCATGCGTCTCTGGTTCGCTAACGATACCTACGTAGTAGGTAGGTAGGTACTCTTAGGAACTCCGATTTTCTATTGTTTGTATGGTGTAAATGTGACTATCGAAAGGGGAGTCGTGTTGACTTAGTGTCATCTTTCCTTTTCCTTGAGATTGAAGCCAGGTGGCCAGTGTCAAACAACGTTAGGTTAACTAGAAACCCAACGTCTCACGAAGGTTTCAACAATAAAGCTTATACCTTCATGATCTCGACGACTATGTCTATCGATTCCCACTACAAGCATCAGAGATTCGATGATCAGCTGTTTATTTTTGAAGCAAGGGGTCCCCCATACCTAATGTCAATTAGAGAACCGCTCATCAACACCGCATTAATGATGGCAAACCGCAAGCCCAAGTAAGATATCGCTCTGTTTCACTCCCCCAGATACAACATTGAATTCCACGAGGTTGCCTCTCCAATCTATGCCTACCCCCGAAATATGTATCTTCATGATCTCATGATCTTAGTTAAGAACAGAACGCTTTCTCGCACGGATATATCCTCCTCTCCCTACCTACTTAATAACAGATAACTTGGCCGCCTATGCATGCGTGCGAAAGTTTATACATCCTCAAACATCGCCGTTTTCCCAATATGTACAACCCATTACTGGCTACTCCCCACGCGTATAACCTTGGTTTCGCCGCTGACACGCTCATACGAAAGTAGATAGTCTCTTCCTCCTCTTCCTTTCAATTATGAATATGGTTTCCTGCCAAACACGTACCGACACCTCATATAGCCGTGTCTTTTCTTGCTTTTGAGTTCCTTCCTCATTTTCGCTAGTTCTTCTTCATATCCTGGTGTGTTCTCGCCCATAACTGTTTTCCAAAGGAAGAGGGTATATCCTACGCGTGTCAAATGATCAGCAAGAACCCAACAGAAGGGATTATATCTAAACTTACCTTCTACATCATTGAGCATGGTCATTTGGACGTACCGACCTATTTCAGCAAGCTTTTCATCGGCTGGCCATCCACCAACCGGGAACTGATTTCATCAACGAGTCAGCTTTTCCAATTAGGGTATGATAGAATGAAAGAGTGATGAGTCTATCCAAGCCGCGCCAAAATAGAAATTATGAATCGGAATCCCAACTAACCTTGAAATCGCGCACTTCAATACAATCAAACCCCGCCCCCTCAAAAGCCTTTCTTTGGACATCGTCGTCAATAGGCTGGAACGTAACGCCAAGTTTCGCTTGCGATTCGTGATACAACATATTCCAAAACGCCAGATAAGGACTTTCAGGAGGAATGCTATCATCGTCGCATCGGATCTTGACGTCAGCCTCGCAACTCTGGACCCAACTACCTGGACGCGCGACCCGGTACGCTTGTTTCAAGAGTTCGTCCCAGTCCGCGATGGCTCCAAATAAGTACCTCATGTGCACAAAGTCGAAGCTATTTTCGGACCACGTCCATGGTTGAGTGCAGTCATCTAGCTCGAATTTGACATTAGGAGGGACCCAGAGTGGTTGCGTGGGCGAGAGATCTGTTCCTATTACTTCGGCGTTTTGATAGACTTCTGCGAAAACGCTGTATAGGTTTAGTGGGAGCAAATAGACTGGAAAACAAGTTATCTCGTTGTATGACTTACATAGACCATATTCCTAGATATAGTGTTAGAAGTTGTCATTTCGTAGCAAGGGTTTGATAGGTTCTAGCGCTCACCTGTTCCTGTTCCAATATCCAGCACCCTCTAGTAAGGAGATGAAATTAGAGTCTCATTTCATGTATGATTATATGGCTGATGACGGAAACAGGTTTGACTAACCTGCACATTATCTGGTATCGGTGCAAGAAATAGTTTATCTCCTATCAACATGCTGAGATAGTGATGTCTATGGATAGAGAATGGCGTATTAGCTAATATGATCATAAAATTTCATTGTAAAAGGAGCCTAAGAGATACTATGTCTTCTAGGGCTCAACATAAACGAGCTGAATTCGATGTTAAGTGATACGTACGTGATATCCTGAGACTGGAGTTGTTGCTCGTCGTTGGGTGCGAAATACCAGTTATTATGCTTCTCGCTATGATACGTCCGCCCACCGATCGTCCTGTAATTCAGGATACTAGACGTGATGGAATGCATAATACTCGCGCTGTAAGAGAGGTCAACATAACGAGTTCTGGTGAAGATGGTGACAAATACTACGTTAACTGCAAGAGCGTCATCCCCACAATCAGCAGTTTATGGATGTCTCAGTGAAAAGAACAAGGTAACTAACGCATCGTCTCCTAAGGCTGAATCCACATCGTCATCGTCATCCTGTATATAGACCTCCTGTAAGTTCAAATGAATTGGTTAAACCCTGACTTTCTCTAACTTAAGAATAATACGAAATGGATCGTCACCAGGATCGCCTGGTGTCAATAGGCTGATCGCCGTGTTCGTCCTTCAGACGGCACTGGGTACCCCAGGCGCATCATATCATACCTCTTCATCTATATCGGAAGCAACCATAATCGCCGCTGGCTCGGGCGGATTTGGTTGCGTGCTACCAGAACCACTGCCGCTGGCCCCCGCGGGAGTCGGTTTGTACGCCATCGGGGGTTTTGCACTAATGAATCCTTTGGGTCAGCCCGTTTTGGAGGGGTTACTTCACGGCTCAAGACTTTCGCCTCAGCTGGAAGGACGTCAGACGGACGAGGGGGAATATTATAACAATACGACTGTACGACGATATTTTCGATGTCAAGAAAACGAACAAAATAAATATGAAAGACGTGGGTATGATGAGGACATAGGATATAAAATAGACAACTACACACTTTGGGATCCTATTTCCAACAGTGATACAAAAAAAGTAGCCCTCGTCAATGGAAAGATCCGAAATAAAATAAATTAACGGTTTATTCCTTGGCCAACAAGGTTCCAGAATCTCACTATCGACGATCGAAGTAAAGTCGAAGACTAGGATGAGGACGAGGAGAGAAGGATGAGACTAGGCAGTATGAAGGTAAGGTAAGTAGGTAAGGGTAGGCAAGTAAGTAAGGAAAAGTAAAAAAAGAGGTAACAAGTAGAAATCGAAGAAATCGACCCAAGCCCAGGCGGCGGGGTATTTCCAGATTTCCAGGGTGTCACCACCCCGGGAATGGCCCCAAATTTTTCGATTCCAGTCGCAACACTGGCAGACTGGGTAGTCGCGGTGGATGGGTGGATCCCGAGGAACCGCAAAGATGCAAGTGTCGCTGCTTGCTACTACTGCTGCTTGCTGCTTCTGCTTCTACCCTCTTGGAGCTTGGTGCTATTTTTGAGTTTGCGATTAATGGCGGTCAGCGACGGAGCGTCGTGGTTGCCAAATGTCAAATGCTCATTTACCGCGTAGAAACCTGAAGTTACTTTTTCCAATTCCAACCCGTCAACCCTCCCTCTTATTTTCCTAAATTAGAATAGGGGTAAACTATAAAACTTAGGTTACCACTGTGGCGGGAAAATCTACCTGCGCGTCGGTACCGTCGTATGTAAGGTGGCAGATGGTTATGTAGGTTGGTAGGTATGTACCTATAGGTAAGAGACTTGACAGATGACAGACTGGGAAAGATCGAGAGGAAAAAAGATGCGCGGTCGGAATAAGCCTTATCAAGGGCTGACTGGCCTGACCTGACATGATTTTCTGGATATATCGAGGTAACTTTTGTTACACATCACATACATCCAATCCATGTATGATCTGTCGACACTTTCCACTGCCGCGCTTATTAAACAGCGTGAGCCGATCTGCTGGGTGCTCCAGGCAGGTCCAGGGCCAGTTAGTGAGATAAAAGAAGCATCTACCCGCACCGCCAAAGCTGACCTTCCATCTCGGGTTTCTTGGATTTTCTTGGGTCATGCATGATTTTTCTTGGGTCATGCATGATTTAGCTTTCTTTTATCTCCAGCGCCTCCAACACGCTGATGGGCGGGTCCCATGCTCTTGGGTTGGCATTTTCGGGACGTCGATCAAGCGACTTTAGCACACGCAGACACGTAACTTACTTTGCGATACGTCCCATACGTATCCTACATCGCGCATACTTAGGTACGGCATGTTACGTATTTCTCCCCATATACCTCGCTGGCCTGGGTTTAGGCTGGACCAAGTTTCCCTCGAGCCTGGTTGGTTCAAATACGTCTGTGTGTTTTGAACCCTCCCTACCAACCCGCCAGCCTACCGATCCACCAGCCTACCAACCTACGAATACATCAAAAGAGAAATAAAAAAAAGTAAAATCGATGAACGCCGTCGCTAGTGCATGCGGGATCCTACCAACTTGAATATCATCAGGTGGTTTCGGTTGCTCTATCATGCAAGTCAAATACACGGAATACATGGATGTTGCAAGGATGGCGACCGGTCGTGCAGCTTCGGTCCAATCCACGCGCCCGGCTCCTGGCTCCTGTCTCTCCCGTCCATATTGAATAAAACCCCCGGCAGGCACTTTTTTGTGCTCAAGCACCTTCGATAATAGTTGCATATACATACAGTTACATGTCCATTTTACCTTTTTTCGTCTAAGAACGTTGCACTACACCGGTCTAACCGCATATCGAATGCCCTCATTCTTGCACTAGTGTCTCCTCGGGATTTGGAGCGCACATGAACTACTCCTGAAATGTGTTGGTTAAAATGGCGAAAGGCTTAGATGGCACGTAAAAAAGCATAGGGAAGATGCATCATGTTAAACCAATGTAATCCTTTTTCGTCGTGGGAATGACACCGCCGTCTTCGAGACACCTAATCCAGTTATCACATGTACCAGATAGTAAATGATTAATATTGTACATTGCTCATGCCTCAAACTCCCCTTCTATGTTGTCAATGCTCTTTTTCATCATTTACACGCGTAATACCTTCGCGGCGAAGTCCTCGATGAGTTGCTCGGTCGGGAAGCTCAACTGCTCGAGGCCCTGGGCGTAGGGAGTGGGGACCTCAGCACCAGTAATTCGTTGCGCGGGGGCATCCAAGTAGTCGAAAGCGTACTCCATAGTAGTAGCAAGAATCTCGGCACCCATACCGGCGAAGGGGAATCCGGACTCGACAGAAATAAGTCTGTGGGTCTTCTTGACCGATTGGACAATGCTCTCAATATCTAGGGGCTTGACAGATCGCAGGTTGATAACCTCAGCCTCGATACCATACTTCTTCTTAAGACCCTCAGCTGCGACTAAGCACTGGCCAACGGTACGCGAGAGAGAAACAATGGTAAGGTCCTTGCCCTGGCGCTCAATCTTGGCCTTTCCGAACGGAATGACGAAGTCGTCCTTCTGCGCAGCCTCGGACATGGGGAAAGTTTGACCATACAGAAGCTCGTTCTCGAGGACGACGACGGGGTTAGGATCGCGGATAGCAGCCTTCAACAGACCCTTGGCATCTTCGGCAGACCAGGGAGAGACAACCTTAAGACCGGGGATCGAACCGTACCAAGCGCTGTAATCTTGAGAGTGCTGAGCACCAACACCAGAGGCGAAACCGTTGGGTCCACGGAAAGTAATGTTACAGGGCTGGATACCACCGGACATGTAGAGGGTCTTGGCGGCACTGTTGACGATCTGGTCGATAGCTTGCATAGCGAAGTTGAAGGTCATGAACTCGCACTAAATATCACATTCGATTAACCCATAATTCTTTTTTTCGGCATCCGGACCGTTTGTCTTTCTACTCACGACAGGATGCAAACCGCTTAGAGCAGCACCAATAGCCAAACCACAGAAACCGCTCTCCGTAATGGGCGTGTCAATAACTCTCTTATCACCAAAGCGATCTAATAAACCTTTCGTAACTTTGTATGCTCCGTTGTACTGGGCAACCTCCTCGCCGAGAATGAAGACTTTGTCGTTTGCCTCAAGTTCCTCAGCCATGGCCTCGTTTAGGGCCTCACGGACGGTGTAATCCTTAGTTCCCTTTACATCGGCGAACGTTCTTCGCTGGGAGACGGTAAATGAGGCAGGTGCGAACTTGTTTAGAGCTCGGGGAGCTACGGTGGCGCGAGCAGAAGCTGCTAGTCGAGCAGCCGGGCGGAGATATCGCGACATCTTGATCGGATTGAGGGGATTGAGTAGTGAGGGGAGGTTAATTAGGGAAGGAGAGTAAGAAAGAATCCAATTGGAACCAATCTCCCAGCCGACGAGAAGTTGGCTTGGTTTGTGGTTTGGTGACGGATAACGGTGTTTGATTACGAGAGAGTTTGAAGAGCGATTTTCTCCGTCAGCCTTTTTTTTGGAGTTGCTATCAATTCGCGGTTGTCTCCCAACTTTTTTTTCGGATAGATTAGGAAGAGCTTGTTGAGGTTAAGGATCCGCTAAACCGTATCGGGATTAGCTGATTGCCCTTCCGATATATCGGAGCTTTGGAATCTCCATCCCTTTGACAAAAGTACGTACCTAAATATCTTATTTATCCATCATGTCGTCGTCTCTATTTGTGATCAATTCAAAAATTGTTACAGTCAATGATAATGAGATCACAAATTATTATACGCTAATGCGTTATTGAAGCTAGGTGTACCCATGATGAATAGCTTTTCCCTGTGCACAGAATCTATTCTTAGTTTGACATACCCTTAGCTTCCAGTCACTGCCATCATCTCGGACGTCGATTGGGGGAATCCCCTGTTGGGGGTAATCCGTACGCATTTCGCTGTAAGTTGCTGGGAATTAATCTAAACAGATTATATGTTATGAAAAAATGATTAAGATAATATAATCATTGATAATAACTGCCGTCTTGTTATAAAAACGATTATTTTATATACCGCTAAAATCAAGCTCGGAACCTTCGAATCGGGAGGAGTCCCTACACCCCTCAACCAAAAAAATAACAAGGATAGGTATTTCTAAATTTTTATTTCGATATTTCTAGCAAGTATATATAGTAAAAGGCTATCGAGTACGGCCAACAGAGATGCTTCCATGTCTCAGATATATACAGAGAAGTCGAAGCCAGGGCTATTCTATTACCCAAGATTCGTCCTTCAAAGACTCTTCAGATGCTTGGTATTATTAATATTAGAAGACATTGACGTCGCGTCTTGACTCATTATTGTGCTTATAAGCACATCGCTCATCTCTCCTTGATGCACTATATAATATCAATTTTTGATATTAGACAGGTCATGGTTCAGGCTTCTTGCCAACCATCAGGTACATCGGGGTAAAGAGGTGCTTCTCTCCACCAGCGACTAAGCAGTCACCAGCACGGGCCAGACTGTCAGCCGTCTTCTTGGTACCGGCCGGAGCTAAACCGGTCATCTCTAAAGCACCGGCAAAGTTATGGGCGAGCAGGCGACCCCACCATGTCATCCGTGCAATGGTGAATGTATCGAATACCGATTGCATGTACTTCCATTTTCCAGCAAGAGGCCAGTACCAGGGGATAGGGTCTGGGCGATCAGCAAGATCCTCATGGTGCAACAACTCGAAGCCCGAAATCTTCATGGCTTCTAGACCTTCCTCGATCTTCACCATGTTGGAAATACCGTCACCCTGCTCGATGCCAAGACGGATCTCACGGTGCTCGAGGTTGTCATTGTCATACTCGTCGGTCATGAGCCACTCGTACACGCCGAAAACACCGCCGGGCTTTAGCACGCGGAAAATCTCGCTGTAGACACCAGCGAGCTTAGGTGCGTGCACGGTGGCTTCGATGGCATAGACAGCATCGAATGAGTTGTCAGGGAAATCCATTTGCTTTTAGTCCAGTCAGCATCCCAAAGATACAGTTTAGGATAAGATGGTTCCGAAACCTACCATAAAGTCACCCTTGACAAACGCAAGTTGGTCTGACAAACCATTCTTGCCAGCATAGTGAGTGGCACGCTGGATCTGGTAGTCGTTGTTGTTCAAGCCAGTAACATGGCAACCGGTGAACTTGGCGATCTCTCTAGCAGGACCACCAACACCACAACCAACATCCAACACCTTCATGCCCTCCTTGATACCAATTTGGTGTGCGAGGTAGTGTTCATGTCGGGCGATCGCCTGGTAGAAATTCTCACCGATAGAGTATCGGCAGAAATGGAAGGACTGGCCCCAACCGTACTCATACAGATCTGTGGCAAGGTTGTAGTAACTAGAAGAATATTAGCATTAGAATAAACACGTGAGGGCCCCTTGTGAATAGATTTCACATACTGTCTAGTTAGGGTAGCGTATTCGGCTGTACGCTTCGCGCGGTCTTCCTCCGTCTCGTCCTTCGCATCCTTGTTGTCCCAGTGCTTGAAGTATTCGTCAACGGCAGCTTGCTGCGCATCGGTGCCTTTGCCACCCTTTCCAATCATGGCTCGGAAACCACCAGCGTTGAGGGCGGTCTCTCCGTGCATGGCCTTGTTGAAGGCGGCATCGCGAGCTCTGTCTTGCTTCTCAAGTTCGATCTTGGACGGTGCCATGTTGAATGATTGATTAAACGACAATTATAATGAATGTAATCGATTAAAAAAACTAATACAGGATATATCAGGAATTGACGACTGGAATCGTTGATAAAGAATCGAAGCAGCGTTGGGGTTGTCGAGAAGAAGGTAACACGTAAAGGGGTCTACGCCGACATTTTATGTTATTATTTTTCTGGTCCCTTATCGACAATTGATTGTCAGGACCCACTCAAATCTAAGGACCCTTCCAATTTCTTGGCCAATTTCATTACAGAATTGACTTAAGCTTGAACAGCTTTTGGCCAATAAGGTTTCGCCGAACTGCATTAGAGGAAAGCGGGGACAGGGGTAAAGCTTCGACCGTGCCTTCTCCTCCGGAGCATTCAATAATTCCCCTGAACCCGAATACGAACTCGACAAGCCACAGGCAAATATGCTATGGTGTGGCTGGAATTAAGTGGCTAGGGTATTGAACTTCTAGAAAGGGAGTCCAAGTTCTACCAGATCCAACCCTCAAAAATCGAAAACCGAATACGAATTCGCATTCTTCAATATCTTACGGAGTCAAGTATTGTTGTCGTCGAATATCTCGAAGACATTATTTCTTCGCTTCATCCTTTTATGGATCTATATCGTTTCACGAGATAGATATTAATATCCTCCCCATGTTTACTAATGATCTTTAGAGAAGCAAAAGATCCCAGCAACATCCTTTATACGCGATTAAGAGTGCAGTTTCGTATCACTACCCACGCCCTTCCAAAGAAGGGAAAGAGACTACTAAACTACGAGTGAAAGCGAGGATAGTTGATGTATCTTGTAAATATTTTGTAAAGTATTAATAAATAAACGTGGGTAAAAGTAGGTAGAGATAAAAACTATTGAACAATAGACCTATGAAATTGACATTGCCATGTGATCCACGTGACTAAGAAGCTAAAAATACCAAGGTAGAAAGTCTAAATAACAAAACCAACACATATAAAAAATAAAAATAAAAAGGTGGTATAGAAGGAATCTAACCTTCTATCATTGGACTCGCGGGGAATCGAACCCCGGACCACTCCCAGACAAAGAAACGAAGCCATCGTGAGATAAATCACATGCTATTGGATCGCTCCATGCTAAGGGAGTATTATACCACTAAACCACAAGCCCGTGGGAAGCTGGAGAGGAGGAGAATACCTCAGTCGTTCTTCTGATTCGTTGAGAGTTCATTGATGCTAATGTTTCCTATACTTTACGGATTCAAAGTTGTGGAAAACTCTTCTTACTAGCCGATTGGTGTGTGCTCACCGCCCTCATCTAAAAGCCAAGATCCACACACACCTTTAGTAAGACCCCACAAACAAAAATGCAAGTTTGTGAAAGGGACCAAGCGTCTGGTATAGCTCCCTCATGTAAATTATCCGACCCAATTAACCAGGTGCATACTTAAGTAGGAATATGGTCCTTATGATGAAGCTGATGAAGGTAATGCCTATTGCTGATATTTCAAAAGAGGTGATGTTGTCACCATATAAATACCTACGGTATGTGTGGCTTGTTAGGTAATCAAATTCAGAAGAGTTGTACAGAAACTAGGCACCTTAATAGATCCTCTCTTACCTAGATTTCAATATCGGAGTTATATTCAACATCTATCTACCAAGTCCACTTCCACTTTTTCGCCAATTCTACTTGGTGACCCTCAGACGTTTCCTCCGTCTTCCCAGTCACTACAGGGCCATCTCCCTGTTTCTCTAAATTCCTATTGCTAACGAGATACCAAATACTCAGCCCTATAATCTCAACAGCCACCGCTGCAGAAAGCACCAAACATGCCGTAAAGGCATTTTGATAGAGTGGCGCATCCTGAGTTCTAAACACTTGACTCCCAGCAATCCCACCTGCATTCGCACCCATTATAATCATCCTAGTATAAAAGTCAGCCAAAATCAAATCCACAAATGCGAAAAGTCTAGCTAGATTTTTTTTAAAAAAACATGAGCACAAGAAAAGGACAAAGAATGAAACCTACGCCATAGCCACGCTCCTCTCCTGCGGCCTGCGGCAATTGACCGTCAACCAACCGACGTTCAAAATGTGAACGGTGGAATTCATCGCCATCGACAAAACCACCGCCGCGTACTTCCGGCCGGAACCCCACCTATACGACTCCCGCAGACATGCAAACGCAATGATACTCCACGCCGCGGCGGCCAGCAGCGACGGCGCCCGCCGCCTCGTCGTGTCGCAGACCCACGCCAGCAGCACCGTCGCCACGGCCGCGATGAACGCGCCCACGCTCGCCATCGCGTTCGCGCGCACGGTGCCGTACCCCAGGCTTTTGATTACCGAGGGTCCGTACGTGTTTATTGCGTTGACGGGGACCACGCTGGTTAGTGTGAGGACGATGTGCAGCAGGATGCGCGGGTTGCGGACGGTGGTCCAGACGTCGTGGCCGGAGATGCGTAGGTGGTTCGTGGTTTTGGCGGGGTCGTCGAGGAGGACGCGGCGCACGAGGATGTAGGACTCTCGTCGGGAAAAGTAGGACCATTGCCCGAAACTTATTAGTGGGGACCCGTTGCCGACTTTGGGCGGCAGGAAGAGGATGAAGATGATGCCGACGCCGATGGTTATTGCGCCTTCGACGATGAAGAGCCAGCGCCACCCCGCGACGCCGTACCGGTCGCCCATGCTGAGGATGCCGGCGCCGATGAGTGAGGTTGTGGCTGAGGCGATGAGGTTCCCGAGGAAGAAAATGGAGATACGGAGGCTTGATTCGGATTTCTTGTACCATGTCGACATGGTGTACAGCGAACCGGGGATAAAGCCGGCCTCGCACTGCAGGTGTGAATGTCAGTGCATTATGTTGGGATGCCCGCGATTACAGGGACACGTACTAAGCCGAGAAGCACACGGGTGGCGAGGTACCCTCCATAGTTCGTGATGAAGTTTTGAAAGGTGGCTACCAGTCCCCAAGCCACGATTTGGCATGATAACCATTTTTGGGGGCCTACGCGCTGTAACAGGATATTGGATGGGATCTCTAAAAGCACGATTCCCGCGGAGAGAAGACTGCTTCCAACGTTGATCTGGTTGGTAGTGATCCCGAGATCCTGCGTTATCGTGCTTGTTAACGCATTTGAGATGTTCCCTCTGTCCATCTGCAGGGCGAAGAATGCTAAGCCTAGGATGGGCAGCAGAATGAAATCCAGTCTAATAATAATTAGGGCGATTTCATATTATGTTGGGAGTCGAAGTATCTTACTTGCGCTTTACGGCGCGCTCCTCTGCCTCAGTCCAATCCGCCACGGTAGACTCGTCGACATTCACGGGAGCGGCTTCTTCATCGCTATGGTCATTGGCCTTCACGGCTGTCTCGAAGGTCTTCTCAAGCGCCATTCTAAGGTTTAGAAAGAAACCGCTTCAGAGAGACTAGCGAAAAGGCTGCGAAAATCATTTTCAATGGGTTGGGGTCGTCAATCCCAGCTCTTAAGTATCGTGACGTTTGATCTCGTTGCTAATGATATTAGCCAATGAATTTCACATTACGCCGACTCGCCGGTCGCGAGGTCCGCAATCGATTAGCAGAGCTAATTTCAATGCTCATTTTTGCTTGTACCATCTCCATATTGATTACGCGGTGCTGCGACAAGGCCCTGCAAGCACCGCTGACGTGCTCGGAGATAGCATTGCGTGATTCCTCAGACCCAATGAGCTAGCCCGGGATGACCAGCCGACACGCACGATTGAGTACAATGATGAATTGGTAACGGGGTTTACCAATTAGAAACACAGCTGAGATTATATTTCTTAATTCCGTTTGAATTAATTGGTTACTTATTGTGAGGCGCTGTTCCACCTTGTCCCGAAGCCAACGACTTCAGCGTCGGACAGTCTTTCCGGTAGCTTGAAACTAACATAATATTTAAAGTAGGTACTATGGGTCATGAAGTTTACTTCAAGTGTAGGTAAGTCAAACACCCCCCTCGCGTTCCACCCTAGTAGGGACCACCCATTTCCCATACAAAATCGCTTAACTCCGATACTTATATTTAATTAAATAAAATACTTAAAAATATACGATCTTAATTTTAATTATAGTAGTTGCTCACTCATTATGTATACGTGATTTCGTAATTTTCTGATTTTTTTTCTAAGAGTAAACGTAAATAATAATAAAAATAAAAATCGTTAACACTTTTCCATATAAAATGTATGGAAGGTTGTTAAGGCATATAACTTTATGGTTTTTTTAATATTACGTAATAGTTTTAATTTTATAATTTAAAATAAAAATTAATTATTAATCGAAATAAATAATATGCTTAATAATATTACGTAATAAATTTATATAATTAAATAACGTTGTTTTTTTACGTTTTTTAAATAAAAACATAAGGCCCCCGCACGGCGCGGGCGCAAAACCCCCGAATTTTGAAATCCCGGGGTTTATTTAAAGGTTCGAAATTTTTATCTTTTAATTTTTACTTTACTCGTAGTAAAATACGTAATATTTTAATTATAATATTCGTATTTAATATTTAATTTTATACGTATATTTTTTTAAAATTAAATATAATTTTATTTATTATAATTTATATTTTTTATAATATAAATTATATATATATTTTAATTTTTAAAGTTATATTAATTTAAAAATAATTAATTAAAAATAATAATATTTTTAATTAAATATATTTAAAGTTTTTTATTTATTAAATTTTATTAATTATTTTTATTAATTTTTATATAATTTATAATATTTATAAAAAAATTAATTAAATATTTTTTTTATTATATAAGTTTAATATTAATAATATTATTTTATTTTTAAAGTTTATAATTTTTAATTATATTATTAATTTTATTTATATATTTTATATTTATTAAATATTCGTTATTTATTAATTAATATTATAAAAATAATTTTTTTTAATAATTTTTTAAAATATTTATTTTTAGTTAAATTATATTTAAATAATAATTTTATTAATAATATTTTTTTATATAATAATATATTATAAGAATTATTTTTTTATTATTACATTTAATTTATAATAATTATTATTTTTACGAAAAAACGGTTTTTACGTTTTTATATTTTTAATTTATTAATTTTTAAATTTTATAAAGTTTCATCGTTTATTAAACGGCGTCGCGATTTATTAATAAAATCGTTTCCCGCGAAAAAATTTAAATTTAACTATTAATTTCGTTAATAATTAACTTTTAACTCGTTTTAAATATTTTATTTTTTAAAAAATCGTCGTTTAAAAAAATCTTTATTTACGTTATTAATAATATTTTTATAGTTTAAGTTATTTAATTTAAAAAATAAAATAAACGTTTATTTTAATGTTTTAATATTAAAAAGTTTTATATAATCGCCGTTTATTTAATTTTAAAATTTATTATTAAATTTAAAAAATTTCACGGTGATTTTTATATTTTTTATTATCGAAACGTTATATAAAACGTTATATAAAAATATATTTAATATAAAAAACGATATAAAATTTATTAAATTTAAGTTTAAAAATTATTAAAATTTAATTTCGTAATTATTATTTAAAATTATTAAACTTAAATATAATTGTATTTTTTTTAAAAAAAATATTCGTGACGTTTTTAATAATATTATATTTATTATTAACGAAGTGATTTTAATATATAATTATTTTTAATTATTATAAAATAAATTAAATTATATTAAATTAATAATATAAAGTTTAAAAAAGGAAATTTTAAAAAATATAAGTGAAGTTTAACCTAGTAATAACGAGTAAAATTATAAATTTTAAGTTATATATTAAAATGTAAACGTAATAATAAAAAATAAAAGTAATAAAGTTAATGATAATAATAATAATATAAGTAAAAGTTTAAAAAAAATTAAAAAAAAAAATAAAAAAAAGTAAAATAAAATAAGTATAATTTTATCGAAAAATAACGTTAAAATTATATTCGATAAAACTTTATTTAATTATATTTTTATACGGGATGTAACTTTTAAAATTACAAGTAACGTTTTTATTAATCGATAAATTATTTTAATTATTAAATTTAATTTAATTTTAAAATTTTTTATTTCGGTATTTAATGTTTTTTTTAAATATCCGCGAACGTTTTTATTTAAATATTTTAATAAAAAAATAAAAATAATATAAACGAACAATACTTTTAATTATTTTTTTATTACGTTCGAATATAAAAGTTTTAACTTTATTCGTGTTAATATTTTATAAGTTATTATAAATTAATATATAATAAAATATATTACGTGTTTTAATATAATTAAAAAGTTTAATAATTTAATAATAAAATTAAATTAATTTATTTTAATTATAACCGCGTTTAACGTTGTAATAAATAATTTAAAAATTTAATTATTCGTATCGTGATAAAAATTTAATATTAACGGGTATAAATTTATTATTTATTTATTATAAAATTTTTTTTTTTATAAACGAAATAATTATATAATATTTCGTATAAATATTTTAAATATATTTAAATAAGTAAAAAAAAAAAAAACATTATTAATAAAATTTATTAAACGTAAATATAAAAATAAACAGGTAAAAATTTTAAAGTTTTAAAATATAATTAATAAAAACGTATTATTTCGTTATCGTTTAAAAATTTAAAAGTTTATTTTTCGAAAAGTTTTAATAATTTTAAATTTTTAAAAAAATAAATCATTTTAAAAAAATTGGAAAAGTTTTAAAGGTTAAAGAAATAATTTAAAATTAGTTTAATATTAATTCGTATAAAATATTATTAATATAATTAATATTAATATTATTTTTTAATTTAATAAGTATATTATTTATTTATTTAATGAAAATTATAATTATTTACTTAGTTATTTTAAGAAAATAAATGTATTATTAATTTTTTTTATATTAATTTTTATGTGTTTTTTTATATTAATTTTTATATATTATTATTATATTAATTTTTATATTTTTTTTTATTTAAATTATTTTTAACGAAATATTTATTTTTTATATTTTTTCGTTAATTTAATTATATTTAAATATTATTTAATTATATTATATTTAACTTTTTTAGTAATAAATTATTTATTAATTAAAAAATTATTATATTAACGTTTTAATAAAAATTTAATTTTAATTTTATTTTTAATATTATTAATACTTTAATTATTCTTATCGTTTTAATTTAAAATATTTATTATTTTAATCGTTAATATAAAGTTTTATTTTATTATAATATAAAAGGTTATTAATATAAAAGTTTTAATATTTTATTTTAAATTATTTTAATATTTTAAGGTGCGTTGTTTTTATGGTGTTATTTTACGTAATTACTTGAATTTTTATTATAATTCGAATCGAAATTATTTTTTTAAAAATGTTTTTTTATTTTTATTCATTTTAAAAGGTATTAAAAATGTTTTTATTAAATTAATACCGATTAAATAAAAAATATTTGGAATTATTATATAAATTAAATATTAATTAATAAAAGTTTTTTTTTTATATCCCGTTTTATAAATTAATTAATTTTTAAATTATTCGATAATACGGTTTAAATAATAAATATATTATTTATTTTTTAATTTTAAATAACCGTTATTAAAGGTTTAAATTTACCGTTTTTTAACTAATTCGTTAAAAAAAAAGTAAATATAAAATTTATATACTTTTTTTTTTATAAAATTTAAAATTTTTTTTTCATTTAACCGATTTAAATAAAATAAAAGCTTAATAAAAGAATTATGTTTTAATAAAGGTTTAATTTTATTATTATAAAATTAAATAATATTTTTATTAAATATATAAAAGATTTTACCATAAAAAAAATAAGTTATAAATTATTTTAAAATCGAAAAATCGTTTTTTTCTTATTTTATTTTAAATATTTTATTTATATATTTAATTAACATTTATATAATTTATATAAATTATTAATAAAATTTTTATAATTATATAAAAGTTATTAAAATTATTAAGAAAATATATTATAAATTTTTATAATTTAAATCGTTTTTTTTTTCGTTTAAAATCTTTAAAAATATAATTTTTTTAAAATATAAATAATGTTATTTTTTTATTACTTATTTTTTCCGGTATTATATATATAAACGAAAATAATTATATTAATTTTATAAAAGTATTTTTTAACGTTTAAATTAATTTTAAAATATAATATTTTTATTATTATTTTAAACACGAAAATAATTAATTTATATTTAATAAAATATAATTTTTATTTTACACGTTTAATTATAATTATATTAATTATAATTATTACGGTTAAATTAAATTTATAAAATAATCGTTAAATTTAATTTATTCGTATTAAAATTTTTAAAATATTTATTATAATTAAAGGTTATTTTAAATTAATATTTAAAAATTATACTATTTAATTAAGTTTTTTATTCCGTTTTAATTTAAGTTAAAAAAATGATTTTATATATTATATAAAAATATTTAATTTTTAATGAAATTTTAATTTTTTTATACTTATATTATTATATATTTAATTAATTTAATAATATTATTTATTTTTATTATTATTTAAAAATGTTTTTATAATATTAATAATAATTTAATTTAAATATATTTTAATTTAATTATTATTTTT